ACAATGAAAAATTGTTCTCTCCATTTATGGATTAAGTGTAATATCTATTCTTTTCCCTGTTTTCTATTCAATGCAGCTTATGGAGTTCAGCAATCATACTACTTGTTCTGGTCATGATAATTTTGGACCTCATGGTATATTTATCTTACAGTTGTGAATTTTTGTTTGGTCTTCTATTTGCCCCTTTGGTATCCTAATTAATACCTCTTTAGTTATAGAATGAAACTCACGAACTTGGTGACTCCTGCAGGGTGTAATGGCAATTTTGGGTATTCAACTCAATGCAGTGTCTGTCGTAAACCTTGTTATGTCAATAGGGATTGCTGTGGAGTTTTGTGTGCATATAGCACATGCATTCATGGTTAGTCTATTCCCTTTTTCTTTTATAAATTGACAGTTCTTCACCCCATATGATATGACGGTCCTCTAGAGGAAACAGTAATATTTGTCCAAGTGGCACTTTATAATTTCCCACTTGTTAATTAGGGAAATGGAAATAGGGATTATTATTGCATGTAGAAATACAACCTGCTTTGTGACGAGGGGAAATTTGATGCTTTGATGCCTTTTGGTGCCTATGCACATTTACTAATGATGTTATATACTTTGTGCTCATACAGGTAAGCTCGGGGGATAGGAGCCAACGAGCAAAGACAGCATTGTGTACCATGGGGGCTTCTGTATTCAGGTTGACTATATGTGTTGTTGCATTTGGAAATGTCCTGGACCTAGTGTAGCCCATTATTTTTGTGAGTATATCAAGTAAGAATTGTTCTGTTGTTATGAGAGCAACAAATGTTGACCATAAAATCAAACAGAGGTCAAGATTAAAATTGAATGAAATTAATCTTAACCATTCATGTATAATTTTATAGTTAAACTTTATTGTTCTCATGATAACAAGTGAGAACAGTTTTCACTTGATATGCCATTGCCCCCTGTATATATAGTTAAGATTGTTAGAACATACCGAGGCAGGGATGGATTTTAAGGGGTGCAATTGTGGGGCCTTGGCTGAATTTTTAGTGTTTGTCGCACTATTAATTTGTTTAAACCTTCCTTTCTGTACTATTTTAACTTTGGCAGTGGAATCACAATTACAAAATTAGTTGGAGTTCTTGTCCTTTGCTTCTCAACTTCAGAACTTTTTGTGGTATGTGATATATCACCCTTACTCTTGATACTTGATTGTATGCTCAAGAAATGTTAAATTAGCTTATGGGTCTTTGCAGGTGTATTACTTCCAGATGTATCTTGCCTTGGTTATCATTGGCTTCTTGCATGGTCTCGTGTTTCTACCAGTAAGTTTGTGGCGTTTGGTGTTCTTCCAGAAATAACTATAGCTGTAATGGTAGATGTAAGCACCACTGTAAGCCATCGCTGAGGCTTGTGGCATGTTTTGACCTAGAGATGGCCTAGCCCTAAACGTTTTTGTACCCAATATATATATATTGACGCACAAACACTAATTAATTGTGAAACATCTTACATTTCCTGTCCTTTTTTTTTTTCAGGTGGTATTGAGCTTGTTTGGTCCTCCATTAAGATATACAATCATTAAGGATCAGCTGGAAGACGTGCCTTCCGCTTTATCATAACAGTCTTTATTAGTGATGAAAGTGATATTTTAACTAGTTTCTTCCTGCTGATCACATATCTAATGAACAAGATAATTTGTTTTTATTATTGAGGATTAATAGGATCTTTTCTTCTGATGTTTAGATTGAGAAAGTTCGATCTGAAAATGGTCTCGGAGAAACTTCATGCTGAATTCTACTAATTGATGTTATGGTAGGTTTGGTCATCACAGTTAATTCTATGTGTGATTCCGAGAACGTTAAGCAAAAATATATTTGATATTCTCATTTTATTTTTGTTTGAATTTTTGTTTTTATTGTGTAAAAGACTAGTGTCATCGTTCTTGAAGAATGTGAGAGTAAGAATAGGCATGGAACTAGAATTGCATAAATTGCAAGGAAAATAAAATGAAGTTTTCAATAGATGCAAATGATAGGGTTAGACTTTTTGCAAATTAATTTTATTTAAAAATGAAATTAGCATAAAGCAAACTGTTAGAACATTACATCCCGCAATGACATAGTTTTAACTCTATTGCCTCAGTACTAGTTCAGCGAAGTTTAAAGAGATCGGACTTCCTTCCATTACGAAATTAGGACATGCCAAAGATTTCGATGGAGCCAGAAAAACCATCTCATTTTATTGCAAGAAATTAAGGGTTCATATGTAAATGATAAGGTCTATTAGCAAATTGATATGGTATTTCCTTGCGTGTTTTGCTGGGAGGCACTCAATTGTCAAGTTGGGTGTCATGTGTTACATGCAAGTTTAAATAACAATGCAAAATAACTTAGACCAACTTCCCGGGTGGTGTTAACTCACTTTTTTCAATAAGAAATTGCTTACTAATTGCCCTGCTACAGTTGTATCACATGACATCAAATGCATGTGCTGAGTTGCTTCTATAAGCAACTTTTTCTTAAAGCTAAAGTGGGACCCACATATCAATTATGAAATAACATAAAAAACTCGCAGCGAGAGTACAGTCAAACTGCTCTTAATTCACTAAAAAGGGTTTAGAATGAAGTCTACAATAGTTCTTGTAATGTCGGTAACCATGCTAATTCATGAATGTTAATTGGTATTGTCAATCATAAACACTTTCATGTGTCGTCTATGTCAATTGCATAACACCATGCATTGTTTTGGTGAAAGGAAAAAGAAGGAAGAGGAGATCTAGTTTGGTTTAATTAAAAAGGGTGGGAGGGATATTCTCCCCCCGCTTGTTTGATTTTCAAGAAAAATAAAGTTAATCTATTATTATATCCCTCAACATCAACAACTCTAGACAAAAAAATAAGGAAAAAGAAATACACTTCTAAAACAAAATGCTAATAATGAATATTCATGATCATTGCAACTGGAAGAAAATGGTAAGATCATTTATATACTTTATGATAAAATAAAATAAACTTTTACTTCATTACTTGAAAATGGAGCTGAATGCTAAGATTAATTTTATTATTCTTATCTAAACCGCGTCCCTAATAAATATACATTTATTGATAATAAAAGATTATATCATATATTAATATCAATAACAAAAAGATATTATTAACTAATACAAAACCCATTAGCTATTGTATTTCTTTCTTGTTTATTGGTATAGCCCCCCACGCACGAGTCCTAGAAAAACCATGCTAGTATAACATTTGACGAATACCAATCAAATACGAACCTGACAAAAGTATTAAAACCAATAAACTCGGATTATCGACAGGCTTTTGTGACGATATACAGTTTTTACACGAAGACAAAGATGCAGATTCCAGTCAGAAAATAGCAAGGCAAGTTCCGAGAAAGATGCAACGCTGCACCAACTAAGCGGATAAAAATATAATTTGATAATCTAATTTTAAATAGAATGAAATGGAATAGAATTTATTTTGTTATATTTCTTATTTTTCTTTAAGAATTAGTAAAAAGGTTTTTTATTTGAATTAGTGGGACCATTAAGTAATTAGAGAATAAGGCTCATTGATTTTACCGCTGCTATTTAAAATTTCTCCAACTCCTTAGAACTTGATGATACTCCTACGCCGCGTTCACCATCCCCTGGCGATCAAAGCATTCAAATGTAAATTTCTTTTTATTCTTCATGTTTTTGGAATGCTGATGCTGATACCGTTTTTTGGAAGGTCGTTCAAATCCCCAAATATGATAAAGAAGCCGCGGCAAGGGACTGGTGTTGCAATCTTTTGGTAAGGGGCCTTTTTTTTACTATTATTTTGCTGAGAGGGGGGAAGACATTCTTTTATTAGAAAATAAATAAACTTTAGTTTCACCTTACATATAATTCCACTTAGAATAATCAAGCAAGTTTAACGGTGTGAATATTTTTTTTAAAGAATCAATGGAAAGGACAGTTAACAATATGAACCAATAAGAACGACCAATTAGTCATTACTAATGTTCAATTCCCATTCCGAATGATCATTGGTATTAAGAAAGTGGTTGTTAGCCACTTTGCCTTTAATTTAATATTTGTTAGAACATGCTTTCTTCAATTCTTTATATATACATATATCTGTAGACACTCATATAATATTTTATATTTAAATAATATTTCATTTAATAAAAAAAGTACTTCTAGTCTATTAGCTTAGAAAAATATCAAATATAATAAATTAAAATATTTTTTATTAATTGAAAAAATATTTGTATATTTATACATTAAGTTAATTGTTAAGATACGTTGGTTGGTTGGTTAAGAATAAAGTTAGAATGCAATTTTTTTATAAGCTAACTTTTGAAGTTAGGTTGGTTCTACATTTTTTATATAGTATTAAAGTTATTTAATTTGAACGTTGAATCGTATACATACGTTGAATTTTACAGACTTCACGTACGTGTACGGCTGATCACGTCGTGAAGAGGGTGCCTTAAATATAGCTTAAAAAAAATATGACCAAAATGAACGTATTAACTCATAAGTTAACGAGTCAATCACGTAAAAATTGAAGTTCAGGTAAATGAGCCGGCTTCTTAATTGAATCATGAACAAATGGAGCTGCGAGCAGTTTCAAGAACTGACTAGAGTCACTTCCAACCCCACCATTCCCTTTCTATTAGGAGAGAAAAAGAATCTTATGATGGATTTCTTTAGATGCCAATAAATGAAGGTTGGATTTATTATAATAATTGGGTGGATAATTGGTGGAGTAATGGATGGAGATGGAATTGGATTAGCATTGAGTTAGCGTACAAAGTGCAGGTAATCTTAGCATTTGAATGAACAAAAGGAGAAGCAATTAATAGATATTAAAAAAAACGGTTCTCACTGCAAATATAGGTATCTCTAAAGATCATGTAATTTAAGAAAGCCGCCAACTCTAACAAGAAAAAGCAGGAAATATATATTTGAGTTTGGGATCCTACAAAGAACACAAGACACACACAAGAAAAGCAGATAATAATTGGTGTTAAGATGGGCTGCTGTTGCCGAACGTATTTGCTTGAAATAGGGCGAGTCTAATGGTGCGGCTCTGAGATGATTTATGCAAATCTTTACACTCTTCAAGATCAGCATCACAGGCCAAAACGACCCACTCCCCATCATCATCCAAATACTTGAGAACCATGTTGCTGACATCGCTTAGATTGAAACGTCTTGCTATCTCAAGCTGCAAATCTGCGAAACCCCAAATTGGTTGCAAGCTAAAGCGAATTTTTTCATCCGCAAAAGTAGCTTTGACTCTAAGAGCTCGAGAGTTCCAGGCACAAGCAATTTCAGACAAGTTGGGTGTGTTGAAATGTTTTGTATCCTCCTGTTGGACTTGGATTGATGCATGCAAGTCTGGTTCACTCCTTAGGAATGCATCAGTAACAGGAACATCTGGTGCAGTGTTGATGATAGTGGAAGCGGTGGAGGAAGGTGGGGATTTTAAGGTGTTATCTCCATGGCCATAGAAGGTGGTGTCAGGCTCGTGCATAGGCATAGGCATAGGCATAGGCATTGGCATTGGCATTTGCATTGACATTTTCTTGGACTTGGATGATTCGGCAGTGGCAGAGCTCAACTCAGGAAAACTGGTATAGAAGGAACCAATCTGAATGGCACCCTCAGCACCCTGTACCGAATCGATCACAAGTTGAAGTTTCTTTAAAGAGTGACCTACCTTCTTTATTTTCCTTGATGGCCACCTCGTTATTCCATGCTGTCTGCATATCCTTTTCAGAGTTGTGGGGCACACTGCAATCACAATCACAATCACAATTAAGAGACAGGATCAGTTTTACTTGTTTTTAATATATGATTAGTAGATACGCGAAGGTGATGTCTCACCGCCAATGCTCTTTGCCGCATCTTTTAGGCTTCCAGCAAAGTATTGTCTTAGAACTGGCAAACTGATAGTCTTCTCTGCCTTTGTTCGTCTCTTCTCGCCTGACTTTCTGCCCCCGCGCCGTCCACTGAACGTGTGAGATTCTTCCCCAACACCCTCTACACATCTTTGCTCAACTTGCCCATAATCTGAAAACACCTCATGACTGTTACTGTTGTCCCAATTGGTCGTCACTTTGAACTCCTCTTTTGGCTCTTCCAAGTATTCCAACGACACACACACCCCTTTCCCTTTCTGCTGCGCCTCCATCATGTGTGCAATCCACGACGATTCTTTTCCACACGGTTCTGCCTGCGATTGAGACTGAGACTGCGACGCAAATAATCTGTTAGATATTTCCTCCTTATTGTCGTGTGGCTGTGGTGGCAACGTGAACTCATCCTCCATGACAACATGCAAGCTTCTGCATGCTTGCTGAAGGAGCATGGATAATGAGTTGAGCATGTGCTTCTGCTCTTGGCTGTCGTGGCAATCCTTTGGGAGGAAAAACTCCAAGACAAAATCAGCGGATCCAGTGTAAAGGCTCCTCAGAGGAATAGCCACAGCAGCATGCAAGCCAAACATCTTTGCATGGTGAGCCAGAGGATATTCGGCTTTGCTAAAGGCTGTTATGTCTATAGCAAAACAAGGCTTCGTTGTTGTGAAGGCTGTCCCAACAATTCCTTGTCCTCGTAAAAGGTGATACTCAGAACATGCTTCCTGGAATCCCAACATGCCCACATCTCCCACAAAACACGCTGAATCCACTGTCGACACATGATTCTCCGTTGAATGCCCATACCCACACTTCCCTTGTTGGATGCAAGGTGCCCATGTCAGACCTAAAGGCAGATTGTGCGTCTTGCACACTGACGTCAAAACCTCTACGATTTCATTCACTGCCGCTTCATACAACTCCTCAAACACCTGATCCATCGTTAATCAAATATTATTCATCTTAAGGATCCATCCTATATTTATATGTACGTGCAAATAAATTTTAAGGTACCTTTACAGCAGGTGGAATGAAGTTCTCGCAACTCCTAAAATCAACAGCCTGCAAATCATTGACACGCTTTTTGAATTAATAATTAATACCGGATTTTATCAGACACTGGCCTGATCATTAAATTTTAATCAAGCAAAATCATTCAACCGTACTATATGTACGAGCACACGTACTTTTTGTAATTAAATGTGCTGTACGTACGTAATACATATGTTGATCTGCACTGCAGAATCTAAGAATACTGCTATGCGAGAAAAACATAAAAGATAGAAGGGTAGGTGAAAAAGCCCTTGGGTTGTACAAATAAATTTAAGAAAGAAGACAGTGGCACAAGTGTTCTATTAGATAATGGTAATAAGGATACTTAGATATGTATGTGTTAGTATTCCTTTTAAAGGAGAAGAAGGAAAAGAGAAAATAAAGTAAGAATACCTCGAAAGCATTGCAGACATTAGTCTGATCAAGCTGTGGGCGGTAGTTGATGATGGTTTGGTTTGTGATAAGGATCTGAAGAACACCGAGGCATGTGGCAGTGCCTCTTTCGAAGACAGGAAGGGACAAAGATCCAGGGAGATCATAATGAAGGCGGGGGTACTCATGGCATCTAAAGAAGCGAAGGTTTACGTTTGTGTTTGGGTTTGGGTTAATGGGAAAAGCAAGAGAAACTGAATCATCTGGATTTGTGTGGAAGTCAAGGCCAAGTCCTCTCCGTAGTGGCACCCATATCTGAATCAGCACATTGGCGTTCTTTGTGTATTCTTTCAAGTACTCAACAGCAACAACTAATCTCTCTTTCACAGATGATGATGGCTCAGGATTTGCCCTGGGTCCAATCCACCATCTCTTCCCAACCTCAGTTTCTTCGCTCCCAACACCACTCGTTTCCACCCAGCAACCTTCTACCAGCAGCTCCTCTATCAGTTCTTCCTCTGATCCACACTCGGCCAACGCACAATTTTGCACTAAGGCACCATATTCCATGCTGTTCCTACCTTCTCTATTCTTAATTAATTTCCTCTTATGATCGTTGTGATCCTATAATTTTACATTACACAACAAATCATTTATATGTTTAATCACCGAGAGAGATCGTGTAGAATATATAGATACAAATAGAAAGTTAGAGGGGATGGAGCATGTAGCAAGACTCGCTCACCTTGCTTTTGAAGAAGCTCGTACGTATATAGTGATATATATATATATATATATATATATATATATAGAGAGAGAGAGAGAGAGAGAGAGAGAGAGTTCTGAGAGGAACGTTATTCTTGAACTTTGATCTCTGCGTGATCGCTTAAGAAAATGATTACCTGAACTCAACATGCGATCGATCGATAAGTCTCTTATTTAATGACCAGAAACGGAAATTTTTTGTATTTCAGTGGGACCCACCAGTGTAGAGTGAGTGTCCTCCACTCTCACATCTCTCACCGTGGCACCTATTTGTTTATCAATTTTCTCAATTTTTCATATTTATTTTTTTTATCATCACATTTCTCGCCTGTTTTTTAAATAAAATTTGATTTTGATCTTTCAAAAATTTATAATTTTTTATTTTTAAAATTTTTACAAATAAATGTCCTTGAAAAAACTACACAATCTCTTTATTAATAATTTATTATTTTTCTTCAGGACGTACTTAAATAATATCTAATTGACAATATAAAAAAGATATAATATTATTAGTGTGATATTTATATTGAGAGAAGATAAAAATAAAAGAATAAAAATTGTGAAGAGAGCAAAATTTAAGAAAAAAATGTTTTATTGTCTCTTATTTTAAAGTTGAAAATGAGGCGTGAGAAGTTGGTTTTATTCATTATATATAGACGCTCTCTCACTTATCAGTGCTGTAAATTATATATGTTAATGAAATATTCCGTATATGGTAGCTGCTTCCTGTATTACAAACAACACTCCTCCCCTAAAAAAAAAGGCATCAAGTAGTTCTCATGTTGAAAGCAACCTACAAAGATTAATTCAAATCAGTGGGAGAGTGAAAGAGACACAGAAAGGTATATTGGGGTATGGCTGTTTGAGATTTTTATAAAAAAGAAAAAAAATGTTTTAAAAACTCGGAAAAGTGGTTTTACTATTTGCGTATTTTTATTCTTGTTATATTAATTTTAAAAATGGAATGTCTTAAAATTGGAAGGGATGAGCGGCAGAAGAATAGGAGCAGGAAGTGGCGGGGTCTGGCTGCGCGCCACATGGCAAAAGATGAAGATTGCGTAGGGAGGCACGATATCGGCGAAATGCAAATGGAAATGGAAATGGAAATGCAAATGCAAATGCAAATGCAAGAGTTTGATAATCCAAGTTGAGGCCGTGAAAATTGAAAAAGATTCTCCTGTGTTTCATTGGTGACTTCATTGACGCAATGCATCTCCACGAACCATAACCACTGTGCATAAACCTTGGGCATCCTTTCCCCTGGGCCCCTTCCTGATAACGAAACACATTTTCCTTTTTAGATTCTCGGACAACTCATGCATGTCACTTTCTCTCCATGGAGAAGGATTTCTTCCTCTGACACGTGTCATCAAACACTGACCCTACCAACCAGAGCATTTGCAGCACAGCGTTTAAATTTACGTTTGGAGGATACCTTCTTATGTCCCTTTAATTCCTCTTTTCTTGCTCCGCTAACGCTCCATTTTTTATCAACTCTTTCACTCTCTCTCCTTCCAAACTTCAACATTATATCTATAACACATATTTCAAAAATAATAATACTTGATAAAAAAACATAGTCAATCATCAAAATAATTATTTATAATTAATTAAAACCCACACCTAATTATAGTTTGTTACTAAGCCCACTTTTGTTGAGGTGGATCCTTGTTAATGCGCTCACGTATAATCAATAGTGATTAGTGAACGGAGCAAAGAAATCCCTTTTAACAAGTTGGTCGGCCAACGAATCTTCTTTTCACTTGCAACGATTTAACAATTAATTAAAAATTTTGAAAGATAAAGATATAAACAGAATATGTTTAAAAATTTAATTAAAGAACACAAGCAACAGGATAAGCTCATTGAAATTAAAGTATGCGTACCCAAAGTCAACCTAACCTGCAATCGTGTGTTATTCAATTCTACACTAAAAATATGTTAGCGATACCCATTCATTTTTCTGGGGGAAAAACAGTATGCCACATCCTAAACTGGATATACTTACACTTGTATCACAGACAAGCACCATAACTTAGCACATTTTAATATTATTATTCTTTTTAAATAATTTCATTTTAAGAATTATGTATAAAATTTTAAAAATTAAAATCCTCCCCATAATCCCTCAAACACACCTATGATTCATCTATTTAATATTAGTCTATCATGTTTTCATGTAATAACAAAAGCACAGAAGACGATAACAACAATAACAGTATGACAGGCTACATTTTACATTATTTTTTATATCCATATTAAATTCATATTAATCTAAATGAAGCAAATTAAATTTCATATTTTAATATACTTGAAAATTTATGTATATTAAAGTTGAGTTCCCATTTCAAAACAAAACACATGCTTGTAGACTAGATAATGAATGGGAGTATTTTAGTCAGATGATATACTGTATGAATTATAATTTTTAAACCTGTGAATAAAACTTTTAAAAATAAAAATATAAAAAAAATTGGAGGGAGTATCTTTTGACATAATTTTCTTCTTGTTTTATGAAAATATTTGTGTAATATCTTAATATATAAAACATTCAATAAATTTTTCATTTAATAAATGCAAAATATTGTAGAAAAGCTTACAATTGTTCTTAAAGAAACCACTAGATTAATGTGTCTTTGAGATTTAAAATACTCTAACAAATACCTTAATTCTATAAAAGTAAATATTTTTTACACTTTAATATAATAATTTTTTATTAAAATTTTTAGTTTTGTTTGTCTAACTTATACCTTAAAAGCAGACGTTAACGTAACTGATACGTTTACACACGCATTATTCTGTAATTTTTATTATATTTTATCACTTATAAGAAGTATAAAATAATATATACTCAAATGCATCAAGCGCAAAGTTTAATTTGGACGAAAAAAGAAAATAAGAAATAAGAGAAAATGAGAGAATTATTTTTTATATTTAAAATAAGTCCTGTCTAAAAGAAATCCCCCAATTGCGGAAAAGGGTCGGGTATTTTTAATTATATAATTAAATAACTTGTATATAGTGTGAAAAATAAAAATATTTTTATGAAAAGTATTTTAATAAAATATATTTTTAGAATCAATTATAATTTTTAATAGTAATAAATTTTAATGTAAGTTATTTATTACTTGTTTAAATAAGTACAATATTTTTATTGTAAATTTACTTTATTTCCTTTTATGAATTTCACCGGAAGAAAGGAAGTGTGCTTCAACGAATTATACTTGAAAGTATTATTAAATGGTGTCCAAAAAGAGTAACCTTATATTAGTCGAAATTGGAAAGGGAATATAATATATAATAATAATAATGATTGATGGAGAGGAAAGTGTGAATAGTTAGCGATGATAATTATATTACGAAAATTTAAAATGGAAATTCCTTTTTGGCAAAGCATCCAGTACATTGTTGACACGTAGTAGATTTCTGAAAGTCTGAGTCTTTCCATTTTCCACTCACAGGTCACAAGCCAAAGTAACTAAATAATGAATAATTTCGTGTGGGTCACTTTCTTGAATTGCGGTTAATTTTAATGTTAAGGTGATTAGGAGTCTTAATAAACTGCCTTTCATTGTTCCTGAAAGCCACAACGATGCTCTGTTTCGACCATAATCAAACAATATAGACAATATTTATTTTAGTATTATGGATATTATTGGTATTCTTTTGTAATCAGGTGTCTGCTAATTATTCTAATCATCTCAAGTTTGAGTTCTAATAGATATCGCTTATAGTAATTTTATTTTATTTGAATAGGATTCCTTCAACTCCCTTTGAATAAGGTTGTCATTAGGTTTAATTACAAATGTTTATTAACTTTCATTATTTTTATGTAATTGAAAAAATTATTAACTGATACCATTTAAAAATTAATAAATATTTTTTATTAACACTAGAAAAATGATCATAAGAAATTTATAATACCTTAAATGATAGTTCACTTTCCATTTAAATTCTGCAACCATTGTTCCGTATTTCAAAATTTTAACATATAAATTATTGCCAATTCATTATCCTTAAATCATTTAATAGGGATCTTTAAAATAAAGAAAAAATGTTCTACAATTTTAAATAAAGTAAATTTTATTCAAGCTATTTTAAAATGAAATAAGCATTATATTTTTCTCCAGCTTTTCGTTTTATTTTTGTATTTGTCAGTTCCAGTTATTCTGGTTAAAGTAGATCGTTATTTTTTAATTAAACATTGTACTTTGGCTATCTACGCTTTAGAATCTTCATGATTCAATGATTCATGAATCATGATCGTGACAAAGATTTTCAGAAAATAAATGTATTTCGTGTATGCGCCGAGCGCAGATGCGCACCACATAAGCCACCAGCTCACATGAATAAAATATTCATAAATATTGGATTTCTTATTTTAATTAATTAAAAGTAATCTTTTATTATAATAAATATTTACTATACTAAAATTATATTCAATATTATTTTTATATAAAATTAACGAAATATTACTACCTGCAATCTATAAATGTCGTAGCTATTTTTATCTTTTTATTTTATGTTATTTGTTTGTTTTAATCATTAAAATAATATCTTTATTTTTATTTATTTCTGAAATATTTTACATCTATTATAATTAAGAGAAAAATAATAACAAATTTAATAAGTTTAAAAAAAACTCTTCAAAAGAATTAGTAGGGTATCAAATACTTCTTTTACTATTCATTATATAAACGTTTTTAGTTATTAATTAAATTTTATCAAAAATTATAAAAATTAGATAAGTTTTATTATTTCTCATTTTTAATATATAATTTATTTTCTATCATACTTTTTAATAACTTTTAAATGAGTTAAAAAATGTATTAGAGAATATATTACTAATAATATTGTGTAGAATAATTAAAAATTAATTTCCTAGTATGCGCAGAATTTAGAAAAGGTAATTTTATTTATAGTATTTAACATTAACATTATTATAAAAATAATATTGGTATTTAGTTTTAAAATATATTAAACTAATAGTTATTAAACATTTTATAATGACTTCCATTATTATTTTTCTGTTGTTTATGATAAACGTGTAAGACATACAAAAATTAAGCAGAAATAATAATAAAATTACAAAGATGAAAAGTAAAATTGTTTAAAGTTTATAAATGACAAAAAATTAGAAAATGTTTCAAGAGTGAATAAATAAAAAGCACAGAGAAAGTCGCAGTTATATTAAAATTATTTTAATTTAACAATTTAACGTTTGTATATTTTATTTCATTTATAGTATGAATGTAAAGTATTTAAAATTACGCGAAAGTAAGGAAAACGTTAAAAATATTATAATAATATATTATTCTGAATCTTTAAAAAAACATATTTTTTCTTGTAAAAGTGAATATCCAAGAGGAGAGGTTTATACAAGTAATATATATATATATATATATATATATATATATATATATATAATCATCTTCGTTACAACGTGATTTGGTGTAGATGTTGGAAGCGGCGAAATGCTTAACCTGTGGAATGCAGAGAGTTTTAGGGTTCCGACAGTGTGATGGGCAGTAGAAACGAGAATGGGAAGATTTGAAGGGTTGGATGGGAATGGGAAATCTTTAGAGGAGAAAGCACTAACGATGGAATTTGTAGGGTTTGGAAGATGAAATTCTTATTGAGAATTGAGAATCCACTTTGCATCTTTCAATGATTTCACATTTAACCAATCATTTTTGGTCACTGACGTTAGAACCCAGTCAGATGCCGTGGATTTACAACTCACCCACTTGTTTCCCTCTTCTCCTCATTTCTCCATTATTTTATTCCTCCTTTGCTTTTCAACACTTAAACCAGACAAAATAACATATAATAACAAATTTTAAAATTATATTTTTATTATAAAAATATAAATTCTGACAATGTTTTAGTTAGATGGACAGTATTCATGAAAGAAATATTTAGACGCTTAAATCAAGAAAAATTGACAAAAAAAGTATTGTTATCGAAAATGTATCAACATTTATATTGTATGTCATGACACCTTTAATAAATTTGACATTTGTTAAAAATGTTTAAGGTATTAAATAGTAAGCATACGAGTGTGTGCTAGATCACTTTGATTATCATCAATAATTTAATAACTGATGTGGTAATGAGGTTGGATATATTATTGCAGCCGAAGGTGAGTTAGAAAATTGGTTCTTTTTGCATTGAGTTTTAGTAGGATAATGATAATTTAATTTAGTTTTTGACGTGCGATAATAATAATTTTTACCTTTTCCAAATAAATGATGGAAACATATTTTATTTAATCTACCTTTTTTTTTTTCTATTCACCTTATTTGAGGTGTTCAAATCTAATTTAAATAAATAGAAATCGTTAAATTAATGTTAAAAAAATCAAAACAAGTTAATCTATTAAAAATAATAAGCAGAGATTGAAAATATGCCAGTTTTGGGGATACATTTTCATATCAGAAGAATTTAAAGAAATATCATACATTTTATAAAATTTCTTAAAAGCAGCCATGATCAGAGTTAAATAGTTACAATCCAACTAAATATTAATGTTCTCATGCATAAAAAGTGCCAAAACATGCTTCGTAATTGAATTTATCTATTTAAAATAAATATGTAAAGTAAAAAAAAAAAGTATTTACTATTAATTTAAAGATAATTTTAAAACAAAAGTCTACATTTAAATTGACTGTAAATAGTTGTTTATTTTATATAGAGAAGGCAAATCTCCTGGGATCTCATCGAAAAATTAATTATGAATAAAAGCAATGGGAATCTCACGTTTGAAGCGATTATAGACTTGAATTAGGCACAAAAGAAGGAATTTTGAACAAGTTAACTACTTGTGGATGTGGTCAGAATGAATGAATGATGTATATATGTAAATGTGAATGTGTCAAAGGAAGAAAATTAAAATAATGGCATGCTTGTAGAGTGGAAGGTGCTTATAAGGTTCCTTGGGATCATCTCCTTGACTTGTTTCTCCTCGAGTTCCAAATTCCCTCATATCACAATATAGATTAGGCTCTAGAAACTATAGATTTGACATAACACATAATTTTAGTTTATTGTTTAAATAATTATGAAAATTACTTTTGATGGCAATGCAACATGTCTCATAAACAGGAAACCAAATTAAACTAAAAAATGAAATCGAGCATGCCGGCAATCAGCGTTAACAGGATCTGCTTAAGTAATATAAGTTTGCATGGTTACGAGATTGGCAATCGTAATGTTTTAGATTCTCATAGATACAGTTTTGCCATGTTTCGGATTTCCATATCTCATACGATGTTATTCACAATTGTCTTTTTTAGTCTCTCTCTCTCTCTCTCTCTCTCTCTCTCTTATTCTTTCATTACTCTTTTCCTTTTGCAATAACAGTGTAATACTACCCTCTGCCCCTCCCATTAAATTATTATTATTTCTCCAACCTGCAACCACACCGTTCATTCAAACCCATTATTATATACTTTCCAAATCCCTTTATTTAATAGATCTTTGCTTTTAGTAGCTTCTTCAGTTATCATCTCCAACCTTCCACTGCATTAAATTAAGGGTGCTATGAAAGGCCCTCGCTAACTTGAGAGTAATGATGAAGAAATTACTACTACCTAGCTATGTTCATTAAAAAACATTTATTTAAATGTGGTAAATTAGTATTTTGAACTCTCTCCTTCTCTCATGAAAATAGGAGAAGATGTCTAATTACAATTGTCTCTTTTATTTACATCAATTAATTAACTGAAAATAGATTAATTCGAAAAAGAAAATGTAAATAATTGGCAGTTTAATAAATACCTAAATTAACTTGGATTAATCAAAATGTATATTTTAGTTTGAGAAAATCATACAAAAACTTGAAACTCAGAAACCTCGTGAGACTAAAGCAATAGCAGTTTTTTAGTTGATAGTGAAGTGATAGATGAATTAAATTTCAACCACTGATCCAAAGTCTGTGAGATAAATGAATGAGACTTTTTTTTAAATTTAAATATTTATGTTTTTTTAGATTTCCCATAATCTATAGAAATTTTAAAAAGGGCCCGCGACGGATATTAATGAATCTATATTGCATCTGCATTGGATATTCAGCCCTCTGTATTTTATTAGTAAGAAGAAAATTTAGTCTACGTGTTTGATATCGTTTATCTTCCCTTTTCCTTCTTCAGATTATTTCTTAATTTTTTTCCTTTTAAAAATCCATAAGGGACGTAAGATGGGCAGGTAAACTAATTAACAACAATTAAATACATCTGAATCAGATATATGTTATTATTATTATATCATACAGCCAATCTTTCCCCTTCAGAAACAAGGAGTTCGGTTCGGCTATAGATTTGGAGAAATGGCTCTAGTCATCGGCAGCGTGTCCTTCATTTGCAAATTGGTTCATCTTTTTCATAGATAACAAATAGATGGAAAAATTATATTGACACCTTGTGAGTTTAAGTTGAATTGCCCCTTATACATTTGACTTTTACACAGATTTTCCATTCTCAATAAATTGATTAGGGTATATTTATGTTATATACCATTAGAAGTTAGAAAAAATGGTACTAAAGCATGTTTTTATATAATTTTTTTAACACACTCATAATCATTAGTTAAATTTATTAAAAATTATAAAAATATATCAATTTAAGAATGAAAACAAGTAAAACATTAATTTTATAAGAGGTAAGAATCATGAGAAATAAATAAATAAAGACTTTACCCGGTTCATTTAAGTTTGTTTTGAGTTAACATAATATTGACTTAGGTTAGGTTAGACATGGATGGCTTGAAAGGGAAGTTGCGTCCACACGGCACACACTAATTGGGAGATTCTTATTCTCCTATACAAGCACGTAGCTGATCAATTTCGTAATAGACAAAAGCTTTTTGATTTTGTATATCAATCAGAGAATAGTTAACTATCAAACTGATATGTTTCTACATTATTAAAGTTGTTCTAGGCAATCACTTAAATTTTCGACGACGAGCTTTAATATTAAGGGAGCTTTTGAAAAATAGTAACGTGTATATAACATATTGACCAAAGTAATCTTTATTGTTGATGAATTTCTCATATAAATATATTTACTGGCGAAGGAAAGGTTATCATTTCCCTCAAAAAGGAGGAAGTAATAGGTGGAATAAAAGTAGATGCATTTGATCAGATTTTATTTAATACTATTTAATCCCTTTTGTATGAATCAGAATATAGTGTTGATACATGGGACCTGTAAAAGAAGAGAATTAAGAGTAGAATAAGTAGGTAACGAAGCAATACAAAATACAAGGCCCATTCCATTGATCCGTATGAAAGTTAGCCCCTAAACTAAAGTGTTTATAGTGTTGGAGTTGGACTGATCTCTCAAAGAAGCTGGGCAGCCCCACTTCGAGTCCACCTTCAAGCCCAAAGCCTGTTCGGAATGTACTAAATACTTTAAGCAAATAATATATTTCTTATGAATGAATGAATGAAAGAAAGAAAGGCAGAACGAGAGAACATAAATGGCAGAAATAGATTGGATTATTGCAATAATGTGTAAAATTTGAAAGTAAACAAAGTAAAAGAGAGAAAGAAGAGAAAGTTGAGAGTAGCAAACTAAAGACCCAACCTCAGATCGAGAGAGGGATCATCGGGGGGAGGGAAATTCAAGTCGACGGAGTTGGGTGAGACAGAGACAGTGTCCCCTTTCTCCCAATGACACCTCTTGTGGCCACCGAGTGCTTGTCCGGTGGAGAATACCCTCAGGCATATGCTGCACTTGTGAGGGGCAGAAATGGAATTACCGAAGCCAATGATCATGTTGTTGTTGTTGGTGTTGGTGTTGGTGTTGTTGTCGTCGTGGGTTGTTACGGCATTGGCAAAACAACCCTTGACGTTCTTGTGACTGGCGCGGTGGCCTCCGAGAGCGTGGTGGGAACCGAAGACCTTGTTGCAGTTGGAGCATTCGAAGTGAGGATCATCAATGGCATTGGCATTGGCATTCCCATTGGCAAGCAATAGCAAACACTGAGCCACCTCGCGCTCTTCCTCCGTGATGCCTCTCTGTCGTTTGAGATTGGGAGGAGGATTGATCCCTCTCCACTCCCTCTCGGGGTGGCATCTCATGTGCCCGAACAGTGCCTTCCATGACCAGAACTTCTTTCCGCATTCTGTGCACGCGCATGGTTCTGTTCTCTTCCCCTTCCATTCCTCGGTTTTCTTCCTCTTCTTTCCCCACACCGAAGAAGACGCTTCTCCGTATCCACTTCCACTATCAGACATCACTCCTTCCATTCAACCAACCAAAACCTTTTCCCAATCCACCCCCATTGCTTATGTACACCACACGACGGTTACTGCAACTCCTCAATTGGCGGTTTCCTCTTTTTCAATTCTTTTTTCTTCTTATATCCCCATTTTTATTTCTCCATTCTATTTAACTGCCTCTCTCCCAATTCTAATTATCACGCATCCCTCCTAAATCAAATATTATGCATTTTAGATTCAATCTTTTAAACACCCATTTTTCATTTCTATTTTTATAAATTAATAACATCTATATGTATATAAATGTATTTCGAGTGCCGTGCAGCTTTCCTTCAAATTGTCACGTGATATTTTTAATTCATTTAAATTATAATTTTGTCCTTTTTTATCTAACTTTTTATTTCACCATTTAATTTTGTTTTTTATTTTTGAAAATAAACAGTAAGTTAAATGCACATACTTTATTAAATATATTATTCTTAAATAAACAAAAACATACATCAATAAAATGTCGTTAAACTATTGTTCTTTTTATTTTTTTAAATTTTATTAATTTTTAATCTAACTAATATAAGTTTTAAATTAAAAAATTACATTAATTTAATTTGTCGTAAGTTCAATCTTAATTATACTAGTAATATTAGTGAAATGAACATTTTTTTTAATCAATTGTTCAATTTTTAGGCATGAGTTTAGGGCTCACTAATGGCCTTCTTGAGAGAGGGAAAACAGGAATACGCATTTAGCTTTAATAAAGATCCAGTTTTAAGCTTGTTCACTTTCTTTTTTTCGTCGGAAGCATGTTCACTAAGTCGCCTATCCAAATTGAATAGCTATAAACTTAGTGTAAAGTGTGGACGACTTGGATTACAACCCAGAGATTGATGCTATTAAGTGGTACGAAGAATTATGTCACAAAAAAACATAAAAGAGGAAGTTTGATGGAAATCAAGTACGTGTGTGACATTTATAGTTTTCGTGCATATTAATACAAAATAATTCCTAGTATTCAGCAATTATGCTTATATAATATATGCTTTACGTTTTTAACATTCAAACTGTGAAAGATGTGAAGTTCACGAATCAGTGGAGAGCTTTTAAAATATCACACGGTAGTAAAGAATATGATTATTTACTTTAAATAAAATTTTAGTAATTCTTTTTCTCATTAACTAGCTTTTGGAGTTGATTAAATCTATAACATGTTTGGTTTTCAATTCGAACATTCTTTCATCAAGATTGAAAAAATGTCCTTTAGAAAAACTCTGATGGGGGTGCGTTGAAATTCGTTAAGAGTTTTGAATCATGCTGCTAGCTCATTCATGATATCGATCGATGTCAGATCGTTTGTAAATAAATGTTGAGTCCTGCAAAGATGAAACAAGAACATTGTTGATAATTGCTTTGCCTCACGGCGAGCAGGCTAATTCGTAGAAAAGAAGACCCGCTCTGGAATGGTAGTGTGAGTGATAGGGGAAAGCACAGGAAAAATTTCGGACATGCGACTGCTTAGAGAGGAGAGGGCGTTACTAATCATTCCATCAAAGATATGGGTACAGCCAGATTAGAGGCTTCTTCAAAGGACAGCTTATGAGTCTATGACAATTGGTGAAAAATGCCGGTAACTAACCAGGTGCTGAGCCGAGAGGCATTCAAATTCACTGGGAAGAATCGCGTTCTACATGTTCCAAGATGCATGGCTTTGTCACATATTTGGCCGTGAGGTTTTAGCTGGAATTCACATAAGATCCCATGATATTCCTGTGCCAAGTAATGATTCTTGAGAATTTGTATAGAGGTTACTTCCTTTTGGCAGCTTATTAACAATTATTTTGTAAAAAAACAAAAAACGTATGCCAGAGTGAGAGACAGACGTGCTTGTCAAACCCAACATTCTCATGATATATTCTGACTCTCATTTTCTTTAATGAAGAGTGTTAACAGTGGTTTTATGTGCTCACCAACGTTTAGAGGAACATTTTAGGTTCAACCAAGGAAATTTCCCTTGATTAATGAATGTAGCTCGTGAATTTTTTGTTCGCTGAAACTAATTTTCATTAAATGCATGTGTGGATAGGCATTTACAGTACTTTAGTTCAACACAACTAAGTGTAGTGTCTACTCTATTGACGTGCGTATGCCTATCCACCGCAAATCCAAATATGCTATAGTTGTCACTTGTTGGGCATTTAAATCATCCCTTACGTACACAAGATATGATAAACAGTAATTTTCCCCCCAAAAAAGGTCACCATCTCCTTGCAAAATATTTGTTAAAAAATCCAGAAAGTTTTGGATTTGATAATAAAATATTAAAGGGAATAGGGACCAAATTTAGATCCCTGTTCATAAAGAATTACCGGGGAGCTGTCTAATACTTTCAAATGAAATCATTAAGGAGTCTCACATGATTTTTTGTTCAAGACCCCTCGCCTTTTCATTGACCTCAAATCTCAAATCACTTCCCTGAGCTCTCCAGTAAGCAGCGCATATTTGCGGTGCAGGGACAAGATAGGTGCCACCTGAACTGCCTCTAATATTGATGCTAAATCATTAGTTGCCGGTTCCTTGTGTTGATTAGCAGCATGCAGAATTGTTTGCAATATTTGCAGGGGATCCCCATGGCTGACGACCAAAATTGCACATCTGCAAGATGTGACACCGACTTGTATTAGCTGATAGAATATGAATAAATATGCAAAACATGCTTTAAGAAATATGAACATCTAGATCGAGAATAATATTTTGTAACCATAGATGAAAGACCTGCTATGTCAGATCACAAGTCATAATAAAAGAGTTAACTTTTATAAATTTTGAATGCATTTGTGCTTTGAAGTTTGCCTTTTGACAGCTTGAAATAACTGAAGGCCTCCCCTCCAAGGGTCCAGCAGATTTGTTGCACAGATTCATGCTACAAGAAAGGCAAGAATACTAATAGATTTTCTAGTGATATTTAAGACAGAAATCGCTACCCTTCAAATTCTGATTCCATAATGGCCATTGCTCTTGCAAGTCTAGAAGCAACATCCTTAACACTTTCCCCTCCTTCCGGCCCAACAAGCGGATCTTTTTCATCTATATCCCAAATTTCTTCGTACTGTGGTGAATGAAAAGAGAAAATCAATGAATTGCCTGAACTACAGTTGATTTGAGAAAACTTATATCAATATGAACCAGAATAATTAAGGAATGACACCAGATGGACTTAACCAGAACCTGACTAATGCTCCAAACAACCAAGATTTGTTTAAATAACCAAACACGATGCGGATAATAGATAAAAGGCCCTTCAATTAGCAATTTTTATTATATTTTAGTTTCTAAATCATGGTGAAGTGGAAGCAGAGCACAGATGAACAAAATGTCATTGACCATCACTTACTTTATCATGAGACATTAGCTCAAATGAAGGACCGAAGTAGCGTTCTCGAAGATCACGGATCACCTGCAGAGTAAAACAGACTCAATAGATGAGGCTGAGGCAAAACAGATGTAAAGAACAAAAGATATATGAAATTCAGAAGGACAAATCTAAGAAATTAGAGGGATAAACACAATAAGTAGCGAGTAGTAAATTGTAAATTGGTGGATGAATAGAAAGGTTTGGGGGTCTTTGTTGCAGCGGTTGAATACCTTACAGTGGGGACCTTCAAAGGGAAGATTCACCACGTTTGCAACAACTTTGGCTGTGTGGCTTGTTCTTGAGAATGGAGAGTAGTAAATGCGTACATCAGCAAGCGGTATATTATTAGCCTCTAGTTCCTGTCCGGTGTTCAAGAATAGAGTTAGCGTAATGCATATAGAGAAGAAATTGAAATTGAAATGGAGTGATTTGAAGGGAAGCTCCCCATTTATTGAACGGCATAAAACTCCACAGTCCAGTGTATGTAGTGAAAGCGAAAGAGCATGCATGTAGCGAAATGTGATGGAGGTGGTTAGTGGCACCTTTTGGAATGATTGTGCAGCGAGTTGTGCCTGATTGACGCCGTCGGAGGCCAGTTGGAATTCGGCACGCGTCCCGTTTTCCTGCGATTTATAAGTTTAATCATTAATCGTTAATAAGCGATTTAGAAATAAGGGAGAAAGGAAGTAAACCATGGAAGAAACGATGAGGCCTCGCTCGTTGGGAATGCTCTTGCCATGCCTCAAAACCCAGTATCTGTTCTTTGTCACCTTCGACATTTCTGCTTCCTTCTCAAGGGAGCTTCCTTCTTTGCTTTGCTTATTATATATTACCATTACCATTCCTTTTTTAATTTATAAAATCAAATAATAATATATTTTCTTTTTTGGGAAAATAAAATATCTTGAGGGATGTATTGAATTAGTGTAAAGAAGAGGGGCATGAGTGCAAATTGCAAAGAGAACCTTTCACTTTTGTTTATCGTGTTGGTGGCTAGTGAGGGAGATCGGATCGGATCGGAAAGATCTTGCGATCAAGCGTGTCATTTCAGTGAGCAAGGACAGGAACAGGACTAAAGATCTTGAGGTTGACGCTGTCATTGCCAACCTCCACTTTGACCATATTCTTGTTCACCTTCCCCATTTTCTATACCAATCATCGTTTCTGCTAGAATCTTTTTTAAATAACCTTGGGCATGCTTTCAGTGCCACTTTTTGTAAGCAAAGTTATATATATTTCTTTTGCTATATTTTAACATGCTTTAATTCATCTTCTTCTCCACCCTGTTGTATAAATGATGGAAGAACCATTTCATCCACTTTCGCTCGGCTTTGTCATGTTAGGATACGTTTGATCCTCAATTAAAGATGCGTTTTTGTGACACTAGTAACTTTTACTGTTCCTGTCCATTGTTTGTTACACTCAAGTAGCACGTTTGTCAATCACGTCTCTCAAAACTTTATGACTTCGAATCGATTCAACGAAATTGGTCTTGTCGTCCCCCCAAATGTCGAGTGGAGAGAACAAATTTGGCTACTTAATGCATGATGCATCGTTTCCAGAGAATCGGAAAAATATGCAGATAAAGGTCGTAAGCATAGCAATATTCTAGCTTTAAAATATTATATAAGTTCAATTTATTTTGAAATCTTATTATCAGTGGTGTCTACAACAACGATGTTATCTTCATATCATATTTTAGTATAGTACTACACAATTCTTACGTGTAGCCTCAATATTTTGGTCAAGGACTAGGTAACCGAGACGGTATACTTTATTCACGTGATAACACTTAATTAGTTTATCTAACATAAAAATAATAATTTAAATTAATAAATTTAATTTAAAAGGTTAAACTTTAAAATAAAGATACATGTTAATTGACCAAAATAAAGCAGCACCTAATGTGCAATTTGAGTTCAAAACAATATCAAATTGAACCATTTTCATTTACATAGGGTAACATGGACCTGGGAGAACTACTTCAAAGAGAATTATCATATAATTACACTAACTGATAAGATTGAGAATGGCCTAATTTCATTGCAAGAACCTAAAAAGTGCTTCTAAAATGTCCTATTTTCTAGACAGGCTCAACGGAAAACCCGAAATTTTAACTTGACATCTAAATCCGATGGACAGAATCATCTTGAAAAATGTCATTTCTAGAGTTTCATCCATATTCACCGTCTTAAGATACCACCTGCAAACATGAGTTATACGATCAGGGTAACCGGATCTCTAAGTATATATGAATAGTCGTCAAGCCGAGGCATGTTAGGAATTATAGAAATAAACGCTGACCTCCGCAATTTGCAAATCCCTGTGTAGAAACCACCAAGGACCATTCTTTGATAGCAATCTAAAAACATAAAAGCAACAAGGGTTCAAGCCAAAAAAATAACACAATGAAGATTTGATAACCAATGTAAAAGATGTCAACTATAGACAGATTTTCAGACAAAGCACTTAAACATACAAGATTAAAATCATGACGCCTGTACCCCATTCCACAAAAGAAACTATACTGGTAGCTCAATCATGCGTACTTGTCATTAATGAAATCAGATCAAATGAGTAGTCAGCCCAATATGTGTAGGCTAAATATTCTAATCAAAGATTAGTAGAGTTAAAATTAAAGTAGCCATCTAATATTGGTAGAGTAACTCATTTTAACAAGATAGAAACAACATGAAACATTCGTTCACAGAACACATGAGTGCACATCAGAAATGTGTCATTTTACCTGATAGAACCAGCTGCCACACGAAGAGCCATGAAGAGAACCAAGCCCAGCCATACACCATGAAGACCAAAAAATGAAGGTGCAAATACCAAGAATGCAGAGGAGACTGCTCCCACAAACATCTATAAAGCAATTATCACAAAAATTAACCTCGAGAAACATATATAGCAGGAAAGAAAACATTGTAACAATTTTAGAAAAGAAGACTTACCATGGAGAAAGCAGCATATGGGAAATCAGAAACTCCATAATGAAGACCGTCAAAAATATATGCCAAAGCGTTAAATGGTTGAGAAGCGCTGACAAACTAGCAATAATCACATATAACAATGTAAATTAAAATCTGAGGTAGACAGAGACAACCATATACAAACACTAACAAATGAATATGCAAATGCCATACATACCAACACCCCAGTTCTGACCACCTGCAAGACTTCAGGGTCCTGGGTAAAAATTGTAGCTAAAGACCCAAAAGAAGCACCGAGGATTGCAGTCAAGCAAATACCCGTGAGCAGTCCAATCTGTAAAGACATTATCAGGTTGTCAAACAAATTCATAAAACTTCCTTATTTGACAATTGACATAGTTAAACACACAAAAGTCAAAGCACCAAAAAAAAATCCTTACCCTTAATACCAAACTTGTAATTTCCTTCACAATTTTGTACTCATGTCTGGATATAGAACTTGCAATAAGGGCCTATAAAAAATAATATAGCAGTATAAGAAAAAAGACATACAAACAAGAAGACAATAATGAAGTAAGTGAAAGGCCAAGCTTAAAAGAAAATAAGATTTTATGTAAACGAGTGTCACAGTCCAACAAATTGACAATTTTCTCAAGGGGTTCAATGAAGCCTGTCCAATTAAAAGTAACTACAGCAGAAGTATGTATTATTCCATTATAGTCTGGCTTTTGTTGGCTTAACTTGTTTTATTGCAACTGGCATAGTATTATTACTAGATTGAAAGAAATTTAAGAAATCATACATGAAGGGAGGGAAATATTAAAAGATTACAAAAAAAAGTACTTTTTACAGAATGGATGATTCAATACCTGACCAGATGCAGCCAATGCATCTGTAAGAAGGGAAACAGCCAACCACACTTGCATACATATCTGATGTGCAGCCATAGCTACTGGACCATGACGAGCAGCCATTGATGTCCCCAGTGTCATGGTTGTAAGAACAGCAAGTGTTCTTCCAAGAAGGAAACCACCTGTAACAGCCCAACAATCATAACTGAACCACATTAACCTAACAGAAAGCTAAATAATATACACAGCAAAGCAGAAAAGAGAATTGTGCCCGTGAAAATATTTGTTTATTATCAATTATCAAAAGAGAAATATAATGCAACACAAAGCAATAATTCATTTTCATCTGTTGACAAAATGTACAGTAAATGCCTGGCAGAAACAGCATTGCACTTCGTCAGGTGACAAAACATTTAAAACCTAGTGAAATTCAGAAACCTTTTAAAACCATTTTGCTGTATTAATGTGATTGCCTTCACATTGAAAAATTACAAGCTGAAACAGAAAAAAAATGGGGGTGAGATCTTTTGCTTGGCGAATGTTTTGGAAACAGTTTTCAGATCACATTTAGCATCTAGTTGTTATCTTCCCCCTTTTCCCATTTGTTTGAAGGGAGAGAGAATTATTTTAGGAGACAAACGGTTTTGCATCTCGGGTTTGAACAGAACAACACATAATAAGAGAACAGAAACCACCAAGGAAAAGACTAATCCTCACCAGATTTAATATAACTTCCAAATTGCAGGTCTCCCAACTTTGGAGGTAGCAACTCAGCTCGCTTATTTAGACACCAGATCATCAATATGGTCCCGATATATCTGAGGTAGAAAAATTCCATTATTATAAGGTTAAATCAAATCAAGAAATAGAAGGAGAAGAAAATGCTTTTGAAAAGAACATACTGAGAGAGAACAGTGGAAATGGCTGCACCAGTGACACCCAATTGAAAGTAATACATAAGTAAAGGAAATAAAAAGACAGCCGAAAAGTTTCCAATGCCTGCATTTTCATAACGAAATTAGCACACACATACATAAAATATAATGAAAATGATTTTAAAATTTATTCATTCTTTGAAAGTAAAACAAGAAGCATACTTAAGAAATCAAAATTTAAAATTATTATTTCAAGATAAAGTCACAAATTTTCCAATCAAATAAAATATTAATCTTCCACTCCCCTGGTTTACCTTTCAGCAATTCAGCAAACAAACTATGATAATTTTGTTCATTCCTTGGAGTTGCATGTATCATAAAATAATCAGCAAGAGAAATATCCAGCTTAAAAGCTATACACATAACTTTCCACCGTTTATATCACCAAGTGAACTTAATGAATTCATTTAAATAGAAGTTCTGTGATCAGCATGTCCAAAAGGATTAAACAGAGCTGTCTTTGCAGTCCTGTCATATCAAGCTTCCAATCTTTTACAAACAATTCACATTTAGCAGCTCGCTTTCCTAATAGCATATGGGTAACCTCTTATACGGAAAGGCTTTTTGGTTGGCAGTTGGCATACTTAAAATTACATGCTAGCAATACTAAACATTATCTAGTAAGGACACAACAGTACTTTCAGTGTTTTACGTGAGCTCCTTAGAATATTCAAATTACTCATTTTCTCAAGAATCATGGACATATGAAAGGCCTTCAAAAGGCAGTGACAATGCCAAGTCTTGAATTACTGAAGCAAGGAATGATGGGAGATTTATTTTTTCAGTGATTTATGTGAGATAGTTAAAGTAGTAATAATGATGATGACGTATTCATGAATTGTAAGTATAATAAGATCCTTCAAAAGCAAAAGAAAATGTTAAACTTGGAAGCAGATAATGGCAGAGGTAGGTATTAGAGTGTCTGCATAAGATAGACCATAAAAAATACTGAACAGGTGAAATTAACAGAGAAAGACACACTAAACCAAACACTTACCTAGACATATAACAGGAGTTTTTGTATCCTTAAAACCACGGAAAATGCCCTGTAGAGCCAAAGAAAGTACAACTGCAGGAGCACCAACTGCTCTTAAAGAGAGAAATTGCCGTGCGGGAACATGTGTTGGATTTTGCTGTTGAACAGAAAAGCAGATTACAAATCATAGACATTAAGAGGATAGAAGAGTCAAGTTATATAACGATATTAATCAGTATTTACAAGGTGTTAACATACTGTGGATACACCAATTAGATGAAGAAATGTTCCAGATCCGAGGTACAAAGCTAAAGCCTCAAAAATTCCAAGACCCAGTGCTAATAGCAAAGCAGTGGAGACAGAGGAGAGTTGCTTTCTCTGAGAAACTGTTTCCCAGGGTTTACCATTGGCAGTGTTTTCAAAACCAGCCTGATCTGCAGAGCAAGTTAATGGCATTAGATAATGACGTGAAAATAGTGACAGTAGTAGAGGGAGTAGAATGACGGTTAAATTTCACCTAACCTGAAGCAGAAGTCTTGGCCATGTCCTCGGCAACAAAGGAAGTAGCGACACTTAGAAGGGGAATATTAAATAGCTTAGAAATGATGTTAAAGATGGAAATGGAAACACCGGCAGAAGCCAACTCCACAGTGCCTGTGAATAATAAATAATTAAAGATACAATAAAGCAGTGGTTATAGGATAGGATAAGGATAGGTGCAAACCAAGTCGACCGATGTAAGCGGTTTCCATCAACTGAGCCAAGGGATCAATTGCCTGACCGGCGAGGGCGGGCAGAGACAGCAGTAGGAGCTCTCGTTTCACATCCGTAGCTTTTTCCTTTTGATTTTGATTTTGATTTTGAATTTGATTTTGATTTTGATTGGCAGGGAATTGGCTGTGAACAAGTTGAAAGAAGATATTAGTCTTCAGTTGTACAACAAAGGAAGAGTAAGAAGTGAAAGAAGGGCTTACAGAGTGGGGTGAAGCTGATGGTTATCGGAATCAGGGAGGAGAGTGTGTTGTTGGTCCCCAGAAGTGATGTGGTTGGGACGGAGGGAAGAGCAGAGGCGGGAATCCCTTAGGCGAAGAAAGTTGGGAGCATAACCGTAACAGAGTCTGAGATGGTTACGTAAGCATTTGGAGGGGGTTGTTGTAACGGCATACGATTGAGAGAGAGGAACTGTGCTGAAATGGGTAGCCTCCATGCCCGCCTTCAACTTACCACAAAACAATATCTGTTTGGAGGAAAGCCAAGTTCATTCCACCACGCTCACGATGTAAGGAAATGAACATCAAAATCCAAATATTTATAAACTAGACTGTTCTGTTAATTAATAATTGTAAATTTACAAAACTCCTGCCTCCAGCTGCAGCCCACAGAGCGTATCGCCGCCAACTAACCTTTTTCAGGATATTCTTCTCTCTCTCCCTCCTCAATTTTTCAGGCCGCGTCTTATAATTTTTAACCGGTACTTTCCAATTAACTATTCAATTTTTTATATGTTTAACATTTTAAACATTAATCACATCAATTACAGGTATTAAAAAAATTAAATCAATTATTTGAAGTTCAAGTGTAAGAAATATTCTTATGAAATTTCTAGTCCTAAAGTAGTTGAGGTCCCTCAAACAAACACAAAAAAAGAAATATTTGAGGTAAGGACTGTTGTCAAAGATAAATTTATTCCATGAGTTCTTGGCTGTTGTGCACTATTTCTCTGTTTTGAGTTCTAAATTCTAAATTTATTTCTATAAGTTAGCAATGAAAACCATAAAAAAAAAAAAATTATAATACATACCTAAATTTTGAACTACATTTGCTTGCATTCTCTGATCTCTGGTTGCTATCATGGCGGGAAGAACAAAAACACTTGGTGAAATTAGGAAGCGGTGGAAAAATTTACATATAAGGTTTAAACATGGCCTAAGAAATCAATTTGCATTTTTTAGCCTACGTGAAAATTGATCTATTCTTTTATTTGGGAATAAGACACGGACAAGCAATGTCGGTAAATTTTGGAGGCACAGAAGAAGTTCACTTATTCACAGAGCAAATTGATCTTATGCTAAGAACATTAAGTTTTGGAAAAATATTGTCAATTAAAAAGTAAAAAATATTCTAACCCAAACGACAAAATAATTATAAAATATATCTAATGTTTTCACAACAGCTGCAAGAATTATGATGAAAGATATTTATGAGAGGGGTTAATATTCATTCCTTTACAGATATATAATATTATTGATAAACTTAATAATTATAGAGTTATGCTGTATAGTAGGAATAATTTCAGATATATCTAATGCTTTCAACAAATCATGTTTCTAAGTTTTTTATTGGTTAAAAATTAAATAACGATAAAAAAGGAAAAATATGAAAAAATATAACGGTGTATTATTTTTGACATTTTTCGTATACCGCTTATTCGTATTATCAAGCATTTCTTAAGATTATATTATTGATATACTTAAAAAATTAAGAAATTAATTAAAGCTTATTCAGATAGCTGATAACACTCCTTATACTTTATCACGTATAGTTAATTTTATGTTACATTAAAAAGCAAAATATTAGAATTATATCTTATATGCATATAACATGTATTTATATATATATAAAGCACATATTGTTAATTTTAGAGTATAAATAAAGAATTTACACTGTCGTTCAATTAAAACAAATGAAATATTATTATTTAATGCACATGTAGAGTTACATTAAATAATTTTTAATTAATTATCTTCTTAATTATGCTATATGATTTTTCATATATTTAATATTTACTCTTAAATTATTTTTAGAATTTTTTTCATAATAAAAATCTCATTGTTCTAATTTGGTCATGATTAACTAAATACAAAGTTAATTATTTAATAAAATTATTTAAATTTTAAATTTTTTTAATTTTAAAAAGTATGATAATATACTCTTAGTATCTTATTCAAGAAATTTATTTTGATATATTAATATCCTTGTCATGCAAAAAATTACTATTATGAAATCATAAATATACATATTAGTCTTAAATGTATATATTATAAATAAATTATAGATTATAAATTGTTTGAAATTATAATGAAAAATATTTATTATTTCTATGTAATTTATAATATAATTATTAATAAATAAAATTTTCAAAATAAAACATCTATAAATTATGCGTGTTATTAGCTATTTATACTAAAAAATTTATTTATAATTAACTATTAATTAACAAAATTTCATTTCTTAATATTTTGTACATGTTTAAATTGATTTTTATATTTAAATAAAATTGTACAATACACGTGTATTGTGCATAAGACAATACATGTTTGGAAACGAATTAATATATATGTATACAAATCCTTTCAATTGTAGTAGTAGTTTATATTTATAAGGTAAATGCATTTTAATTTTCTTAGAGTTGTTCTTGATTTATTTACCTGACTTTTGTGTTCAAATGTATTGCTTATTTATATAGAAACCTTTTCAATATATATTTTTTAGCTTTATTTTTTATTCATTTCTTTTGAATTTAAAAATATAAATTTTTGTTACTATTTTCTGTAATAAATCTTTTTGTTTATTGATTAAAGCTAGACAACAGTTTTATTTGTTGACACTAAGTGATCATATGTAATGTAAGTAACGAGATACTTGGGAAGCAAGGATGCATTACAGTGATCCTTATCCTTAACTTGTTCTTGGAACAACCCACAGGTTAGGTGCAGGTGCATATTCACAGCACTCGTTTCGTTTTGCAACAAACAAATTCTGATGCATGTGGGGTCAACTTTCCGTTATATCAGCCTATAACTGATCCACCTGGCTGTAATACCAATTCAACACTCATCGTCATGCTTTTTGAGATTTGTTGGTGTAATTTTTTTTCATATTATCATTCAATTCTCAAGTATCATTGATATTTAAAAGACTTAATAATCTATAAATTATGTCTGACTTTATTGATCTAATTCACTGTTCTTAACACATTTAAAATTCATGTAGAATTGTTGAAGGTCAATCAAGTCCAGTAAAGGAGGCTAATCTCCCACAGAGTGACAAACTAAAGTTTCAATACTCACATTAATACAAATGTGAATTATATAAGATAACTGTAAAATATATGTTTAACACACTACATTAATACGTAATAAAAATGTTGATTAAAGCATAAGCCTAACAGATGATTCTAGTAATTTTGTGGATCAAAACAAAAGTCTCTTTCCTATAGACACACTTGTATGATGCAATTATTTGTAAAACCACATATTTGGATACATTCACTCCACTAATTCTATCTTTTTCAAAGAAAGCTTGTCCTGTAACTCGTGTCTATAGTTCCATGCTTTCTCCAATTTTCGTTTCGTAATCGTAATAAAGAGGGAATGAAACGAGAGAGCAATATCATGCAACCACATGAAACACACGTGAAGAGTAGTAAAGAGCGACCAAAACTTTTTATGGGAATGCAAATTAGTTACAAATAAAGTTAAGTCGGAGAAAGAAGAATTTGTGCCTAACATACTCATCAATCTATGTATGTTCTAGCTAGTTACTTGTTCGCAGCATCCCACGTATGCGTTAAGAAAACACTTTCTTTCTTTCTTTTCCATTGTCTTTCTTAATCTTATCACCCAAGGAAATAAATGTTATCAGATAACTAAAATTTATTACTACGCATTCAACATTTAAAAAATGATTATTACAACTTCATAATTAGACCTTTTAAAATTTACTAATTTTATCTATGGAGGTATCTATTTATTATAATAAAATGTTTGATATAATTATAAACAGTTAAATCATTAGATCACGATCAGTTAAAATCGTCAGGAACGAGGAATTTGTGTTAAATTAATCGGTGTAAATAAATAGAATGAGATAAGTTTCACATTCTGACCCGCAATAAACACGCTTTGTCTCGTTAACTCTTCTTGATAATGATGTAAAAACAAAATTTACATAGTAAAGGTACGTTGTTAGCTTAAAAGTTGAGCAATAAACACCAACACTACGCTAAAGATTTTCTGGCGTACAAGGGTGAGCGAAAGAAAACAAACTCCCAAAGAAAGCTATAACAGACTTGTGACTAAGAATTTGTTCCAACCCAAAAAGCAGGGAAAGAATATGTAATAGTAAGTACACTTTAACTGACTTTCAATTCCAAATTTAGCTAGAGAATCCTCTGGTTAATTAGTTAGAGTCAAGCATCCAAGAAACTTGTCATGCACTCCGTATTTAGCGTTATTATGATGGAATTTATTGTAAACATTTGACTCGAATCATACTTTGACTCAAGGTTCGTTTGATAAACTATAAACATTGTTAGATTGACATGACCTTAATTTAATTGGAGATTTGATGATAAAGTATAATTTAGAAGCTAGCAATGGGATTGGTTAGAAACAACTTAGGGGTAAGACGACGTTAGACAGCGTTGGGTTAGTTAAGGATGGTGAGCCAATTGTAATGATATCAACGGCTGATAATATAGTTGATCATCCAAGGGTATCAAAACCTGAGAAATTTATTTGCGTGCGGTTGCGTTGGTTTTTGTTGAAAGGTCGTCGTCTTTATCACCCTCTTCTTCTTCAAAGAAAATAAAGCGTTTGTTCTAATGGAAGAAACGGCGTCGTTGCTGCGCCAATGCGCTTCTTCCATGCAATCAATACCAACGCATTGAATTTCGGTGTCTCAGTCTGTAAGGTACAAACATAGCAATAACAATGTCCACGCCAATGAAGAGAAAGAAGCATCACGCGCACACACAGAAATCCAGACTCATTGGACTCCTCATTGCGAGTTTCCTTCGCCGTCGGCTCCTCCACCGCCTTCTCATCTCCGCCATCTCCGTCTGCCTTTTTCTGTTTTTCGCTATACTCTCTCTGTTCGCTCCGTCGCCTGTAAATGTAAATGCACTTTAATCATTTCTATTCTATTTCATTAGTCTTTTGTTTTGTTTATTTGAATCAATCTTTCTTTCCTTTCTGCGCTTCGCTGCTTGGTGGTGTATGCGTGTAATTCAGACGCAGAACAATGACCGAGTCAGATCACGATTAGATTCACATCAGGATTCGCCTTCGGTGTTTCAGGTTCCGGTAAGCTATTAAATGAGACGTCATTCTGCTTCTGCATTTTAGTTTACTCATTTTTGTTGGTTGGACTTTGAAGGCTAGTGGAGGCAGTTGCGAGCACGATTTATGGAGTTCCACGCACTCGCAGCTTCTCTCTGGCTGCAGCAACGCCAGTGTCAATTTTGCAAGTAAAACTAATCCCAATCTTCTCTTCGCTTCCCGCAACCAGTTTATGAATTTAATTTCGGACTTTAAATTTAATCAAATTGTAAGTCATGTAATGACTCTTTTTTATTTGATGTGCAATTTGATCGCGTAAGTACTTATTTCTTGCACTTGCAGAGGCTAATGTCAAGACGCATCCAGATCGATACTTGTTAATTGCAACCAGTGGAGGTTTAAATCAACAGAGAACGGGGGTAAGCTTCTTCGTCTAACAACTATGGCATTGATTTAATATCAGATGAGATGCAATCCTGTTAATCAAAATAAGTTAAAGGAGGTAAACGTATTGGAAGATTTACTTCTTCCTGTATGTTTTATCCGAGGATATTGCTTGTGCATGAATAGTTCTTTCCATAAGAAAACATAATTGCATTGAAAAATGTTAATGATTTACCTGAAATATCTCATGCGGTTCTAAATCCAACGGGAGGCAAAAACTCAATCAGACAGCTAATTTGATGAGTGATTTATTTCGAGATACAAATTTGAGCCATTTGAGGGCTAATATCTGTGGCTGGATTATTTGATATTCATGGTTTTGAAGTGCTGGTCGTGGCTGCAGATAATTGATGCTGTCGTGGCTGCATATCTTTTGAATGCTACTCTTGTCGTTCCAGAGTTGGATCATACATCTTTCTGGAAAGACACCAGGTCTGTCTTTACATTATACTTCGATCACACATCTCCATACTATGATATTTTTATTGGAAGCAAACTTCATCGTCTTTCAACCTCTTAATTTATAAGTAACATGCATGTGCTATTTTTTTTGCAGCAACTTTTCTGAATTATTTGATGCAGACTGGTTTATAACATTTCTCCGGAATGACGTAAGAATTATAAAACACCTTCCAATTATGGAAGGGAAATTCGTGGCTCCATATACGATGCGCGTTCCAAGGAAATGCACCACCAAGTGTTATGAGGATCGTGTTTTACCCGTGCTGGTGAAGAAGCATGTAAGTGTTACTGAAAATCCTCAGTTAAGAGTCGTAGGCTTTCATCAATATTATTTGCATGCCTTCCACCAATTAAAATTTAGACCTTAAGTATTAGATTATTGTGGCTCCAACATTGCACATCCATGAATAGATGATCAGGTTCCACCATTAATGTCTTATCTTCATTTTTCCTCCCCTGTTTCGTGCCTAACTAACTACGTAACTGATCATTGATAGTAAGGATGCAGTGTGCTTCATTGTTTTATTTTTTTATACACATTTTTTTTTAGAAACTAGTCTTGCTAAATTTAGAACTTCTTAAATGCATTCTATAGTATAAAATTGTCAAATTGCTTGTTTTGGGAAGTTTTTCTAGTGCGAACTGAAATCATTACTTATTTTTTGGTTTATAAAAGTTCGGAGGAGAAAATATTTTCATTCTGATGTTGTATGTGACTATGACAAGCCTCGACCAAAAATGTTAGTATCACCTAGTTCATTGTTAGTTATAAATTAACCTTAGAAATTAACCACTTTGTTTTTTTTTTTTAATCTTTGAGAAAATTGAAAATAAATATTTTTTGTTTAAAATAATTTTGAAAGAATACAAATTAAGAATGATCTATCAATTTTTAAGATAAAGTAAACTAGAAGATTTAGGTAGAGAATATTTTAACTTAAAATTAAATATAAATTACTTCAGAAAATTTTATTCTCGATACAGTTAATATCAATACAATTTTTATTCGTAAAAATTTGATATTTGATTAAACATAGAAATAAAAAAATAAATGAAAAATTGATTAATCAAATTTGAAAATTATCTAAGCAATAATGACAAATTTTCAAGGAAAATGCCACATGTATAATACAGAAGCAAATAACGTACTTATAATATTAAGTACGTTACGGTGTTGTCCTTGGTTGAGTTGGTTCCATGAATGACACTTAAATTTCTCAATGCAGGCTGTTCGGCTCACTAAGTTTGATTATAGACTTGCTAATATGTTGGATGAAGATCTACAGAGGCTGAGGTGCCGCGTTAATTACCATGCTCTCAAATTTACGGATTCCATTCAGGGAATGGGTAACTTGTTGGTTGAGCGGATGAGAATGAAAAGCAAGCATTTCATTGCTCTGCATTTGAGGTAAGATTTAAAAGTTATAGCCAAGCTTCGTTCCTGGTTTCTTTGCTTTGCCATTATTTCCTCAACAAAGGATGCAATATGCATCAAGGAGCCACATTACCGTCAGAACTTGTGATCATCTTCCCTAATTTCTAATTTTCTAAGAATTAGCTTGCATTTTTGTAATTGAGACGCACAGTTCAGGGCCAATTTCGATTTCATTTTTCATATCGAAAGTTTAATGTGATAATCTGTTGATTCCAACGTATGTTTTATCTGATAGGTTTGAACCGGATATGCTTGCATTCTCTGGTTGCTATTATGGCGGGGGAGAAAAAGAAAAAAAAGAACTTGGTAAAATTAGGAAGCGGTGGAAAAATTTACATGTAAGGTTTTAATAGCATCCAAGAAATCAACACCAAATCTTTTAGCTTGTATGAAAATTGATATGTTCTTATTTGGGAATGGGACTCAGACAAGCAATCCTGACCAAGTTCGAAGACATGGAAGATGCCCACTTACCCCAGAGGAAGTTGGTCTCATGCTAAGAGCACTAGGTTTTGGAAGTGACGTTCACTTGTACGTGGCATCTGGCGAAATATATGGAGGTGAGGAAACGTTAGCACCCCTCAGGGCTCTTTTCCCGAACGTGCATTCAAAGGAGACCATTGCTACCAAGGAGGAGTTAGCGCCATATGTTTCATTTTCTTCTCGCATGGCTGCACTGGATTTCGCAGTTTGTGATGACAGTGACGTTTTTGTTACAAATAACAATGGTAACATGGCCAAAATTTTAGCTGGAAGAAGGTAAGCTGCTTCCTTAGTGCCGTGCTTAAATTATTAACGGATACAACAATAACTAGAAGTAGGAAAGCTGCTTCGTCCGTACAAGCTTGAGACTATTTGTATCGGCATTTTAAATTTAAACGATCTTCTTAAGCCTGATCTGATACATTGCTACTATATCCCTTTGAGTTTTGCCTAAAGTAACACATAAGAGGATTGAATCCCATAAATTAACTGTCCAATGCAATTATGAGGGAAGAGGGAAGAGTCAAGAGATTGGATACAAATAGCTGTTTACGTGTTTTAAAAAAACTAGAGATTCTTCTAATTAGTGTCATGTTCTTTATTTTAGGTTAATTATTTCTGTTACGATAGTTTTTTATGCTGGTAAAATCAAGTTTTTACCTACGCATACCCATTTTCTCTGTTGCAGGAGGTACTTCGGTCATAAACCCACCATCCGCCCAAATGCAAAGAAGTTGAACCTGTTATTCATGAAAAAAAATAATATGACGTGGGAAGAATTTGCCTCTCGAGTTCGAACGTTCCAGGTAGGCTTTATGGGGGAGCCAAATGAGTTGAGACCGGGCAGGGGTGAGTTTCACGAGAATCCGTCATCTTGCATATGTCAAAACTCATCAGAGTCGAAGGTAAGCGCTAGGGGAATTTCCCATCCCCTAAACCAAACACGGGATAACCACGAAGGCGATAAGATAGAAAACAGGGCAGAAGAGCAGTTTCCCGAGGAAGAGCAGGAGTGGACTGAGGCAGATTATTTGGACAGTAGAAAACAAAATCAACTCAAAGAAACTAAAACTGATTCGCTCTCTCTTCTAATGAGAACGGACCAGGCTGAAGTGCAAGAATTCTTCTCTGATTAGGTGGAGATGTTCCAATTCACAATTAAATGCCATCTAACTCAGATATCTAGCAACTGCTGCAACTGTTCCTTGGTTTTTTCAGTTGATGGTGGTCTGCTTCGTCCACGGATAACATCAAACATCTTTTCATAGACCGTGTTGAAAATTAAGCCTTTGTACATAGAATATTCAGGTTTTGATTGGGAGCTGTTCAAATTGTCCATGTAGCAAGGGTATTTGTATAGGCCATGTAGATTTTGAAGCTTCTAGAATTGAAATGCGGGAGGACTTGATGAGGCATTCTTTTATTTTGATTATAGTGAAAGACGTCCGATCCAAAGTGTGGTTACCTTTTTAGTGTGTGTTTTTAAGGATTTAGATGTACATGCCCAAAAATGGAAAAGATTACAATTCAAGAACACTTGCCTACTACTGTTATTGTGTCAGCTTTGGTACCTGAGACACGGAGAAAACGGCTTTTTTACCTATATGTAAACTTTCCTGATTTTCTAAACCTAATATTGTTCCTCTTTTACACAGTAAATTCGAGGAAACAACTCTATCATACCAATTTGTTTACGCGAAATTGAACAGACGAAAACTGTATTCGAATGCACCCCAGGTTTTTGTTAAATCTGTCATTCTTTTTAAAATTTTTAATTTAACTTTTATTGAGTGAAATATATGAATTTAATTTTGATGTAGTAAGTGTAAAATATTTAAGTTATTATTAATTAAAAATTATTTTATGTATTTTTATATATAATTATTCCAAAAATTAATATTTTTTAATTAAATTCAATACATATACACCTTCGTGGTAAATTCTTCCCAAAACTATTGGTACTAATGAGCAACCCTCAAAATTCAATATTACACCTTCCATATGATTTCTGTTGTTCTCTTTTATGCGTAAGTTTCGTAGGAAAAAAAGGGGAACAGTAAGGTGATATTCTCTCTCGTGTTTTATGTAATCATAACAGATAAATGATAAACTATTATGATTATTGTTGTTATATTAAATTTGTTCTTATGTAGGTCACACATGGGTTTGTGTATACGTATTTGGGTTTGTTTTTTTTGGGTCGTCGCATATTTGCTTATTTAGCCTTGCAACTTTTTTTTGGGTCAAGTTTAGTCATGCAACTAAAGGTAGACGATTTCCGGGCCTTTCTAGCCCATCTATGAAATTATAGACTACCCACGTAAACTTTATATAAATGGTGGGAACGAGAAAGTGGCGTTCCTATTTGGAGTACGTAACAGTCAGACACGATAATATACAGATTTGTTACATAATGTTTAAAACTTCAAAATCTGATTTTGAGTAAAAGACACGAGAAACATAGTTCATCCTATGTTTGTTTTACGTTTTGTTGACGCATTTTGGTGCAAGTGGAAAAGAAAATCCATAACTAAAGCGAACACAAGGAAGCTCTACGACTACGAGATAGCATGAAGCTTATTCCCACAGCTTAACGTTAAACTGGTCTTCTTGAGATAAACTTCATTTAGCACACTAATTACCCTCTCCTAAGGTGTGAACTAGAGCCACATCCCTGTCAACACTGATTCTTTGATTTTGATGCAACTGGAACCCTCGTTTTTAAAAAGAAAATCAAATCTTTCTTTAGTTGAACACGCAATTGCAGCAGAAGGAAGTTTAAATAAACAAGCTAAATAAAATATTTAATTTGTTTTATGTATTCCTTTTTTTAATAAGAAAATGCTATACATATCAGTGCAGTGTCCACTCTGGTACTCACATTTGTCCGTGGCCTTTCTTCCAGTTCAATTTGTGAACTAAAAAAAAAAAAACAAATTTCTTTATAATAAAAACAAATAGATAGTTTCCTACTTTTCTCCCACTAATTATTAATTTCCCTTGATGCTTTGTATGAGTTTTTGGATCTCATAAATAATCACCACTAAAACAGATACCAAATCATAAAGCCCATCAATGCTCAATCCTTTGAGTTGTCCTTTCAAGTTGGGACCATTAGCGTGAGTGTGACTGTGCAGTCCTTTTGTGTTGCCACTTGCAATCGTGTAACACCCCCCCCCCCCCTCCCCAAATTCCCAAACAAAAAAATGGGATGAGGTTTTTGGTTTCACAGCCACTCCTGAAATGTATTTGTGCCTCAGGTGCTTTCTATAATTGATAAAAAAAAATAAAAAAAACCAATACACAACATTTACGTAAACTAATAAATATTTATTTTTTAGTTTTAAGTTTCAAGAAAAAGTTTGAACAGATGATCTCAACCTCTAAGAAATTGAAGGGAAAAGCAAAGCAAAATTTAACCCAGTTTGAATGAGTGAACTATTCGTGCGATTGTTAATTTGGTTGGATTGCAAAGCATTTGCATGCAAGGTGTGGGCTGTGGTGGGATAAAGAGTATTAAACTGACAGGGAAAATGAATAACACATGTGCTCTGCACGTGATGCCTCAGAAGTGCCGAACACCCACTCTTTTTTTTTCCCTTTGTCTTTTCCCCTCTATTCTGAAATTCCTTTTCGGCTTTAGGTAATGGGTTCAAAATGACAATGCTATGAGTAATTAATTGTGTATTGCCAAAACAAACCAAACTCCTCTTTTTATTGCAGATAATCACAACACTATTATCAATTGCATTCATAGAGAAAATTATTTCAAGTCATTAAATTGAAGTAATTTTATGATTTAATTTGACATTTGTAAATAACACAGACACAGGGGATTTGTATGAACTTACAAGGGGGTAATAATGAATGACATGCACATGTACTAGTACCAAAATTGGGCAAACATTATTAAAAACATGAAAACTAAACACAAATAACAAAGGGCGTGTGGGGCCAAGAAGGGCCCATTGGAGCAGTAATTGAGCCACTCTTTAGAGAGTTCAGACTTCAGAGCAATAACACAGGAATGATGGTTCCCTTCTCCCTCACATTCTTCAATCTATGCACATTCATTTGAAATTGGGGACGCTCCTATGCTATGCTATTCTCTCCTAACTTTCCCACATTCCTATAACAACATTATGATTAAAATTGATGCCCCGTCAGGTGAGTGGAAAGAAAAGAAGATCATCTCTCTGTGATTTGATCTGCACAAAGTTCACATTACTTTAAAGCCTTTAAAATCAAAAGATTGGTAGGCCGATCTGCATATTCTCCACCGATCGGATCCTCTCTTTGACTTGTGTATATATATTTTTAAATGAGCTCCTTTGTTTATCCCTCCCTACCCTTTACATAAAAGGAATTTCATGCCATAAATTACATTTATCCTCATCGTCTTCTTTTTCTTGTTCACGTGACTTCTAACTTGCTCGCCTAGAGACACATCATCAACCCACTTCTGCTCCTAAGTTTCGATAAATTGTTAAATTAAATAAACTTTTATTTTTTAGAACTTTTCTCGTTTAAAGTTTTTCTCATAAATACTTATAGAAAAAGTTGAATTCTTTCCATTTGTCTTTTCCATGAATATATTATAAGGGTAAACGGGTGAGATATCCTATTCCAATTCTTTTGACCAAGAGGGATATAACCCTAGGATCCTTCGTTTTTGAACAACACTGGGTGGCAGTTCTCTTGCAGCTCTTACCTCAAGGCGAGGGGGAATTAAGAAGTACAGAGGAGGTGTCAGTGATTGAATCTGCGAGATACCACTTTCTTAAAAAGAAGATACGGTTGTTTTGTGATCCTGCTTCATAATACTGCATTGCAATTCATGATTTTTCAAATCATATATATGCATATAGTTTTTCAGCAGGACTTGTTTCAACTTGAGACACACTACGAGCGGCGGAACCAGAGGATCCAATATACCAATAATAATCTCTCTCTCTCTCTCTCTCTCTCTCTCTCAGTCATATATATGTTGATCAAGTTTGGCAACAAATCATGGGTTGGTCGGAATGTAGAGATTGAGGCCTTCCATTGTCTCAAAAGACTAAATATTTATAGATAGCAATTTGATACTAATTTAAATTGCTAGATAAAGTGATACGGTAACCGAGTAAAGCAAAAGGGAAAAGATGAAAAAATGAATGATTCTTTCAAGTTAGAAACTTGGTGAAATAGTAAATAATAATATATACTTATCGGCCAAAAGTGTACTGATCGCCTCTGCCAGGTTGAATTTGTAGGTTGCATTACCCCACAAAAGTTGACTGAATATTTGTTTTAGAGGTTTGAGGACTGAGAAGAATAAGACCAACCCAATGTGGAAGTTTTTGTCCCAATTCTAGATTTCCCAAGTAGACAATTCCATTAGTTTTTAAGGATTAATATGTTTAATCCTTTAAAAAATTCCTTATATGTGTTTCCATTATGTGTCACTTTAGCCAAAGTTAGTTATTCCACCATGCCAGTAACCCTAGTATTTAAATTAAATATCAATAATGTGCAAAGTAAAAAATGTGCAAAATTTTTCTCACCAACAGTGATTTAAAATCAAAGTTTTAAAAAATAATATTAGATAGAAGCAAATATGTGCGTTAAAAGTGTGAAATTTTTTTGCTCTAAAATTAAACTCTTAAAAGACAAGATTAGATAGAGAAAATATTTTATCTCGTTTGAGAAACAGCCTCTAAAACTGATAAAAGTCCAATGCTATTTAATTTTTTGAGTCCAGCTGTATTCCTTTAATTAAATCGCATAATAATAATAATAATAACTATTTGAACAAATTTTTAAAACAAAATTTAGAGCTGAAAGTACTGCCCCTCGTTTTCTTGATTATCAATATTAGAAAATTGAAGAAAACAAAACCAGAGTGTTCGCAATAATTGCGTCAACAGGGATTTTAGTACTGGGCAAAGCTTGTGAGTGGTAGATGCTACTTCCCAGTAACAAAGCCATTCAATCAATAACTCAATAATGATAAAAATAAATGATTGCGTTTGACAATATTCATTATCGGAGAATCTTTTTTTTTTTTTAATCAATTGAAGAGACACTTTTGATGTTCCTCTATATCAAGATGTGTATTTTATAAAAAATAACGTGAGAACAAAATGGTAAACTATAAATTAGTAATTAAGTTTTATATTAATTTTAGATTAATGTTTTTGTACTCGTGTAATATTATTTTATCACTTTTTTTTTAAGTTAAAACAAAATGTACACAAATTTGTTGTTGTAGTATATCTCTTTGATTTCACGATGCATGGATCACCCTCGTATTTGGATGCATTATGCTTCTGCATGACAAATATAATACAGTCTTTAAAATATGTAAACAGAAGAGCAATAGTTTAAAAGAGAAAACTCTTTTTAAAAATAAAAGAAACAATGCTCTAAATATTTTCTCACTTTCCAATGAAAAACGAAAGCATTCGAAACGGATTATGGGGATCCCCTGAGATGAAGATGATTATCAGAAGAAGAAGAAGAAGAAGGGACTGGTAAGACAACGACGTGGTATTATGCAATGCATTCAATTGTTGTTTGTTCAGTACATATATACAACACTACCAATCATGGCTTTGGACACCCCCCCCCCCCCCCCCTCTTTTTCAAATCACGTGCTCGCCCGCAAACAATATCATCATGCCCAGATTCATATTTGAGTAAGAAATCATTGCCTCTATTTCTATAATAAATTTGACAAACAACTCATGTTAGAAATGATTTTGATTAAGGATTCGTTTGATTTAAAGCTAAATGAAATTGATTTGAACTATTAAATATACTTGAAATATTTATATAAATATACTTGAAGTAGATATCATGCAACATGCAGTGGTAGCAGTGAGGGAGTGTGTGTGCCCATTGGCAATGACACCTCACACCTATTCACTGATTGGCACAGATAGGGTATCTTTTCAATCTTATTGGCTTTCATAGGTAGGTCTATGCATTTCATTTCATGTTTGTTCCCTCACTCAATTAGTTTTAGAATATTAGTAAGTGCCCTTAACAGGATTTCTTGTTGGACATCTATCTTTTCAAACCTTCATCATTTCTAAAATAACAATAACAATAAAGTTTAAATATATTTTTAATCTCTAATTTCTTTTTTAATATAACATTCCTTTAATGATGATATGGCTTAAAAAATAAATCGTGATATGAAAATGTAAAATATAATAATTTTTTACACAAGCATATTGTGATTAAGGATTAAAAAATTAAATTTAAAAATTTTAATATTAAGATTAATTTGAAGCCTAAAGCAATAATAAGATACGATGATCTCTTATTTTATTATTGTACACACTTTTTTATTTTAAATAAGTGAAATATAACATGATATACGAGTATAATTAATAGGATAATGCAATGAACACTCCAAATTAGGACTATTGCAGGTCATGAAGTCAGGAGAGTGGTTCACTTAGATAAGAAAAGTGAATGTATAAGAAATAAGAAAAAGAGTTGCAATGTTGGACAAGTTACAATTAATGTACCAACTTAACATTTCACATAGAAAGGTATGTGGGGATGCTGGGGTGCATCTTACCCGTTTGCCCAGAGTAATATTTTTTCACAATTACTTTTTATTATAAAAATAAGAAAATTTGAACTAAAATAAGTAATGTGACAAAACTACAAATAATTTCATTAGATAACGTTGATATTATTCTTGGTCTAATAAAATCTATAGTAAAAGATAGACTTAATTGGAACTTTTTTATGATATAAATATCTTTAACATTAATCTAAGAAGTCAAATTACCCGTGCATTTGACCGCGACCGAAAATTTTACTTTTCCTTATAAAGGTAAAAGAAAAGAAATTTTCACTTTTCTTTATTCTACAAATCCAACTATAATGCAAAACATTAATTCCAAAAGAATACAAAATTCTTTTAATTAGATTTTACTTTTAGGTATTATTTTACTATTTATTAATTAAATTTATATATTTATTTTAATAAAAATTTATAATTAATAATAAGTAAAAAATATTTGTTTTAATTAGAGAAGCATAATAAAGAATGTAGAGTATTATTGAAAAAGGAAAAAAAACTATGATGCACAACAAACAAACGCTTGAATTGCTTTTAACATAAATTGGTTGAATTGGGTGGTTTTGAAGTAACCCATGGAGGGCCCTATAAATTTCAAAACAGTAGATGGGAAGACTTTTCTGTTTAGAGGGCTAACACTTTTTCGTATTCCAAAGTGAATTTTTCTTCTTTCCTTTTCGGTTCTTTTGTATTAATTTTTCTTTCTTAATTGTGCATCACTTCATTGAGAGTTGGGTGTAGTTTGGTGCGATATTAATGAACTGCTCCTAGCTTTCTACAATGGTTTCGGTTGCTTCTCAAACCTGCAAGAAAATATCTTCTCTTTCGTGAGTGGGTGGCTATGTGGTGGTGTTGCAGCTTGACAAAGTTATAAAAAAGAAATATTTATTTTGTATTAATGCTTTTATTATTTGTAATTTCATTTAAGGTATATCCATAGATAGTAGCAATGCATTATTGCATTCCATGATATATTTGCCACGACCACATCTAAATGGGGACAATTCCTTGGCATTTTAGCAGAGGCAGATTGATCCAGCGGGATTGCATTTTAAGGTAAATGGTCACTTACATGACATGTAGATGTAGTTTCTTTTCAATAATTTTGAAATGACGTGTTTTAGTAGGAAAAGGAATCGAAATTGTAACTGTGGGAGGGGCTGGTAATTCCCAAAAATGAGAGAGAGTTGAATGTTCTTAGCTGCTATTCAATAATAAAAAGGCAGTTAGTCGTAACCGAAAGGGGGAAGGGACATGACCGGAAACGGAGGCAGGCACGCGTCAAACTTCAATTTTTCAAGCTTCCAAAATGGAATTTTTCGCTGTTTTTCTTTTAGGGTCTGCGTCCGTCGCTGCGCTTCTAAGTTCCAATTTTAACTGCCAACTGTGAATGGAGAGAAAATGCATAAAGTGGAAAAGGAAAGTGAATAATAAAATAAATGAAAAGAAAAGGTAATAAACAAGGTGGAGCTTAGCTTAATGCAAAGAGAGGTTTTAATGACGCACTCAACACACCGACGCAAAGGAGGGAGAGGGAGAAGACAAGAGAATGGTGGGAGAGAGAGAGAGTGAAATAATTTAAAAGAAAAGAAACGCAAAAACGATAGAAACGGACGACGAACTCCGTGCTGGCAAAAGATTCCCTCCGCGTTCGTTCGTTCAGTCACTTAATACTTATTTTTCTTTTGCTCCCCAGTAACTGTACTGTGCTACTCATCTTTCTACTCTTTTCTAACGTTATTATTTAGTACTGATATTGCAATCAGAAACCCTAAAAAGTGGGAGTGGGATTGATTCTATGGGGTGTGCCAGCTCGAAGCTGGACGATCTCCCAGCAGTGGCTCTATGCCGAGAGAGGTGCGGCTTCCTTGACGAAGCTATTCATCAGAGATATGCACTCGCAGCAGCCCACGTCGCCTACATCAATTCCCTCAGAGCAATTGGTGATTCTCTTCATCATTTCATTGAGCAAGAGAGGGAGAGGGATTTGGGTGCTCCCTCTTCTCCCTCTCCCTCTCCCTCCCCATCTCCGCCTCACAAACCACACCTCGCCAAACACGCCTCTCCCTCTCACTCCGATTCCGGCTCCCATCTCCACTTCCACTCCGATTCCGACGACCTCGGTTCCCTCCACCACTCCCCCCAATCCTCTCCTCTGCATCTCCACAATTACTATGACAATACTTCCGAGCCAGATCATCACCTTCACATCAATTTCATGAAGAACAAACCAGCCTCTTCAATCGTCTACGAGCAGAGACCAATGAACCCCGAAACTGTGTACGTCGGAGAGTCCTCTTCTTCCTCCTTTTACCCTCCGTATCGCTATCAGTATCCCTCTTACCCCTACGATCCCTACGCCGCCCCTCCTCCCTTCTACGGATCTTCCTCGCCTCCCCCTCCCCCCGCCGCCGCCGCCAAGCCTCCCCCCTCCCCTCCCAGGCCGCCTTCCACTTGGGATTTCCTCAACTTCTTCGATAGCACCGATGACAGGTACTATCCCCAACCCCATTACACCGCCACTCCCAGCCGCGACTCCAAGGAGCTCAGGGAGGAGGAGGGGATACCCGATTTGGAAGACGAGGATTACCAGCACGAAGTCGTCAAGCAAGTGCATGGGGATCAAAAGCTCGTCGACCCCAAACCCCAACCCCATCATCCCCTCCACAGAGAGAACAACCTCGACGAAGAAGACGAGGATGATGAAGAGGTGGAATACGAGGCTCATGTGGTTGATAAGGAAGTGGTTGCTGACGGGAACAAGGCCAAGGACCACGCCGCATTCGGAGCCCGCCGACCTGGTTCCCGGAATCCTCTCGAGGTTGCCAAAGAAATTCAGCTTCTCTTTCAGAGGGCTTCCGATTCCGGTGTCCTAATCGCCAGCATCCTTGAGGTCGGAAAGCTTCCCTATAATCGAAAGCGCGCGCCTTATCAAGGTTGCTTCCTTCTTTACATTTCATCTCTTTCTCTTTCCATTCTTTTGCATTGTTTCGGGCTCTTATTCCTCAATTTTGTGGTTCATTTCTTGTGAAACAGCTTCTTCCAAGATGTTACACGTAGCTGCTCCCTCGTTGTCCGCGCTCACTTCTCAACCTTCTACTTCTAAAGATGCCGAATCTGCATCCACCGGTGATTTTGATCTTGATCTAACAACCAGGTCGCGCAATCTGTCCTCTACGCTGCACAAGTTACTTCTTTGGGAGAAGAAACTCTTCAATGAAGTTAAGGTATCTCAGTCAATCTGATTCCCAAAATTTGGACTGTTATCTGCTGCGAGGAGGCAATTTAATTCGCACTCTACTTTCGCTTTACTTATTGCATGTTCTAATCTCAAGTGCTGAGAATTTGGGAGTAATCCACTGATGACTGCTTTTTTCTGGCACGAGTGAATGAAACATTGTGAACGGGTATTTACGGGTTTCCATTAAGCTTTTTCAATGTTTATTTGTTTTGCAGGCAGAGGAAAAGATGCGTGTCATGCATGATAGGAAGTGTCGCAAGCTCAAGCGTTTGGATGACAGGGGTGCTGATTTTCATAAAGTTGATTCAACCCGAGCTTTGATTAAAAGTCTCTCCACAAAAATAAGAATGGCAATTCAAGTTGTTGATAAGATTTCTGTGACTATAAATAAGATAAGGGATGAAGAGCTGTGGCCGCAGCTGAAGGAATTAATCCAGGGGTAGGTGATACCAAAAACTTCCACTCTTGTTATTTGTGCAGGTTCTCTATGACTCTCTGTTCTTGTTGGGCTATATACTATAGGTTTACTTTTTTTTTAATATTTGAAACTCTGTACAAATTTCACTTGATTAGTTTACTATATTGATTGCTTGTCTACTATGCATTGAGTTTATATAAAATGACATGATATAAAACATGTATCGCCTAATCAGCTGGTAGTGTAAACTTCTTACAATTATAATAAAGGGATGTTGTGTTAACTGTTACGTATTTTGTAGTCAAAGTAAAACTATGTAGGTGACCCTATCTAAAGGGGTAAGAGTTAAGGCTTCGTTCTTGTTGTATAATGAGTCAGTCATGCATTTTCTGGCATGTTCAATGGTGACTGATCTAACCATGCACCTCACCCCTTAAAGATTAGACAGAGATTTAATGGAAGGATTTATTTAGTTATTGAGGTTCCATTTCATCAGCATCATCTGCAAGCTACCCTTAGTTGTTGATAGAAGCAAATATTTGTCCATCTTCTTAGAGCATTTCTGATAATTTTGACAAATCCAGCTATTTACTCTGATGTCTGTTTCTAACCTCAAACCATATCATCTTCTAGATTATTTGGTGGTTCATCTGTCCAGATTCTAGATATGATTGTGCTTGAGGCCAGAGGAATCATCCCTTATAGGAAAGTGTGCAGCTCTGCCAGAGTTTTGCAGAGAAGTTGTTACTCTCCAATCGCTGAGAGGAACCTGAAAACCTTATAATAATACACCACACCTATCCTTGTGCAATTGGATTGAACACTTGAATTCAGTATTTGGAGTCTTCCAATGCTCCATCCAGTTTTCCATTGCACACAGGCCATGGTGTTGCCACCCATGCTCCTATTCTTCTTCTCGAGTCTGTACACCTTCAATTAATGTTCTCATTTTCTTTGAAGTTGGTGACTTTTGGGATAGGATATGCATGCGATATCTATCCATACATAGTATAGGATAAATGTTTTGCCTTTTCTCATAGTAATGTACTTATCATCTGAGAACTTTTGCAATGTCTGTCCATAACATTCAGTGTGTGTATGTTGATGGTATAATGCAACATAAACTTATTTTCAGGTTGGCCAGAATGTGGAAATCCATGCTTGAATGCCATCATAGTCAGTGTGAAGCAATTAGAGAAGCCAGGATTCTGGGTTCCATCGGGTCTAGGAAGAAGAGTGGTGATAGTCATCTTCAAGCAACCAAGCAGCTTGAACAAGAGCTCATCAATTGGACTTTCCAATTCTCTGGCTGGATAAGTGCCCAGAAAGGTTATGTTAGAGCATTGAATAATTGGCTACGGAAATGTCTCCCAGATGAACAGGAAGAAACACCTGATGGCATAGTCCCTTTTTCTCCTGGCAGGATGGGTGCTCCCCAAATATTTGTAATATGTCATCAATGGTCTCAAGATTTGGATAGAATATCTGAAAAGGACGTTGTTGATTCCATGCATGTATTTACCTTGAGTGTACTTCAGATATGGGAACAGGATAAGCTAGAAATGCATAGGCAGATGATGCAGAACAAGGATCTTGAGAGAAAAGTGAGAAATATAGATAGAGATGACCAAAAGCTGCAGAAGCAAATTCAGGCGTTAGAGCGGAAGGTGGTTCTGGTATCTGGAGACGGTAAAGGTCTCTCAGTTTCTGAGAATATCATATATCAGAGTGACAAAAGCAGTAGTCTGCAGGCTAGCTTGCAGCGCATTTTTGAGGCCATGGAAAGATTTACTGACGAATCTGTGAAAGTTTATGAGGATTTGCTACAACGGAGTGAAGAAGAGAGTGCTGCCCAAGATCACGGAAGAGTTTCATAGGGTGGCATGGTTGATGGAAGGTGTTGCCATTTGCCGAGAATAGAAACTTGTAGATCTCCTGCTACTAGCTCTTATTTACAGGAGTTTTGGGAGGAGGGGTTGGGTTTGACTTCTCACATTACACGCTGATAGCCAAGCAAAGACCCCCCACTATGCTAAGCTGCATTGATGCTTTGGATGCTGGGGTGGGACAGTGGAATTTGTTGTCAAATAAGAGATTTTGGGGTTCCTAAGTGTGAGGCGGGAGTCGTACAAATGCTGTTTGGGTACTTGGCTCTATAAGGCTACAGGGGAAGTTGTGCCGACTAACCATACAAGTTTGAGCTACTAAGACAGAAGAGCCAGCAAATTTTAACATCTAAATGGCTCTCTCTCTGCATTAGAAAATAGAAATATATGTTTAGGTGAAGGACGGACTTTCAGGTATTTAAACCCTGTGCAAGTCTTGTGGTTATAGAAGGGTGCTCAAATTAAAGCAGTATAATAGAGGTATTCAAATGAGAAAATTTTCTGATGAGCAATTGGAAGAAGTCTCGCTCGCATGATGAAATGAGCTAGCTGTCAGTCGGAGTGATGCCTTCACTGAATGCATGTCATTAGTTCCTGTATAAAATTATGTTCCTTTCATAAAAATATTCGTTTTTAAGTTATTGTACAGATTACCTATTGACACTGAGCAAGCTTAATGAAAAAAGCATTTTGAATAAAATATCCTTTTGAATGATCATTTGAGATTTTTGTTCCGCTTTCTTGTTGCTTTTCTTAAAAAGGCGAGGATATTCATGTCGTATTTGATTTTTCTACTAGATTTAGAGCTATCCAATTAGGAATTATAATCCTCAGAAAAATACTTGTCTCTTTTTCTTTTCTCTGCCCTTATAAAGAAAAAAAAGAAAAAGAAAAAAGATTGGTATCCAACCTTTCATCTCTATGGATTTGAGTTGAGAGAAGTCATAACGGAAGTTTACAAATCATACACACCAATTCCACTACCAGTTTTCAAAGGTGATTAGTACGAAGCTTGTTCTAAACTAATGAGAACTCAACTAATGGTGCTACCTCAAAGATGCGAAGGGTGAAGTTAACAATTATGGTAGAAATAAGAACTAAAAGCTATGCTCTAAACCAAAGGGAGGAGGAGCAAATGGCCTTTTCAAGCACTACTAGCATAGCTGAATTGTAGCAAAAGAGGCTTGATCCCTACCCACAATATACTTTTAAAAATGCAAAAACATGCTTGAGTGAAAACTATGCCATTCTCAGAAGAGAAAGCTAACTGTGTGACTTGTCAACGCGACAAGCAAGGCAGAAGACGATTCTCTCAAATAACATAGAAAAACCACAGGTTGCAACTGATGTATACGGATGTTGGAAGAATATAGAGAAAATCATTTTTAAATAGTAACGACTACTATATCTATCATCTATCATCTATCATAATATATAAATTTTGAAGCGTGAGCTACGTTTGAAACCTAAGTTATAGAAGTGCCACTTCAGCAAGCCTTATTATTCGCCACCTCATCACATTGTAACAATTGTCAAGTACTCCCTTTTGGCTTTTTCATGAGTAGTTATGAGAATGTTATTAAAATATTATTTTTCCACGTGCTCTTTTGTATCTCTTGAAAGCACATAATAGTTCTTTAGCTGTTTCTTTCTTATTTATCTTAAATCTTTATTCTAAAACAAACATAACTTATATATCATTAATTGAGAACCTATAACCTAACTTACATTATATTCAAGTCAAGTTAGGTCTATTTACCAAGTAAATTAAGTCAAGTCTTCTTACAAATTTATTTGTTTAAAATAATCAGGTTTCATGTTATTAAGTCAAACAAATTAACTTATTTAAATAAATTCACCTCTGAACCTTACATTCACAGCTGCTTTTATTGTTGAACTAAATGCCACGTTTTGGTATTTCTAATCTAACTTTATGCGTTAATGAACTTCACTCTGCATTTTGTACGCTCCTAATATTAGAAGGTGCAGAGGTGTTTTCGAGTGATAAGATGATGATGACTGCTAATCTACATGCCACCCTCCACAACCTCATTATTCCGATATAATGTGTTTCCTTTTTACTACAATTGTTCTAAGACTATAATAATATTTATGTCTGCTCAATTTTTATTATTTGATTGTTTATTTTGTTTTTTTTTTTTGTCGTATATCCCTACGATTAACCAACCTTTGTTAACCAAATTAAATTCGTGGTGGGTTGTCATTTAACAAAAGTTGGCAGATCACAATTTGCTCTAAACGATATTGAGTATACTGAATTAGGATTGAGAAATTTTGGTTTTGGTGGGCATTACTAGTTGCTACCCATATGCATATAGTAATTGATCTTAATTTTTCAAAGAAAAATGTTAGTTTTACACCCACGCTATGGGTGAGATACAGGCTGAAAAAAGAGAGAAATGAAAAGAGGAGAAAAATAGTAAGAGAGAGAGAATAAAATTTGGAATAAATAATATGAAAAAAAAGGAATAGAAAAAAAAAATCCTTTTTAAAATTATTAATCTGTTATAAACCACACTCCAAAAGTGAAATGTATAAAGTTTATCTAAATGGTATGAAAATTGATCATTGGCTCGAAGGATTATATGGTGTCTATTAATTAAACATAAAAGATTTGATTTTCTAAAGTAAAATAAAATATAAAATAAAAAGGTAAACCTGAAGTCTCGAACCTCATTATGATGAAACCCCGAAAACAAAAAGAAGGAAAAGCTTTGACTTAGGAGAATATGTATCCTTATTATGTTTCCACTTTCCCCTAAAAAAGGGTTCTGAAAGGCAGCACGTGATCCTTGGGAGTCAAATTCATTTTACGAAAGGGAGAAAGTCTTAAAATGCACCCTTCAGCAAGTTTATTGGATTTGCCCAGAAACTTCTACGTTCACCCCTTCAATTCCATTACTCTTCGTCTCAACTTCGGCCAAAGTGCAAAAGGTAAAATCATATCTTTTTACAGAGAACGAACAAACAATTAATACACGTATCTTTAATAAATCCCACACGTTGCGTGTTTGCTTGAGTTGACGTGTACAAATTTACATATATTAGAGATCATTAGTTGGCACGGTATTATTGGTGAAGAGCTAGCTAGCTTCGAAGGGATTCTCGTACCTAAAAGCAGCTCCCAAGTCAGCTCAACATTTTCTGTAGGATAGACACCAAAAAGGTTCAATGCAATCGAGATGAGTTCAAAGATTTTTATTTTTGGGTGATGGTTTTATTTAAATAGTGATATTTAAATGAAGTTAACATTAAAAAAAAAAGGAGAAACAGAATAAACACATATGTTTAAAATATTCTAAAAAATCTAAAAATAGGAAAATAGAATTAATAACATAAATGAATGAGAAATGAAAGTAAAGATAAATAGGGTAAGGTGGTGGAAGAGGGAAGAAAGGAAAGGAGATAAGATGAGGAAGAGTTGAGTTGAGTTAAATGAATAATAATGAGTGGATGGTTGGAGTGAGTAATAAGTAAATAGTGATTACTTTAGTAAATTAGGAACAGTGAGGGAGTGAGGGAGGAAGCGAAGGGGAATGAAAGGGAACTTAAAATAGCGAAAAAGGGGAAACAGGAGACTTAGAGAAGACTGAGAGAGAGAGAGGCATCAAGATCTGATTGATGATCGGTGATAATTGAAGAGCAGAGAGAGAGAGAGAGAGAGAGAGAGGCGATGGGTTGCTGCCAATCATCGATGTTGCTGAGAGTGGGAGAGAGAGAGACTCACCCGGAAAAGGAAAAGGAAAAGGAAAAAGAAAAGGAAAAAGAGGAACCCTACCGGAACCACAATCATCGCAGGCAATCTGAGGGAGAGAAAGAGAGCGTCGATTTCACCTTTTCAGAGTTCTCGTTGGGGGAGCTCAAAGCGGCCACCAACAATTTCAGCTCCGAGTATATCGTGTCGGAGAGTGGGGAGAAAGCCCCCAACCTCGTGTACAAAGGTAGGCTTCAGAACCAGAGCCGCTGGATTGCGGTCAAGAAGTTCAGCAAGGCTGCATGGCCCGATCCCAAGCAATTTGTCGAAGAGGCTTCCGGCGTCGGCAGGTTGCGCCATGCCAGACTTGCTAATTTGATCGGTTACTGCTGCGACGGCGATGAGAGGCTTCTCGTTGCTGAGTATATGCCTAATGACACTCTCGCCAAGCATCTCTTCCACTGTATTATTCCTCTCATCCTCCTCACTCTTTCAATTCCTATTGCTATTCCTCTAATCTTCCATTGCTTCCTTCAGGGGAAAATCAGACTATTGAATGGGCCATGCGCTTGCGAGTCGCTCTTTACATTGCTCAGGCTTTGCATTATTGCAGTTCGGAGGGGCGGCCGTTGTACCATGACTTGAATGCTTATCGTGTTCTTTTCGATCAGGTAATGCCTCTCTCTCTTCTTCTCTTCATTCATTAACTTAACACTCAAACAAATTATGCGTGCTTTTTTGTGTTCTGTTTCAGCAAGGTGATCCGCGTCTTTCCTGTTTTGGTTTAATGAAGAACAGCAGGGATGGAAAAAGTTACAGCACTAATCTTGCTTACACGCCTCCTGAATATTTAAGAAACGGTAACTCATTATCCAACATTTCATTTCATCACTCGCAATTTTCCCTCTGAGTGCCAATGCTTCCTTTACTATTACAGGAAGGGTCACCCCTGAAAGTGTTGTCTACAGCTTTGGGACTGTTCTTCTAGACCTCCTCAGTGGCAAGCACATCCCTCCCAGTCATGTAACTCCCTTCTATTTCCTTTTATCCTTTAACTGCTCTTTTGTATCGCTAACTAGCTAACTGCTTTTTGTTATTAACTCCTGAAATTTATTCTCGCGTACAATAAATATCAACTACTACTTCCCCCTTAATTGACTTGGATCTAATATTACTTCCCCTGCCAAAATAGCCCCACAAAATGGAATTAACTGTAACCAATTGTGTGAGAGCGCTACATATTTTTCTACTACATTTTGAATTTGACTGGCACGCTCTTTCGTGAATCTTGCTTAACTGCCAAACATAGGATGAATAACTCGTTAATATTCAAGATAAAACCTCCCCGCCCTGAATCAACTTCCAATTTTTGCCACCCTTTCATCAAAGTGAGTGACTTGCTGTCCGATTCCCACACATCACTAAAAGCTCTAGATGCATGTATGTTTTTAATTGAGGTATTTTAGACGTGTAATTCATACCTAAGTATTTTTCCTCTAAACCTTAGCTATTATTATGTTTGTAAATGCTTGTTTTGACCATATTTATTTTCTGGCATTAATCTTGTGACTATACCATGATGATGTTACAATTACAATATTGATCAATAAATGAACCATGAACTTCTACGAATGGAAACAAGTGTAAGGTATGAAAATCCTTCTGTTAGAATAATAGTGAATAACATTGGAACTTGGAAGTTTCAGTTGCTATGATAGGTATCTGAGTTTATCATTAATGCTTTTTCTGTATGCTGACTTTTTCAGTTAGCTTTTTTAATTGGTTCCATATAGAGTTATCTGATTCTGTTTGCAGGCACTTGATATGATACAAGGAAAAAACATTATGCTATTAATGGATTCACATTTGGAGGGAAAGTTTTCTACGGAAGAGGCTACAATAGTTGTTAACCTTGCCTCTAAATGTTTGCAATCTGAACCACGGGAGCGGCCTGATACAAAGGATTTGGTCACAACACTTGCCCCATTGCATACAAAACCTGATGTAAGAATCTTTTGTCTACTCAAGAATTTAACAAATTATTTACTGAATTGAGAGATTAAAACTTTCTTTTCTGAACAGCCCTACCTAATATTCCATTATCACCTACATATGCCTTTTTGTTGGAAGTTAAAGTTCCTTAATTTCTAATATTCAAACTCTACCACTTCTGATATTAAGTATTTATTTCTTTGAACACTCATTGCAAAATGGAATGTACTTGGTTGGAGCCCCTTAGCTCATTATCCTTAAATTACATAAAACTTGGTAACCCAAGTATTAGGCTGGAACAGTTGAAATTTCTTTGGAGAAAATGTAGTTGAACTTGGTGATCTGCATTAGGGTTTCTTTTGGCTATGAACTTTTCCACGTGAGATTGTATAGTATGATAATGTTTTTTTTGTAGAAGATAGGTTCTAGATGTTTGATATGTTATGTTCTCAAAAGCCCAAGTAATTGGTATATAGTTAGCTGACTTCTTGTGAAGTCTACTTTGCAAAGAATTAGTTATCTTTGCTCGCTTGGTACTTGTTTCATAGTTAATAAACTTCATTCACTTCCAAAGGGTGTTAAGTTACCCATTAGTGCTTAACTCCATAGTGGTTGATATATATTGGAAATTTCATACTCCTGTGCAACTAAAACTAATTATGAATATCTTTGAGAAATAGAATTGACAAATATAACAAGACATCCTTTTATAGAAAGGACATTTCATCTTTTAGTAGTTAACTAACATTTTTATGTTACATTATCCTGAAATATAGGCATATGACCTTCTAGAAACTTATTCGTTGCATACACCTCTCTCACAAAGAGCTAAGTCCAGACTTTTTAGTAAACAAATTTTAATTTATTTTTTCCAAGCATTTTAAATAGAACACAACTTAGATACATTTTAAATGTGTACTGACCATTAATGTCAACCTTTATTGCACAGATTACCAAGATCAAATTCTAATTTTAATTGGAGAACAGTACCAAAAGCACCTTTAGTATCTGTACCTAAGTTTTGTTCTTTTAAATATAGGGCAACCTAGTACTTGAGGCTTCCACCTAGTGGGGTCTGGGGCACAAGTGGTGTTCACAGGTTGGTTTAACATGGTTTAGTATAAAATAAAATGAAAATTGACCGTATTTAATTGGATTTGTTTAGTTCAGTTTTTTAAAATTTTTAAATCAATCTAACCAATCCAATCTAATTAAGATTGGGTCATTAGATTAAACTAAAAATAAACTATTACATTTTAAAAGTTTTTATTCTCACATTATTTTCATTTATATTAAATTTTGAATTTTACAAAATAGAAATTTTTTTTTTCTTTCAATGATTTTAGACTAACTAAATCAATTCTAAGCACATTGATATTATTTTTAATTAATATATAATTTTATTACTATTATAACTTAACATATGTCATTCATTTCTTTACCTAGAATATAATATAGTTGTATGATAAACATGAACAAGACAGTAACACTAGATAGAAAGTCAAAATGATTATTTATTTATTTTGGGGGGGGGGGAGGGGGGAGGGGAATGGTAACAAGGTAGAGATGTCTAAATACTAAAGTCTAAGATGTATATGTTTAATTATTTTAAAAATAAACAGGTGATCAAGTGATTGGGTTGGTTCGTCTTGAAAAAAGATAGATTCATTAATTAAACCAATTATAATTGGTTCATTTTGAGTCTGAAGTGAAATGAACCAATCAACCAAACTAATTTGAATCAATTTAATTGATCTAGTTTGAATTATTTATTTCATAATGTTAATCTGATCTGATGAATGCTCCTTAGTATGGGGGGTTAGATGTACACAGCTCTATTTATCGCAGTAAGCAAATAGATGTTCTTTTTGAGATTTGAACTTGTGACCTGCAAGTCACAAGGCAACAACCTAACCATTGTGCCAAGGCTTGCCCTCTTATTAACCACTGTAATTTGTAAATATAAAAACTATGTAATGTAGAGACTGTTTATTGCATTGTATTTGTATGTTATATAAAGACATTCAGTTGAATAAGGATGACCCAGTTGTTAGACTGATGATTACAAAGATTGACCTTATGCCATAAAACTTGTTTAATGGCTGAGGGCCGAGCTAGTGCAATATGTTAAATGCCTTTGGCCATTTGACTGTAAAGAGGCCAGTGTTAATTTTAATTTGCATTTTTTATTATAGCAGCTAGAAAAATCTCCAGCCAGTGCATATAAGATATATGATTTTCATCCATGTACAGGATTTTCAACTTGATATTGTCATCAGAATCGGATAGAATTTGCCTATTCTTCTCTTAATTTTAACTTTGGATTCATGCATATCTTACAAGAATATGTTCATATAAGCAGTATAATAAAAATGGTGCAAATGCCAAGCTAATTCTCTGCATTGTTGAACGTGGCTAAACAAATATTTTTAATGCTTTTGGTATACTGTTTTCAATTTGTCACACATGCAACTATTTTTATTGTCCTCCCATCTTATCATATATTTCTCAGTGTAAAAAGGGATTAAAGATGTACTTTGAGCTATAGCAACACAAACATCTCTCCCTTGAACATATCCCTTGTTAAATGGTAATTTAGGTGTAGAATAATGCTAGCAACACATTCTTTGTAACACACTATTCACTATTGGCTAAAATTTATTAAAACTATAAAAATCATGTAGGTCTCACTCTTAAATTAATGTTTCTCTCTCATATGTTTTTAGTTTTTAATAAATTTTAGCCAACAATGAAGAGTGTGTTAGAGAGAGTACTGGTAACATTCCTCTCAAGTGTATAAAAGGGATTAAAGCAGCAACAATTCTAGTTGATTATTATTATGTGTTTCAGGTTCGTTCACACGTCATGCTTGGAATTCCAAAGCATGAGGAAGCTCCATCAACTCCACAACGTCCTCTTTCAGCAATGGGTGAGGCTTGTTCGAGAATGGACCTTACTGCAATACATCAGATCTTGGTTGCGACACACTATAGAGATGATGAAGGAACTAATGAGGTAACTGATGGGTTCAGTGATTTTAAATTTACTACCCTTAGTTAGATGATTTGCTCTGAAGTTTGAATTTGGATTGGTTCAGTTGTCGTTCCAGGAGTGGACCCAACAGATGAGAGATATGCTGGAGGCAAGGAAGCGTGGAGACTATGCATTCCGTGACAAGGACTTCAAAACAGCCATCGATAACTATTCCCAGGTGCGACTGAGCTCATGTTTGACATTGTAAATGATTGTAGCTTAGCAGCCTTAGCTATGTCCATGTTAATTATTTTGATATTCTATTTTGTGTCATTTGTGCAGTTTATTGATGTGGGAACGATGGTCTCCCCAACTGTTTTTGCAAGGCGCAGTCTATGCTATCTGTTATGTGATCAACCAGATCCTGCACTACGAGATGCAATGCAAGCACAGTGCGTTTATCCAGACTGGCCCACGGCTTTCTACATGCAGTCAGTTGCTCTTGCAAAGCTGGATATGCACAAGGATGCGGCTGATATGTTAAATGAGGCAGCTGCCTTGGAAGAGAAGAGGCAAAAAGGAGCGAGAGGATCATAGTTGTACATGCAGTGGGCTCATTTGAGGGTGTCAAGTTCTGTATAAAGGTTGAGCTGGGAAGCAAAACTAACGTTTGAATCTGAATTTATAATGTGTCAGAGAAATACAACGCTGCTGGAGTTAGATAGCACTTGCTCTTTATTTCCCCAACTTATAGGAATCGGTCATAACTTAAAAACCGTGCTTGTGCACTCTAAATTGGGAAGGAATACCGGTGATTTTTCCATGTTAATGAAATTGATTGTTTTATGGCTACTGGATTACAAGTACTGTCAACCGTTATTCTAATTCCCAACTGGTCGAGGCCATGCTGTTCATAATATTATTTCATGCCTGCATAATCTACATGAAGCAATAGAAAACATATTCAATCTCTCCCAAGTCCTTTATTAGTAATATTATTATCTTTTGGAAATATACATTCTGTTTATTTGTCTTTATTGGCTAAATCTTGAATACGTTGAGCTTCCCTCCGTCTATCGGATCTCTGAAAGCAGCATCCACGATTTTTAAATCCAGCGCTTAGTTTTCTTTTTCTTTACAAATATTTAAAATAGCTTTTTTCACCAGTGTATTGGAATGTTTAATGTAAGTTTTTTCATATACATTTTTATGTTTTTCTTTTAAAATTAATTTTAGAAGAAAACGGGAATGGTTGTTTGCCAGTAATACTTGTTTGACAGTTTTTTTTTTTTTTAAATGTGAGGGAAAATTTTTATAAATTCATGTTTTTAAATTTTTTAAATTAAAAGATTTTTTTAAAATCATCTTTCTCTCTCTCTTCTCCCCTTTTCTCTTATCTTTTAAATCATTTCCTTTCATCTCCGTATAAACTCTTTAACAAAGCCTTAATAACATTGAGGTTTAGTGGGGCGGGAGGGAGGTACCATGTCAACATCAACATCCTGGTCATGCTCATGTAAATACCTAAAGAATGTATCTGTGGATCAGTTTGATTTAATATCAAGGAAGAAAAAAAAAATGAACTAACCAAAACGGATTTTGGTTTTGCTTGACCCAAAAACATAGAAAGAAAAACTTTTGAGCTTTTGCGAGAGCTCACAGTAACCTTATTCGTAGATATGGGGAGCCACGTTCATCAAAGCCGAAGGTTAAGTTATTTGCGGCACCATATAAGGAGGACGTCCCTCTATTTATGGATACATATTCACTCAATTGCTTCACCTTTTATCGTGTCTAAATTTTGTAAATTATTGAAAAACATGTGAAGTAGAAAATTTTGAACTAACCTTTGTTTGGAATTGATAAAAATAAAAATAGAAAAATTTAATTGAACTTGGATTAGGTGTTATCATACTCTGTTGCAGTCGAGACAGTCATCAAATTTCAACCAAGTCTTCTATCATTGGAAACATCAACTCAAAATCTGAACTATCCGATCTTCATTCAACGTTGCCAATTTGATAATTAAATGGCTACACCAAATTATGACCTCATCTAATCCATTTCCAAATTAGATAATTTCTTTTGATATATTTGAATGGGTTGAAATGTGAAGCGAAAGTACATACGTTAAATATTATAGAGCATGTTACTCCTGTAAATTTGGTACCAAAGTCCTATATTGCATTTCACGGCAAAGAGAGAAGAAAACCTAAACATGCATATCCTACTGAAATAAAAGAATTTTAGTCACTGTTTTCACCTCAACCCCACCTAATAAATTGACTTGAGCGTGAGAATTTCACTCCGGTTATTTTCAGTCCGTAAGGATTTGATCTTAGTCCAAATCAAATTTTAAGTATTTTGAAAGTGAATGTGAAATTATAACCGGTTACTAGACAAATTGAAAAACATCGTTGTTCATCCATGCTTCATTACGTATGTTGTGTCAGTCTTTGGTTTACGCAAACAATATAACGAAATTTGTGCACAAATTCCCAATTTACTTGTATTTGTTACAGAACTCTTAACATATTCACCCTAGATAATCCACGTTAAGAATCTGAATGAAAATTCGCAAACTAAAACTAGAAAAAACAAAAATTCATTTAAATTGATACCTAATCGAACAAAGAGATAGATAGAACTTACGTTTTCTTGTTCTCTCTGTTTACGTTCTTTTCCATTTAGTTGAAAAAAGGGTCATCACATAAATTATCTTTTATAATTGATATAAAAATAAGAGAAATATTCTTAAATTATGTGCATACGTTTTTGAGCACGCGTACGCAATAGTGAAAAGTGGGGGGGGGGGGGGGGCATTAAGAGAATGAAGGGGTCCCACAATGTAGAGTTGATTGCATGATAACAGCAAATGCTTTCACATTCCCACTGCCAATTCACCATTCCGGCAAATTTCCACTAAGAAACAGTATAAAAAAACAACTCCATAATGTTATCGTTTCAGGCAGCACTTACAAATTATATAGAATCACCTCAAAGGCTCAAGCATGCATGATCCATGAAACACCCCTTCTCTTATGTCTTCTTGCGCACATGGCGTACGCACTTTCTTTACATTAATGGCACCCCCTCATTTCATTGGTCTACCCTCTCTAAACCATCATCATATCTCTTGCCAAACTTGTACGGACTATTTGTCTTGCATAAATGTTTCGTGAGTGCTTTCTAGAAACACACCCAATGGTGTTTTCACTTTTTTAATATTGAATCTGATAAAAAGGAATATATATATATTACACAGTATTGTATGTGTTGAAAAAAGATGTTCCAATAATAAAACTCAAAAGTATTGTTACCCACATTTGAATGAAACGGACCTCACTAATCTTTCCCCACAGATGGAGCCATTTCATTGTTTCGGTGAAGGGAGAGGGTGGAAATTAAGTACTCTACGCTCATATCAGTACATATTCCAACTGAAAAGATTTGCTTCTGTAATTGAGCTTGAACTTGTTTAGATGCTTATTCTGAAAAATAAACCTTTGAGATGAGGTGGACTCTGTTAAATGGTGGACTTCAATCCAACTGTGGCTGAATCAAGTGTTGGGTTGGTCTAGAACAAAATGTCTGATTGTCATTACTAAATATGTACAGAACAGGGACAGTGTTAATTTTACTCAAATTTTTTATAACTTATTTTATTTTATCTTTTTCTGTCATGCTAATGTTTTTATTTTACACTTTTTTTTCTCTCTTTTCATATATAGAAATATATTTTATGTTTAAGCTCAATTTTAAATATTAACGTTAACAAAAATTATTGTGATAATAGTGATGATAAAATGCAAGTTGTTATTATATTGCACGTTTCTTTGGAAAGCCCTTTTATAATCTGGAAAGCTGTAACTATAAAGCGGAGGAATATAAATTTAAGAGAAAAGAGAGTACAGTTTGCAAAATGGATTGATGCCTAACATAAGTTTTGTGGTTGGTTTTTGCGTTATCTGTGCGTACGTGCAGAACAACCAAATGAATTATTATATTATAATTGGAGGCAAGGGTTATCTGTTTTGCTGATCTTCCCACAGCATCGTCATAATACAAAATTCTTTTATAAAATATTACATTTCTTTTTACATTTAACATTTGTCAATAGATTCCTTATATTTAATTTTAAAAACAGGTTTACAATTATATAAAGCCAGCTATATCCTTATTTGATTATTGAGGTAAGGTTAGGTTTCTTTTCAAAAACTGTAATATGCTGCCCATAGACAATTTTGTCTTGAAAATAAAGGAAAATGTTTGAAATTTTAACCTTAAACAATTTACATAAGATATTTTGTAACAGTAAATTCTATGGTATTATGTAAGAATTTATACTTTTTTATACATGAAATAATTATAATTATTAATTTTATAATAATAAATAGTAATATTAGTGATTTATTTAAGAAAATATAATTTTTTAATTTTTAAGATATTAGAAGAATCACATCATACAATTTAGAGTGTATATAATATCTTTTTAAATTTAAGAGTAGAGTCCTAAATATCTTTTGTAAAATGGAGAGAGAGAATAAAATCAACTCTTGTGCACATGAATTGTATTGGTATTATTGAAAATATATATAGTTTTTGTAAATTAGATTTTATGTTCGTGTATTCTTTTGGTACATAAATTGTTGGTGTATTAAAATAACACCAAGTGATATGAACTCCCCTTAAAAAAAGTGACAGTTCCTTTTATACCTTAATTTTTAAATTTGAGCCCACCAAATATTCCATCCACGTAGTGCACGATTTTACATCCATGAACATTACCTAGTGTACAAATTTAATATATATGAGACATGAAAAACGGATTCTCTGTCATTTGTCGAGAACTATTTACATAAAAATATAATAAAATACAATAGATAAATAGTGGTTTGATAAAAAATTATATAAAAATTTTATTTTTAATATTTTATTTACTATTCATTTATATATATATATATATATATAAAATAACGAAAGTAGGTATTAAAAAGTATTTTTTTAATTTTATCTAATTATAAAATAATATTTTAAATATTTTAAAAAAATAATGATAATAATAATAATAAATATTTAATTTTATTTGAAATAATATAGAATAGTGAATGAATAAATAAAAAATAATAATCTTATTAAAAATAATGTATTTATAAACTTAATTATAAAAAAAATAAGATTTTACGTAATAAGTCTTTGAAATTCAACGACCTTTATTAAAAAATAATCGCAGAATTTAAAATATTTATCTATCCAATCATGAGATAGATCATCTACAATTCCTTCTATAAAAAAAAATTATGTATTATTTTCATATTTACTATAGTTTCAAAGAGATTATATATTAATTTTTTTTCTTTGAAAATACAAAAAAAAAAAGATTTGTGCAATAATATTTGCCATAAAAATTTCAACTAAAGTAAAAGATAAGATACGATTCAATTTTAATATAATTACTGAGTTATAATTTATAGTTTTATTTTTATTTAAATGAATTTATATTCATTTAAATGAAAACAAAATTATTCTTTTCGTTCTCTTAATTCTTTTACTTTTTCATCTTTTATCTTTTTTCTGTGTTTCTTCCCTTTCTTTCTTTTCCTTCCACCAATCTCCTTTTTCCTTTTCTTCTACTCTTTTCCTTCATTTTTATCCAACTCGCCTCTGCCTTTCATACTATCTAATCTTAATTCTTATTAAGACGGTAAAAATTCTAAATTCATATATCATGTACTTAAATATTTTCGTATTTATCTAAAATATTACATAATAAATTTTTATTAAACTACTTAAAAGAGGAAGAATTAGAGATCTTAAACAACTATTAAATATGAACATTACACTTACCCTAAAACAACTGGTTAAAAAATGATAAATTATAATAATTAATTAAAATTTAATTATTAATACTGTAATAAAAAATGTAAAATAAATAATAAAATTAAAAAATTTAATATCTATATTTTTTATCAACAATTATAGTTTTACATGTTTTTCCTCTAAAATACAACTTCCGTTGTAAAGAGTGAAATCCTCCATTTACTATTTAAATTTTACTTTGTAAAATGGCTAAAGTAATTAAAATTTGAATCTGGTATTAACTCCTTTAAAATTGACGATACAAATTTTTCAAACAATAATACAACGACCAAAATTCCTTTTGGGTGCTACACATGCAAAAGTAAGCTGAAGTGAGATTTAAGAAGAAATGTTATGATCATTGAATTTTCTCTTCTTACCCGGTGGAGGACAATATGTAAAGAAAACAAAAGGAGTTGATGATGAATATAAATGGTGTCCTTCACAACAGTTTTTTTTTTTTTTTTGGTTTGATTATCATCGTCTCCTAGAACAAGAGAAATTCAATAATCATGCATGGACATTTTTCCTTAAACCACACCTCAGCATAACTAATATAAAAAATAATAAAAAAATCATAGAGTAGCAATATGGCAGCATGTAGCCAATAGAATAAACCCTTTTGAGGCACATGCTCACTGGGTGCTGGTCATATATAAATATGTAGTGTTGCTTAAACGGTTCAAAGCCAAAATTATATGCAAAAAATAGAGAACGGGAAAAGTAAGAGTGCAGGCTTTGTAGTTAAATTAATATTGTTCTGATACAGTGAGATTATGAAGCATTTGAAGAAGGCAAAGATCATTCTGGTTCCGTATCCCGCACAGGGACATGTTAGTCCCATGCAAAAGCTAGCCTGGGCCTTTCTCAGCCACGGGTTTGAGCCCGTGATTGTTCTTCCCCAATGCATTCATGGCCAGATTTTGCTTAATGCTGACTACAGTGATCATGGCATCAAGTGGGTAGCTTTGCCAGATGGGCAGGCCCAGGAAGGGGACACGGGCCCAGATTTCTTTGCCATTGAATCGGCCATGGAAAACACTATGCCAACACACCTACAACACCTCCTTCGCAAGCTAGCAAAGGATGGTGACGTGGCATGCTTGGTTGTTGACTTGTTGGCATCTTGGGCCATAGAAGTGGCCCACACGTGTGCCATCCCTGTTGCTGGGTTTTGGCCCGCCATGCTTGCCTCCTACCTCTTGATTGCTTCCATTCCTCACATGCTCTTCCGTGGCCTCATTTCTGACACCGGTTCGTTCCATTCCTTCTCTAATTTCTTTATTAAGATTTTAACTCTTCTCTTTTTTATCTCTCAAACGTCGAATTCTGTCTTTTTTAATCCAACCGGTTTGACGGTTGGTAATGGCATTATAATGCAAGTATGGGATAATAAATGTTGGTAGCACCCTCTACCCACTCCCTATGGCTTTAATTTTCTCTTTTCAGAAACCTTTTTTCCCATCTTTTTTAACATTAATAAATGCGTAACATTGCTAAACAAACAGCCAAATTGCTATCGACAGGACCCTGTGCTGCAAACGAAGAAGAAAATAAATGCTTGTGCGCTCGACTTTTATCTCCCCGCCTTTAAATTCATGCTGGTTCTCTGTGTTTTGTTTTTAATTAATTTCAAAGATTACTAAAATCGTAATCGTTAATTTTCGTTAAAAGTTCTTGTTCCTATCTTTTCAACACTATTTTAGGAATCAGTAAATAAAAAATTATTAAAAAAATCACATCAAAATGCATTAAAAATTATATTGAAATAAAGTTTTTTTAATTAATAATCTCAAAATACTGATTAATATTTACAATTTAAAATATCAATTCAAATGTATATTTGCTTTGAAAAATATAAAGTTAATAATACTTTGTTCCCTTTTCCCGGTATGTCCTTTTTTTAGTAAAAATTAATTATGAAAAATATTATTATCAATCTTTAAACATCATCTGAAAATAATAAAATTTATTGACAATAGCTGAAGATATTGGCATGTGTGTTGGCAGGAGTTCCACAATACGAAGGAAAAATTCACTTTGAACCCGAGCTGCCTGTAATTTCAACTGAGGATCTGCCATGGCTTATTGGAACAGATGCTGCAAGGAAAGCAAGATTTAAATTTTGGAAAAGAACGATGGAGAGATCAAGCAACCTTAAATGGGTCCTCGTGAACTCCTTTCCTGATGAAATGGCCAACAAGTGTGGTTCACAAGGCTGTGGTCCACATGTGTTGCCCATAGGCCCTATATGCATGCACCAGTTAACAAAAACTATCAGCTTTTGGGAAGAAGATTTGAGCTGCATGAAGTGGCTAGAAAACCAGAAGCCCGACTCGGTTGTTTACATCTCATTCGGTAGTTGGGTGAGTCCTATTGGGGATGCAAAGTTGAGAAATCTTGCACTGGCACTTGAGGCTTCAGCAAGACCTTTTATTTGGGTTTTGAGGTCCACTTGGCTCCAAGGCTTACCAGTTGGATTTTTGGAGAGGGTTGTGAAGCAAGGCATAGGCAGAGTCGTTTCTTGGGCACCACAAACGCAGATTTTGCAACATCAATCTGTGGCTTGTTATCTCACACACTGTGGCTGGAATTCCATATTGGAGGCTTTGCAGTTCCAAAAGAAATTGCTGTGCTACCCAGTGGCAGGAGACCAGTTCGTGAACTGTGCCTATGTTGTTAAGGTTTGGAGGGTTGGTCTAAAACTCAATGGCCTTGGACATAAGGATGTTGAAGAAGGTGTTTTAAAGGTGATGGAAGATGAGGAGATGAGTAGCCGGTTAAATAAACTATATCAAAGAATCATGGGCATGCAGGGTGATAATATTAAGGGAGCTTTCGTTTTCAAAACCTTCCTGGAAGATCTCAAGAACCCATCATCTACAACTATAATTTGTCAAAATTCTAGTTAATCTTACGCTACTCTTCAATAAGAAACCGTATTCCCCATGGATCACAAAGATTATTCTTCTTTGTCTTGAAAAACTGTTAAAAATATGCTGAATTGTACTTTGGTGTGTCACAAATCCATTAGTTTTAGTTGGCAGTTTGTTTCCTGTTGTGTTGAAATTGGAATCAAGTCAAATGGAAAAATACGCGGACTATGCGCACGTTTCTGATTGTTTTTACACCTGATTTTATCTTTGAGTGCAAATTTTAAATCGGTTTCATTAGATTTAAGCAAATAATAATATCATAAGTAATTTTTTACTATTTAAATTTATCTCTAAAGACTAAAATTAAGCTAATTATTTTTAAATATTCATCACTTTATAAAATTAATTAAGGTATTAAACTAGGCCAAATTTAATGAACCCATTTTAATGCTACCGTGATGAAGTGAATGCATTCACATAATAGGTCCAATAACAAAATTCGAGGCAAAGCTCTTTCTCTTAAATTCAAAACCACAGATAAGTTGTAATAATTTTTACAAGTTGATCAGTAGTAATGATTTAACTTAGTTTATTTGTCTAGAAAGTATTAAACACAATTTACCAATATACTAGCTTTTGAAGTTTACTAAGATGTTAGTTTGAAACAATAATCTATTCATTTTAGGTAACAGTAAGTTTTAAATATTTTAATGTAAATTAATGTAGGTATTTTAGTAATTAAATTAATTAATTGAAATTGCCATTTTGAAATATTAATAATGAGAATAAAAAAATTATTCAATGGCTAATATTATATTAATTCTCTAACTTTGTCCATCCAAAAATTGTCTTTTTAATTTTAGGTGCACAACAAGCAAATGCACATTTTGAGGTCAACGTGATCCGCCAATCTTTAGTTTTATTCTTTAGTGTTACAATGTGATTTAAGAAGACATAATTATTTCCATATCCCTCGTATATTTTGGTGATGCATGCAAATCTGAATTACGATGAGAAAAGTGTTGTAGTGGGTTAGGAGAGCCCTTTTTCTTTTAAGAAAAACATAACCGGATATTATACTCATATATAGAGTTTGCTTGTCACAGAAAAGGACAAGGATTAATTAATTCATATTTTGAATAATTTTTTGTCATTGTGGGCTACAATGGAGATGTGACTTTGAGTCCTTTTCTTTCTCCTGTGGAGGAAATTCTGAAGCGATTTCTTTATGGAAAGACCTCTTGAGACATACATTAACAATGCTTGAGATTGCAAGCCACTGCTTTCCTCCATTTCTCGACTTGCCGACCATATTATCACCCTTGCCTGCGTGTTATAAGTCATTTCGTTACAATGCTTTCATTTAATTCAACAATCCTTTCCAATCAAAACTGCTTAATCAGTTTATTCCCTTTTCCATTCACAAGTTTTCTTCTTCTTCCTTCTTGTGAGCTAAATGCCGAATGAACTCCTTTTTAGTTTTAGTGAAAAAATTAAATGTATATTGTTTCAGCTTATTTTAAATAAATAATCACTTGTTTTTGTAGTTACTTGAGCGAGTTTTTAAAAAATAAGTAATTATCTCTCAGAATTTAATCATTTCCAAAAAAAATTTACTAAACATACTCCCTTCCTTTAGTTTTCATCTGTTTTATAAGAAAACTGTTAGAATGTCTTAAAAATGAAGAATTTTTTGTTTTCCTAACTTTATCAGTACCAATAAGTGATGAAAATAAATGTACTTCAAGAAAGGATAATTCAGTTAAATAAACTTATTAAATTAGGATGATTCAAATTGGTTCTGTGTCTCTCTGGGCATATTACCTGAAGTTCTGCTATGTCAAAAAAGCAGTGGCGTCGATTGTGAAGTTTATTATGGTGTATGTTCAACGTTCCATTCCTACAAAAGTCTTGCACTTTGTTTGATGAGATAGTGAAGGGAATCATAACAAAAATATTGAAAAGAAAAATTGCACATTGCTTACATTGAAATTGAAGGATGGGAAGGTGAGTAAGCAGATGAAGAATGAAGGCGAAGATCCATAAAGCAGTTTCTCTTCATGTATTAATGTAACTATGGCAAACTCTGGATTAACTCTGTAATGGATAACAAAGATAAAAACTTTCAAATTTTGGAGCACTGAGAAAATACATGAAGTTGATTACGGGAAGAGAGAGGGATTTGAAGGGTGTTTATATATTTGGAGTTGGAAGAAGGAAAACAATTAAACTTGAAAATTATGTGTACTGAGTGAGAATGTGGGAAATGAGTTACACATGTCCAAAACTTTTTCATCAGTTGCGTACCTGCGGCATTCAGCATCAATCAATGCCTTAGTAACTCAATCTGTATTTTCATGTGCCTTCTATGAGTTGGTAGCTACCATTGTTTGCTCTTCTAAAGTAGAAAACTACCCGAATTGGAAATTAGGCCACTTGGTCGAGTCCAGCTTAGTTTTACTTTCTCTGTGTAACCACCCTTATTGCGTTGTGTCTTACATGTGCTCCCTTTTCTTTCGCGTGATCAAATTCATTTCACAAAAAGACACCTTTTTTTTGTTTCTTGAATTTATACATAAAATGCACTTTCAATTACCCTATTTTCCTTTCTTTAACCAAGTCCTTGTTCTCTCTGTTGATCATTTTCCTCTAGCAACTACTACGCACTCTACCAATTCACCATTTCATATCAGCCCAGATTATTATAAGCAGCTATCCAATGATGAAAAAAGCTAAAATGGCAAATATTATCTCAATTTTTTTTTGGGGTTGGCATATATTTGATAATTCCATCAGCACTAATCGGGTCCTTACATTTTCCGCACAAAATTTTCAATTATTTGTTAAAAAAATGAATATCACATCAGCAAGTTGTTATATCATAATAGCATATTGATTCCTGCGTCGGTATTTACCTTCTATTGCTCAATGATTTTGTGTATTTCAACTTGGAATAAAAAAAAAAAAAGGCATAAAATTTAAAGCAATAACAAGGGTACAGTCTTATGTGGTGGCACGTGAAAAGTGTCGAAGTGTTCTCGTGTCACATGCCACGTACCACGTGTGTGCTTGTTCTATTTCAGCCATAGCGTGATCGAAGAAATCATGTGCTCCACTAAGTTTGCCTAATATGCTAGGATTTTGAGAGCCAATGGGACATAAGAATATGGAGCTGAGTGTGATCCTGTGCTAAATGAGTCAACATTGATTCTGAATTATAACCAACTGTCGATTTCCGAAGTGATTATTTGAAGAGAAGGATGATATTTTTCATTCAAAAATTAAATATTAATGAGGGGTAAGAGGACATTAAAAAAATAAAATATTAATGATGATAAATTGAAGGGCACTGCTGTTCCCGTTACCACCATAAGCAACAATTCTGATTCCCATTATTTGCTTCAAATTGATAAAATAGCAAGTCTAAAAGGGTGAGAAACAATGCAATATTTTTAATTTTCCACGATTTCCGTACATGATTGAAAAGAGCATCAAGCAATCAACCATATACAAATGCGCACACGCACACGCACATGCACATGCACCCCTAACGTTAGCGTAATCCTTAATCGATGATAAATATAAATTCCTAATCAACACTGCACCTGTTGGAATGGTATTCACAACTTTTATACGTACCTCCAAACCTGGTTGGTCACTTCATAAACTTCAAAGTAAGCACATTGTTTACGCATCTTCTCTTGCCATTTTCTGGAGGGCCCTAACTTTGAACTAATTATAGAGGCCAACATCACAACATTATGATCAAAAGAGGCAACCTGTGATAATTAACATTAACTTGGCTATGCTCAAGTGTTAACTAAAGAGTAGGATAACTTGCAAAATTTTTTGAGAAGTAAGAATTTTTTCCCTCCTATTTCATTGGATTGAACATTGGGTTGCCAGTCCATGCAAGAACTCTTTAGAATCTGTGTAGATTACTTGTAGTGACATATAAAAATGCCATGATCACGCGGCTTAATCACCATTCCGAGGAAAAATGCCCTCTCTCCAAAATCTGACATTTGAAAACACTTGGTCATCTCAATTTTGAGCTGTGTAACAAGTTCATCAATACTACCTGTTATTAAAAGGCTATTCACATCACATACGGTGACACAATAAGAAGATTAGTCTCTTATTTCTTTGCATACGAAGCAGATAATTTTACCGAAGCCACTACTCAGCAAATGTTGATTTATTCTGCTGTACCATGCTCTAGGAGCTTGTCTTATACCATACAAGACATTCTTTAATAAATAGACTTCATCTTTCTTCATGCTCTTCCTCTAAGAAACCCTCAGGTTTGATGCAAAAAGTAATGAACAGTTCTTGATTTTGATTCATCAAATTGGTTTTATCTTGATTGGGTGTGATGGGGAATGAATAGTAGCAGTGAAGCCTACCTTAGATAACTATTCAATTCAGAGCCTTTATTCATAACCCTTAATCAATTTAGTGATTGTCTTTATTATTTTACTGAATCTTGTGCGGTAAACCACATACAATTCTACAATGGTGATGCAGGCTGTTCCAATTGAATATATCACACGTCAAAGAAGTTTTCTCCCTGCTCATGAATGGGTTGTTGATCGAAGCTAGCCAAGTCGGTTTCGTACTTGTGTTTAAAGTTGGCTCTGTTCTGATTGAAGTTTGATCCCACCTTTGCCGGATGCGAGCTTGTGCTGTCTTTTTCCAATGTTTTGCTCGGCATCAGTTGGGCCCGTCTTGGGCCTTTGTTCCTTTTTACATTGTTCACTATGGGGCACAAAATTGGCTGTCCGTAGGTTTTGTTATTCAACAATTAAGATCATGCTCTGACAAAAAAAACAATTATATTTTTCTTGTTGACCTAAAAAGAAGGATAACATTTTTCTCTCTTTTATCTCATTTTTCCTTTATTTCTTTCTTCCTTTCATATCATATCATCTATCACGTTTTTCATTTTTTTCTCTTCCTTTTTTTTAATCTGTTATTTTCACTTGATACACCTCAAATTTCAATATTGTGATAGGATAGATAGTCAATTTCTCACAGTTTTACCCCCTCCATTTGCCAATTTAATAAATTTTAACCACAACCTGAAATTCATGTGCCATAAGGAGAAGTTATTACCTTAAACTGTCAACAACTAAATGTGAGTAACTTATGCACTGTGTTTTGACAAATCGCCAGTAATAAAGGGCGTTTTCATTGGCAGCGTTAAATTAAGTCAATGGGATTGATTTTATCAGTGAAAGGAAAGAGAATAGGAAAGTAGTGTTTAAGTGTGATTAACGGGTCCACTCAAAAATCTTGGTTTACACCTTCAAGTGGAAATCCTTATCTTTCTAGCGTAGAAAATTAAGTAAAATGAATAATAAAAGATATCTTCATAGTTGGGGAAAGACTGCCCTAAACCAGTCGTATCAGCTATTGCAGGAGGAGCTACTGTCATTGATGATGCTCTTGCTGTTGTTGATGCTGTCGTCCTTGATCTTCCTGTCCCTGTTGTTGCACGTGATCACGGGTACTGCTGCTCTGTCCTGTTAACATTCTCAACAGAGGATCGAATCTGCCTACTTGTTCTCCATCTAATAAATTCCATAACGAGAGAATTCATACTGATTGCAATCCCAAATCCAGTGAATGAGGAAAGGAGAATGGAGAGAATTGCATTAACATTGAGCTACAAAAGTAGAAAAAAGGTGCATGTCAAAATATATATTCTTTCGCTCTTAACCCCCTCCCAAATATCTTAGTGAGTCAGGACAGGAACTACATCATCTTACAATAGTATAAAATACATGAGCAAACAGGATAAGAATTGCAAACTGGAAGCAAGCATAAGCCCATACGTAACTCCTGATCACTGCCACCAAAATACATCATGAGAATCTTACATTTATTAAACAATATTTAGTATTATTTGCTGCAAGTACTTGTGTTAATAAGACATTAATAACTCCAAATCGTGCGGTTTAATCGTGAGGCCAAATAATTATGATTTAGATGTTGATATGATCTGCTTGTTATCTTATTAAAATGCATACTGAGTCCAATATTTGTCATTTCTCATTGCATTATTCCATTTTACTATTTCATGACCGATTTTTACCATTATCCTCACCACTAACCATAACTTGCAAGTGTGCAGTAATCTACTTGACAAATGGAACTAATTAAATAGGAGGTTAGACCTACATGAATTTCACCCACTAACAGGAAGTATATTGAGCATATTGCTATCATTTTTCTAACCTACTTTTAGATATTTGACAATTATACACAAATGCCATTCATTTTCTCATGCTTATTACCAAAAATAAAAAAGCCAGCAAAAATTAAATCAAAGGTGCAAATCAAGGACATTAAGATATGAAATGACTTTGATATGCCAAGGAATATAGAAGGAGACAAGTTTACCCATGGTTGATGCAATCATAGACGAAAGGAAACCTAAAACACAGGAGAATGGTAGTGAAATGGCAAGAGCACGGGGGCCCAAATCTGAAACCTGGTAAACTAGAAATCAATGTGTCAGACATACTTACATTTTGCACAAAACAGTTAAATGTTGACAAAGAAAAATAAAAACCAGAAAAAAAAATTAAACACATACAGCATTATCAAAGTGCCTTGATATAAACTGTGTCGATAAATATGGCATTCCAGTAAGTACCTAATAGCAAATAAACAGCATCTCCCTTGTATTCCTCACAACACACTCAGGTACAATGTGTTCTGTGAAAGAATTAATGGGTGACTTGAACAAAATAAAGGATGGAAAGAAATTCATTTGTTTAGAATTTGGCCCTACAAGTGCCTAAATTACAATGCACATTTTGCCACTCCTTCAGCACTAACTAACTACGTGTTCCAAGTTCTTTATGCCCCCAAATAAAGAGAAATTTCCTACTTCTGTAAACTGAAAAAGTTGTTAAATTCCCAGTAGATGAGGTTATATGTTCTGGACCACCTGATGACATTGACAACTACAGTTCGTCAAATAAACTTTCAGAGGTAACATTCTCATGCAGATGGTACTGTGACCGTAGGATGCATTAGGCCTAGGATCATAATTTGATGTAAGAAGCAGTTACCCAGTTACCATAAACTTCAGTGTATGTACAAAGAAAAGCATACCAGTAGTTGCTCTAGAAAGCAAAAGTAAGCAAGCATGCTGACCAAGATAAGAACTGGTACATCATGCCAGATCCTGTCATGCATGAAAAACTAGAATAAATTACAATTAGAAAAAATTGTGATTCGCAGACAATTTGTCACAGGGTTTTATAGACTAACAAGGTGATGTAAATGTCTTTTTAAGGGGGTTGTCTCTGGTAGATCTACAAAGTGATTGGTGTGCTGTGATACATCTATCATGTTCTCAGTTTTTCTCTATTTCTTGTCATTCCTAGTTTAGTTTTCGATGATTTCTTATCCTGAAGCTTTTGACCTCTCATTTCTTTCTTAATAAATTCTTTGTTTATAAAAAAAGGGGGGATGCATATGCTGCTCAAATTCAGAATCAATTGCATATCTACTCATATACAGCCCAGTTGCCAATAACCTGGAGCAGTTCTCTTGATAAACTTCAAAATTTTCGGCAGTTGCAAGCAGGGTAAAGTTTTACAGCAGTGTGATTTTACACTGTCATTTGGTGTCTTAGGATGGAGAAGAAATTCCAGCATATTCAACGGAAATGTCCTTAGACTTGATGTAGGATATGACTGTTTTGAGGGCATCTCATTGGAGCTCAGCTCTCGATTAACTTAAAAATGGATAGACAGCTCTGTCTTTTTCTTTCGTTTAAGTGAAAGGAGGAAATCTTTTCTTTGTAATCATTCCCTTGTATTCTTTCTTTATCATTATTAAAAAAAGGATGCCAAACAATACCATGAGCACATCTTTACTGCCACCTACCCATACAAACAAATAGACTGAAGCTGCAGCTAATTAAAAACAACCTTAAATAATTAAGATCTACTGCCTTATGCAATATTATAACCATCCCTAATATCATAGATAAACCAAAATAATGAGATACATCATACATGGGGCCTTTGAACCTTACATGTTCTAGTAGGTCTCGAAGTCTGGATCACAAGGTTTATCAAATAAACATGACAAGAATTTTTTAGGTCTCTCCTATGTCAGTTTATGTGGAAATTGAAAACAGAAAAATACCTAGCAGGTTGAAGCAATTAAACTTGCCTGCAATAAGTTATATCTGCTTGTTGTGTCACATTTGATATCTGCCTGGCAGCAGTTTGAGGGTTATAAATTTTCAACAGTGTTACTGGGAGGTTTTGGACATCCTGCTTGCAGACATCACAGGTCCTGTTTCCTTTAATAGTAAACCACTTTACTGCACAGTCTTGGTGAGCCAGTGCAAGATCACCTTTACAACTGCATTCCATCAGAAGAGTATTCCCTCCTTCCCCAAGCTCCACCAGACAAATCCTACAAACTGCTTCTTCCTCTGGAATATCCTCAGTAGCATCTTCAATGGCTGGAAAGGAAAGAATAGAGTGAAAAAATGCAAACAAAGGAGGAGGGATTTGAGCATATTGTTAACATGATAAGAAAGTCAATTAAAATAGTATATTGACTAAGATAACTATGCATGCTACCAAATAAACCAGTCTTCGATTAACTACCAAGCAACCCTAACTCACAGAAAAAGACAATATGTAATTAAAAGCCCTATGATCAAATTTGAAAAACAAAACTACAAGTTAACATCAATATAAACATACTTCATTCAGTATCATCATTTCTTTCTTTAATTTGGAGAGTCCACTGGAAATCAAATAAAAAGGTTTTCTTCAGATTATACCTCCAGGAAACCTCTATTTTCTTCCCTTGTATACTATTGTTGCTAATTTCATTTTATGGTTTAGTGTTCAATATCAAATAGATGTTGCTTGTCAAAACAACAAAACATCTCAATTTACATGCATAGCTGATCAAGAAATTTAAGAGACATTTAGAAGAAAATATGTAAATTCCATGTATTTTGAAGAATTACCAATCTCTGGAACCAAAGCACCACCAGTTGAGGCTCCACCAGCAGTTTCAAGATGTGGTGTTGCAGAAATTACACGAATCATGCTCCTAGAATTTGCACCCCTTAAATTAGTGGCTTTGCAATTAACTGGGACTGAAAGTGATCGAGTCATATGCTGTTGAACTTCCATTGTCTATACGAAAAAACATTAATCAATGCAACATATCTTAAGCAAAACATACAATTTTCAATTACAAAATGTTAAAAACACTGAGTACTGTATAAAAGTAGCTGCTTTGGTCTTGAAACAAAAATGAACAAGGGAAACATACACTTAAACCAGAATCACACCCTAGATGTCTTCCATGTACACTATTTGCACCTGAAGTTGCAATTGGAGTAACTGGTAATGAATGAGCCACTTTTTTCGATGGGGAGAAGATGACTTTGTTATCAAGAGATTTAGACCTTGAAGTGGAAGGCTTATCCAAAGGAGCTTCTGATGGGGGAGTATCAGGAACTATGAGACCTGTCCTTTCAGTATCCTGGGAACAGGTGCTTGTCTTGAAGCTCCTCTGAGGAAGTAAGCTTTTCATAGAAGACCTGACTTTGGCTGAATTTGGCCTTGGAGGGAGTCCTCTTGCGGAACCAGGACTTGATAGTGAAACTGAAGGACCATCCGTCTTCGCAAAAGTAGATAATGCAATATCTAATGACCATGCTGGTATTTGCAGTGAGGAGAGATTAGGTCGTCTTGACTGCGGAATCAAGAAGGCATTGTCACCTTTATCATCTCCAGTACATGTCTACAATGCCATGCCATCAAAATAAATTTCAGAGATGAACCTGCTAGTATTATTTTCGTGATGGCATGGTATGATAATTAAATACTTTAGTCTATCAAACTAATACTTTATACACGTAAAACATTATTAATCTAATTAATTGGCAAACAAGTAGATTGTTGTGCACTGCTACCGACACAAAAACAGCAAGATCTCGAATCATAACAGGAATCAGTGGCAGATTAAAGTTCATTACGATTATACAGACCAAATTCTGAAGAAAATGTTTGGAGTCACCTGATCTGGCGCATTATCGGTATCAATTCGAAGATCAGCATCGGCGCCATCACCTCTCTTTTCCATCCAAGGAAACTCTTTGGCAAAACTGTTCCAATCACAGCATCAAATGCCCAAACGCCATAATGTATTATATTTTGATTTGATTATTGTTATTATTATTATAATATTATTAATAAAAGAGAAAGGGTGTCACAATGAGGATATTTGATTGGAACAAGGGTTAGGGTTCATTTGATTCAGATAATTAATTCATAAACGAAACTCGAAAGGTTTTTCGATTTTTAGAAATTGTTATCTCACGATTATTACCCGCCAACTGCAATTTGTGACTCACCAACTTTATGATCCTTCCATTTCTCCCACGATTCTCCATTTTACGTTCTTTCTCTTTCCTTCTCCTGCACTTCACTCACACGTTTTCCTTAGACTCCTTCCATGCCTCTTTCTGTTCTTTGCAATTTTTTCATCTTTTTCTATCGATTCAAATCATAAATTTCAAAAAATACACTAACAGTTTCCATATTCTTTTTATCTAATTTCAAGATCACCTCAAATTATAAAGCTGCGGAAATTTGCTCATGTATTTTCAACTGAAACAATTTAACTCTTTATTTTTTACAATTGTTTTGAAAAAATTACCCCCAATATGGCAATACATATAGAAAACCATTAAACGGAGCAAATTATCGGTTTATATAACTTAATATATGAGGAAGGACAAAATTAATTATAGTAAATCAATTTGATTAATTTTTTGTTATTTTGTATTTATTTATTACTTCGTAAATCATGTAATGTTAAAAATATATATGTAATTATCAAGGAATTGATCGCAACTAAATTAATTAGTTTGGCTTTTGAAACATAATTTTAATATTATAATTAATATGTGATTTAGTTTTTTAATAAATTTTATCCAAATTTAATATTTTTAATTATTTTGGGCAGATTATTTCGTCAATTACCTTTCTTTAAAAGCTTTAAAATAATCGATTTTTGCTAAAAAGAAATTGCAAATTAGACTATTCAAACTATTTTAAACTCTGTTATACTTAAAGCTCGTCGAGCAAAATAAAAAATTCTATCCAAAATATTAGAAAATTGAAAATGTTCTCTCTTCGAAATTCTTATTTGACTGTTATTAATTTTTTAAAATTTCAGAATAGATTCTAACTATGAATTGCTTAAATCATTTTTCATTTCATATTTATTTTAAATCCTTAATTATTCGGACAAAAATGAGAATTTGAGAGGTTTGGTAGATAAAAATTAATTAAAAAAATGTAAATTTTAAATAATTAGAAAATTACAATTGATAAAAATATTAAAAAAAACTAAATTAGATTTTAATTACGATAAAGAAGCTAAAAGTATAAGTCAAAATTTTAAGCTATCATTCAAGTAAAATGGTTGGTAAAATTATCCACGGGGCATAAAAATGTTGAACTGTATAAATTTGAATGAATGATGAGATTGATGGAAAATTTTAACCAAAGGAAAGTTCGTACCACATGTGAAAATAGGGAAAATGCTAATAAGGATAATGATATGTTTAACTTGTTTTATTTAAATAAGCATTCACTTAAGTGAGTGGAGTATTGGGTCTAGCTTCGGACCATTCGTGGTGGATGTTCCAACTTTTTAACATAAGAAAATTTTTACATTTCCGTTGAAACCATTAGACTTTAGGCTTAATTCTAAATTTATGTCAACTCACATCAAAACGTTTTCTTATAAATAATTGTAAAAACCAAAATAATATATAGTTTGCACATTTTTTTGTAAAGGTAAAAGAAAAAATAGTCACCTTGACAAGTTTTTGAACCAGAACTTGCAAACAATCTGTATCTCACATAATAATTGTTAAAATAAATAAAAAGTAGAGTTTTGAATTCCTTAATTTGCTCCACGTTTAGGTTGAACATTTTAGAGTGTGTGTTATTGTTTATGCTTGCAACTAAATAGGAGAAAATATTAGAGTTGTGATTCACAGACTTGACATAGATGGATATGTCCCACTGTTTTCAGAAGGGCGTTTTTCTTGCGGAGATATGATTTAGAATAAATAGTACTGTGAAATGAGTTGATATGTTTGAAGAGGTCAACGGCAATAAAGGAAGGTGGTAAGCATGTGGTAGAATATGAATCATAAAATTGACTTATTTGTATTGTTTTTGAGGAAGGTACTGAGCAGTTTCTTGCAGAGAAGTTGGGTTGGAATTTGGGATTTGAAGTGTGGAATGATGGCAATCACAACAAACGTGGATCGAAGACTCCTAAGGGATTCATTTCAATGTCCATCATTTCATCCCAATGCTGTTGGGCCCATCACCGGTGAAATTATACAATTTTACACTATCTTTGTCAAATTTACTCTAAATATTTTTTAATAAACATCATTTTTCATGGCGTGAGTTTCTAATTTTAATTGAATAAGATCATTAAAGCACCTAATTATTTTTATTAATATACTATTAACCATCTCTTATATGGCATAATGCCACGTAGTCCAAAATGAAGGGCTAGGATATTGAAGTTGCTAAGTATGACTATGACAGGGGTGAGCACATGGAAGAAGGAAGAAATTTGAAACGCCCATAAATAACCCATCACAAAACAAATTTCTTTCCTTCTTTTCCTACCAAACAACCAAAATCTCTCTTGCAGGATCCAGTGGATGGGTGATACCATCACCATGGCTGACCCAAACAATAATAATAGTAATAACGAGTGGCTCCATTTCTATCAACAAAACTTCCAAGCTGAAGTGCTCCCGGCCGACGCTACAGCCGTCACAACCACCGGAACGCCCACGCAGGCCCAGTTAAGCCCAGAAGGCCGAGTCTCCAAGCCCATCAGACGCCGTTCCCGGGCTTCCAGGCGAACTCCCACCACTTTGCTCAACACCGACACCACAAATTTTCGGGCCATGGTGCAACAATTCACCGGAGGTCCAACCGCACCATCTACGCCTACTTTGCCTAACATGGCTTTCGGTTTTGGGTCGCGTCCTCTTCCCGTGAACCCAAGTGGGCTTATGTTAGCCCCTTCTCTTGAGCATCAACAGCTGTATCAAAACCAGCATCCCACCTATGGAGAAGGTGGAGACAACACGTTTTTTCAGAGACTAAGCAACCCAACGCCTCCAAATGTTACTCAACAGGGTGGGCTATTCATGGATCATGGAGGGCGTTTTTTCCCAACTACTTCTTCTTGATTCTGCTCCCTCCCTTCCAATACGAACGGGGTTAGGTTAGGCGCAGGCCCAGATTGAGAGTGACATAAAGCAGATAATTAGGTGCTAACTTGTTGACCAACCTATGTGAAATACTATATTTCTAGTATACTTTTTCAGCTCTTTTTTTTTTTTTTTTATCTTTTTGGGGTTTCCTTGTCGAGCTATGCCTTTTTTTTATCTTTTTTTTTTTATCTATGTATTTGTTTTTTAATTTGAATTGAGAATTTAAGTTCAATTATGTTGGATCCGGTATGTGGGTTACAACTTACAAGGCATGGCTACACTTTGTTTGTCTTACAAATTGTTTTACGTATGTTGACTTGCTTCGTACCTCTGTGGTTTGTGTCAGCATGTCCCTTTGTGATGTAGAATGTGGAAACAGCCCTCATTATAATTTTACCAACTCCATAGTGCGGGAGGAATAATAAGCCGTCGGGTAGGAAGACTCAGTTTCCATTTTCCTTCCCCAAAGCTATTCAAAGTAGTATCAACGTCTACTCTAGCTACCCATCCAATTATCCAAGTACAATTATGCCACTCATTGTCATATCTTCTATTTACTGTTCAGGTTTTTTCTTTTTTTAAACTATTAAAAGTTAGTGTGATATTGCATATTATTTTTTTATATATACAAACATTTTGAAAGTATATATTAAATATAAAAGAGAGATAGATATTCTCTTTAGTAGTACCAAAAAACATTATTCACTTACTCAGCGTTACCATGACCATCAATGACTGCATCTTAAGATAAAACAATTATTTTAGTAAGATAAGATTATATGAAGATTTTCTGTTGTTTGGTTTCTGATAAACATTAAATAGCTAGTATTTTATCAAAATTTATGAAAATCTATCAAGAGCAAAAATAAGCGTGTAACTTTTTATTCTAATTTTTAAAAATAAAAATATATTTCAAATTCAATTAACCAAACTAAATTAACTTATTTTTGATTGGGTAGTGTAGTTTAGTTTTGGCAGCAAAAAATAAGTAAACTAAAGCTATCCATTTTAATTTATTCAAGTGTTTTACTCTTCTAAAATTGACTGATGCGAATAAGTTAAAAAGGTCCTTAGGTGCCAAAACTTTAAGTGCGCCATCGGATTAAAGACTATTAGATTATAAATCTGTTAAACCACCAACCAACATTTACTCGTTCTCTTACTATTATTACTAAGTAAATTTATTTTTATTTTAGAACGGAAATAGAGTAAACGCAACTTAAATTTGGATTAAAAGACATGCACCTTTCAAGCTCGAAGACAAACCAACCCAGATTTGTATGGATCTGCAGCTTTTTTCATGCGTCTATAAATACCTCACACTGTTCCAACGACTAAACCAATCGATCTGCATACCTCTTAATTTTATAATTCGGGATTTGTTTTCGATAGATTACCGAGCTGACTTTATAAATTAAATTTAAATCTTTATTCTTAAATGAGATCAATTTTTAAGAACTATTTTAAGAAATATTATTTTGAGAAACTATTTTATTTTTCTCATTATATGATGTGACTGCTTTTCTATTGAACTTTTATTTCATAATTTGTTAGCTTTAATATTTTAAAAATTAATCTCATTTCATATGATGGAATTTTATTATTAATAATAAAATTGTTTTAAATTTATAAAATATAAAAACGGTCATACAATATACGAATATATATATTTTTTAATTAATCACTAAAACTCACTAGTTACAATAAGCAACTCTCCCACCGGCTACGCTCTCCCCATCTACAATCGCTCGTTTTCCGAGTTGCATTCTCCATTACTTTAAGATGGGAAAATAAGATCACCATGCACCTGGAATTTTTTGGTTAAGGACATTTTCTAATGGTCCTAATGAATCGTCTACTTTAAATCCTAATTCCCATTTAATTTATGAAATTCTGTAGAAGGATTTTATGGTTCAAGACTAGAAGTTTAAGTGAGTCTTAAATGCAACGATTACAAGATTAGTCCTGCACGAATTTACCAATTGGCCGGCCTTCATTGAAAGTATTTCTTAATGTTCCAAAATAACTCAAACGATACATTTTGCTTTGTAAGTAGCTATTTTATTTGTGAAGCATAGTCGTAAGCATCCTAAGTAACATAACATTGGGGGCATCTTGCACCAAGACAATCCAGGTACTCTCTCAAATCACTATGGATGAAACATGAAGGCAAACTCTATGGAAGCAAGCGAGTGACAAGATGATCAAGATTTAGAGCCCAAAAGTAAATAAAAAAAAGAAAATAGTAGTATTTAACCCATCTAAAATTAAGTCACGGACATGACTAATCACAAACACAAGTTCAGGGCAGGTCGTCTTACCAAGCATATGCACAAACAACACTTGCATGTATACCAACATTCCACACGAAGAATTTTGACCACACCAGCAAAACGAAAGTTCCCTTCTGCAACTCCGAAGCATGTTCCACTATCCAAGATAATGCATAGAATATTACAGAAATTGCATGGACTGTTGCTATTGACACACTGCCGAGAACCCAACAACTTCACCAAAGTATACCTACTTTGTGATCTCATCTTTTCCGTTATTTTGGGGATTAAGCTCATCATCGTCATAATATTCTTCAAAATACTCTTCATCGCTATCATCCTCTTCATCATAATAATACTCATCATCATCGTCATCCTTGTCATTTCGTAGAAGAAATGGGCCATCACTTGACTGCTGACCCCTTAACTTCTCTTGAATTCGATCCCTAATTGCCGTTCCCTGATATAGATCCAAGCGGAAACAAAAATTCGGGGGGAAAAAAGAGACAAGTTAACAAGTAGTTCAAATACATCAGAAGAGTTACACAGTCTTATTTTTTGGCATAAATTAGCTCACCATCTTGTGGCAACCTTCTTCAAACATTTCCAGAAATCCAGCGACCCAACGGTCAGCATTTTCCACCCACTCATTTCGATGCATACCAGCAGTCTTTGCAACAATTTGGATCTAGATAAAGCACACAAAGATATGTATATCTACCATAATTCCATAAAAATAACTCAGATAATTTTTAAAAGCATATGACACTACTAAGTATACATAAATGTTGAATGGAGAATGCTCATGTTGATACCACTACAAGCATTGCCTTATTATGTAAAAGAAAAACTTTCTCACTTTGCTTGCTAAAGGAAACATCTCCATGATAAATTCCTCAATCCAAAGCATATCTATTTTAAAACTTAGCCTCATCTACACTGCTATATACAATGAAAACCCAGAAAAGTTTTCAACACTTCAATTAAAGACAAGATCTCCTTTTCACCCAGATCCATATTTAGCAAATACATAAATTTAAAAAATATACTTTCTAATACTGCTTTTAAAAACTATTCTACAAAAAAATGCGAAAACAGTATCAATTCTCTTCTTTTACAATATAACTACAGTTGACCCAGTCCATAGCTTTTTCACTCACTAGTATCTTCTCAATGTGGGGACAAGATATTTAATGTTAGCCAACAATTAATTTGAGCTTACTAAATCTTAGGGAAAAAGATTGTAGCAAAGCAAACATCGACTGATTGATATCAGTTTAATGGCGATAAATCATACTATTACTCGTAAACAGTGGAAATGTGATCTATTATAACCAACAGTGAAGGTGTGACAAAAAAAGGTATAAATTCAGAGCAATATTTTCTCATCAATTACAATAGCAAGTATACAGCAACAAGACATATGAAGCTACTATGCTTAATTATAAAAAAATATAGAAGATGTAAAAACAGAATTATATACTGAAATTTATCACAATACGAGGAATGGATTTCACGGAAAGCTATATTCAACAAATTTGATACTGTGATGACCTCATGCTTCTGAATTAAAATGAAACACCTGGTTGGTTCAAAAGAACAATTAAAATGACATAACCACAGATGTCAATTCAGATTGGGTTATTAAAAGTTTTGTCAATTTTACTCAATCGCATCATGTTTGTGTCCTTGAAAAAGCCCTTGAAATTCCTCAAATCCCATACTTTGACAGAACTGTAAACGTAAACCATTGAACCCAAAAAACAGTAGCAGTGTCCAACATCCCATGACAGTTTGAAACCTATGAAAATTTTTAAACCACTTTAGCTGGCATTCTCAGTTCCTACCTCAACCAACCATTACATTACATCATAATTTACATGTGTTTCTCATTCTACAATCCCTTCATCCCATATAATTGAAAAGATTTTACCTTCAGCTATTATTAATTCAACTAGATTAAGTAAACGATATGTAACAGCAGTATACATACCTTTTCACCAACCTTTTCTTGATGTTCCTTTACTTTCTCTTGTAATGTTTTCAACCTTCTATTTACTCTCAGTCGCTTTTCCTGTTTATGATAAAGAAAATGACAACCACAAGAGACAAGGGCATTCACCAAAGGAACAACAAGATAAATGTGAATATAAAGCACAAACAGTGCACTTAAAGAGGTATCCTGTTAAATTTTAAAGTAGAATACATCAAAAGAGATCTATGCCAAAACCATGCCTTCACATAGCTGACACCAAGCTCTTTTCTTGAGTACCCACGATCCAAGTTCCGCAGCACATATTGGTTATAGTCTTTGACAATCCTCATTATAATATCTGATGTAGATATTCCTTCAGTCCGCTTTGTTTCCTTAAACCTCCCAACAGATTTAACCTGGAAATTAAATTGCAAGGCACATGGTGTAAGTGACAAGATAAAAGTAACAATGAAAAAAATTTAAAAATAAAAAATCTCATACATACAAATTCATAAACATCATTGGCAGCACCACTTGCATCAGCATAACTGTGGACCACGGGTTGACAAGTGCAAAAGAGATGATTATATTACCATTATATGCATACATATGCAAGGAAATGAATAGAGGCAAGTAACTAGATGCACATGTTGATGTTGTCATGCTAGGAAATTATGCTTACGGAAGAGAGTCATGAGCTACATAGTCAATATTGTGCTTGTCAAGAAACTCTTGATTGGTAACCCAAGGAGCATCAGGAATAACTTCGTCAACCCATCTGGTCTCAAAACGAAAGTGAATTCAAATTCAAATAATAAAAAAGCAGAAGCAACAAGTTTCTGAAGAAACAATCATACTTGCAGTGGCGCAGGGATTCGTATCGTTCGGCCTCTGTCATAACAGTTTTGCCTTTGTATTTGTGGGTGACTTCATCATTGCAGCACCCAACCAGCAAGTATGTATTCGGAAATCTAAAATTCCAATGTAAGAGAAGTGTTTGGGAATGGAACCTCGAAGAAACTCCTTTTTATTTGCTAATATTAATTTGTTAATATGAAATCTACAATTTTGTTTTATTAATCAGATCTCAAATGCAAAGGATCAAATAATAGTGATTGTGTGAGGGGTAAGATTAAAGCGAAGGTGGGAAATGAAGCATACGATTTCTTGGCTTGCTCGAGGGAACGAGCGTGGCCAAAGTGGAAGAGATCATAGATTCCGTCGGCATACACCCGAACGAGACGGTCCACCGGAGGAGATGCCGTTTTGGAATTCGAATCTTCCCTGCGATCTGCCATTCGCCTCTTCTTCTCCTCTGCTTCGCCTTTCTTTCCTTTTGATAAATTGCGAAGGACCTCTCTTTTTCTCAACTTTTTTTTTTGAAATATTATTTTTCTCGTCAGCAACACAAATAAATTATTTTCATAAACATAGCATTCACTAGTTTTTTTTTTTTTTTTTTCTTTTTAACAGAGGGGATTTCACTATGAGGGAAACATGAAACAGATTTCAGTCACCCTTAAATCTAAACCACTGCAAATATTGTACAAGAAAATATTCCATAAAAATGCAAATTGGAAAATGTTTTGTAAACAATAAAAATTAGACGATAATATTTGTCATTTTTAATGTACATGTGTATATATACCAGTGTTTTAAAACCGTACACAGAAATATCTTGATAAAAATAAAAATTTATTATAAATATTATTAATAAATTAAATATTTATATATAAATACATTTAAAATTATTAAATAAAAATAAATAGTTATAATAAAATTTTATCATAAATATATAAGTAAAAAATAGAAATATTATTATTATTTATTTTAAAAAATATTTAACAAATAAACTATAGTAAAAATATATAATCAATTTAATAAACTAAATAAAAATAATAATTAACAAAAAAATTTATATTTTAAATTCCTTTAAAAAATATTTGAATATAAATAAATTATAAAAATAATTTTTTAAAATTATAATTTATACTTGTAATACATAAATTATTTCATAGAAAAAAATTAATTAAAATATAAAAAATAAATTTAAATCATTAAATAATAATTCTACAGTAACCGTCGGTGATTATAAAGTATATAATATATTTATTATTCATCATCCATTAAATATTAATATAATTTTATTTAAAATTATTTATGTAAAAATTAGAGATTAAAATTAGACAATAAATACCATTATATATATATATATTTTATGGGTGCAGAGCTCCTCAAATATTCGGCCGATCCCCTCCTCCACCGAGACATGCAGAAATAACCACAAAAGTTATTGCTTTTTTGCCGCCAAATGAATATTTATTTATTGGAATTTTGAAACTCTTCGTTAGTTTTTTATTTTATAAACTAATATTTATTTTAACTTTTAATATTAAATAACTGTAAAAATTAAAATAAATACTTTTTCATTACGTTACAGACTAATAAAATGTTTTCACTGACTCATAATTTTGAGAAAAACAAATTATTTATAATATATAGTATTATTCTTTCGTTAAAGATATAAATTTTATATTAATAATTTATATAAATTTGTATAACATAAATATTTAAATAAAAATTAATAAAAAATAGTACATAAAATAATTTATTTTATTTTATTTCTTAATAATAAGTTCAAAATTTACTCGTGTTTATTGATATAAACATTTAAATAACACGCCTTAGTGATTTTACTTTATCTCAAAAGTGTGGTGCAATGGGGGTAAAGTTTCATTGTCTATACTCAGGTAAAGCTCTATGTATTTAAATTTTGTATATACAATTTTTTTTAGGTTATATGTTCCTTGTTCAAATCCTATTTTGTATAAATCTGTTGAGTCACAAATCTTAATTTATTATTAGTCTTGAGCCATTTGTATCTAGAGACATCAAACAATTACAAATCTCAACATTAATTTCAAACCTTATTATGACTCTCAAAATATTTTAATATGATTTATTAAAATAAAAATTTTTATATTATTTTTAATAAATTTTATAGTTAATTTAATTATATAAGTAGTCATGTAATAAAAAAAAGTTCTTAAATAAAAATTTAATTTAATTATTTATCCAATTACACCCATAATCTTCTAGTGAAAAACAAGTGGTATGAAAAAAATATACAAATAAAATACAAAAATAAGTTGTAGCAACTAAGAAACTATTACTAATAATTTTATAAAGCTCTCATTTGTGTTTGTGGTTGAATTTGATAATTTAATAAATTAAAAAATGATGTCAACTTTATAGTATATTATGCATATAAAACATATTAATATTAAAAGAGAGAAAAAAAAGTTTGGAAAGCCACGACTTCCTTAGCAACAACTTAGCTTCATTATCCCAACATGTCTTTGAACTCACATGAATACCAAGTTTCACTAGAAAGGTTAAAAATAGTTGGTTTTACAATTTTAACTCTCAAATCCTCATTTTGTTTAGATATTTTTAATTAAACCTAAAATATATATATTTATATAATAATTATTAAAAAAACTAAAAAATATTATATATGTACATATGCATATAAATTTATAATAACTTTGTTATATCAAGTGTAGATTCCATGTAGAATAAAAAAAGGAACAAAAATCTGAGAAAAAAAGGGAACAAAAATATTTAAAAAATTTTCACCCCCATCTTTGAAAAATTGTTTCATATTCTTATTTCTACAAAGGAACAAAAATTCTTAGACTTAGACTTTGCATAGAAATTGAATGGATAGAAATTAGTTAGACTGAATAATTTTACTGGTTTTGACGATCATTTAATTAATGAGCTTTTGTTAGTGAGACTCACGTAAAAAAAAAGTTTATTTTTATTATCGTCTCAAAAGGATCTCTTATCTAAATAAAGCATTAGAGTTCTTGAGGGGATATCCCTAACCAAAAGGGAGATGTATCGGTTGAAAATGCAACAAAACAGTTATCCAAAACTTGAAAAGAAGTGTTAGCTGCTGCTTATTTTTTTTACCTTCTGAGTGATGGATCTTCACGAAATTTTTGTGCTAAATAATCCAGAACTTGCAAATTTTGATAAGAAAAATTATTATTTGTTTACACTTTTAAAATAAGGTATGAAATAGATGAAGGAAGAAAGAAAAAAAAAAGAAATAATATAAAAATAAAAATAAAATATAAAATTTGAGCGTAAAAATAGCATTATTTGGTAAATAATTAAATATGGGAGCCTTTAACAAGTGGTAACACTAAATAGAGTGATGTGATATATTCTTCCTCCAATTCGCAGAAATTTCCTAATAATCCATAATGTGCTCATAAAATTAAATAAAATATGAATTGAAAGGTTCGGAACCTAAAAGTCTTTGATTCCGTAAGTATAAACATCTTTAGTTTCGTTTTCTAATTCCCTTTATGTCGTCATGTGTCGACACGGAAATTGACACTCAGCGTGGCAGAGTAACCATAAATTTCATAATCTTAAGCTTGAAGAGTGATCTTTTAATCCAGCACCTACGTATACACACATAATCCATATAATTCTCCTGTACAAGTTTGCTAGCTAGGGTTTCCTCCTTGTGCTCTGTACCTCTCTGTAATTCTTTGAGGAATTCCGAAAATGAACAAAAATGGGGCACGTTGTGTACGTGATAAGTTGACGTGGATTTTTGTGTTTCTGGTTATTCTTCCATGTTTGGTTGTTGGCGAGTGCACATGTGATAAAGAAGACGAAGCTGGTGACAAGAGTTTGGCTAAGAAATACAAAATAGGAGCTCTGGTTTCGATTTTGTTCGCAAGCGCAATCGGCGTTACCATTCCAATGCTTGGGAAAACTTTCTCGGCCTTGCGTCCTGAGAAGGACTTGTTCTTCATCGTGAAGGCCTTTGCGGCTGGGGTCATATTATCCACTGGTTTCATCCACGTTTTGCCCGATGCTTTTAAAAAGCTAACATGTCCTTGTCTTGATGAATCTCCGTGGCAAGATTTTCCTTTCACAGGATTTGTGGCAATGGTGTCCGCTATTGCAACGCTCATGATTGATTGTATTGCAACTGCATATTTTAAAAAGGCTCACGTTCCCGAGAAGGATCAAGTTGTTGACCAAGAAAATCAGGTTGTGGAGCAACATGAAAATCATCTCCACGTTCATACCCATGCAACTCATGGTCATGCTCATGGTTCCATTCCTCCTTCATCGGACCTCGTTAGACATCGTGTTATTTCTCAGGTAATTCATCTTTTTACAAAATTCAGCCAGTGCCATCACTTGTTATTCAATTAGAATTAAAGTTTTATCTTATTATAATATATTAACACTGAACATAAGCTTTTGTTAAAATGACATTTTAATTTTAATTAATTGTACAAACAATACTTAAAAAATAGAAAGATTTTAAAAAAAATAAAAATTGGGCCAGTTATCTCTAACCAATCATGCATTTTATTTTGTCAATTTCTTTCCAGAAAATCAAAATACATGTTCCTTCTCCTACTCTGCCAGATATTTAATTTTTCCTTTCCTTCTCTCCTTAATTATTATCCTCGCCTATTTAGCTTTCGGGGCTAATTTCGTTTTCATTCATATTGATCACAGACAAATTATCTTTTCCCAATAATATCTTACAATTTGTTTAGAAACAATAATCCTAGTTCGTACGAATAGGATTTTGTACAAGAGAAGCTGTTGAATATGATTGAATACTCATTTACTTTTAATTTAAGCGTAATTTGCTTTTTCTTCTCAAATTAATAGTACGTTATCACGTGTATTTAAAAACTATTCGTATTAATTAGTGATGTTTTTACAATAGAAGAAAGATAAAGAGAGAGAGAGAGAGAGAGATCAAATAAAGAATGTAATAAAAAGAGATTAAAAAATATTATTATAAAATTTTTTGTAAAAACTCAATTTTATATTACTTGTGGGCATTTCTCTGTCCATAAACAAACAACATGACACTTTTGATATTTATAAATTGTAGGTGTTAGAGTTGGGAATTGTGGTGCATTCTGTGATAATAGGGATCTCTTTAGGTGCATCAGAAAGCCCTAAAACGATAAAGCCTCTTATAGCTGCTTTAACTTTCCATCAATTTTTCGAAGGCATGGGGCTCGGTGGTTGCATCTCACAGGTACTGTGTACATCACTCTTTTATCTGGATTTTTTTTTTCATATTCATTCTTCTGGTCAATTATTTTTAATTCTTTGTTTTGTCCGGTGATCCTCTAGTTAAATATATCTTAATGCATTTCCAACAGTACGTAGATAGGATAAAATTATTGACAAGAACTTGCATCAATATAAAATAAGATTAAAATGATTCGAATTTCTAATTAAACATATACACCTTAATTATCCTTTTTTTTAAAAAAAAAAACTTCATTTAATTTCTGATTACAAACTTTTATATAAGCACCTAAACTTCATAGATTGAGTTCTACCTTCTAGAGGAAAAACAAATAGGTAGCTTGTGCAGTAATTTTTTCTTAATTTATTTTTAAAATAAAATAAGAAAAAATGTTAAATTTGAAAATATAAATGCAACAAAAAAGTATTGTACTGGTGATGAAAATTTACTCCTGTGCCGACGTGCCGTATATATATTTTCAAGTTTTCTTTTTTAGAATGTAACTTGAAAGCTTCCATATATAAGATTTTTGTTTGCTTAAATGTATTTTTGTTTGTGAAATTTTAATTTTAGGTTTCTTAAGAAAATATTTAGTCCTTGTTTTTTTAATTCAAGATTTTTTATCCTTAATTATAACGTGACTAATTAAAAGTATTGAAATATTAAGAAATAGAAACTAAAAATAAAATATAATTTATTAAAATATTAAAAATGTATTAAAACATATTTAAGCCATAACAATATTCTAAAGCTGTTAAAAAGTGAAAATGGAATCTAACTTAATTTTGATAATCATATAAAATGAATGAAACAAGAATGACTGATGTCCGTACTTGCTTGCATCTATCACTTATCTTTCCTTCGGTGTAGACACAGAGTATTGGATGTCTCTCTCATGGTCTGAATATAAAAACGTAAGAGCCCCGAAGAACAATTGACTGTGTGGTGTGCATTGGCTGGTGCATGTATTGATGATGACGGTGACACTGACTAAAATTCCTCTTCATTTTGGACGTTTCAAAGTAAACGGGTTTTTAACGTTTTAAGTCTTCTGAGTTTGAATATTCAAACTTCCTAGTGCCGGCTTTTGTGCGTCGGCAACATTTTGTTTATCTAACGTTGCTCACATTATTTCTAACCTACTTCAATACCTATAACTCTGCTCAAACTAATACTTAATTTTGAAAAACAAATCAAACTTTTGTTTGTCGGAATAACGAGTATACTAATACATAACAAAAAATATCTTAGTCAAAGAATAAAATATGAAGTGTATTAATGATAACCATATTTAGATAGATAACTTAATAAGTATGCTTACATATTTCAGGCAAAGTTCAAGGCGAAAGCAGTTACAATAATGGCACTGTTCTTTTCCTTGACAACACCAGTGGGAATTGCAATCGGTATGGCGATTACGAAGTTTTACAAGGAGAATAGTGAAACTGCTCTAATAGTGGAAGGTGTTCTTAACGCAGCATCAGCTGGGATATTAATTTACATGTCTCTTGTGGACCTCCTTGCAGCCGATTTTATGAATCCCAAAATCCAAGCAAGTGGGAGGCTTCAGATTGGAACTAACCTATCTCTGCTTCTTGGTGCTGGTTTTATGTCGCTTCTAGCCAAATGGGCCTGACTCACCAAAGCCCACTCTTGTACATACCTATCTCTCTCTCTCTCTCTCTCTCTCTCTCTCTTTCCATTATATATTGTTTGTTTGCCATACTATCTCTCCGACAATTATAAATAATTTTACGCTCCTCATCTGTTTGTTTGTAGATTGAATCTCGATTACACCCATTTTAATGTCGTCCAATAGATGTGATTTATTTTTACTTCAGAGAAATAAAATTACAAAAACAAATGAGGCGTTTTTGTTGACCCTTTGCCTCCACTACCGCTATCCTATTAATTACATAATAGGGATTAATTAGAAAATAATTTCTTTTCCACTTTTAGTCTGTAGAAAAGAGAATATCTTGGGACCCCCAAAGCACGTGTCACGTGCACTCCTTTAGAAGTTTGCGGAACAATTTCCGTAAGACACTATTTAGCTTAGAATATACAAGTCTTTCGAACTATTTTTTATCAACTTTCTAGATTCGAAATAAAGTTTAAATAAGTTCTTCTTTTAATTTTAATTTCTTTTATTTATTTAATTTTAATTTCAATAATGATATATTTATTTATGTTATGTTTCAGTTTAATTATATAAATTAATTTGAATGTTATATAAAATAATTAAATGGAAATTTTTATTTAGGAGCTATATATAAATGAAATAAAAAAATCAAAGATTTTTAAAGTAATAAAACCTTATTTAATCTGTACAACATTGTATTAAATAACAAATTATAAATATATTTTTTTATAAAAAAAACATATAATTTTAATGTATTGATATTATGAAATATTTTATTTTTTAATAAAATTTAGTATTCTGTATAATATTATATAAGTTAAAAGATAGTTAAAAATATAGGAAACCTCTTATCTTTATGGTGACGCCCATGTCCACGTATACCTACGGGCCAAAGTGATCCGATTCATGAACATGATAAAAGAAATTTAGTCCACATTGTATTTTTGTGAAATAATTCCAGCGATCCTTCTATACCAATCGCCATAGATTTAGACATCCAAATTTCACCATCCACATTCCAAGTTCTAAAGGACAAAAACACTCTGCACTCACTTCAATTTCATTCCCCAGACCAGACCAGCAAAGCAATGACATCACTTGCAAGATTCTCTTATATATTTATCTTTTAGCTTCATTTGCAATATAAAATAAAATAAAATCTATATACAAAATATTTTCAATTTAAATTAACAGTAATTGTTCATAACAATACCAATCATCTAGATTTGATTCTTAAGTAAAAATAAAATTGCAAACTGCAGGACAGCTGTGTTTCCGTCAACGTAGAGGGTACAAATCATGTTACCTGTCCATGAAATATTTATAAAACACTTTTTAACATACATATTTGATATTAATAATAATGAGAGTAATTGGTGGAGTAGAGTGAACATGTTAAAGTGTTTAATGAGGAAACGAGATAAAAAGAAGAAGAAAAGCTAAAAGGGCAAAAAAATGTTACAAATCACAGTAATCAATGCATAAAAGGTACACGTGATAAGAAAAGAAAAGAAAAATTGAAAATTTTGAATAAATAATTGCATTAACCGTTGCAAGTAGGTGTATTAATAGTGCTCCTGAAAAGAGAATGCGAGAAGATACTGTCTTTCCGTGTTTGTGGGGTGTAGGCATAAATAAGAGTAGTGAGAGTTGAGTTATCCTATCCACTGCCCTCCCCATGTCGACGATGAAGAAAGAAGCGCAGCTTGTGTTTATCCCTATTCCAGGAGTAGGGCACCTCCTCTCCACCATAGAGTTCGCCAAGCTTCTCATCAACCGCGATAGCCGTCTCTGGGTCACCGTGTTCGTCATGAAGTCGCCATTTGACACAAACACTGCTGCTTACACGCACTCTCTTAGCTCCTCTGAACGAATCCACGTCATCAACCTCCCAGAATACCCTTCCAAAGCCGAATTAGGCGGTCCTTCCCAATTGAACCTTCTCCTTCAATACCAGAAGCCTCATGTAAGAGAAGCTGTCAGCAACCTCACTGCGTCGGAGTCCGCGCCGCCACTCGCGGCCTTCGTCCTTGACATGTTCTCCACAACAATGATTGATATCGCAAAAGAGTTCGGGGTTCCTTCGCTCGTCTTCTTCACCTCAGGTGTTGCCTTCCTTGGATCAATGCTTCATCTTTACACGCTCCGGGAACGAAACCAAACCCAGTTCCGGGAGCAGCAAACCGAGTCGATTATACCGAGTTTCGCGAACCCGGTCCCTTCCACGGCTCTGCCTTCTTTCGTGGTAGCTGAGGAATGGGACACGGTTTTCTTGGCGTATGGGAGTGGACTGAAGAGAGCCGATGGCATCATTGTAAATTCGTTTGAGGAGCTAGAATCCCATGCGGTTCACTCTTTGTCCGACGCTGCTGCTCTACCACCGGTTTATCCAGTGGGACCCCTATTAAACCCTAACAATGGGGAGGGTGAGAGCGAGAAAGAGATCCTTAGTTGGCTTGACCATCAACCTCCTTCCTCGGTTGTGTTCCTCTGCTTCGGGAGCATGGGATCTTTCCCTGAGGATCAGGTGAGGGAGATCGCACTTGCTCTCGAGAACAGTGGGGCCCGCTTCCTGTGGTCCCTGCGGAAACCCCCACCCAAGGGTGCCATGCTCGTTCCCTCTGATTACACTGAATCTGATTTGGATGCCCTTTTACCACCGGGCTTCTTGGATCGTACGGCAGACGTTGGAAAGGTCATCGGTTGGGCCCCTCAGGCCCAAATACTGGGCCACAGAGCCACGGCAGGCTTTGTTTCCCACTGCGGGTGGAATTCTACGCTGGAAAGCATATATTATGGCGTTCCCATTGCGGCGTGGCCGCTCTACGCTGAACAACAGACGAATGCATTTGAACTTGTGTGCGAGCTGAAGATGGCTGTTGAGGTTGCCTTGGATTACAGGGTGGAGTTCATGGTTGGACCCAACATTCTGGTCTCTGCTGAGAGAATAGAAAAAGGGATAAGGAGTCTTCTCAACGTCGACCAAGATATAAGGAACAGAGTGAAGGAAACGAGTGAGAAGAGTAGGAAGACTCTGTTACCAGGTGGATGTTCCTACTCCTATTTAGGACGCTTGATTGATTATATAATGAATCAAGTATGAAATTACCTTTCTAAGTGAAACATTAGTAACATTTAATGTACAAGTGTCTTATTATTTAATTAATTGAATGTGAAAAGGTTATAAAATTAATTTATAATCGACATGGTTTCTTAATTTATATAAACAATTATCAAATCATAAGAATTTGTTAAAAAAAGTATTTTTAATTTATAGAGAGAGCAGGAGCAGGGCGCAGAGCGTGGTACAAGAGTAAGCAATTAACTTGGGAGAGAGAAGCCAACACAAACAGTCCCAAAAATATTTTTAATTATGCATTTGAAAAACTATTTTTTAATTAATATCCTTTATAATTGAGAATTGTAAAATAATAGATATTTTTGTCTAAAAGAATAAATACCATTATATAATTTTGTAAAAGTTTAATTTAATTTAATTTTATAATATAATTATATTTGATATTATTTTTATGGTAAAATTTTAATATATTGAATAAATATATTTTTTTTTTAAAAATATTTTTTATATTTTAAATATAATTTTTAATTCATTTAAATAAAATAATTTAATAAATATTATAAAAAAATAATACAATAGTTATTATATACTTTATAAAATAAGTGGACTAGTCCACTGACTCTAGCTCACTATTTTATTTATTTTAAGGCTTAGGACTAATATAAACCCACTAACTATAGGGTTTTAAAAAACATAGAGTTATATATGAAACTAATAGGGTAGGACTTTAACCTATTTACAGCTATACTAAAAAACTTAGTTACACATATTAACACCAAAAAAAAAGAAAAGGAAAAAAAAAAAAAGAAATGAAGAATGACTCAAAAAAATCAATGAATTAGGTAGTTGATTCCTCAAAGATGCTAGTTCTTCAACCTAAGATTTACATAATAAATACTTTTTAATAATAAAAAATCATTACATTCAATAAAGTGCCGTGGGAGACTTATCGTTAGCCTAACATTGAATGCTGCCTAGAGGGTAAAAGACTCAATAATAATCACAGCTGCAAGTTTGCCTCAAGATAGACGTGCTGATTTTTAGCCACTTATTTCTCCTTCTCACACCATTACCCGAGGTTTCCTGAATAAAATTTATCATATCCATAAACTTCTTTGCGCAGTAACATCTCGATTATCACCAAACCACTTCACTCCGCTCTTAATTGTCCAGTTTTGGCTTACAGAATTCAAACAGGCACTACGACTGCAGCCCAATACCATATTGAAACGCTACATTATGTAAAGAAGGCCGAGCCGAGCTGAAGAATTACACCACCATATATACATAATCGTCACACTGTTTCTTGAAATGGGGGTAAAAAGAATGATCAAACTTTTCACTATTCAGCTGCATAATCTCGTGTTGTTCATCAATGAAAATCTGTTCAAATGAATGACCACCAGCAGTTTTAACCTAGTGTACATTGGATGAACTTATGCCCGTCATGAAACTATTATCAATTATAATCAATCCTGCGACTACTATATCAACAAACCGAACTCACTTTTTTGACAACTCCCCACCACAAAGCAACTAACAGCTCTCTTTGATAAAATTTGAGATAAATTACTCATTGCATACACTAGATTCCAAAATCATATTTATATTTGAACCGTAACGTGGCTTATAACCAGCATCCTTCATGTCCATAGTCAATTTGTCCAAGATATAATATATCTCACTGCTTTGAGGGTGCTTTTCATCTCTGGATACAAAGCAGTTCACACATCCAGCAATCTCAACCCAACTACATCCCATTTCCTTTTGCAAACCTTTTTCCTTCATCTGATTTCTCACTCTATCAACATTTTCCCACTCGCCTTCCTCCGCATAAATATTTGAGAGCAGAACATGATATCCTGCCATCCTTTTTTCTGTTTCCATATTAAGCAACTTTTCAGCAACAGCTTTTCCCAGTTCAAAGTACCCGTGATTTTTGCAAGCCCCAAGAATAGATCCCCAGATTTCTATCGCATTACCGTCCTCACCCAATCCCTCAACAAACTCATAGGCTTCGACCACCCTCCCAACTCTCCCTAACATGTCTGCAACACAACAATAATGTTCGACTGAGGGCTTAATTTTATGTACTTTCTCCATAGACTCAAATATTTGAAGACCTTCATCAACCAAACCAGTATAACTGCAAGCAGACAAGATGGCAACAAAAGTAACTGCATCAGGCTTAATGCCAGATCTCAGCATGGAATCGTACAGGGTAAGAGCTCTCATACCCATCCCATGCTGACCATAGCACATTATCATTGTGGTGTATGTGACCGAATTCCTCTCAGGCGTTCTGATAAAAACATTTTCAGCATAACTGATTGCACCCGATTTGGAATAAGTGTCCACAAGAGCTGTTGCCACATAAACATTTTGGTCCAGGAAATGGCGTATGGAGAATCCATGAATTTGCCTAGCAAAAGCTATGCTTCCCATTGAACTACAAGCTGGGAGAATTGATGCCAGGGTCACTGCATTAGGCGTTACCTTGTGCGCCAATGTCTCTCTAAGAACGAGAATGGCTCTGTCATTGAGCCCATTCTGAGTATAACCAGCAATCATGGCGTTCCACGTGGCCTGATCTCTGTCATTGGGGCAGTTCTTCTCAAATAATAACTCAGAATTCCGAATCAAACCGCATTTTGCGTACATATCAACCAAATAACTCTCCATTCCCTCAAATTGTATCCGGTGGCGAATTAGATATGTATGAGTCTGCCTTCCAATGTACAAGTTCCTAAGGTTAGAAGCCGCAGAAAGAAGGGCGGCGACGGTGACAGAATCAAGGCCAAAGCTTTGCTTCTGCATCTCGCACACAAGCATCAGCGCTTCCTCATCCAAACCATTCTGCACAAAGGCAGAAATTATGGTATTCCACGAAACAGTATCCCTTTCGGACATCTTATCAAACACCTTAAATGACGTATGAACAAAATTGCATCTAGAGTACATAACAATTATTGCGTTGAGAATAACAACGGGTGAAAATGGCAAGCTTTTTAGAACAAAAGCATGTAGCTGCTCAGCCAAATTGATTTGCTGGAGCTGTGAAACAGCAGCGATAACAGAGAGAAAAGTGACATCATCGCATATAGCCTCCTCTGACTCCAAGGCCTGAACGAAAACACGGAATCCTTGAAGGGGACAGTTATTTTGAACATAGCCACCAATCATGGTGTTCCAAACCTCTGTATTTTTATGGGGACATTGATCGAAAACCATCCTAGCATAGTCTAGGCAACCGAGATCAGAAAACATAAGAATTGCGGAACTGACAGCAAACACGTCGTTCACATACGCAGCACCAAATTTAAAAAGCAAACCATAAAACATGAGAGCAATTTTAGAATCGCGAAAAATGGAAACAGCGGGGAAGAGATTTACAAAAGTAACAGGAGTTGGAGTAAGAGAGAGTTTGAGGATGGAGGTGAAGGCGTGAAGAGCTTGAAGGTGTCGGTTGGTCTTAACATACCAGGAAATGAGAGTGTTCCAAGCGACGACGTTTCGTTTGCGCATGACGCGGAAGACTTTGAGGACGTAGTCTTGATGGGGTTGGGTGGAGGAAGGGGGCAAGCAGGTGGAGTACATGTTCAAGAGGGAATTGTAAACAATTCGAGAGTTGGAATGGGATCGAAGGAAATGGGAATGAAGGGCTTTACCGGCCATGAGGTCGTGGGTTAGGGCACAGGCTTTGAGGGTGGAAGAGAAGGTATAAGAATCGTAACGGGTGGGGGGAGTGGACTTCATTCGAGCGTATAAGAGGAGGGCTTGGAGAGGCATGTTGTTGCAGATGAAGCCAATGATGACGGTGTTCCACACGACGGTGGAGGGGCGGGGAAGGGAGTCCAGAAGATGACGAGCGAGGTGAGGCTGTCCTTCCTGGCATAGTTTGCTAAGGCGAGAGCGAATGCTTACGCCGCGCGTGCGCGTGGGGGTTTTGGTCTCAGCTGATGCCGGAACAACAGGAACAGACACAGGAATAGCCGGAGAAGCCATCATCGCTCCTCAATCCACACACGAACTACTGTGGGAGTAAGTCTGTGACATAATCCATTTCAGTTCCCGCGGTGATCTTCATCCTTCTCCACTCCCACCATAAATTCACTTATTTATCCATAACTTGTCACTTTTAATAAAATTATTCGTTATTTTTTATTTGAATGAGTAATAATTTCAATTTTAATTTATATATTTATACTCTTTTTATTATTTATAGTTTAGTTGACTAAAATGTAATTTTTTATGGATTAATAAAGTATCGATAATATTTTAAAGTAAAAAATAGTCATCAAAGATACTTTAAATATAAAATAAAATTACAATAAGTTAAAAAAATATAATACAACATTTTAACAATAAATATCAAAATTTAACATCATAAATTACAATATCATTAATTTAAAATTAAAAACATTTGGCCCAGAATATTGAGAGTCACCGTCGGCTATTTAAGTTTCTACGTGGGTTTTCTTCTTTATTTTTTTGTTAAGGTATAGTCTGTATTACTGTCCCTGCCCATGAGGAAAACCATCATAAGTTCTGGATATTCTAAGGTTTGAAACTTGGGTCTGAAAAATGCTACTCATCATCGCTTTAATTAAGTTTGTACGTGCTTCTTTTTTTTTTTGACATTTTTTTTCTAACAATTATTTTAGAGATGGGTTAATTGAGGTTTTCTTTACAAATTTTTGTAATTCCGGTGTTTTGAATTAAAAGAAATGCTTTCGCCATTTAATCTAAACTGTAAATTGTATATGTAAAGCCTATGTGTTCACAAATAACTGTTGTGCTTATTACACATGTAATCATAGTATAGATAAAGTGTGAATTAAAAAAAAAAAATTTCAAGAGAAAATTGGTTTTATTAGTAAAAATAAATAAATAGACATTTAACATTTTTATATTAAGGTTAGCTATATAAACTTGAGCCTTGATTTTATATTTTTATTTGATCAGTTTTGTTAATTTTAATCTTTAAGATCAAGTATATATACTTACAAATAGGAATTTTTTTTAATAAAATTAATATATTTATTATATTAAAATTATAAAGTGTGATAATAATTTTGTATTGGTTAACCGATAATTAAAAAGGAAAATATTAATTTTGTTAAATCTAAGTAAATAATATATTGGAGAGCTAAATGAATGAAATAGTAGTAAGGATGATGGGCGAGAAAAAGATTTGGGTGATGAGTGATGGAATATACTAATAGATAGAAGAGAGGAGGGAAAAGGTCCACTCTGCACTGCACGCTTTGGAATAGAATAGAATAAAATAAAGAAGAAGATTGGAAGAGTGGAATCAGAGGAAGATGGAGATGCAGCAGCTTCTCAGCATGGGCTTCCCCGACGAGTTAGCTGCCCAAGCCTTGGCTGCCACCGGCGGCAAATCCACCGTCAAAGCCACCGAATGGATTCTCACTCACAAGTCCAACACCAACACCAACTCCTTTCAGCCCAAGCTCGACAGGTTCTTCCATTCCCATTCCCATTCCCAATCCCAATCCCAACCCCAAGAAGAAGAAGAAGAACCATCCAAACGCCCTAAGTTGTCTCAATCTCCTCAACAGCAGCACCAGCAGCAACTACAACAACACTGGCCTTCCATCTTCTTCAAGAAACACCCCAACAGCAACAACAATACTCACATTCACGAACCCTTATACGAGCGCCTGCGTCCCAGAACCCTGGACGACGTCGTTGGACAGGACCATCTCCTCTCCCCGAAATCCCTCCTTCACTCCGCAATCCAACGCAGTCGCCTCCCTTCCATCCTCTTGTGGGGTCCACCCGGCACCGGTAAGACAACTATCGCCAAAGCCATTGTCAATTCCGCTACTTCTTCAACCTGTTACCGCTTTGTTTCCTTATCTGCCGTCACTAGCGGCGTTAAAGACGTCAGAGACGCCGTTAACGAAGCCAGAAAACTCAGACTCAAAACCAACCAAACAACCGTTCTCTTCGTCGATGAGGTTCACAGATTCAACAAGTCTCAGCAGGACTCTTTCTTACCCGTCATCGAAGATGGCAGCATTGTCTTCGTTGGAGCCACCACCGAGAACCCTTCTTTCCATTTGATCACTCCCCTCTTGTCTCGCTGCCGCGTTCTTACTCTTAACCCTCTTCAACCCCACCATCTTGCCCTGCTTCTCAACCGGGCCGTCAATGACCCTGACAAAGGCTTGATGCAGAGCGTGGGGTTTCAAGTGGATTTAACAGAGGATGTTGTTGATTTTATAAGCAACAACTGTGACGGGGATGCTCGTGTCGCCTTGAATGCATTGGAGATTGCTGCTGTTACGGCTGCTGCACGGCTACAGCGTGTTAATCTTAGGAACTCTAAGCAAAAGGAAGAAGAAGTTGATCTTCACCCCAACGAGGAATGCAAGGTTGCTGCTCTTGTTACTCTTGATGATGCCAAGGAGGCACTTCAGTGCAAGCACCTTGCTTATGACAAAGCTGGGGAAGAGCATTATAATCTAATCAGTGCACTGCACAAATCCATGAGGGGAAGCGATGCTGATGCTGCCATTTATTGGTTGGCAAGAATGATAGAGGGAGGTGAGGAGCCTCTTTACATTGCACGTAGACTCATAAGGTTTGCAAGTGAGGATGTTGGGTTGGCTGATCCAACGGCTCTTGCTCAGGCTGTTTCCTGCTACCAAGCTTGCCACTTTTTAGGAATGCCAGAATGCAATGTCATTCTCGCACAGTGTGTTGCTTACTTGGCCTTGGCTCCTAAATCTGTCGCTGTTTATCGAGCAATAGAAGCAGCTCAGAAGGCAGTGAAGGAATCGGTTGGACAGAATGAGGGAGTGCCTCTTCATCTGAGGAATGCACCAACCAAATTAATGAAGGATATTGGATATGGGAAGGGATACATTTACCCTCCCGACAACCCTTCCTCAACACAGACCTACTTACCACCATCACTTCAAGGATACAAGTTCCTCGATTGGCCTGACAGGATCCCCTCCGATGGATAAATTTATTAAATCAAGATCCGGAATTGTTATGTCCCATTTTTTGGTCTTTGGGTAGGGCGCAAGGGGGGCACGAGGTGCATACTGCGTACAATGTTATGTATATTTCTCCACCATCATTTCTATTTTTTATTTTTTGTTTGCATCACTAAGAAATATATACAGTGATGGGGGAATGTAAAATGCTTAAATCCTCATTTTGATGAACTTGTTTTTAATTTTAGCTTTTTAAACCATAATATTGACTTGAAATACTTTTTTTTTAAGGTGCTTAGATCAAGAAGTTACAGATTTTGCAGTCAAAAGATTTTTCACCTTAAACAGAATTACCAAAATAGCTAGTCTGAGGCGTGCAACCAACACTGGGAAACGAATGGACGTTGATCTAGACATGTTATTTTCTGCATTTCATTTTCATACTTTACGCAGATGACACTAACAATTAACAAAACACGTGATTTACATGAAGCCAAGTAGAAGCTAACAGTTGTGACTCATCTTGCCAAGCACTTAATATACACCGAAAAGAGAAACACGCTCTCTTATTAATAATAACAATAAAAAACATACAATTTAGGGGTCAACTGATAAATTAGATCCATTCCTTTGGGTTGATGCACGCATCTAAGAGTTTCCATTCTTCGCTTCCTTCTTCTGGTTTCTGCATACCAAATGATACCCCCATTTCAGTAGCAAATTTCATAAATGGAAACTAGATGTATCTAATATCCAACTAGCTTAAAATAAATAAATAAAATTCCAAAACCATACATGATCATATTCCCACCGAGCAGTCAGTGGGAGAGAAACAAGAATACTCTCTATTCTCCCTCCAGTTTTTAGTCCAAATGTTGTACCCCTATCATATACCTGTAGCCAAAAATTGTTCCATAAACACATTTAAACCTGATCTGCAAAATAGTAGAACGGTACATTTATAGTCCAGAGTAGGGTTAAAAATTGTACCAAATTGAATTCAACATATCGTCCCCTACGCAATTGTTGCCATGCTTTCTGATGCTCAGTGAAGGGCAAATCCTTCCTTTTCTCTATGATAGGTATATAAGCAGGAATAACAGAATTTGCACATTCTGCAAGCAACCATAGTTTAGGCAAGCATGAAATATAGTAACGTTGATGTCATTCCAGTGAGAACCATTAGATTATAAATCCAAGCAATTACCAGTAGCAAAGGAAAGGAGCATCTCCTGATCATAGTCATTCAGATCATCAAAAAATATTCCTCCAAGCCCTCTCCTTTCGCCTCGATGCTGAATATAGAAACAAAAGGAAAATCAGGGAACACAACCAACAACATATGCCAAGCCTCAAGTTTAATAAAAATAAATTATAACGAATCCACTCTGACCCCTTAAACATAACAGATGGCATCCATGATCCATCAAATTACACGTTCTAGTGACTCAACTGGTATGATCTAAAATGGGAGGAATGTGCATGATAACGAGATTAAACAGAGGAAATCATCCTAACAATCCTCCTACTTACAATATGAAGAAAGTATCAAATGCTTTATTTGTGTTCAAGAGTGCAATAAATGCATTTACTGTTCATTTAATACTTTCTCTATATAATATTAGGAGTATTAGTATGTTTGACATTTTGTCACTTATTGTGTTTCTCACACACCTACCACAAGTCTCCTGAAAACTAAATCAAAGTATCAGCTGCATATACTTCATGCAGAACATCTCCACTGCTATCACCAAACCACTTCACTTCTGCTCTTTCTGCCCCAGCATCACAAATCATCTTCCCATTCTCATCATTTCATTCTCACCAACAGTCATTGCTGTTACCCATTTACTACCCCCGATTTCTTGTTTATCAATTATTTCAGCTTCCAATTCATCATATGTAAGATTTATCAAAATTAAGTATTAACAGAGACAAAATTCATGCATAACCTTTTATTAAAGATTAACGAACTGAATACTGAATTCTTAATTCTTGCCTGTCATTATAAATTTTAGTTTTATCAAACAGGCTGTAATACTACTGCTAAATACAGTACTAAAAAGCTTCAGTATCTGAAAAAGGATGAAGAAATATACCTGGATATAAAAGTAATCATCACACCATTTCTTGAATCGGGGGTAAAAAGTAGGATCAAACTTGTCACAGGCACGTTTTTGAGTCTGCATAAGAAGCATGAAAGAAGTACATTTAGTAAAACACTTTCTCTTAAATGCCTTCAACAATGAAATATCATATCAATATTCTAAAGATAAAATGTAAACTGGAAATCATTTCGTAGAACTTCTCAAGGGCCCTATATTCACCCTTTTACACCAATTTGGAGAGAAGATTTTGCGGGGGGAGGGGGAAGGTTGAAGATAATGATCAACTACAACTTAATATTTTGGAATAAACAATTTCAAGAGAATTTTAAGAAATCATCAAAAAGGTAATGTAGAAAGTCACAAAGATTTAAATGGTCTTAATTGCAAAATCCCCAAGCATTTGCAGAAACTTTTTGTAGAAGCATCAAGAGAAACTAATCTCTGCGTTTAACATATTAATGCTTCCCATCAAAAGAACCAAGCTATGCAAATTGAATTCAAGAAAACACACCTACAACAACAAAAAATTATTGAAAGTACTCACAGAAGGACAAAAGACATCAAGGTATTTTGCCGTTTTAAAACAAAGGAAATTAATTTTTTCTTCTTCTTTTACCAAGAAAAAGGCGCCATTGTTATTCTAAACCACAAAATGTCAGAAACCAATATTGTGTTAAGCACATACCGAATGGAAGTGCTTAACATCCTCCTCAAAAATGTAAGCAGGTGTCAAGTCAGTTCCCCCTCCAAACCACCATTGTCTAGGGGCTCCAGGAGCATCTGCAGAATGCAAGGCACGATTATCAATAGCAGCACACTCAAAAAAGGAGTTGACAATTTAATTCTCTAATGTTGACATGCCCTTGTGTTAAATTTTTTTATTACAAGATAATAGCTTTCCAAATTGGCGTTTTTCAAGATTTTGAGTAATCCACTGGAGTGCGAGAACAAAAGAAGGTGAGTTAAGATTATATATAAGAGAAATAGCTGTAGTTTATTATAAGCATCCGACAACAAACAAGCAAATAATACAAATGAACCTGAGGTAACCGATCTTGGGAAAGGCCTAAAACTTTATGGATAAGATAGCACATGGTGTTACCTTTAGGAGCATCAGTTTCAAAATAGCGATAATTGAAATGTAAGGTCGGGGCAAATGGATTCTTTGGGTGTAAAACCTGAATAGAAAGACAATGGGGGAAAATTAATTATTCCGAAAAAAAAAAGGTAGTGAGTTAAGAGAGCACAAAGGGATGTGGATACAGACAGAGCTGATTCCAGCTGCGAAGAACGGAACAGGACCAGGCTTCTGATCGGGGGAGATAGCAGCAGCAGCTTTAGCAGCACGATATGCGTCAGGTGGCATCACACCGTAAACAACGGACACATTAACCCCAGCCTTCTCCCAAACGGCACCGTCTTGAAGAACCCTGCTAATGCCACCGCCGCCACCGGGCCTCGACCAAACGTCCTCCTTAAACTGGTCCCCACCATCCGCAGCTTCAATGGCATTGCACACGCTGTCTTGGGCTTCCCTTATCATTTTCTCGAAGCGGGCCCTAACGGAAGACCCAGAATGGGCCTCGTCCACACCTCTCAGAAACGTTTCGGGACGCTCCGCCTCCGGGGTCTCCTTCTCAATAGAAACGGTGGCTCTCACTACTCCTTTTCTCTGAAACTTAAAACCCACGCTTCTGGTTTCAATTCGAGGCTTCCATCTCCGTTTGGTGAGCGTTATCGCACTTGCACGGCCAGAAGTAGAAGTGGAGCTAAAGCTAAAGGGAATTGCATAGGAAGGAGCTGAGACAATGCTTGCACAAGGCATTGTGTTATGGCTCAGATTCGATTTCACACAAAACACTCCAATTTGATTCCAAGCAAAGCTCAGACAACGAAAGCAACAAAGAAAGAGGGCTTTCAAATTCAGTAACGATAAGGTCCTTCTTCCCTTCTCTCAACGCTTTGAAATTATTGCGAGTTCATACATTTTAATCTGTTTTAAATATAAATATTTATTTATTTTGTCACTTTAAATTTTTCAAAGGACAGAATATGAATACGGTATTTTAAATATTTTTATATCATTCTTTAATAAAATTATATTTACTTCCATAATTTGGAAAGTAATACTTGGAATAAAAAATTGATATTAAATATTGTAATAAAACTCTACTTTAACCTAAGAACCAGCACAAAAAATCACTGTTCTTAGATTTTTCCTTTTCCTAAATAACATAAAAAATATATAATGTTAGTGGAAAGAAAATATAATTTTATTTAAAATTTTTAATTCTTATGTATACTTAATGGTTATTTTTTCTTTTAGGGGAGCAAGTGGCGAGTATTTTAAAGAGAAGAAGGTAAGAATAAACTACTGGCACAGTGGCACCATGTTTCCTGGCATCGCCACCCGAATGCCAAATGGGCATTCCATCTTACCCGCCCACCGGAAGTTTGGAAATCCAATTAACCCCTCACGTTGGTTTCGGAAGTGTATATGAGTTGACTGTTCCTTAAATATTTATTTAAATAGAAATATACATATTTAGTTTGCGTAAATGACTTTGAACATATTTTTAATTCCTATGTTTGTCATCAACTTTATTTTTAAATAAATATAATTTTAATCGTGTTATCAACAATAAGATACAATATTTAAACTCATGCTAATACCTTAGAGGAACTAAAACTTAAATGCATTAAAATTAAATTATAAAGATCAAATCCTAACAAAAACCTTGTCTCAATAATAGGAATCTCTTTGGATGTTATTAATATCTCTAATCCTTGTTTTTCTGTTACGTGAAAAGCAAAGGACAAATAAATCCTACAAAATAATTGGAAGAAAGGGTGTTAAAAGCTTTTCACCTTGAATCCCTTCGTTCTCATATAGCCATAACCATAATTACACCATTGCATATCATGTCTAAATTGAATGCTGAAAGGTCTTTGAGATTGAATTACTAGTTTAACGTTAGTTGAATCATCATTGGATTATTATTTTTAAACTAATATTTTTTAATTTTACTTAGTAAAAACTAAGCTATTGGGACAAAGTATAGTTTCACGTGTTTTTCTTTTCTTATAACTAACAGAAAAATAGATATTTTTAATTATCATACTTTTTAATTTTATTTATCAAAAATATTTTTTAATTGTTGTAAAATTTCAATTAAATTTAAAGGTATTTATATAATACGTAGAATGCTTATTTGGTTTATGAATTTATTAAGAATACTAAGACGCTGACGATAATAATAATAATAATAATTTATATTTGAAAAATAATATCACGTAAGTTAATGCTTGAAAAAGTTTGAAGAGAAATATGAAATTGTAAAAAGTAAAAAGAATCCGGGGTTCTAGGTTTTCTCTCTCGTCCACCGTCACGCCACCCTCACTCTCAGATTGAAACGTTTCTCAGGTGCGGCATCTCTCTCTTTCGATGGCTTTATGTAGTGCCTGAATTTGGTCTTAATTTCAGGAAGCTACTGGACTTGGGATTTTGGGACGAGTGGAATATTCCGATTCCATAACCATTCATTTCATTCTCTCTTTGCTATTGCTTAGTGCTAACATCTTTTTATTGCTTTTTCCTAGAATGGGAGCTGGCCGTGAAGTCTCTATCTCACTCGATGGAGTGAGGGACAAGAACCTCATGCAGCTCAAGAAGCTCAATATTGCGCTTTTCCCTGTTCGTTACAATGACAAATACTATGCCGATGCACTTGCTTCCGGCGAATTCACCAAACTAGGTTCTATTCTCTGCTTCTTTCTCACCTCCATTGCGCTTTTTTTTATTCATATTTAATGCCTCCTGCTGTTTTGTTCACCATTATTTCACAATCTTATTATTGGTCACTGTTACATCCTTCTTTTCTCCTCGCTTATGTTTTCCTGAGCAAGCTCCTCTTGTGGGTTTATGCTGATCCTGTTAGGGTTTTTGCTGGGAAAACAAAGTCAGAACAAATCTACTTGGAATTCATTGGAAATAAATAAATAGATAAAACAATTGACTCAGTTTTGTTTCACTTTGTTACTTGTTTGGCTGCAAAAAGCTTCCGATAATCTGGGAATATGATAAGATGGACAATAAGTTGATTGCCAAAAGATATGTTTGATAGAATTTTCCTTTTAGTTGATCCCGAAGCATGAGTGTGGCAATACTTACACACTGGCTTTTATTTTCCATTCAAGGATTTCTGTAAGCTATTGCACTTGAGTTCTTGATCAGGTTGCCTTTAGCTTCCTTCAAATGTTTAAGGTCAAGATTTCAACTCAAATGTATGTTGGGTAGTGCAATTCATCATCATCATTTCTTTCAACTGAAGATGCTTTAAATTTGGGTATTGCTATTAATCGTTGCTTACACTTAGATATTGTTCCTTTACATTTGAAACTCTAATCTTTGGACAATGATTTTTTTAATCCTAAAAAATTGATGCATCTATTGGCTAATATATAAACACTCAAGCCATTCATAGCAGAACCTTTAAATCTTTGTTGGTACGTCTTATCTTTGTTTAATTCAATTTCAATTTGCACTTTATTTATTTTATATTTGATTTGAATTTCGCGTGGAATTCAGAATTCAAACATGCCTACTTCTTTCCCCTAACAATAGGGGAATATAACCCTTTTCAAGAATTTTGACAAGAACATGTGAACTCAATCATGCTGCTGATGGTTTGGACTTTGCAGAACTCTTTTGAATTGATTTTTCCCCTTCTTTTTCTGTCATATTTAAGGAGTATATGTTTATTAAGGTGGGTTTGGGCTGTGTGGAGAACACTTGTAGATGCCTTATTAAAGAGACTAAGAGAGTAGACAGATGGAGGATATCCTAATCGCTAGAAGCATGAGGGAGACTGAGAAGAAGACTATAGGCAAAACAATTAAGGACTTGGAGGTCAATAATTTGTCTATAGACATGATTTATTGACAAAACATTATGACATCATTTGATCCATCTAGCCCACCCCACTTAGTGAGAAAAGGCATGGTGGTTGTTGCTGCATGTGATCCCTCTTTGCGCTGAACATTTTCTTGTGCTAAATTTATCTGCACCAAAAAAAAACAAATGTACACTTTCATCTTTCTTGGAATACAACAAAAGATGTCTTCGATACTTATTAATATATTACATTCATGTGCTTCTGCAAACTTGGATTTTGAGCTGGAATGCAAGATTTACTTTTATTTTACTAGTTATATTTGATATCTCTGCTTTCAATTTGTATGCTAATATGGATGATACACATCGAAGGGCATATAGAAGGGACCTTTAGAATGTGTCTAACACCAACCCAACGACTGAATATGTTCCCTTTGTTTTTCAGCTTACTACAGTGACATTTGTGTTGGAGCAATTGCATGCCGGCTTGAGAAGAAGGAAGGTGGGGGGCAAGTTCGGGTTTACATCATGACATTAGGTGTTTTAGCACCTTACCGTGGACTTGGTATTGGTAAGAAGGAAATTGAATAACTTCTTTTGCCGATGGAAATTAGTGATTGAATGTTTAGTTGATCATTTTTGTTATGACTTCTTGTTGTACATACTTGCCTTAGTACCATAGACACATATTAATTGCCTGTCATACAGTACAACTTCATATTAGGAATATTTGTATTTACATCTGGCAACCGTCATCCTTTTTAAGATTGTCGTATATGTTCTTTTACATAAACTATGCAAGTTTTTTTTAATTTGAATATTGGGTTTATGCAGGAACAAAGCTGTTGAATCATGTTCTTGATCTTTGCTCCAAGCAAAACATTTCTGAGGTTTACTTGCATGTGCAGACGAACAATGAAGATGCTATAAACTTTTATAAGAAATTTGGGTTTGAAATTACAGAAACAATCCAGAACTACTATACAAACATTACACCACCTGACTGCTATGTTCTCACGAGGCATACGGCTCCAAGCCCGTCGAAGAAATAGCATTTCGGTGCCACTTATTTTGAGGGGAAGTCATCAGAGTTTGTTGCATTATTTTTTGGGTTTTGCCATGGATGTACTACACTAAAGTTTTTCATGTCCAATGCTAGATTTTAAACAGTAAAGTTAGCTCAAAAAAAGCAGCACTTGGAGATCTCTTGCTAAGGTACTAGCTATATGTTATTTTACCCTTTTTCTCTCATCTCCCCCAGTCATATCATTGTCATTAAAATAGTACCAAACGTCGAATTTGGTACGAGAGTCTCTTTGAGAAACGGACAAATGGTTATTTAATTCTAAAATGGAGGCGCTCTGAATAGGCTGAAGAAACCACATCTATAAATGGTAAGCCCAATTCACTCTAAATTGCATCTTCTATTTTAAAACTGAATCTAGTTTTTGCAGTCTGATTGTATTAGACTTTCAATATTTGGGGCTAACAAATGTCTGTTATCCAAATAGTATAAATTGTAATGGGATGTGAGGGGGCAATTTTTTTGGCTCGGATGTGCAATTTACTGAGGTCTGTGCCCTATTTTACTTAAGGGGTGTTTGAGAGCGGGGATTTTGGAAAAGAAGGAAGGGCAAGATAAATTTTATAATATATTAATTGTGTATTTATTATCATTAATCATACACAATTATTTTAATTTAAAATTAAAAATATATTCTCTCTTCCTTTCTCTTCCAAAACTTCTCACCAAAATATACTCTTAACAGTTTAGTTTGTGATTGTGGGAACAGTCTAGATTTAAGTGTACGCCTCACATAGCTCATGGTGTAGACCTAATAACTGCCAAGATAAGAACAAATAAATAAAGTGTTTAGTTTAAGTTAAATGTTTTGGACTCGGGGTTTGATATTCTAGGGAGCTATGGAATTTTGTTATAAAAATGGAATTATAAAACTACGTATGCAACTTATTGCCGAAGATAAGAAGTATTAACAAATCAAGCATAACATGAGGCTGCATCTTTATTTAGTACCTTTTCTTTTACTTATATCGATCACTTGCACCTCCATCGGACGTCCAAATAGCCCAAAAAATTTGCATCGGCAAGAAGAAACAAATAATTATTTCAATATTTTAATGTTAAATTTAATTAATATACAGTTGCAGGGTAAATATAGTGTTATTTAATCATAAGTTATTATATAATTAAAATTATTAATTTTATAATAATTATTTTAAAAATCATACTGAAAATATTCTTAAGTTAATTAACCGTATAAAAATTTATATTAATAATATTAAAATTAAGCTTTTTAATGTTTCCAAGTGGATCCTATGCTAGAAAAATTCCACGTGGATAGAGCAGACAGTAAACAGCAATGGAACACGTTATCCTCATAAGCTGGGGGTGAGATTACATTACATGACTTACCAACGAAAAAGCAAAGCGAGAGTGAAGGAAATAATATCCCATCCCTTATCCGATTCACGATAATACGTGGATAAACTTGGTTGGAGAACTAGATCTTAATCTCATCCTCACTACATTGCGCCATTCAATATCCACCAGGAGTTAGATACTGGTCGTACCTGGGGCCAACAATAGTGGCTAAGCTTACTTCATATCTTCGTGCCTTGGCTTATTAGTGGGTGCAATAGATATCACTCATTCTTAACCGTTTAGTACAACTTCACATTTTAGAAGAAAAACTCTCTTTTGCTGCAGCAGAGGAGGAAAAAGCATGGCTGCACAAGCTTTGGTATCATCATCGTCTCTTACCTTCTCAGCGGAGGCTGCAAGACAAAGTCTTGGAGCAAGATCACTCCAATCTCCTATTGGATTCTCCAAAAAAGGCTCCTTTATTGTTAAGGCAGCTTCCACTCCCCCTGTCAAGGTCTCTTTCTCTCTCACTCCTCCATCTGTTTTATGTTGATGTTGGTGTGCGTTTTGATCTACATTTATACTGATAGAACTCTTCCTTTTGGAGTTAAGCAAGGAGCAGATAGACCTTTGTGGTTTGCATCAAAGCAGAGTCTTTCTTACTTGGATGGCAGGTAAATAAATATAACAGTATGTTTTAGCTAGCCATGCAATTTACTAAGATAATGAATAGTGTGGATGGAATTGACTTCAATTGGCATAATTTGCATTGCAGTCTTCCCGGTGACTATGGATTTGACCCTCTGGGACTTTCAGACCCAGAAGGAACAGGAGGGTTCATTGAGCCCAGATGGCTAGCATATGGAGAGATCATCAATGGTCGTTATGCAATGTTGGGAGCAGTTGGTGCCATAGCACCTGAAATTCTTGGAAAGCTTGGTCTGATTCCTCCTGAAACAGCACTGCCATGGTTCAAAACGGGTGTGTTTCCACCTGCAGGAACATACAACTACTGGGCGGACCCCTACACACTCTTCGTGTTTGAGTTGGCACTTATGGGATTTGCGGAGCACAGGAGATTCCAAGATTGGGCCAATCCTGGATCAATGGGGAAGCAGTATTTCTTAGGACTAGAGAAAGGTCTTGGAGGTTCTGGTGACCCAGCTTACCCTGGAGGACCTTTCTTTAACCCTCTTGGTTTTGGCAAAGATGAGAAATCCATGAAGGATTTAAAGCTGAAGGAAGTGAAGAATGGAAGGTTGGCTATGTTGGCAATCTTGGGTTACTTTATTCAAGCTATTTTCACAGGTGTTGGGCCATTCCAAAACCTCCTAGACCATCTCGCTGACCCAGTGCACAACAACATCTTGACCAATCTCAACTTCTACTAAATGTATCATATTCTTTACTCTCTTGGCCCCTTTTTTATGTCTCTCTTGCTCTTTCGGACTGTAGCATCCTGTGAACATTTTGTTCCTTGCTGTGCCGCTGTAAGAAATCACTTGTAAAACAACTAGAAACATTCGACATCTTGTGTTATCTTTTTGCTGATTAGATCCCTATTCTTTCTATTTTTCTATAACCTTTTGCATTCTAAATTGCTTAAGTCTGCATAATGTTACAATGTTAGAAGCTGTGTGCGTCGCGAGATAGTAAAAATTAAAGATCTTTACGTAATAATATAATCGTATGTCTTGCAAGAATATAGTTAAACGGATCCTCATACCCAAATGGGCAACTTTTAAGGCAATAGAGTAACTCCACATTCGTTTAGCTACAACCTACATGTATATTGGTCTACAGTTAGGCATTTGAAAATCACTTTAATTCTTTACTGATTTTAGTCGAGTTAAATAAATTACTTAAGAAGGCAAATCATGAGGATCAAGTTTTTTGTCACTCGCGTCATATCATTAGGATTTCATTCAAATATAGAAGCTCGGGTTATTCAATGAATTGGATTTTAATTATTTTCCAATTTGATAAAAATATATTAATTTATTTTATAACTGGAAATATTTTTAATCTCATTTTGATGTGTTTTTTCCGGTTCAGAAGTTTTTTTCCCGAGAGATTGTATGCATATGAAGTCAAATTGCAGAAAATAAATGTCAAATAGAACCAATTGGTGTGATTTCAAAAGCAATTAAATGAAAGTCGTGACTCCATATAATTTTACTAAATTTAATGAAAATTCAAATTAATTCATGAAAAGTAAATTGTGATGTAGCTACCATTTTAAAGCTTGGGAATAAACTGTAAAGCACCTAAAGCTGTGAGGATTTCATTTGTTTTATTATAGTAGTGTGGTTTATACAGTGTTTTGTTTTAATTCTTTGAATGTCTTTATATGAAAGTGAAACATTATTCCAATTTTGTATATTGTACTAATCGTCAAATGTTAAAACGAAATTGTAACATGGCCGTTTCTACGTAATGTTATTAGTTAAATACAAGTTTCCACTTGCAAAAGAACATCAGGCTTAAACAAAATTGACAAACACTATTTATCATATCAAGGGGTTATATGTTTTCTTTTATAAAAGAGCAAAACTTGGAAGGGGAGGATGAATTCCTACAATTAAGTCAATTGAGTTAATGCTTATTAATATTTTTATAGACTATATTTTAGCCATATTTATAGTCACTAACTGTAAAATGTCTTAATTAAAAAGGTAATTAGCATTGACACCATGGAAAAATAAGAAAAAAATTGATATTTGATATTATTAAAACAGTAATATGATATTAAATTAAAAGAATAATTTTGTCAATACAAATATAAATAAAAAATTTTACTCGACACAAAATAACTTGGTGGAGGAACAAGGCCAACACAATTGAAAAGGCCGTGAGATCCACTAATTTTAGGGTCCAATAGTTATGTAGGCGAAGGTGGGCTTGGGTGGGCCATTAACGTAGCCCAACTATCACTTTCTCTTCTCCAGCGAGTCATTTCTCTCTCTCTTGCTGTTTTGTCCTAACTATCTCCATCTGCTACCTTGTGTTTCAGAATTGAGATCTCTCTCGCTTTCGCCAAAATCCATGGTCACCTCTCCCTCTCTAACCAGATCTCTTGCTTTTCACTTTGCAATGTGTCGTTCATCGTGCCACTTTTTGCTTTCCATTGCTTCTCTCGTTCCCGCATTGATTAATTCTACATTCTTTGTGTTTCTGCTTGTTCTTATTGTTACTCGTTAGCTCTGCATTGGACTTTTTTTTACTTTTATACACGATTTTATGTGATCTCATTCTTCGTTATTCTTAAGCCGATTTGCGTTGCCTTTTTCTTTTCCTCTGCTTTACAATTTATGGATCTGATTTCAATACTTGATATTATGTGCTTGCATTGCATTTTATTGTTAGTTTTTATAGCCTTGGCATCTCATGTTAAAACGCTTATCCGTTGTAGATTTCGTGTTGAATGCATCGTCGAAGGTCGCTTAATTTTTGGACATTTACTGTTATCTTCCATTGAAGCAAATGGATATATCAACAAGGAGAAAACCATTGATCTACTGGGTTTTCGTTTCCGTCGTTGCTATTGTCTTTGTTCAAATTAGCAATGCTTTTTATCTTCCGGGAAGCTACATGCACACATACTCGAATGGAGATCAGATATATGCCAAAGTGAATTCCTTGACTTCTATTGAGACTGAGCTTCCCTTCAGCTACTACAGTCTCCCTTACTGCAAGCCCCTCGGTGGCATAAAGAAAAGTGCTGAGAATCTTGGAGAACTCCTTAGGGGAGATCAGATCGATAACTCTCCCTACCTTTTCCGCATGAATGTCAATCAGTCAATCTACCTCTGCACCACGACCCCATTGAATGAACATGAGGTAAAGCTACTGAAACAAAGAACTCGTGATCTGTATCAAGTAAATATGATCCTTGACAATTTGCCTGTTATGAGGTTTGCCAATCAAAATGGGGTTAAAATCCAGTGGACAGGGTTCCCTGTTGGCTACACCCCGCCAGATGGTAGTGCAGATTACATCATTAACCATCTCAAATTCACAGTCTTGGTTCACGAATATGAAGGAAGTAGCGTTGAAATCATTGGGACTGGAGAGGAAGGTATGGGAGTTATTTCTCAATCTGACAACAAGAAGGTATCTGGATATGAAATTGTTGGTTTTCAGGTTGTCCCTTGTAGCGTTAAGCGCGATCCTGAAGTCATGACAAAGCTCCACATGTATGACAATATTTCTTCAACAAACTGCCCATCTGAGCTAGACAAGTATCAACCAATAAAAGAGCAGGAGAGGATATCCTTTACATATGAAGTTGACTTCGTGAAAAGTGATATAAGATGGCCATCACGTTGGGATGCTTATTTAAAGATGGAGGGTTCCCGGGTACATTGGTTCTCGATCCTAAATTCACTTATGGTGATTTTTTTCTTAGCTGGTATTGTCTTTGTCATTTTTTTGAGAACTGTGAGAAGAGACTTGACAAGGTATGAGGAAATGGACAAAGAGACGCAAGCTCAGATGAATGAGGAGCTTTCTGGATGGAAGCTTGTTGTCGGTGATGTCTTTAGAGAGCCTGATTGTTCAAAGCTTCTTTGTGTGATGGTTGGGGATGGGGTTCAGATTCTTGGAATGGCTGGTGTTACTATTGTTTTTGCAGCTCTAGGTTTTATGTCACCAGCTTCCAGAGGAATGCTGCTGACAGGGATGATAATTTTATATCTTTTCCTGGGAATTGCTGCTGGATATGTCAGTGTACGTCTATGGAGGACCATTAAGGGAACTTCGGAAGGCTGGAGATCAATTTCCTGGTTTTCTGCATGCTTTTTTCCTGGAATTGCTTTTATTATTCTAACAGCACTGAATTTTCTTCTCTGGGGCAGCAAAAGTACTGGTGCTATTCCAATTTCGTTGTATTTTAAGTTGCTCTTCCTCTGGTTTTGCATTTCAGTGCCACTTACCCTCATTGGAGGATTTATGGGCACAAAAGCTCCGCAGATTGAATATCCCGTGCGAACTAACCAGATTCCGAGGGAAATTCCTGCACGTAAATATCCATCATGGCTTCTTGTTCTTGGTGCAGGAACGCTTCCATTTGGAACCCTCTTCATTGAACTTTTCTTTATCCTTTCCAGTATCTGGCTTGGGAGGTTCTATTATGTATTTGGTTTCCTGTTGGTTGTTCTTCTATTGCTAGTAATCGTTTGTGCTGAAGTGTCAGTGGTCCTCACATATATGCACCTTTGTGTGGAAGATTGGCGGTGGTGGTGGAAATCATTCTTTGCGTCAGGCTCTGTTGCTCTTTATGTCTTCTTGTACTCCATTAACTACTTGGTTTTCGACCTGCAGAGTTTGAGTGGACCTATCTCTGCTATACTTTATCTTGGCTATTCACTGCTTATGGCAATCGCAATCATGTTATCAACTGGAACCATTGGCTTCCTTGTGTCATTTTACTTTGTGCACTACCTGTTCTCATCAGTAAAGATCGATTGAAGTTCCCTTTGCTATCTCTCATCAACTTAAGCACAAGGCATGCTGGAAGAGGAAATTTTCTTAATCGTTATAACTTCCGGTTAATTCTTTTTGTAGCTTGATTGCTTTGCAGCATTTGAGTTGGGAACAGATGCCTTGCTGATTGCAGTAAATAGTCGTCCCATGATTTTATGTTGCTATGTGAACTACAGTTTTTCCCCTCCTACCTGTCGCCCGTATGTGGTTTACTCATTTGACTAGTATTTGATATCATTTGTTTCATGTGGTTTAGTTTAGTCAAGTTGTTTGAAGAAGTTGTAATTGCTCAGACTGTCTCATTCCTTATTCATTCAATACTGATTAAAAAAATTAAATGGATACTTCTAAATTTCTTCAACATTTCTACTGTGCTTCTGGGTGTTCATATTATGTTCAAGGATTGGAAAGTGTCTTTTTCACTAACGGTATTTTCCTATCTTAATTATCCACATAGCTTGGTATTATATTATTTTTTATTTTTTATTTTTTTAATTGCTGACTGCTCGTAATACCTCGTACATATTAGTCGGAGACGTGGAATATATTAAATGTACTGAAAACGACCTGTGAAAATTCTTCTTAGGGAAATATATGTCAACAAATTGTAGGCCAGTCCATCAGTAACTCTTCAGCAGAACTGGATCCTGTCATTTTCCTTTTCTGTGTTATGATAATAAAGACAAAACGGGTTTAATGTTTGTGTCCTTATCAGTAAATAGTTCATAAGGATGATTGACTGTCGATCTGTCTCATACCACTAATCTCCTCACAAAGGGAAGCCGCCCTTTCCACCAGCTCATGCGTGATCACTTTTTTATGAACTCCTATGCTGAGGGGCCACATTTAGTTGCAACAGAATGGCACGTGGCATGGGAAAGAGAATGGGTTAATGTAGTCCTGTGGGAGTTGAAAATAGGCTGTGTGAAGCAACTAGCGGGAGGATAAAAGAGAGAGAACGAGGGTTGAAGTGGGGAATTATGATAAATCCAGACTTCTCTCTATCTCTTTGATCTAATCTTCTCATTCTCTTTTCTGGAACTAACATTTCCGTTGTTTATTTTTAGCCCCTTTTTACTGGCTTGGTTCATTCTGTTGATAAACAGTTATGTCATTTACATATTCGTTCATTTGACCCATTTGTTGCCGTTACACATTGATATAAAGTCCTCGAGTGATGCCGGCAGATGGAGGGAATTAGAATAGACCATATTGCACGGAAAGGTAAACTGATTTTAGGGGCAAGTATGTCGCGGGGAAGAAAGATCCTTGTAAGTTTTGAGACACTCTTCTGTCAGGGTTAGGCCCTCTTCTACCGCTGGTATTAGTATCACCTTTGTTAGGAGATGGGTACCTTCGTTGGTTTATATAAAGTAATAAATTTACAGGTGCTTCGTATACTTTCCTCGTTGGTTTCGTATGATTTTGATAACAATTACGCAGGAAGTGAACGAAACACATCAAATACGGATCTCGGTCTGTTTCTTCTGGCTACTATCCCTTGGCAATCTTTTCAATTTATATTGTTTATCCAATTTGACAAGTTACTTGAGAAATTCTTGGCTAAATCTTGTCTCCACAAGTTATGCAGACTAAATTGATAGATAATATATGCAAAATTATTTTATATTTAATAATTACATAATTTTGTGACACAATTACTTCATAATTAAAGTAATGACGTATTTGTTTTTTATTGATTTTGTCGTATAGATAAGGTCTGCAGGAGAAATCCACACTAGTTTCTCTCAACTACTTATTCTAATAGAAGCAACAGACAGCATTATAATAAAATTGCCAGCTAGTTATTGTCAAACATTAGCACATTACACATTATATTGGGATGGGGACCCCGTTCCAATCTCCAAGACATTCCAGAATTGGGTCAATAATCTTTGCTTGACTCATGGCTGTAAATACTTTTTCAAATTCCTCATCTGGGGAGGCAGTCTTTTCTCCGGTGAGCAACCCTATGCCTAACTCCTCCCTCACAAACTTGTATAGTGGGTATGACCTACACTCCTTAATTCTGTTCGGAATTGCTGGATTGCCATTCTCATAAGCCAGCCTTTCACTTTCAATTTCCTTCGGCAAGAGAGACTTCAATTCATTCTCAAAATCTCCAATCTTCTCAAATATTAACAAGTTTACATTCTTGTCATTAATGGCACTGATGTGTGCTTGCTCGTAAAGTACTTGCTTTAGTTTCGGCATCAGTGGGTACGTAACATTGGAGGGATCATCAATGTAGGAGAATACATATTCTCTATCAACGACTTTAAGCAAATCTATCTCACAAAATCGAAATGGGTTAGTTTCTTCTTTGTCTTCACTGACTAATGTCTTCTTCGCAACACTGCTTACAGTATTCTTGACTCTGTTCCTAAAAATTTCCTCCAAATGCCTCAAGTCAATAGCTTGGCAGAGTGCAACCAGATAAGTGGAAGACATGAGCTTTAATAGCTCAACGGCTTCCACAGTTTTCCAAGCAGAAATTAAGCCCAAAGAGTTCACATCTTGATTGTGTTGCTCAGCACTTTGCACATGGCTCGTTACTGGATTTGCTAGATATTGAAGTTCCGAACAATAAGCAGCCATGGCAACTTCAGCTGCCTTAAAACCGTAGTCCAAACTTGGGTTTCTACCAGCAGAGAGATTTGATGGCAACCCATTATTATACATGTCATTGACGAGCTCAGTAAATTGGGCAAAGATGAGTTTGCCAATTGAAGCAATAGCTAGACGTGCATTATCCATTGAAACTCCAATAGGGGTGCCTTGGAAATTACCACCACTCAAAGCCTTATTCCTTGTGACATCAATCAAAGGATTGTCATTCACTGAGTTTATCTCTCTTTCAATTGATTTGGTCGAATACCGGATAACTTCAATCTGTGGACCAAGCCACTGAGGAGAAGTTTGAAGAGCATAACGATCTTTCCTAGGCTTCTGCAATGGATCTGGCTGTTGCTGTTTAGCTTTATTGACATAAGAGCTTCCATCTAAAATGTGCTCCATAATAGCGGCAGCTTCAATTTGACCGGGATGGTACTTCAGCTTATGTATTAGATGATGTGTAAATTCTGGTTTTCCCTGCATGACTTCAGCAAAAACTGCAGACAGAACTTCTGACAATAAAGCTAATATGTTTGCCTCAAAAAGCACCACAGAAGCCACGCCAGACCCAACAGTGGTGCCATTTACAAGGGCAATACCTTCCTTGGGCTTCAACTCAAAGAACCCAGAATGTAAACCTACTAAATGGAAAGCTTCCTTGGCGCTAAGAGACTCTCCAGAGGGTCCAACAGCTTTACAGTTTCGCCTACCTGTTAGCAATGCAGCAATGTACGACAGAGGAATTAAATCACCGGACGCAGTAATTGTACCACGTAATGGCAAGACGGGAGTGACATTGTGGTTGAGGAATTTGGTGATAGCTTCTAAGATTTCAAATCTAATGCCCGAATACCCTTGAAGAAGGGTATTAACCCTCACAAGCATTGCTGCTCTGGCTCCTGATTTAGGAAGTGCATGAGACAACTCTGTCTCATAGCCAAATATTGCGCAGTTTAAAAACCTTGGGAAGGAAAGTGGTAAATTCATCAGCCAAAAGATTAACTAGTATTTTGACTATGGAAATGCAAAATTCCTATACACAAGCAAAGCACATATATTAAGTATTACGCAGAGTGGATCCTTACCTAACCATCTCCTTCTGAAGAGCAAAGCCTTGTTCGGTTCGCCTGTGGGAGGCAGCACCAAAGCCAGTGGTAACACCATAAATGGCAGTGCCTTTGTTGATGTTTTCCATGATCCACTCGCAGCTGGCCTCAACACCTGCCCTTGCAGACTCTGAGAGGTCAACCTTAACCTCCGAATTTCGGCTAGCAACAGCAGCAACCTGCGATACAGTTAGTGTCTCCCCACCACCCAGACAAATCACTGCCTTCCGGTACTCAGCCACCATCCGTTTTACTTCCTCAAAGTGGCTACCTTTGAGTGAATCCGCTGCCCCACCCCAATTCAGGGGGTCTGTGTCACTCACACACAACGGCTCAGACTTAGAGGAAACGCTTTCTGGAACAATTGTCGCCATGTTCGTAAACTAACACTTTGACAGACCAAAAGTTGTAGAGGAAAAAATGGCTTTGAAGCTTTAAGAAGAGGAGGGTAGTGCTTGGTTGGTGAGTAGTGAGCAGAAACGAAGCTGCACGAGATGATTTTTGTTGGGGTAGGTAGTAAGGTGCCTCTTGACCAGTACTATAGATCGTAAGTGTTACAATTGACTGAGTCATTTTTGGCATGTTACAATTATATAAGTATGCTATGGCCGGTCAGAATTGAGCATCAATTAGGATTTTGTGCTTGTTTGTTTTGATGTTTGAATCTTGAAAATCATTTTTTAATGAGTCAATCAACGGATTAAAAGAAAAAAAAAAGTGCTTGCTTTACGAAGTTCAGTGAACGGCAGTGATCGTTTCTCTATTCTTCCATATTTGATTATGGCTTCTATAACCTATCATGCCCTTAAAAGGGGTGGAGATCTTGTTTGGAAAATCATTATAACTCCGTTTTAGAGAGAGTAATTTTTTTACTTCAATAATAAGAATGACATTGAGAGGTGTGTCTCTTCGTTTTACACAGCGGAAATTGAAAAATGGAGTATTTAATTTAGATTAGATTAGATAAATGTTCTTTTAATTTATTGATTTGAGTTAGTTGACTTATTACAGAGCCATTCAATCTCGGATTCATTGGAAATCCCGTCTTTAAATATCTTAGTTTTTATTATTGTTTATAATTATTTAATTTTTTACTCATATTTCATTAGATTAGTTTAGTTCAAGTCAGAGCATAAAAAAATTTCAAAATTCAGTTCTATCTTAGGTCATCCTTTAAGGATCGGTTTATGTCGAATTTTACATAATTTAATTATATGAAAAAATTATGCCTATTTTTTATACATAAATTAAATAAAAAAAATTATGAAAGTTTATAGTATTTTAAAATTAAAGACAAAAAATATCAAATGAGAGAAAATCAACGTTTAAGGGTTGGTGGAACGACCAGTTTACAAATTTATGGTCGATTTTATCGTAACAACTGATTTGTTCAACTATTTGATTGTGTACAATGAACATTATTACTATTACTAAGACTTTTTCAATTAGAGTTAAATAAATATTTACAAATTATATTTACGTACCTATTAGTTTATATTTCGATACATACGTAATGCATTTACTTTTCTTGCACATTTGGCCAAACTATCCTGTTTTCGATTACAACACAATAATGTGGACGGCAACCTAACTTACATTCATTGATATTCTTGAAAAATATATTAAAGATATTTAAATTTATAACAAAAATATGCGGAAATGATTTTTAAAAAATAAAACTTTAAATGGTAATAATAATAATGTTATGTATGCAAGAAAATTCTGCAACAAATTCTAGATAAAAAAAGGAAGAGAAAACAAATTGTGAGACACGATAAGCAATGAAATAAAGATATAAAAAATTAATAACAAGTGATAAATACCATGATCGTTATTTGAGAAAGAATAAAATAATAAATTAAATTATTCTTAAATATACACACACACTCTAACTTACATGCTAACAAGTTTTAGAAGCTTGGAGCGTGAAAGTGACTTACACACTCCTCACATTTTATGAAATTTTTTGGTTTAATTTTTTTAAATATTTTAATTTCTAGCCTTTAATGCTGACTGCTACGAGTCAATTTTTAATTTGACTACATCAATATTAAAACCTAAGAATAAAAATTTATAAAAAATAGAAATAAAAATGATTCATATAGACTAAAACTAAAAATTCCCTAAAATATAAAAACTAGAAACGTATTTACATGCAGGTAATAATAAAAAAATGAATTTGGGTTTAGATTTGAGATTATAACAAACATAAATTATTGTGTGTAATATTAATTTGGTGAAAAGAAAAGAAAAGAAAGTATTGTCTGTCAAACTAGCCGTTGGAGGGACTAACCGAGACGCGGGGTCACTGAACTGTGTTCTTCGTGTATTAGTTGTACAGTGTGTGATTCAGTGCTTGGGTTTGTCCCTTTACTCTGTTCAGTTTTGCTTCATTCTCTTCTCTTCTCTTCTTCTTGCTACCAAGAAAAAGAAACGCATGATGTTCACCCAAGGTCTCGACGAGAGCGCAATCCAATGGATCAACCAGGTCAGAATCAATCACTCTCTCTCTCTTTCTTCTCTTTCAAAATTCAATTTTTACTTTCTTCTTTCATCATTCTGCTTGTGCTTTTAATGGGTATATTCTTGTCACTGCTTTGCCTTCTATTCTTTGTTTCTTTCTTTATTAAGGATTCCTTCCAAACAAAGCTTTTCGTTTCCTTTTTGGGTTTTGAATGTTTCCGTTCCTCAAATCACAGGGATCACAACGAGTACAAGTTGAAGAGCCTCCCGTTACAGTACGGTCTCCTCTGGCAGAGAAAATCAGCAGCGATAGATTCCCAATATCTCCCCTTTTGAGCAGCGGCAACAGTCTCAATTCCCCTGTTTTGCCTCCACTGAAGTTCCATTCTGCACTGCTCCCACCTCGCAACCTTGCATATGGCTTTGGCGATCATGATGTTGTGGATGACAGTGACGAAAGCATGGCTTCAGTGGCTGATGATGGCAACTTCTCTGAGGATGAAGTCTCTGTCTCTGCTCCCAACAACCTTGATTACTTGGACACGCCGACACCACAGTGCTATGAATATGACGAGGAAGAGTTGTTTGGCTCTAAACTTCCCAAACCTCAAGCGCAAGGCAGCAATGGAATTCTCAAGAAGGGTTTGGCCAATGAAAATCTAACCATTCAAGTTCCTAACTGTGTCAGAAGATTTACAGATGGCGGATTGGGTTTCAATAAGTGTGTTCAAAGGAATCTCACTCCGGGTGGCCCCGTTCATCTTCAAAAGCATGCTCATCTCCGCAATCTGAATTGCCCTGATGACACCATTGAATTGGGTACTCCAAGTGCTCCTCCTATCATTGATGGTGATTTTCCGTTGGAAAGGGATGCAGAATGTTCGGAGAGGAATGAACCAACAGCTGATCGTGGATCTTGGCCATCCAGAAAATCTGTGGATTATGATGGCAGAAAAAGTGAGAGTTCAATTGAACAAAAACCCAATACTGTTGCAAAAGCCATGGAGATTGGTGAAAGGTATTGCTATTTTGTTTGCATGTTTGTTGTTTGCCTTTTGGAATTAACCTTCCTAATCAGTTTCAGTGTCCTTTTGGTATTGAACTGTGCAGGATGGACAAAACTTTTGCAGATGACACAGAAAGACAGACTCCTTATTTACAATATTACAACACCAGGTGCACTCCTTTTACTTTCTATTTAACAATATTTATCACTATCTGATGATTGTCAACCTTAATTTTGGTAAAACTTAGTACAAGCTCAACAGAATGAAATACATAAGGAAAACAAATAGGTTATCAATCCATGCTGGAGGCTGAGATTTGAATCCAGATTAATATTTTGTTAATATGGTAATATTTAGAGCAGTTCACGTTACCATTTTGAAATTCACATTTATATGCTCTCTTCCGTATATGGCATGTTATCCAAGCAGTTGCAATAGTCAATATGCCTGGCAAACCCTTATCACTTATGATGCCTGCATACGATTATGCCTACAAGCATGGGCAAAAGGCTGCACTGAGGCCCCAGAGTTTCTAAAAGATGAGTGTCTGGCTCTCAGAAGTGCCTTTGGGTGAGTTCCATATTGCTTTATGAGTACACACTTCTCTGCTTCATTTATTGTCCTGAATCATTTATCTTTTTCTCTAATTGAACAGATTGCATGAGTTCTTGCTGCAACCTCGAGGTGTAAAGCCTACTGAAGGCAGAAATACAAGGAATTCAGAGCAAACAGCTCCCCTGAAGCTGAAGAAGGTTGTGGGAAAAATAAGAGTTGAAGGTAACCTCATAATCTCAACAGGATTTTACCATTCAAATACATATTTTTTATGTATATAGGTGTCTGAAATGTCACTTTTTAATGTACATTTTTTGAAAACTTACTAATGTAAGTAAGACTATATTTATGACATTGGATCCTCTTCAAGCATTCAACTTGAGAATCATATAATCTGATGTCCTATATGAAAATTATAGTGAGGAAACTTCGCATTATACCAAGACGAAAGCTTAAGATCACAAAGTCACAACGAGGATCAATCTACATGCAAGCTGGGGTGGAGTATGTTCGACACGTATCATCACTTGTGAAAAGTGGCATTAATTCTATGAAGTCAGCCTCATTCTCATTGGCATCAGACGGTTAGTTCATCTGATGGAAGGTTTCAGACACTATTTTTCACTTCATCGTTTAGAAATCTTTTGACCTTGATATGAGCCGGTGTATTCACCAGTTTGGATTTAGGAGTCATACTTTATCCTCCACCTCATGAATTGAGTTTATATATATTTATCCTTGTAGAGCCACTGTATTGTTTGATCCAACTCAAGAGTGCAACAGAAGAAAATGAATCAGAGCCATGTTCTGCAATTGTTTTGCGCTCTGGAAGTGGAGATTACCATGATTTGTAAGTTTCATTTTTTACTTTTATGCTTTGGAGAGAGGTGCTTCTGAGACATTAAAGTCAGTGAAAGTTTTCCAAATACATTTTATTTTAATAGAATCGTAGACTGATAAACAACCTTGTGAGATGAATTATTCTTGACAGTTGAAAATCATATACAACTCATTAAGTTCGATGGTGATTTCAAAACAACATTATACATTTTTTTTAAATAACATATAGTCTTGAAAAAGGAAGTTTCTTCAATGTTGAATTACATGTAATGATCTTAAAGTTCTTATACTGTCATTTAATTTCAGTTTCCCATTGAGCCAAGGAGATGCTTTAATCGTAGAAATCCAAGACTCAAAAAAGGCAGTCCAGGGTGAAGCCAGGATTCCAATTTCATCCCTCAGTGATAATCCTGTATGAGCTCAACTATTTCATTGTCTATGGATATACTTCCCCCCTTGCACTACTCACATTCATGTAATGAATTGTCTCGCAGAGTGACAGAATTCGGTGGTGGCCAATATATCATGATGAACGCGAATGCGTTGGCAAGATCCAGCTCTCTATTAGTAGTACAATGACAAGCGATGAGAATAATCACATAAAGGTTCTATCTCTACCAAAATTTAGTTCAATAAATCTTGTTTTATCAAATAGAATTTTCCAGTTTGTTGAAGTAAAAATATCAGCTTATCAAGAATTGGAGATGGAATACTCTCTGAAAAATTGTTCTGAAGAACTGATTTCTTTCTATAGGTATGACTAATCAAATTATCAATGTAGATTAAGTATTAAAAGATAAAACTATTCTAATTAGATCAAACAATAGACTTTTTATTTATAAGCGCTTCATCAAGTTTTAATATTTTTTTTTATCTTTAGTTTCAGCCATTAAACATCAATATGGTCATTTCTGGCTATGTTGTTCTGAGATTCATGATTTCATTTGCCCTGTTTTTACATTTTCTGTAGAGTGCTGCTGTTGTGGAAACTCAAGCTTATGATTTACTGCTGGAGGGTGCCATGCGTGCTCAGCATTTCCACTCCCGAAACTTGCGGCTAAATGGACCTTGGAAATGGCTTTTAGATGCATTTGCTGACTACTATGGAGTTTCTAATTCATATGCTAAGCTGAGGTATATGAATGCCATTTGGGTACCCCCAAAATTAAAAAAAAAAAAAGGATAATTTTTTCTAATATTATACACGACAATTTTTTCCGAATTTTCCTGACTCAGCAGTGTTCTTGTAGATATCTATTACATGTGATGAATGTGGCAACTCCCACCAAGGACTGCCTAGAGCTTGTGAAAGAGTTGCTTGAACCCCTAATAAAGGCCAGAAGTGAGAGGAGTCTGACCAGGCAGGAGGTAAGCTTGTCAAATCATGTAATTTGGTTCACTCAATTTTATTGTGTTCTGGCTTCTCATTGTACATTCATTAAGCCTTACAGAAAAAGGAAAAACAATATGAACAGAAAAGTTGAGTAAAAGTTCTTTGAATAATGAGCAATTGCTTGTGCGTCTGTTGAATGCTGTCTCTTTTCATATTCATGATTTTGGAAATGGATGGCGGAGTAACAGTTTCTCTATTTGTTTATTTTCACAGAGAAGTATACTTTCAGACTGTGAAACTCAAATTGAAAGTCTTCTAGCAACTGTTTTCGAGAATTACAAATCACTAGATGAAAACTCGCCAACAGGTTTAACGGATCATTTTGGTCCAGCATTTGATTCTGCGGCACCAGCTTTGGATCCTGCTGTACAAGTCTACACTAGTCTTCATGATATACTATCTCTAGATGCTCAGACTATTCTAAGAAACTATCTTCAGGTAATTTTATATTTGCATTGTTATTAACAACTGAACCTCTTGTTCATCATAACAAGCCTTCGGTCCCTCCTTCCACGCAGCCTATGGGGTTGACTATGTGTATAAAGATTTAAATTATTGTTCAGACAAACATAAAAGGTCTTTTTGGATCATTACTGCAACAATGTTACTGAAAAAGTTATTGTTGACAGACTGCGGCAAGAAAAAGGTGTAGAAAACACATGATGGAGACTGATGAATTTGTGTCAAGCTCCTCCGAAGGTTACCTAATGGATAGCATTACCATCTCCACAGCATACCTGAAGATGAAGAATCTCTGTGTTTCCATAAGAAATGAAATTCAGGCAGATTTAAAGATCCACAACCAGCATACGATTCACGGTCAGCATATATTTCCTAGGTATTTGGCTATAACAGCTCTCTTCAGCAAGTTGACAAAACAATGCATATAAATTGCTCTTCAATTTTTTCACACAATGTTTGCTTTCCTGGTTATGCATATGACTGATCCCAAAAGCAAACGGCCTAGTACATTGTATTTATCGATTTTACTTCCTCCGCACAGGAGATGCAGTTGGTCTTTATAAAGTTTCAAGATTTTGCAAGTTTCATTTAGCTTAACAAAATTTTATTTCCTTCTGTTTTTCATTATCAATTCCTACCCATATCTTCATTGAAATCTCATAATTTTTCTCTGTACGTTTTAATTTTGCTTACATCATAGATTTTCTGAGATCTATTTTCCAATTTTCAGTTCAATTGACCTGACAAACATCACAGCAGCCGTTTACAGCACAGAGCTGTGTAAAAGGCTGAGAGCTTTCCTTTCTGCATTGCCACCATCGAGTCCACAGGCACATGTGAATGAGCTTCTAGTTGCAACTGCAGACTTTGAACGGGATCTTGAGTCATGGGATATAAGGTTTGTGAAAGAAACTTCTCCTATAGCACTCTAAAATGAAGTACCGAGAAGCTTCAGATTCTCTAAAATTAAAATATTCTTATCTGACATGCAATACAATTCCTGTTCCAGTCCTGTGCAGGGTGGTGTAGACTCCAGAAATTTGTTCCACAACTATATCATGGTGTGGATACAGGATATGCAACTTGGTTTGCTTGATTTATGCAAAGCAGAAAAGGTAGTCATTATTCAGCTGCTTTATGTACAACAAAACACTCGAGTCTATAAATGAAATGACCCCTCCAATACAAACAAATGATACAGGTGCCATGGGCTGGAGTAACAACAAACCATTCGACCTCCCCATTTGCTGAGGAAATGTATGAGAAAATCAAAGACCACCTTATCCAGTATGAAGTAGTAATCAGTAGATGGCCTCAATACTCACTTTATTTGGAAAATGTAAGTTTTATGAGATTTCTATTAAGCCATCTGCAGTCAATATCTCTTTTTCAAATAGTGTTTCTCTCCTCTCATATATATGTAAGCAATTCCATCTCCAATGTACAAAACATGCAATAATTCCTTGACTTTATATTCTTTTACCATTCTCTTCTTGGAAGGCTGTTGCAAATGTTGAAAGGGCAATTGTGAAATCCCTCGAGAAACAATACAATGATATCTTAACTCCTCTGAAAGATAGCATACCAAAAAGACTTCACTTGCAAGTTCAAAAGCTAGCGAGAAGACAATCAACTAATGTTCATTTGGTTCCTAATCAAGTAAGTTCCCCACTTATGCTTACATTTTTCCAGGTCTTGGAATCCAGCTCGGTTTAAATACCAAAAATTCTAAGCTCACATATGAGAACACTCAGCATGATAGAAAACATACTGGAATTTGCTTGTTTCTACAATTCTACCAATAAATGTTTTCTAATAATATCTTGTTTTATTCAGTTGGGAATATTCTTGAACACCATCAAGAGGATTCTTGATGTACTACATTGTAGAGTTGAAGACATCCTAAATTCATGGGCATCCTGCCTACCCGTCATGGGAGATAAGAAGACACTTTTTGGAGAGCAAATGAATGCAATCACTGTTCTCTTAAGAACCAAATACAAAACGTATTTGCAAGCAATAATAGGGAATCTTGCCAACAATGTAAGATCATTCAGACTCTATATTTCTCCGTTAGTTCTATGTCATCATAAAGTATAAAACGTATAAAACATTGGATGCCATATAAGTTTTTGTTTGGAAACCTCAAATATTCATCTACATTTGATAACAATTGGAATCTTGAATTTTTCAGATGCAAGCTAATAGGAACACAAGGCTGAAAAAGATCCTTGAGGAAACAACAGAAGCAGATGGAGAGGCAGAAGTCCGTGAAAGAATGCAGTTGCTGAATTCACAACTCATAGACTTCATATCCAACTTGCATGAGGTCTTTACCAGCCAAATTTTTATAGCAATATGTCGTGGATTTTGGGATAGGATGGGACAGGTAACCAACTAAAACTCTTATTATATGTTTTGACATGATTGACTTATTTTTCTTGGACCCAAATTAATATTGATTAGTTGTGCTAGATAATTTTGAAATTCCTGGAAGGGAGAAAAGAAAACAGGATATGGTACAATGGCTCTTCCTATGCTCTTGGGGTAAGTCAAAATTAGATTTTGTAAGTAAAAAAAAAATTGTATGCATTGCATAAGTGAGTGTCATTAACTGTTTGACTTTGTAGATATTGGATGATACTTTTGCTTCCCAGATGCAAAGATTAAGAGGAAATGCATTGCAAGAGAAGGATATTGAGCCCCCTCGCTCAGTAATTGAAGCCCGATCAATTCTTTGTAAAGACACGGCAAATGCAAATGATCCATCCGATTACTTCTACATATAGTTGAAACATCCACCGTTGTACATTATCATCATCATCATCATGTCATGTAAAGCTATGTAAAAACATACTATATTTATTCTTTTTGCATGTAAATGAAATAATGTACTCTTATTCAGATTTCAGAGGTTCAATAATGTTCTTCAATATAAAAGAATCCGTTCAACTGCTACAATCCATGTCGTACCAATCAACAGTTTTAATGAAAATTTCAAACATGACAATTTCTTTTGTTTTTAACATTACTACTTTTTAGTTAGCTAATTTTGTTATCGTTGAATACTTAAAGTGTTCAATTTAGAAGAATTATATATTCAATTATAATCTCCCCCCATCTCTTCCAATGACAAAAAAAAGAAGATAGATTAAACTATAATCTTAACAAAAATATAAAATCTAAAAACATTTTAATACATAATAATATAATAGAAAATAACTACCAATGTTTGTTTTACAATATATTTTTTCCTAAAAATACAATATATACAGTGATCTGAATGTTTAAATATCCAAGAATGCAGAGTATTCAAAATTCCTAAGAAAAATTTGTTGCCCAAGATAATTTTATCCAGGAGAAACAAAAAAATGGTTAATGGCAAGGGCAGTGGCATGTTTTCAATTGGGAGTTGATATTCTTTTTTTCACATTAAAATTAGAGTTCTATACTTTTAAAATTAATTTTTAAAAATACACTTTCACATTTCTAAAAATGAATTTTTGAACTTATTAATTTTTTTAATGAAATTCTACAATTTTACACTTTTATCAAAAAATTAAATTAAATTAAATTAATTTCCAAGTTTATATTTTTACACTTCTGAAAATTAATTTACAAAAATTAATTATTTTAAAGAAATTTTCTGAAATTAAGATTTTACAATTCCATAAAAAATATTTTAAAATTAAATTATTTTTCTAATTGAAATTTCCACACTTTTGAAAATTAATTTCTAAAATTATTATTGCTTCTTTGAGTAAGTTTTTCGAATTAAATTTTTCTATTTTTGAAAATATATTTTTACACTAATGAAATTTAGTTTCCAAAATTAGATTTTTATACTCTATAAATTAGTTTTTAAAATTATTAAGAGCATATTTGTTTCCATTTTTAAAAAAAAAATTATCTTTATAAAAACAAAAAGTCTCTAACTATTTCCATGGATAATTTTTTGAAATTAAAGTTTTACGTTTCCGAAAATAAGCTTTAGGTTATTATCTCAGCTGCTAATATATTTTTTACCATCATTATATTTGTTTCTACTATGATTTTATTATCATAAATTCATGCCTTTGTCATCAGTTAATTATCAAAAAAGTTTATTTTGAATTTTTCGTTGTTGTACTTGAAATAAAAAATATACAATTAAAAATAAGTTTTAATTTTTTAAAAAAAATGTAAAACTAAGCCTACATTAAACATGAGGATAAGCTAAATAATCAACAAAGAATTTTTATTTTATTTTATTTTTTTGTGAAAACAACCTTGAGAATCCATCAATATAACCGTTATGTATAAGTTGAACGACTATTTATCAATTGATGTTTATCATGAAATATTTATAACTAATGTCTTTTAAATAATAACATAGAACTTGAACGACTATTTTTGAAAAGACACTTTATATTCGCTACAAAATGTTTATAACATATTGATAATCCAGTGATTTGATCATTACATAGAAGTTAAACGGTTATTTATCCATTTGTTTTTGAAAGATTACTTTATGTTTGTTGAAAATATTTATAATTAGAATCTGGTAAAGTTTTTGCATTTAACACTGTTTTAAATATACTAAATACGAGAATAAACAGTGTTTTTTTGTTTCATGATAATCTATAGATTTGACCATTATATAAGAATTATGAATTTATTTTAGAATTAAAGTAAATATAAAGAAGAAGAAGGGAAAGGGTAGACATTTAGATTATAAATTTAAAGATTTGAAAAAGAAAAAGGAGAGAGGGGGGGGGAAGAGGAAAAAAAGGGGAAAAGGAAGGGAGGGAAAATGAAATAAAAAGGGGAAAATTTGAAAAGGGGGGGATTCCCTCCTCGAAAAAGAAGAAATGGAAATGGCTATAAAAGGGAGAAGGCGATGGAAAGAGCACCACTCAAAGGACACCAAATGGACCAACCCAACAACCACCTTCCCTGCGACGCCGACGGCCAATGCATGCTATGCAAACGCAAACCACCTCCTTCCGAAACTCTCACGTGCTGCACGTGCGCCACCCCCTGGCACCTTCCCTGCCTCCCCTCTCCCCCCCTCTCCCGCTCCTCCGACTCCCACTGGGACTGCCCCGACTGCTCCCTCGCCGGAGGAGACGCCGCCCCTGCCCCCGCCCCCTCTTCTGGCCACATCGTCTCCGCCATCCGCGCCATTCAGTCCGACACCTCCCTCACCGATCAACAGAAAGCCAAAAAGCGACAAGAACTCCTCGCTGGCTCCGTCAACCCTTCATCCGAGAAGAGCAACGTCAGTGGCGTCCTCGACATCTTTGACGGAAGCTTGAACTGCTCCTTCTGCATGCAGTTGCCGGAGAGACCCGTCACTGTTCGTTTCTTTTCCTTTCTCTGTTTGTTTCATTTATTGTTATATGTAACTTGATGCGTTTCGTATGCGTGTGTGTCTCAGACGCCTTGCGGTCACAACTCCTGCTTGCGATGCTTCGAGAAGTGGATTGGGCAGGGAAAGCGCACCTGCGCCAATTGCCGGAGCCAAATTCCGCCGAAGATGGCGTCTCAACCTCGAATCAACTCTCAGCTCGCCATCGCCATCCGATTGGCCAAGGCGGCCAGGTCAGGCTCCGCTGCCGCCGGACCACCCAAAGTCTACCACTTCCTCCACAACCAGGATCGTCCTGACACCGCTTTCACCACCGAGCGAGCCAAGAAGCCCGGCAAGGCCAACGCCTGCAGTGGGAAGATCTTCGTCACTGTTCCACCTGACCACTTTGGACCCATTCCCGCCGAGAACGATCCCACTCGGAACCGCGGCGTTCTTGTTGGCGACACGTGGGAAGACAGGATGGAGTGTCGGCAGTGGGGTGCTCATCTTCCTCATGTCGCCGGCATTGCTGGCCAGAGTGGCCATGGGGCACAGTCTGTTGCACTTTCCGGTGGTTACATTGATGATGAGGATCACGGCGAGTGGTTCCTTTACACTGGCAGTGGTGGGAGGGATCTTAGCGGCAACAAACGCACCAATAAGGAACAGTCTTTTGATCAAAAGTTTGAGAACATGAACGAGGCCTTGAGAGTTAGCTGCCGAAAGGGTTATCCTGTTCGAGTTGTAAGGTCTGATTCTTTTATCAATGTTATTCTGTAGTTTGTCTTAAACGCTATTTTTCTGTGTATCCACAATTTGGTATTGCATTGTCCCTCTTAGCCATAAATCATACTCATTTTGCTTGAATTGTATCTGGTATGCACTGAACTAAGTCAATTTGTACTCAATATGCTTTTTCTTTGTTCTATTTCAGGTCGCACAAGGAAAAACGTTCTTCATATGCCCCCGAATCTGGAGTGAGATACGATGGAGTCTATAGAATAGAGAAGTGCTGGCGCAAAGATGGAATACACGTAAGATACTTGTATCAATAAGCATTGTGTTAATTGAAGTTTGATTAACCGTAGATAAAATTTCTCTTTATATTTATTTTCTAAACTTTGGTTCTTTTCCTTTTCTAATGTGATAGGGTTGCAAGGTTTGCCGGTATCTGTTTGTGAGATGCGACAATGAGCCGGCGCCATGGACAAGGTTAGGTTTTTGCTTGCATTGCATCTGTTTGTATATGCATGTGTGCGAATCTATAAATGTAATTGACTTTCTTTTGTTGATATCTGCAGTGATGAATGTGGAGACCGCCCACGCCCACTGCCCAAAATTGATGAGTTGAAGGCTGCAATTGATATAACCGAAAGGAAGGGTGCTCCATCCTGGGATTATGATGTAAGTTGTGTTCTCTACCTCTACGATATATTTTTTTGTTTGTTTTGATTATTGTACTTGATTATATATAAGATCATCTGAATATTTGTGCCCCTGATTTTTAGAAAATTTTTTCACAGTAGATGTTTGTCCTGCTGTTGATGTCCTACAGATTTTGAAAGTCCTCACTCAGTGCTTTTCATATAATTTCAGGAGGAAAAGGGCTGCTGGTTGTGGAAGAGACCTCCGCCAGAAAGCAGGAAATCCGTTGACATTGTAAAACCTGAAGATAGGTCAACAGTAAGAGTTAAACGAAAAGCGAAAAATGTGTCCGTGAAAGAAAAACTATTGAAAGGTATACAGAATATGTGCGCTTAAACCTCATTCCATCCCGTGCAGGCATTTTTAGTTTTGAATTTTTTTTACTCATGAATTTTTGTTATTCGAAGCCCCTTGTAGTTATTTGGACTTGTAAAACTATTCAATTTTGCCGCTGATTTCATGATCTTTGCAGAGTTTGGTTGCCAAATCTGTCACAAAGTTTTGGCTTTCCCTCTTACTACACCTTGCGCTCACAATTTTTGCAAAGCCTGTCTGGAGGGTGCCTTTTCTGGCCAAAGTTTCATCAGAAAGAGGGCATGTGAAGGTGGTCGCACTTTACGAGCACAGAAAAACATTATGAGATGCCCATCATGTTCAAATGATATTGCTGACTTTCTTCAGAATCCACAGGTACTTGAGCACCTTAATCTTAAATTAGAATTTTGTGAAAAGAACCCCACAAAGTTTTGAAGAAAGTAAAGTTAGGTTTAATTTAGTCTCCGAGATTTTAAAAATTTATTTAGGAAATGGGCATTATAATCCTTCTTGGCTTTTGGATTGCATTTGATTATTTGAGATGGAATTAATACTTTTGTCATTAGTTTTAATTGTATTCCACTTTTGCTGTGAAATGCTTATGCCATTTTGAAAATATGGTCTGTCACGATAGAAACTTACTGATGCTTTGATTGCTTTGGGCACTTACTTTTTTGAACTCGGGTGTCTATGCTTTCCAAAATGTCAGAAGATTTATTCCAAACATTAATTTCACTGAAATAAGCTCTTAAAACTTTATCATCACGACCATTCCGTAAAAAGTTTGACTCTGACTTTTCCCCTCTAGTCGTTTCTTTTCTTTATGCTGAAAGTAGCTGTTTGTAGTCGTATATTCGTTATATCCAAATTGGTATATTCTTAATATTGATTTGCCTAGTTGTGTTTTCCCCACTTTTTTTCCAGGTTAACAGAGAAATGATGGGCGTTATAGAATCACTCCAGCGGCAGGCTGAACAGATGGATGATAATTCTGAAGAGTCGAGCGATAAAAATGATGAAAATCTTAAGAATGTGGATGATGGGACAGAAGTTGTTAAAAATAGTGATTCAAGTGAGAAGGTACTGGAGGAAATTAAGGACAATGATCTGAATCAGCCACACACGCGGAGGAAAGGTGCTGGTGGTGCGGTTATGGTGAATATAGATGAACATACTGGGGATGCTGTACACTAGGAGACAGTGCAAAGACTTGCAATGAAAAGGGTTGAAAGATGTTGCTTCCTATTTTTTTGGATTATGGATTTGCATTTGCTTACCAAGGGATTCCTGATGCCAAGTGAATTGAGTTCCCTTTTGGACCGTCAGGCACGATTGAGTGGAGCTGGTTGAGCTTTGTGTTCTCTTTATTAGGTTTCGTTTGGTATAATTGACAACGAATTCACCTTTTACATTGTTGTGCATATCTTGATGCTTTCCAATTTATATAGTAATTTTGATGGAAAATTATTTATGCTATGATTAAACAATGCTTAGATAGGATTAAAAAACTACGTACTATCAGATTACAGACGAATCGAATTTTCCACCTTTGAGAAATCAACTTGTGAATATTTTGCTCTAAATTTAATTTTCCAGTTTGTTTTTTCTAAATTGCAGATACTGACAGGAGATAATTTTGTTGAATTAAAAATATATACATTATGATGGGGTTAACGTATAATAAAGTAATAAATAATTTTGTATTTAAAATTAATTTAAAGGTTGTTAATTAAGGAAAATTAACATATTGTTTAGATTGGTTTTTGTCGATAAATCTGCAATATTGTGATAATCTACGTCTATAATTATGTTGGACTCAACTGGAATAATTTCTTTCTGCAATTAAAAACACTAAAATTTGTAATGCAAAAGTTCCTATGAATGAAAAATGAAAAAAAATGGATTCTATAATTCAAATTAGTTTCAATTCTGAACTAGGATTACAATGATTGCTTAGACATGAGAGTTTTTATTTATTTATTTAATTTCACTCGTAATTAGGAACATCGATTATAATGATATTTGCCATTTATAAAATAATTTGTAAGAATTTCAATTTTGTTTTGATAGCAAAATTTTCAAATTGTAATTTAAATCTTTATAATGATCTATTTTTACTCGTTGAAAAGGCAACAGAGGAATAATGAAATTGAATAGGGAATCAAAACAAAAGATTGACCGTATATTTTGCGTGAAATTTAAGGGTAAAAATAGGTTAAATTTAACTAAATTATATAAGCTTTGGATAAGATTTATTTCTTAAATTCAAGATCTAGCCTATTTTATTTAATTTTTCATCGATAGCTTAGAATAACTATTCCTTTATTTTTTTAAAATAAAGTGTGCAAGAACTAGAATAATATCTTAAAATTTAAGACATTTTCAAACACATGATGACAATGTAGAAGCTAAGAGCAGAAAACCAACGCGGATTGGAAATTTGTACTATTGCGGGAGAAATATAGATGGGTTGAGATCCTCTATAATTTTTATAACACTAAATAATAGCTTGTGAAATGAACAGATATTTTATTTTAAAATTCATATTTTATTATCAGTAATTGTAAAATTATTTTTTAATGGGAAATCATGTATAAAATATTAATGTAAGTATTGTTTTTATTATAATTTTTTGCAATTTATGATATCGGTAATCTATTTATTATATATATACTGGTGATTTTAGTTACTTGTAAAAGCATTTTTAAATTAAAATATTTTAAATAAAAAAGTAAAGATATTGTATAATTAATTTCAAATTAAATAAATTTTAAAAAATAACATTATAATTAGTCATGATAAATATTTTATCATATTAAATTGAAAATATAAATACTAAAAATTATTTAACACGATAAAATTAACTATTAATAATATTTACGTTTAAGGTATCTAAAAATATTGTTAAAAAATTGATTTTACAGTTAATATATAGAAATGAATTATTGGATTCATGTTTAAATTTTAAAATATATTTCACATTTGGTTTTTCAAAAATTGTTATCTTGAATTTATAGAAAACATTAAAATATTCTTAAAACTTAAGTAATTATTACATATTTTTAAAAATATATATTTTCAATAACATTTTTCATAAAAGTATATTTTAGAGCATCGTGGTCCGCACGTGAAGGAAGGAAAAGGAAGAGAGTATTTGAAGGGTTAAATCTAGAATTTACAAATCGGATAGGATTTGGATGGTTGTTGACTTATTGACGTTAACTTAATATTCTTGCATAATTTAATAAATAAAATATGTTAAAAATATTAAAATTTGTTTTTTTATATATTTTTTATTTATAATTAGATAACAGTATAACTTTTAAATTATTTATTTATTTATTTAAATTATTATTTTTTAAGATAATATATTGAAGTGAAGTTTTAATATTAGACTACTTATAAATATTTAATTTTTTAAAATTTAATCATTAAATATTTAATTTTAACTATTAGGGTTGTGTTAAAATATTGTATATCAATAAAAAAAATTAACTAAATTATCCTTTATAAAATTTGAAATATATATATATATATATATATATATATATATATAAATAAAATTTTCTTATATTGGTGTAAGTCTAAAAATTCTTACACTAAATTTAAATTTTTTATTTAATTTATATGGTTATAATTTATTACTTCACTAATCGATATAAATTTAATAAAAAATTTAATTTAAGTGTAAGAATTTTTAAATTTATACTTATATAAGAAGATTATTTCTATGTGTATATATATATTTTTGTAAACTTTGAAAAGTGAAATAAAAACTTGCATTTTAATATATTTGAACAAAATTACGTCGTATCATCCTAAAAAAATAGAGGAATTGAAAATTCAAGGGAGTACAACTTCAAGCTTGTAAAAGTTTAATTATTACATTCGGTAGTTCTTCAATTTGGTACGCGCAGAGCTGAAATTTCAACTTTCAAATCTTAAACAGTGTCAAACACATAATAAAAATAAATTTGATTTTAAAATTTGCATGAGTTTAATTGACCCCATTGAATTGAAAAAAGAAAGAAAAGAAATTAAGATTTGGCCCATTGAAAAGAAATGCGTTTGTTACTTTGTGAAAACATAATTGGATATAAAATTTGTTCATATTATGACTTTAACCCTCTGCCCTTACTCGCTTTATTATCTTTTTATATGATTAAAAATGTTAGTTGACTGACTTCGAGTCTTCTCCCAACAGCACAACTCAGGTAATATTGATTAATTAAGAAATTACAAATAACATATTTTATTAGAAATTGCACTAACAATCATATGTATTTTCAATAAAAAAAATTATATTTTTGATTTATCAAATATTTATTTTAATTTTATATAAATAAATAAAATCAAATTTAACCATTAATATATAAGATTAGACAGTAATTTTTTTTTCTAAACTGAGACTCAAATTTAAAATCAGAGATTTGCATAATTAACAATTTAAGGACAGACATTAAGAAAGTTCTTATTTCTCCCTACATGATTTATATAATATATAATCTGTGAGAGGCACTTTCTATGTAACTACAACAATACTTAATGATTGAGAATATCCCTCTATATATACATCCCTTTCCCCATAAACCTTGTGATGAAGGTGTAGACACAAGGCATGGATGAGTTCATGAATCCTTACTCCGAAGTTCACAATCAGTTACTATCCCACAATTCCAAGAGAATAATGAAGTTCCTTCTTAAATGTTCTCTGTTCTGTGCTTTGTTTTCTGTACTACTTCCTTTACACCTTCACTCCTTGAAACCATTCCTCATGCAATTCTATAGCTACACCGTCGTCGACAAGACCTACATCTTCCTTCTCTGCAATGGCCTTTTGCTTTTAATAGCCATGTCTTCTTCACCACCAACCACTCATCAAACCATACAACGTCCCATTCCCATTCACATAGAGAAAAGTACCCAGTTAGAATTCAACGTATCATGCATTGAAGCACCGGTTGCTGCTGAAAACGTTGATGAAACTGAGTCCCCACAAGAAGAAGAAAAGGTTTTGACGATTGCTGAACAAGAGAATGCGGTCTCAGATACGCAAGAAGAAGATAAAGAGGAGAGAAACGCCCTTGTGAAAATTGATGAACATGAGCACAGTGCGGATGACACTGAAGAGTTAAACAAGAAATGTGAAGATTTCATTAAAAGGATGAAAGCATCGTTTTCTGAGCCAAGAGCTGATTACAGTTTTTATTATAATAATCAGAAATCGCTGGTGGTTGTTAATTAAGTAATTGGGCATCTCAGAGTTTCGCTTTTTTTCACTCCCTTTTTTCTCTCAACATTTTCTTTCTTTTCCGCTTAACTAATAGGGTGTCTTAGTTATACAAGTTTTTGGTTCTTGAAGCCACCAAGATTTTTGCTTGTAGGAATTAAATCCCTGTCTAAATAATTCTCTCAGACTATGTTCTGTTCTCTGTTCCAATGGAAAGATTAAGCTTGGTCTAATCTATTAAGTGCAGATCGTCGTTCATATCTTTGATGTTTCTTCTCATCTAATTAAACTTGAAAAAGTTTACAAGTTCAACTTGTGCCCAGTATAAGCTTTGATCTGAAATTAAGCAGCAACGTCAAAGAAAACATTCTAAAGAAGGATGTTAACTTGATCATTTGAGTTCAAGCTAGCTTCGTTAGTGAATAAAATTGACTCGTTGAGACTATTTATTTCAATGAGTTAAATTAAAAAGGTTAGACATAAATTGTTCAAAAATATGTTATTTAAATTCATCTTACTTTGCGTATTATTATTTTTAATTAAATTTATTCTTTAACATTTTTAAATCCATCTATTTAATACACACATACGCGTACAAAAGAGATTGCTTGTTCTCACAGATTTTCAATGTAAAATTTATAAAATAAAATATAACTTTATTTATATTAGTAGCGAATGTTGTCAAGTATTTAATGAGCAACTTTTAATAATATTTAAATAATTAAATCACAAATAAACTTATAAATATCAAAGTTGTTATGTTTCTATGAGTTGTTATAGGCTCCTAAGGAGAAATTAGAGGCCATGTAAAAGATAATTTTGCAATTGCACGTGGAAAAGCTACTTTTCGAGAGGTCAGGAAAAATAATCATACACGAAAAGTTGTCCAAATATACAATCAATCCTTGAATAAAATGTCAAATATCTTTTAACTTTTGATTATCTCTGGAAATTCAAACACACAAGCAAATCCTTGTTACTTCATTTTCATATATAAGAAAGAAAGGTAAAAAAGATTAGAATTGTATGCAGTTTTAGCAGAAACTCTAATCTACAAATTAAATTCGCTTAAACGAAGATAATTGTAAAGAATTTTACCAAAACGTGAAAGAGGATCCGAATCTAAGTAAGAAAGGGCACATCGAATTGTGCTAACGTGTTGTTGGATTAAGATCATCTACAGTTTCGAAAACGACTGGATGAGATTTCTTTTAATTTTAATATTTAGTAACTTCAACCTATAAAGCAGAGCAAATTTTGAATGAATGGTGTAAAGTATTGGGTGGAGTTCTTTTCCAAGCTACAGAAGGTTCATAACTCAAGAGTGACATATTTTAATGTCTGATAGATACTCGTCGGATCAGGATTCCCTCGTGTTCAGACCTGAACATGAGGCTCATATTAGTGTATTTTTACACTTTTGCTTAATACACTAACATGAGCTTCATGTAATATGTGAAAATCCTTTTTCATATTCGTTGCACATAAATAAAAAATTTGTTATAGCACTATATTTGAAAAGAAAAATGATAACAACAGAATTCATTTAATATATTTTATATTTGTTAAATTCTTTGTGACTTGAAGCGAGTCTCATATTTATCCAATATTAAATAATACTTGTGTGCATGGAAACGATGTGTTTACAAGCAGTGAAGAAATAGAAAAACGCATGAATAAGCGTGTGCTCAATTCAATTTATTTTTGAAGGAATTGACTATGAAGGTGCAGTGAGGAAGGGGCCCAGGTAGCTTCCTTTGTTGAACATCAATCTTGGGAAGTTGAAGAGTGGAAAGGGTCATTTTTGTTCTTAAAGAAAAAACCTAGCAATTGTTTTACTTGACCTGGGTCAAGGACTTTCTAAGAAAGCCAACAAAATCGAAACTGACAGAGGGAACTCATTTTCCACAGGAATAAAGTAAATTTTAAGAAAGTGGGGTTACTCTTGTCCTTCGTTGATAACAACGCGTACCAGTGAATCCAATTAGAGCCATATGCACTGTGCAGATCAATCAACCTCAAGAAGCTATTGTTTTGAAACTCATACTTTTCCAAGACACGGGGATAACATCCAATATCAACTACCATATTCAGATTTTGATCCTCTAGTTTAGTAATAATTACATCGAATAGAATAAGTATACTATTTATTCAATATAATTACTGAAATTTATAATTATTAATAATAAATGTCTAATTTTAGATAACTTACCTACAATTTGTACCTGTAAATGTTTAAATTTCACGAAATTTAATGCCCTTGATCATGAAAATATAAATCCGATTTCACTTATTAAGTTCCTCTTCAGTGTGTTTTTTGCAAAGCTCCAGAGTGTGGTTAAAAGGGTACTACCCCTTTAAGGAACAGGGGCACACGTCAAAATGAACACAACTCAGAAAAACAAGAAAATTCAGCAATAAGGGAAAAAAAATAATGATAAAGAGGATATTGGGGGCTGCTCCACGCGGCAACAATGTCCCATCTATAATCTGTTATTCCTTTCTCTCCAATTGCACTCTGGACTACTGCATCTATCCAAATCTCATTTTCTGGAATTCTTAAATTTTCTATCTAAACACAACTAAGGTAAATCACTAATTTCCGCAACTAAGACATGGTCATGAGTTCAAAAAAATGTCTCATTTTTCTCTCTTTTCTTCACCATTACAAGCGAATTAACATCACTATTCCAGATTGTAACACCAAAGAATCTCCTCTCCATAATTATTCAGCACCAGTCACCAATAATCCCCACAAGAACATTTGCCACCATAAAAATGGTGAAATCTATTTGAATCTCGTAAAATTATCTGTCGATTGACAATCTTTGATATGTATTTGAAAGCAGTGTGACAGTCACCACAAACCCGAAGGTTCTTCATTATCCTAATTGGGAGCTCGGATTTGCGAGTGAGAACAAAAGCAACAGCCAGCTTTTCACTATGATAGCTTAGGAGCTCTTCTTTGTTTTCAAGCTCAAGATCATAGAGTGCATAATTGGTTTCAGGCACATATCCAGCATCCCTCATTTTGTTCATTATCTCCTTGAGCATGTCATAGATTTTTACTTTCTCCGGGTGCGTTTGATCTCCAGCCACAAACACATGAACTCCATCCTTCATGGTCACCCAACTACACCCTGCTTCCTTCTTCACTTCTGCATTCCTCATTGCCAACCTAGCCTGTGCCACATCTTCCCACTTCCCACCAGCAGCATGCATGTTAGACAGAAGCACATAGTTCACAGCGTTCTGTGGCTCTAACTCAATAAGCATCTTCGCAGCCTTCCGTCCTAGCTCTGTATTACGGCCATTTGATCGACAACATGCTCCTAAAACTGTTCTCCAAATAAGTACATTAGGATCCATTGGCATTGTTTTGATAAAGTCCTCAATCTTATTAACATCACCTGCTCTTCCAAGGAGGTCTACCATACAAGAGAAGTGTTCTATTCGAGGAGCTAAGCCATATACTTCACTCATTGATTTGAATTGCTTAAATCCTTCATCAACTAATCCTACATGACTACAGGCTGATAGGACCCCAACGAAGGTGACATGATCTGGTGATTGGCCATGCTGTTTCATTTGAGTAAAAAGTTTTCGAGCTTTTCGTCCCTGTCCGTGGCGTGCAAAACCTGAAATCATTGAATTCCAAGAATATATGTTCCTCACAGGCATCAAATCGAAGAATCTTGAAGCATAATCTATCCTTCCGCATTTTGCATACATGTCAACTAGTGCACTACCAACAACAACATCAGATTCTAGACCAGCTCTTATAGAACATGCATGGACTTCCATACCACGCTCTAATGTTGCAACTGAAGCACAGGCACTAAGTAGGGTGGCAAGTGTGAAACCATCCAATCTATGGCCCCTTTGCATCATAAGCCATACCAAATCTATGGCCTTGTGCAGGATGCCATTGTGTATATATCCAGAAATCATTGAATTCCAGCTGACTTCATCCCTTCGTTCAGACATTCTAGAAAAGATAATCTCACAGTCCTCCATCTGCTCACACTTTCCATAGAAAGCTAGAAGTGCATTCTCAATAGCATTGTCAGGAGCAATGGAGTATTTTAAGATTAAAGCATGAATTTGACGACCTAGTTCGAGAAGAGAAAGAGAAGAAACTGCTGGTAAAATATTTATAAATGTCACTCTGTTAAGTTTCCATCCAGCTTGCATCATCTGGAGGAAATATTTTATAGCCTGTAAAACTGATGCCTCTGAAGTTGCTAGTGCACCAATAAAACAATTCAAAGAAACTTGATCATACTCTGGCATAAGAAAGAAAACTTTATGACATTCATCCATATAATCAGTTTCAGCGTATAATGTTAGAAGAGCATTTGAAACTGAAACATCCAAATCAAGCCCCCATTTGATCCCTTCACAGTGTATTTGTCGTCCTAACATGATCCAACCCAAACTTGCACATGAACTCAAAGTACTAATAACTGAGAAATTTGAGGGTACCATTCCATTTCTTCTCATTGTATGGAAACAGGCAACTGCTTCCTCAAACCGCTCATTGTGGTCCAGGCCAGAGATCATGGAGTTCCATGAGACAATATCTTTACTGGGCATGAGTTTAAAAATTGACCGAGCATTATCAATGGCATCACATTTTGCGTACATATTGACAAGCGCATTTCCTATTGAAATCCAGACATTAATCAAAGCATTGCGAATCAGATAAGCATGAATCTCTTGACCCTTTCTCTTCCCTTCCTTTAAATTTGAAAATTCAGTAAAAGCACTTAAAAGAACCACATAAGAGTCTGCATTTATTTCAACGAAATCTTTCATTTCCTTGAATATCTTAACTACTTCTTCACCCTGGTGCTGCCTTGTCAATCCAACAATTAACCCATTCATAGTCACTGCATTACGATCACACATCTGCTCAAAAATCGTTTTAGCAGGTTCTATCAAACCAAACTTCGCAAACCCACTGACCAATGCACTACCAACATACAAACCTTGTAAGAAGCCAGATTTTTCAATCCTAGCCAGCATCTGCTTAAGCAAAGTCAGTCCATAGTCAACCAGAGAGCATGCAACCGTTACTAAGCTACAGAAGGTATATTCATTAGGCCTGCAGGTAAGTTGTGAATCCCTTTGCATGCTTGAAAATAGCTTAAAAGAAGAAATTGCATCTCCTCTACGACAATAAGTCGAAATGATAGAATTCCAGGATGCAGAATTCTTAATTTTTATTTCATCAAAAACATGACGAGCATCATCAGTGGAAGCTGAGCAATGTGAATACATGGACATGAGCACATTAGACAACACCATGTCCGAAGCATATGGAGATTTGGAAAGTAAGCCATGAATCTCCATCCCAAGTTTAAGCTTAGTTGGACCATGCTCTTGGCATGCTCGAAGAGCACTACCAATAGCATAGTGGTTTGGTGAGAGACCAGCTGAAATGATTCCTTTGAATAAAATACATGCCTCATCAGGCATGCAATTTTGTACAAACCCTGAAATCAAACAAGCCCAAGAAACGAGGTTCTTTTGAGGCATTTCATCAAACAGCTTCTGGGCGGAATCCAATTTGCCAACTCTGACATAAATATCAATAAGAGTATTACACCAGAAAACATCATATGTAAACCCACTTTTGTAGACCTGCAAATGAAGCTGATGGGCATCTTCCAAGCAACAAGAATTTTTAAACTGATGATATTCCAAATTCAAAAGTGGAAATTTGAGGTTGTAATGATGCAGCAACTGCTCTGACAAAGCTAATTGGGCAGAAAGAGCATGAGTTGAATTGTGTAACAATCGCCTGAAGCAGAACATCATGCTTTTCGCAACCCTACCGATGCATGATTTTACTGTTAATGACAAGATGCTAGTTCACATAAAGTTTCAAGCTTGCTGCCATTGCAATCTCATGCATTTTTTCAAAAGTCTGATATTCAAGTCTGTTTAAAAATTGATGGGCTAAATGCTATAATCTCGAGCAAATAAGAGGTAGAAGGACACCCGTAATTTCAATTTAGTGTTCAAGTAAATAGGTATTATAACAAGGTAATAAGATGCGAAATGAGCTCATACTCCATGACGCAGAGTACATCATTTATATATAAGCTAAATACATGTGAGTTGTGGAATGAATTCTATCAAATATTCTAAAATTATTAAGCAATGGATGTGTCGAATGTGAGTTGTGATTGATAATGGAATGGGCTATTTTTTGGTTCTTGAGGATTTTTTCTTAAGGGATTAACAAAATAAACTACAGTTAATACAAACAAGTATATTGCATGTTTGCATCTACATTTATAAATATAAGTGAAATATAAATATAAATTTTAAAATATTTTTTATCAATAAAAATATAATTTTAATAATAATTTAAAAATATTAATTATATTTAAGATTAATGGAAGATATTTAAGTATTGAATAAAAAAATTGATTTTGAATAAAATCCATACAACATATATATAAAGAATTACATAACAAAAGAAGTATAAAAATTATCAAATTTTAAAGTAAAAACATAATAATATAAAAAAAAAAAGAAAAAAAAGAAATGGCTGCATGGATGCCAGGTCATTAGTTAGAGAGATAAGGGTAGGGTCCACAACAGTATCCAAGCCGAGAGAGAAGTGAGAAGACATATCATATATATGTGATGGATAAGATCATAGGATTGGAGATGGCATGACATAGAAGCACAGAAAGAAACAATCAAGAAATGGCTACCAAACTCACTCTTTCTTCTCCCCTTCCATTCAAAACTTCATTTTTACCAAAATCGCCATTACTTTCTCCACCTTCATACTCCCCCACAGCCAATGTTCTTGCTGTCAAGGTTCATGCCAAACTAGGTAACTCACCTCCCTTTCTTTCAGTTTTATCACATCCTGTTTCTCATTCTGTTGAATTAAATGAATCACTTTATGATACCCTATTAGGTGGTGGAGATGATGAACAAGTCAAGAAAGGAGGCAAGAGGAAGTTCATAACCAGAGATGAAGAACCACAACAGTAACAATTCCCGGTTTTCCCTTCATGATTTTTTTCCCATTTCCTAAATTTTCTAGCATATGTTTCCAACAAATGTTTTTGTTTGTGGTGTGGGCCAGGTATTGGCAGACAGCTGGAGAAAGGGAAGGAGAGAATCCCATGAAGACCCCTCTTCCTTACATCATCATATTTGGTATGTCAACTCCTTTTGTAATCTTGGCCATTGCTTTTGCAAATGGTTGGATTAAGGTACCTGTTCGATGAGACCCTGGACAATACTTCATTGTCTACTCGTCTTCTCATGTTAATTCTCACCAATTTTAAGCACTTTAGTTCTCAAACTCTAGCAGATATTTTCTTTACCTCTTCACATATGTATTATTATGTCATGAATCACTTTAGTGAACAAGAGTTCAGTCCAATCAATATTTGAGAAAGCAACTTGAGAGTGGCAGTTTGATGATCCTTCTACTTACATTAAAGTTGGTTTTTTTGTTCTTTTTCTTTTTCTTTTGGATAAATACGCTGCTTGTTGTTTCAAGAATTGCATGTGATCAATTCAGAACAGTTATAAAGACCTAACACAGAAACTGCTAGTATGAGATGGTTGGTAACCCGAGTGGTATATGGAAAATTAATAAGTAATTAGAGATTTTTATTTTTCTGTTCCTTGAGGATAAAACAGGCAAAAGAAAAAGGAAAGCAATTTAGATTGTTGGTATACTATAGATTACTGTTTTTATTTTTTATTTTTTATTTTTAAATTTTTTTGTGTGTACAATAAGGGTATCCCTAAGGGAGTTAGAGATTAATTTCTTCGAAGAAGCGATGTACATTTCTTTTTATTTAGGACAAAATACGGTTGACATCTCTATCATACCTGCAATATTCAGACCTATAATTGAACCGTTGTAATCACTAATTAGGGATGACATTCAACACTGATCAGTCTGTTATTTTTATACATAGAAATTTGAGCAAGTGAAATTAAAGAAATGAAATATGGTCTGTGGAATTTCAACCAATTAGGAAAAAAGTTAGTCTAAATCTTGCCACATATGTAGGTGTATACTCATATTACAGTTGTGTCATGGATAGCATGTACACAAGTGTCAAATTTAGCTAACGTGAAGGGTTGAGAGGAGTAGCCATTTCACTTGTGTATATGTGCCTTATTTTAACAGCATCAAATGGCTTTTACTGTATGTTCAACCATCTGAATTACCCATGATAATTATCTGAGAGCACAAGAAGGGAAAAGGGGATGCAAGGTCATATTTCGTCGGTGTCAGCCATTATATGATACAGAGTAACCGTTGAATCTTCATCAAAGCATGTGGAGAAATCATATTCAATTCCCCAAGCATAAGACCTTGAAAGCAGGACAACCACTAAGAATACGAATTGTATATATTGACCGCCATAATAAATAATATTCCCTCAAGTTGTTTATATGGAAAGCAATTTTTCATTTTACCTATTCCAATCGATTTTCTACACATTAGATTAATAACCTTAACAAATGTTCTCATAAAGACCACTTAAACGAGGCAACTTCAATAGCAGTCAAAAATTATAATGCTTCATCATCTTTCCCTGCGCAGGGACTTGTACAATACCATAGTAACATATTTATGTTGAAACTTATGAGTTGATCGCAGTGCCACAAATTGACCCCTATCAGTTTTGAATATGTATAGATGATTCAGTTGTGTGGGCCTAGGAACAGGACGAGTATCGCTTGTTGAAGGCTCATGTTCTAGTGCAACTGGTAGTTGTGGTGGTAATTCTGGTGGGGGCTTACTGAACTCATCTTCATTTAAGAATGTGTTATCATAACTTGAAGGTGGTGATGGAGGATCATCAAAATCAGATAACCTTCCAAGTGTTTCTGGGATATAATCCTGCAATGGTGTTAGTAAAGAAACTAGGTGAGGCTCTCTTAGAGAAACAAAAAGAAATGATGTCTAAATGCTACTTACTAAGCATACAGAAAAGGACATAACAAAAGTGAAAATGCATGTCGTTTCAGCAAATGTATCAGATTTTGAACATATTAAATAACTAAATAAGCATATATAGATGAATTGTAAGAGTAGAAGGGATTATAAGTTATGACCATATTTTGGGATGTTAATTCGCTCAATACACTTGAATCAGAGGAATAAATGCTAATGTGTAAACAAACATTTCTAACAATGGATACAAGACTAGTGAAAGCAATTAAACTAGCAGAAGTTACAATAAAAGACTCTCGACTTACCGAGTATTCAAGTTCAATCCATCGTTGCAGTTAGTTAGTTAGGGGATAGACCATTATTTAAGAGGAAGAAATTGATGGACTAGGTATATTCCAATCACCATTCATAAACATAATCATCTTACGGCTTGAATTTTAAATTTTTTTCAAGGTTAAAACCCACTCTGCTGAACTCTTATGCAACAGAACATCTAATTATATTTCATTTCAATAATTGAAGAATATGAACTTTCAACATACGATTGTCTTGGATTGATCATTATACAGTTTCAATAAAATAAATTATTTATAATTTTATCTATTTTTTTTCTAAAAGCAAAAATCAAATTCCATACATATGAATGAATGATATAAATTTGGACAGTAATCAAATTCCTTTGTTCTAGAAGTTTTGTATGTGGTACAATAGTTTCCTCACCAGGCAACAAATTTTGACAAAAACGAGTAATGGATTTGGTATAAGCAAACATGTTATCTGAAGTTACCTGCAAATCCAATATATTGTAGGCATAACCTGTATCATCAGAAGCCGTTGGAAACTCTGGAGCATGTGTCAAATATCCATCTACAATGAAGCGGTAATGATAGATACCTATCGGGAGTGTTTTAACAATGACAGAATTTTGACCTACTCTCTGCAAGGCCTCTCTGACAGCACAAGTCAAAATTTTATCTTATAATATATAATGATGCAAAAGCAAGAACTATAGTTGAAATTTATAAATATAGATGCTTACGTGGTCTTCCAGTTGTCCCATGATCCTGCAATAGCAACATTTGTACCTGCATGATTCCATGTGATCCTTACACGTTTCAACTTTTCATGAATCACAGATTCTACGTATCCATCTACCGCTCCAGGTCTTTGCATGGCAACCCCAGGAACCTTGCAAACAGGCATTTGAAATTTGGTGTTTCAACCAAAAAGTTCATTATGTTGTGCCCCTCAAGATATTTATTGTCACTGGCTTCATTCAGTGGTACTCTTAAATTGTATGCTCTTCATTAGATTATAAACATTAAAGCCTATTTTAATTGCATGCATATTTTTTTTTTATTATCTGAGAGTGAACTAATATATGTTGCCATAGCATGCATGTAAAAGTCTCAAGATAATTAATTTCTTCGATTAGTAAATCTCACAAGTTCCTATAAAACCAGCAGTTTTTCACATATGAATGTTACTAAACACAAGTAGTATTCAAAAGAATGAATTCACCTTAAATTTATATTGCTTGAAATATTACTCTAATCCTTGCCCTATTAGCCAAAATCAGGCTTTGATCGTACCATTTCACAAGTCACTATTAAACGGTACAAGCAGTCTAGAGAAGCATCCTATCCATAGGATCGATGCTTAATTGTCGCTGCTTTAATCAAATTTCTTTCTTTCCCCTCTTAAAACTAAAACCCATCATATACCATACATGGATACACCGTGTAAAGCTGTAACATTAAACATGACCATTCCTATTTAGAGATTCCTTAAAAACACGCCTATGTAGGCATTTAACATCAACAGGTTTAATCCTTTCTTGGAACTACATACGGCAGGAGTATCCATAATTTGTCCTCAAACTTAAACGTTGCATGTTTAGAGGAAGTTCCTTGTCATAGTTATTCAACGCAAAAAAGGAGAAGAAAACCATAATTTTTCTTGAATAAAGGGAATTAAAAAGGGATCATCTTTGATCTAACTCTGACCTGGTGTTGTATGAGCAAGGGAGGTGGTGGTTCATACGGCCGAGGGCCATGCCCATATGGAGCTAACTGAATCAACGGATCTGTAATTCCATTGGTATTAACGGTATTGTGAGGAAGCAGTTCATGTGGCAGAAAATTGATGTCTTGTTCATACTCTTCAACCTTTTTAACTCCAGAAGTCCCTTCACCATCCTTTCCTTTGCTGTTACTTCCCATCACTGAAAGTAGAAGAAACCCAGATTTTGATGGTAATCAACACTATCCTCAGAATCAAAACACCATACACAGAAAGAGAGAAGGGTAGATATCCATGCTCAGCTGCGAGACAGCACGAATCCATTAGATAGAGAAGAAAGAATAAGAAAGCAATCTGGCATACCCATTTCTGTACATAAATAGAACAAACCCTTGAAAGCAAACCAGGAATTGACTGAAGGTAGCAGAGTGGCATTGTTATAGAATAGTTTTTTTATCTTTTTAAATATTTGATGAACCTCTCTCTCTCTCTCTCTCTCTTTCTCTGAGGATGTCACTTTTCTCTTCCTTAAAGCAACTGAACAAATATACAGGGTTCTATTCTCCAATGAGTTTGGAAGATTCCACTGTGGACTAATAATTATGACTCCAATTTAAAAGAGAATGTTTCCCTGTTATCAAGAACAACCAAACACTGTCTAATGAAGCTGTGCATACTTTTGGCACAGTTCTTGTCCTTGTGCTGGTGGCTGGTGTGGTTTATTAGATCAAACTATTTTCGGTTAGTAAAAAAATCAAATACTAAAGAAAACTGGTTTAGTATCGTAATGGATTACATCAACTAAACGAACTAGTTTTCAGCGTAATGGAGTTAAAGTCAAAAGTTAGTAGAAAAGCGAAAGAATGTGTGAAAAGAAAAGGTTCGAAATTACTACTTATTATTTAACTTAGCTCATAAAATAGCATTGTGCGTTGAGTCTACACAGGAAAGCATGAGTTGTTGGATTAGATTTGACATGTTAACTTTGTCTTTTTCTATTTTGTTTGCAGTTTCTTGTCTTGCATGATAAAGTTCCATAATTTCAATACTAAATGCACTCCTTTTGCCAATAACAAGACTATTGCAAATCAACAACCCATGACGTGAACAAAATATTTGGAGGAAAAAAGGTTGCTCATAGAGTTCAACTTTGATGGTTTGATCATATGAAAAAAAAAATATTGGGGCTGCTCTTGAAATTTTGCAGGATCCATTATTATTTATGACAATATGATACTTACCCAATAGTTAATTTAGTGTAATATTTCAAAATTCCTTATGAAGCATAAAATTTTTTTGTTGCAAATAATGGAGAAAGGGATAGGTGCCTCTGAGCCAAACACCGTATTTCGTATTCATGCTTCTGTGCTGTGATTTGTATTTTAAATTACAGGTAATGACTGATAAGCTATTTTATATTACATAGTACATTGTATCAGATAAACAATACACAAAAAGAAGTACCAATATTGGGTTCACTAGGCTCGTGTTATCGAATTCAACGACGGTTTTATCTTTTTCTTATGCGTGTGCTCCCTTCAAACCAACAAGAAGTTGCGCCATCTGGTGGTGACAAAATCCCTTTTGGCAGATTATAACTTTGTATTTCAGTACTCTTTTCGTAGGGGAATTTACAATACATTTAGTTAAGAGGGTACCTATCAGTTGGCCAAATTTATTGTTTAAATCATTAACACATAATATTGTATACTATTATTTTTTATCTTTATTATATTTTTCACTTTTTTTATATATATATTTATAAAAATACACTCCAATTATAAAAGAAATATTTAAAATATCCCCCACCAGTAATATACATTACATTTTCCAATTAATATATATTAAAGTCAGTTGAAGTCTCAAATGGAATATTTCATGTAGACCTATAGGGGGAAAAGAAAAACGTGTATAAAGTGAATGAGTAAATTAAATAAATTATATTTAATTTTAAGATTATTTAATGGTCAAAATCACGATGTATATTAAACTAAGGATTGTTAGACGACTCTTACTCGATGTAAGCAAACGCTCAATTTAAAGGGGCATTTTCTAATGTAAAAAAAAAAGCATTAAACCTAAGGTTTTTCATTTTTGTGTCCACCCTTCTCCTAATCTCGAATAGGGTCATTAACGTTGACACATCCTATAAAGTGTACATGCTAAGTGAAGAGGTGCCAAACCCAAATAAATTCTCCCTCGACCAAAAGCAGATACTTAAACGGATCTTTTCCAGCATATATATATATATGCTTTTGCAAATTTAAGATGCAACAATAACATCCCAAGATTCCAAAGTTGAAACAAGCATGTGAAAAGCTAAGTTAAAGTATCAATAGATTCTTCTTTAGGCCTTTTGATTCTATACAAGTAGCTTCTACCCTTCATCGATTCCACCCAACTTTACCTGTGTCTCTCATGGCAAAGTCCCCTAAGTATCTATCTTCGCATGTGGTTAGTTTTATATTTGTAAAAAGAGTCAGCATAATAGGTACTAGTTGAACATGTCTTAATCCACTAAAGCTTGTGAGAGCAAATTATGGAGGAAGTAGGCATCTCCTTTTAAGCATCCAATCAATAACAACAAACTCAAAGTAAAACATATGATCGCTTATTTAAATACTCTCACGCTTGCTAGGTGTCGACTAATCATTATACATAAAAACAATCTAATAATAGTGAGCATTATTTATGTTTCTTCAAATCTTAAAGAAAGAAATCAAAAAGAGGTGGAGATCAAGGAGAACATGAGGATCAGAGTACAATCAAACCCCTTTAAAAATTTGTTACTAGATACTCATATGCTACCATTGTTTGATGCATGAGGGACAATAATATGTTCTTTGGTTTTATTCAGACACCATTTCCTTCGTAAAGCTCTAATCAACTAGACATTCATTCATTTCCAGCATATATACGTCATCTAACCACTAAATAATTAATCTGCGACTACAGCTGGATTAATATTTCAACACTTGTTTTAATAAAATTAGGACCTTGGTAAATTTTGTGAAAGTTTATAAAAATCCTTTCTTAATCTTTATTATTTTCATGGAATTTCTCGCACCTATAAAAATTTAACATAAAAAAAGGTGTTTATCTTTGGTTGGGTAAATTTAAGAAGAGAAGGTGGGAGAAGTCAATTACGTGGGTCTCAAAATTTTGTCTCTTTGAAGAGAAAACGATATATATATATGTAATGAAAATTTTATTTATATATTCACATGCCCACTATTATATTATAAGGATACAATATTATTTAATACAATTACATTTTTCCTCGAATATTTCTTACCAACCGACCAAGATAAAAAAAAATGATCATCTTTCTTTACTTTACTTTTTAATTTCTTCTCATCTAACCTATTCTATTTTCTTTTTTATTTTTTTTATTCTTCTCAGATTTTCTTATCATGATACGATTGAAAAAAGATGTTTGTTAAAATTTTATAAATCTCATATAAATCTATTATCATTATTTGTTTATTAGCTTTTTCCCTTTTTCTTTTTTCTTTTTTTTTTTTTGGGGGGGGGGGTCAAATCTATTATCTTTCCGGTCAAAAAGTTTATGAATCTCATAAAAATTATTATCTCTTTTTTTTCCTCCTAAAAGGTTTGCTATAAGCCAATATAGGAAGAGATGGTGAAGTGGATTCAGAACATGAACTATTGGAACTATTTATTGGGTTTATAATGGTGCATCAACATGACCTGTGTTGTGTAAGGGAGATGTTTGCTCTTTAAGATGCCACATCAAATGAACCACCAAATTAAGGGATATTAGAGAAGAGTTATAATATATTTATTTCTCTCGGTAAAATAATATAGTTATATTCTATTCTATGGGGTTACTTGTATGGGTGGTGATGCAGATATAATAAGAAAAAGGAAAATACGCCAAACAATCGATCACTATCTTGCCTTATGGAATGAGCACCTTAAATAGCTGTCAGCTTCCTGGCAAAGTCATCAAAGTTTATTTTATTTTTATATTCCCTCTCTTTCCCTTCATTTCTTCATAAAATATTCAAAGGGCATTTCCATTGTAAAGAAATATGTCAGAGTGCGACTTCAAATAAAATATGGTTTCGCAATTTGCACTATAAGATGGCTCAAATATAAAGAAACACTGATTGAGATGGCTGAGACAACAAAATATGAAGTAACCATACGATGATCAAGCAAGTTGCAGACCAAAGATTGTTGTCCCATAGCTACCAAGGGTTGTTTTATTGTATACCATTATATAATTAATATTTTCTATTTTTTTTACGCTTTTTCTTATATTGTTTTACCTCTCTCTTTTTTCCCTTTCTCATTATATTATTTATTATAGCTTTCACACGAATTTTTTTCCCTTTCTCACACTTACTTTACATTTTGTGAAAAATAAAATTTAAGACAATCATTTATTGTTATTATTAACCCCCGTTCATATTAATCCTTATTGTTATTTTCCATTTTTCATATTTCGATGAAATAGTAACCTCTCAACCAATGATGAGCCGATTACTTCGAATTATCAGTCCATGTTCTAGTGAACCATGCAGAAAAAGATTAACACATAAACATCCAATTAATTGAGATACGTTTCCAGCAAATAATTATGAGCAGGAAGTGTGGAACTGTAGCTCCACATATTGTAGTCAATTTTTAAGCCACAAATTAATATTCAATAAGTAATTATTATTACATTTTAATTAATGAAATCATACTCAAATCCTTTGATTAGAGAGTTTTCTTTTGCTTTATAGAATTACATTCCACTCTGTCATTGAGTAGGCCCGCTGTGTTTGGGCGCTGTTGCCTGTCATTTGGGTTTGGGCTTTTTGTAGTTAGCCCATGCCTTTTGTCTTCTATGGTCTGGGCTTTCATCAATGCAGTTTCTTGGACCAAACGAAAAAGAGTCGTGTGGCTTGCTCATGATGCGACATACACATTTATATGTCTCACACATAACTTGGTACCTTCCCCTACATAGAAAGGTACCTCAATTCCGCATTAACTTTTCAGCTATCACCATACTAACTAAAAATAAAAAGGGTCTTCTTGTTGCCATAGATGAGAGCCACTTATGATCACATCTTTCAAAATCACCTGATTCAGTGGTTTTATTTTATTCCATGTTTACTTGATTCATAAGATTAACACGGAAACATTTGTGAATGAGTTTCCCCTCAAATATGTGGAAGTGGGATTTATACTAGATAAATTGCAATCAAATTAATAAACCTTGTAGTATGAATCCATTGAGTGGAAGAAAAGGCTAGTTGTATAGCTATTAACAAACCAACTTTACTTTTAGTTACTTCATTATAGAGCCATAGGCACTGTAAAAGTGATGAAATGCAAGTGATATAGTTGGCTTGTTTCAGTCTTCAATTGAAACTTTATTAAATCCTGACCACCCTACCTCTTTTGGCAGACCTTGTTGCAGTTAATTTTAACTTTGGTTATTTATCCTAAAACTAAAAACAAAGAAACGAATCAGATGTCCTTGAATAGCTTTTGGAACTTTCTTGAGTAAGACTCTGTTTTACTCCATTCTTAATTGTTCAACAACCTTACTTATTGAATATTGAGACAGTCCAAGTATTGGTTGCCCCCACAATAGTGCTATTTGATGCATTTTATTCCAAATTTGTTGGCTCGCCCTTTAATTATTGTAAAGATGAGAGTGACAACTATGTATCAACCAATGGAACACATTGTTTATTTATCTTTGAACAATTATGGATACCCTTTCACAAGCAAAAAATGCTCCAACCCGTTTATTGAAATATTCAGCCAAATTTGTCACAACTGGCAAAATATTTTGGTCTTTATAAATGATTTTGCCGCCAATAATAACTCGAACGTGTTCTCAAGAGGACTCAAGTCAATAATATTACGTAAATACATATACATATTAAATAGGGCCCTTAACATATCCTACATTTTTTAATTTTCAAATACATGTGTCATTAATTTAGTCATTAAACTGAAATTAGCATTAAAACAGCATTTACTCAAACAAAATAATATAAAATATCCTGTTATGAAGTATTTAAATACTATCAAAAATATTTTTATTGAAAAGTTATGTTAATATTCTTTCTTAAATATCTTAAATTGATAAATACATATGTGTGTGTGTTGGGGGGAGGGGGATTACAAATATTAATTTGTTTATTCTTATTCTACAATGGGGACATATAATTTATCAACATTTTTCTTGCTCTCTTGGTCCAGGCACTTGATGGTTGTGGGGAAAAGACGAAACTTAGTTAATCAATAATTCGTAGGCACAAGATAGAAAGGGAAAAAATTGAATGAAAGCTATTCTAATTTTTATTTAAATAAAATCGCTTAATATTTTATCACAAAAATATTAAAAAACAAAAAAAATAAACGATAATTTATTATTTAGTTTCACTCTATTTTATTTTACTTTATCTCATTTAATTTCTTTCAAGCTTTATTAAATATCTAAACACAGTTGTAGATTAGTTTGTAGTACGATAGCTTGTAGCCATTTTGGATTCACGTAAATAAAAAGAAAGGCATTTGGTTTGGTGTTTTTGATGAAGCAGGTAAATGTGGATGTATATTTTCATGACAAATAATAGCAATTGTTGGTTATCTAAAAATGAAAAGAAAATATATTATAATAATAATGGGAGAGTGGGGTCAAAGAGCGTCGGTGGGATGCCCAATTGGCCATCCACTGAAGAAGTGAAAGTGGCATCTTCTTCCCTTCTTTATATTCTCTCACTCCCCTAATTACAATCAATGTGGGACCCATCTCATACCTAATGCCAACCTGGCATCGTTTGGCAGCACACAAACATGCATCAAATTAATACACAAACACACACACACAGTATAGGAGTAGATATAGTTATAAACCCACACACCACTCTATTCTCCACTCTTCCTTGTCTTTCCCTATTCCTCCAAAATGAACCAAACACCACTCGTTCTGTCTCTCTTCCTCTTAGTTCTTTCTATCACTGCAAACGCTCACAACATTACTCGCATACTTGCCAAGCACCCTGGTTTCTCCACCTTCAACCACTACCTCACCGTCACCCACCTCGCCGCCGAGATAAACCGCCGCGAGACCATCACCGTCCTCGCCATCGACAATGCAGCCATGGCCACCCTCCTCGACAAACACCTCTCCATCCCCACTCTCAAAAATGTTCTCTCTCTCCACGTCTTGGTTGACTACTTCGGCGCCAGAAAGCTTCACCAAATCACCAAAGGCACCACCCTCGCTTCTTCCATGTTCCAGGCCACAGGCGCCGCCGCTGGCACCGCCGGTTACGTCAACATCACCAACCTCAAAGGTGGCAAAGTGGGGTTCGCAGCAGAAGACAACGACGGCCAACTCCATTCGTTCTACGTCAAATCCGTTCAAGAAATCCCATTCAACATCTCCGTTTTGCAGATTAGTGAAGCCTTGAGTTCTGCTGACGCAGAAGCACCAACCGCAGCACCAAGCGCCATAGACCTCATCTCTATCATGTCCAAACAAGGTTGCAAGGCCTTCGCAGACTTGTTGAGGGTTTCCAAAGCTCTTCCAACTTTTAAGGAAAACGTTGACGGCGGTTTAACCGTTTTCTGCCCCACCGACAGCGCCGTCAGCGGTTTCACTTCCAAGTACAAGAATCTCACCGACGCTCAGAAGGTGTCCTTGCTGTTATATCACGGCGTTCCCGTTTACCAGTCCATGCAAATGTTGAAGTCCAATAACGGGGTAATGAACACTTTGGCTACTGAAGGAGCTAACAAGTACGATTTCACGGTTCAAAATGATGGGGAAGATGTGATGCTGGAAACCAAAGTCGACACTGCAAGTATCGTTGGAACTTTGATAGATCAAGACCCTTTTGTAGCTTATAAGATAAGCAAGGTTTTGATGCCAAGAGAGTTATTTAAGGAGAGTGAAGCACCTGCTGAGTCACCAAAGGCATCGAAGAAGAGCACCAAGAAGGGAAAGGCAAATTCAGAGGCTGCAGATGCACCCGCAGATGGACCATCATCAGAAGCTGATGATCAAAAAGCTGCTGATGATAACAATGGGGTAAGTAGATTGCCCAATGGGCTCCGATTGGTGATGGTGTTGTTGAGTTTGGTTATGGGGCTTTTGGTTCTATGATTGCTTAGTTCCATAGCGTGAAGTGAAGACCCCACGCAGTGTCGGTATACAGTTATGGTCAACGCTCATGGGAAAGATTCTTTTCTTTTTCTTTATATTATTTGTGAATCAAATAAAACGGTGCCACCGACATGTTGGAGGCACTGTATTTTTTTTTCTTTTATAAAAATCTATTATAGGTTTTATATTTGTTATTTGTTTGTTTTCCAAATTATTTAATTTGCCTTTTTCTCAGTGTGGGTAGATCCAGTTTGTGCTAACTGCCAGCTGGGATGTGTGCATATAGACATTTTTCAATTAGATTTTTAATGCTTTTTGTGTTGTACCCGATTGTATGATGTGGAAACAACGTTCACGGCACACTGTGCATGGGATTCTACGATTTTGATATCAATATTCTCATGGTTTTTTATTGTCTTGCTGCTCTAGAAGTTGAAAACTGTTCACGTTACTCTCATTTTAATTTCCACCATCAATTTAATTCATGATAATCAATGTTCTTTGCAATAAATGAATACTTTTGTTTCTTAATGCAACATTGGCATAAGTTTTGAACTTGCAACAACTGCGTTCAAAATATTTAGCCCCCTTGTTAATATTTCAGTTGTAGTAACTTAAACTTACATTCAATGAAAATTATCACGGGGTAATATCTTTTGTCACTGTTAAATTTTCTACTATTTGAATCAAGGTTTGAAATTGCGAGGCCTCCGACCTTAACGGCAACATGCAGCGGCATCAGCTTTTGTCAGCTCTCGATTTTATATTATAATTTGGAACATCCTAATGCAATTATATATGACAACTAAAATTTAAACCTTTAATGAGGAGAAGACTTTTCATATCCAAAGCGAGAAATATTAGAGATAATAAGACTTAAAATGCTAAGCACAATTGAATAAAAGGAGATAAAGTCGACATGTTTGAATTGTAAACGAGTTTTAGAAAAGCTAAACATTGGATACTTGGACCAAGCTTATTTTCATACTTCTACTTTGGACAAATTTACATATATATATAGAAAAAAATGATAAATTATTTATATAAAGAAAAAATCATTACTGCTATTAACTCTGCAGGTCAGAGCATTACTAATAAGATTTCTTAGTTCATAGTACAGAAGACATGAAAACACTACTTGAATAGCCTAAGATTAGGAATGACAATGGGTAGGGTACTATAGTGCCCATCTCTATACCTGCGTTTTAAAAAAACACCCGTACCCGGCCCTTTGGATACCCGCATACCCATCTTGTACCTATTACCTACGTTTGTTTGAGAAAAAAAATATTTATAAAGAAAAATATGTTTATATAACTTCATATAAGTAGTATAATAATACAAAAAATTAATATGTAGTTGCCGAACAAAGTACAAACATAAATAAAAAATAAATATTCAAATATCATAAATGCTAAATGTATCTTAATATAATAATTTTCTAAACTAAAATTTTTAGAAACAATAAGCAAAACTAAACACATAAGTTATTTGTCAGTGATAACCCTATCTTGTGTGAGATTTGATCGATTGGCAATGTTAGAGTGACAACGAAATAAATCTACACAATAGTTGTCCCTTCGTGTGGGATGGTGACCTTTTATGACGGCATTGACAACTAACTTTAATGAATAACGTTTCATAGTTGTTAAGTTTTAATGAGACAGACATTGAGAATGAGAATAGAGTTAGAATAGAGAAATTCAATACTAACAATAGAAAGTGGATACATAATTTTTTTTTTAACTTTTGAATTTGAAATTGTAAGAAAAATAATAGATTTAATTAAAATATATATATATATATATATATATATATATATATATATTAATACTAGTATTTTTAACTCATATACTATACAAAAGTATTTTATCATAAATACAAATTTTTGAAAAATTATTTTAATAAATTAAATATTTATAATGTATATAAATTTTAAAAGAAAGAATTTGAATAAAAGATAAATGGCCACAATAAAATTTTATAATAAAGAAATATACGTGTATATTAAAAAAAATATACTTTTTATCTGAAAAAAAATTAACAATAATTTTTTCTATTTATATCTTTTTAAAAAGTTCATTGAACGTGAATAAATAGTAAGAATAATATTATTTAGATTCAATAGATTATAGTTGTACTTGTAATACATATGTTGCATAGAAAAATATTATTTTAAATTAAAATATAAAAAATAAAATTTAAATATTATTAATAAATAATAAGTTTACAGTAATAGTAGGTGATTGTAAAATTTATAAAATATTTATAATATATTTATTATTTATCATTCACTTTATGATTTAAACATCAATATGATTTTATTCAGAAAAATATTTGTGTGAAAAATATTTTATGTGTCATATATAAATAATATTTTAAAAAAAGTCAATCTCATATTAACTATGTAATAATTAAATTGTATTAGCCTAGTTAAATGATATAAAATAGTAAATACATTTTTCTATTAAAAATATAAATCAAAATAATTTTTTTGATTTACTTTATTATTAAATATATTTTTATATTAATCTTATATAACTTCACATAAGTAATATAATAATATAAAAATTCAATGCATAATTATAAAATAAAGTTCAAGCATATATATATATATATATATATATATATATATATATATATATATATATATATATATATATATATATATGCGGATATGGAGCGGGATTCTTAGATACACATACTCGTACTCATTTCTATTAAAATTTGCGAGTTTTTATCCACACTCATACCCGTACTCATATAGCGGATAAATACTCTACTCAGTGAGTAAATTTTGCAGGTGTTTATCGGGTACTTTACTCATTGTCATCTCTACCTAAGTAAAGCAGAAGATAGTGAATGATCGGAAGAAACTTGTGCTTCAGAAATGGTATTAGAGGCAAACAAGCCTCATAATTGAGTGCAAATAGAGCCGACAGAATTTTTTCCTTGCAAAATTTGAAATTTGAATTGCCCCTGCCCCCTGTAACAACAGTGGTTAGTGCGACATCTTCCTTCTCCAGTATCACGTATTGAATGTAACCTTTGGCTCAAATCCCAATCATTTTTATGTTTAGGGGATTTGTACTTGCTTTACTACTATTAACTACTTTTTGTTAGGCAGTATCAAGCTAATCAAGTGGTCAAGAATTTGATTAGTTCATTGCATAATTTTCGCTGAGAACATTTTTCCAATAAAGTAAAGGGATCAAAGTTAAATGGGGCGCAGAGGGTGGATACATTAGAGCAGGGTCAGAATTCTGCTTTTTAACCCTCAAGATTACAATTTTCTGTAACTAAAATCTGTGCCAGTACACTAAAAAAGTGGAAATATAAAACACAACAATCATCAACGATAACCACAGCATGCTGAAATAAAGATTATTTTAAAAATAAAAAAGAAAGCATACCGTATCTTTTTTTTTATGACTAAAAATTTTAGTTTTGTTTTCACACACACATTTTGATTTCGTCCCACTCATGATCCAAGAAGGAAGATTGATAGCCGGTTTCAGAAACCTCATTACATTAAGTGACTCGAAACATAAGAACTGATCATTTTCTCACAGGAAAAGCAATCGATGAATGCATTTGTATAGCTTCGAGCTCAAGGCACACTTGTTGCCATGACCACTACTTCTCCAAAGTCCAAGACCAATCGTCGAGTAAGAAGCTTCTTTGTGGGCCAGTGTCAGCTTCATGAGGCAGTGAAGTGAAACAAAACCAGGATTCAGCTGTACGGCGAAGAAATGTTGCAGGTATGAGAAAGAAAACGTCGCCATAATTGGCAACGGGTATTTTGAGCTATAGTTGTACATCCATAAAGAGACAAACGCCGAATGTGTTTCAATATTGCAATGTCTCAGAACTGAACCATTTTAAAGTAACTCTGGTTGGTGTCTGCAGCTACCAATTCAGTGGTATAACAACCAACCCCTCTTCTGAACCTCTCACTTTCAGATGACACCGTACGATACAAAAGAAAAACGTCCTTCAATAAAACACTATTTTGGGCTAATTCTTAAAAGATGGAAAAGTTTCTGATATGATTAAGATCCTTAATCCCAAATATTTTAGAGAACAAAGGTTACCGATCTTTTCAACAGCTTATATTTGTTTTGACATTAAAAGATTAATTCTTGTATTTTCTAACCAAAAAAACACATTCCAATATAAGACTGAAATTAATTTAAAAACATGTTGTAATTAAGTTTAATGATTCAAGTTTATTCTACTTCCCCAAACTCGTTTTCTACCTCAACTTTTCTGAACCAGAATTTTAAAAACAACAACTTTCTTAATATTCGTATGACATCATCCCCATAAAAATAACGCTGAATACGTTCAACTTAATTTTTTTTTGCTTTAGGTCTCTCTCGGCTGTCGCAGGACACAACAAATTTGTAGTTTCGATTTAGTGAACTTGAAATGGTCAAACATAAAAAAACAAGAAATATTTTGCTTATTACTTTAATTGAATAAATGATAAAGCATTTAGACAGCTATTATTACAAGCTGAAGTTGCAGGTGTCAGGTTGACACTTTTTTTATTGGTGTGCCTAAGAAGTGAACCAGTAAATCAGCAATCCTCTCCACAAGAAAGGATGACACGACATTAGAACATGAACAAAAAGGTAAACTGGCACCATATTATATACGTATGGAAGACGTAAAATTCAGGTTCCGGGTGCGCCTGGAATTGAGTAGTTCTAACTAACAAACATTACAAGTATATGTCATAGTTACTTGAAAGCAGTGTCAAGCTTGCTCATGCTTAGAAGCAAACAAGTGGCTGGAATCCCGGTTATTAAAATACAAATAGGATTTTTTGCCGGAAGATGTACAAGTAATTAAGTTAGAAAATCCAGTGTAGTTGCCATCCAATTGTGAAATGCATATTTTCGCAACAAAGTCGAAGAGCTCGTTTTTATGCATAAAAGCCTGGGCTGCATAATCTTTGACAGGCATCCACTGAAAAATAAACCATATTAGAATGTCCCAACTAGTTTTAAAGTTACTGAAATTACGACGTCTTATGCTACCAAGAGAAATGTTAGCGACGAATCCTCTAATATACTCTTTCAAACACATTTTTTTTATTGATTAAAGTTTTATTAAAAAAATATATAAAAATATTCTGAATTTTACTTTTAATTTAATAAATTTATTTATATTTTTATAAGTTTTAATAAATTTTAACTAATAACTGATAAAGTATTAAAAATATATATATTCTTAACCCTCCAAGCACAAATGTTAGGATAGATTTTAAGAATGGAGCTTTGTTGATTTGGAAACATATTAGAAACTTAGGAACTATTTGGTTTTTAAAAAATCAATCATTAAATCGTTACTTTATTTTTTTAAAAAAAATATACATAAAATAAAAAATTAAATATTTTCTGAATAAATATTTAAAGACAAGAAATAAAATAAAAAAGTGAAATTCTGTAATTTAAAGTAAAAACAGAAAATATTTTTTAAAACAAAAAATATGACCTTATTTTTTAATAATTAGTAAATTCATTTTATTTTATATATATTTTTAATAATTACAAAAAATATGACATTTTTTTTTATTTTACTTTCTATTTACAAGGATTTGCAATGCAAAAGGTGAAAATAACATGGCATTTTCTTTAATTATCAGTGAAACATCTTTACTGAAAGTAAAGTCAAAAACCGAAATGTATTATACTTGGAATGAAGCTTCCGAAAATTAGTTAGATTCTCAGTTGACCTTAGAACATATACCTGAGCTGCCTCAATTTCTGAAGCCTGACTCTTAATATCAAATGATTGAGGTTGCAGCATGCAAACAAAGAACAAATCTGATTTCTCGAAGAACGATTTATGGCTTTGCCTAATACCAAAGAGACAAAGGAGGGTGATCGTGGGGGACAAATTCAATATTAATTCAGATTTCAGAGAGAAAAATAATGGAAACTATATGCATGGCAGTATGCAGGTTCTTTGTGAAGAATGCATATGCTATTTTCACAGAACGCCAAGCATAACATCCATGGCAAATTTCACACCACATATTAGTTGATGTAGTTATTGGCTTGCTCGTACCTGAATGATAAAACTTCAACAAACTTTGTCTCTATCTACAAAACGATTAAAAGTAATCACATATAATGTTAATTCTTAATTGCTCAAATAACAAAATTTTTATTATTTTGACAAATCACAAGGAGAATGGAATATAATTTTACTCTAAACTAAATGTTACGTGTCTACTTACCCCTGTCTCTTCTTTGACTTCTCTAATTGCAGCATCACAAATATCCTCACCCTGTAAATGGAATTAAAATGTATCAAAATATAATTTTAGAGGTTTCATAATTTGATCAATAATCATTTAACTTGATATACTTCGTTAACAACTCCCGTAGGCATCTTCCATACACCTGTGCCTCCGAATTTGCCACTGGTTTCCTGAACCACAAGCACCTATCATACGAAACGAGACAATTTCAACTGAGTAACGCAATGAGGAACCATTTGATCACTGTAACAAGACTTTATTTAGCACACAAAGTGTGGTAGGATAACCACAAAAGGAGGGCTGAGAGACCCAATCAAACTATGAATTTTCAGACGTTCCAGATGCTATACCATACCATACCACAGTAGATTTCCAAGTATTTTCAAAAACTCAATATATCAAAACTTAAAAGACACAGGTTTTTAAAAGCATTAATCCCAACTTTCTCTTTTCTAACACGGGTTACCTAAATAAGTTCGATAACAGCGGGGGAACATATTCAGGAACTGGTGCAAAGCAAATTGGAAAAATAGAAAGATTACCTCCTTCTTGTTGTTGACAACAAAAGCACCAACACCCACGCGATGTGAAGCATTTGCAGGGAAAGTATCAGGAGTATCGGGCAACCAACATACAAGCATCAAGTAATCTGGCTCAGCATGGTGATACTTAAACCCAGCCTGCACAAAATCATAATAAGAGTTAGGCTTAGTCACTTAATTTCTAAACTATGCCTAATTAGCTATGCTATGTTAAATAAATATGAAATTAATTAAATAAATACCTGCACTGCCGAATCAACAAGATTTGAATGTTGTATTGGCAACTTGATCCAGACCCCTTTCTTTCCCTGCCAAACACGTTTTGAGTTTTGAATAATGAAGCGTAAATGAGATACTGTTGAATTGAAAATCTACCTGTTGTCTCCAATTCGACATATAAGCTTCCAATTTCGAAGAAAAGAGCGTGGAATCCATAGGCTGTTTCACGCTTAGAACAACTCCTCCATAATCATCATCAACTGCACTGAGCAATTCAACGCTTTCAACTTCCATTAACAATTCCCTTTCTATAGTTCCAGCAGTTCTTTTTAACATTTGGTTGTTGGCTCTATAGTTCAAGCAAGACAATTAAAGATTGCAAAACTTTTCCTGTCAAATTTTAATTTGCAATGCTAAGTGCTAACGAAATGAGTACGTTGAGCTTGAAGGGAAGAATTTATAGTATGCGAAGAGGTAATGGTAAAAGGTGAGTAGTTGCTATAAACCCACCTCCCCTGCATGTGAAGCGAAAAATCAAAGAAAAGACATTGAAGCTAAGTTTTCCTTTTCAACGGTTCTGAATTGGGAGTGCTGAACGAACGAAACTCCACAGAAAATGCAACGGTTTTAGGGGTTGAATTTTAAACAGAAAGAAAATAATATTTTATTTTCGGAGGTCACAAACCTCGTACTAAAAAAATGCGTGAAACAACTTTTTATTAGTTAATTTATGTATACGGTAATAAATAATATTTATTTTTAAATTTTAAATTTAAAGAATTATATAATATTTATAAAAATATATAAAAATGTCTTTCCTCTCTGCTTTTTCAAAACTTATCTTCCAAATGCATTCAACAAAATTAATTTTGAAAGAATCAAAGTCAAAATTTTACCTTTTGCTTGAAAATAATATTTTAAGATGATTTTATTTAGGTGATAATCAACATGTTCGTTTCACATGGTTATCAGTAATGAGTTTAAAGAATTTTTTTTACCCTTATTGTATGCGTTTTAAATTTGTGCTGAAAACAATCTCCTTTGTTTTAGTGTTTAGACATGTTAAATAAATACTCCCTCCATTTCAAATTAATTCTAATTTTAGAAAAAAATAATTAAGGTTTTAAAAATTCAATCAAATGTTAGTTATTTTATTTAAAATAAATATAAAATTTTATCTAATTTTCTAATATATGTCTAAAGACACATTGAGAAATTAATAAATAAAAATATTAATTAAAAATTATAATATTTAATAGCATTAATATATTAAAATTTGTGACATCTTACTATTTCTAATAAAAATTTATTATACTTTAATTTTTATTTATGAATTTAGATGCACGTTAAAAATTATATTTTTAAAACATTATGCAAGATTAATTCTTAAGCAAATAAACAAACAATAAAAATGATAATTTAGTAAAAATATTTTATTGATTAAAATATTGATTCATTTTCTTAGTTTCTATAAAAACTTGAAATTTTGCACTCATATTTTGATTAATTTTTATTTAAAAAAAAGTATATCAAAGTGTGAACAAACTAATAAACTGTTTTGCTTCCGTGTTGCTGCGATGGTGTGAAAGAAAATGGATAAGATAGGAATTGATGATAGTGATTTATTAAGCTTAACTTTACGCAAATAATCCTTTATTTTTCAAAAATTGAAAGGAATAAGTAATTAATAACTTATAGTTTATATTACAATATAAAGTTAATGTATTTACAAACATGAATTACTATGATGGAAATATTATATGTTAATAAGAAAAAATTGTTCATCAAGCACTTTTCTTTTAGACCAATAAATTTATAAATTAACTTACAAACGTACACATTAGTTAATATTTAGAAGAATATATTAATTTTATAGGCAAGGCGAGGCAAGGGGCAGGAGTTAGAGGCTTACACGCACCAAATCACTTTCCATTTTGTCGTAAACACCGAAATTGGAAAAAATGTCAGTTACTTGACTGTTACATTTGAAACTTAGAAGCAACACCAACCTAGCCACGTATATTGCAAACTTCAACTTTCTCCCTTCAAAGTTCAATTCTTTTTTTTTCCCTGCTATTTGGATCCTATGCAAATGATAAAAATCTCTCAGTATAATTCAGAAAACTGAGGTTCCCTGCTAAGGTTTACTTAGTCTGTATTCACTGAAGTGAAGAGGCATCAGGTACAATATTTTTATTCCTGTTGCTTTAAATCTCTTGGTTAATTTGTTTAAATCTAAGTGTACATTAGAGACTGTCAAGATTCTATGCAATATTGTTGTCAAGATTCTACTAGCCAATTGATATTCGTTTGTGAAATAACTTATAACTGATATCAAACTTAAGCTTGCTTGGCTATACTTGGCTGTGTTTTATGATATGTTTGCTTTTGCTTATTTATGTTTGATATATGAAAGAAATTATCAGTGATGGAGTTCATCGTTTTTATGTTCGATTGGTTAGACGGAAGTAACCATGGCTATGCATGGTTGTTATTGCCACTATATGAAGTTAGCAACTCAAAGAAGAACACTGGACAATATTAGTTTTTCAGGCTCAATTTCAGTTCATAAATTTACAAAGAATAAAAGGAAAACATCAACCTGTGGTCCATCAGGGAATAATCAATTTCCTAGGTTCCTCGTGGAAATGCGACAGACAGAGTTGTCTGCCTCAAAATACGGAACTAATGGGAGAGCTGTCAAAATGGTACCAACAAAAGAGGCAGTGAAAAGAAAGACAACATCAGTGAACAAGGTGGAGATGGTGAATGGTTCAACTTCAAAGAAGGCTGTTAATGGAGCAAGTCTAGTAAGAAAAGATACTGTTCCTACCCCAGCCTTGACCAAGACACTAAAGTCTAGAACCTCTAAGGAACTTCCATCTTTGGGTGAACTAAAAATTTTACCCTCAGATGAAGGTTTCAGTTGGGCAAATGAAAGTTACAATTCCTGGCAGAGGTCTATAGATGTTTGGTCTTTTGTTGTTTCTTTACGTATTCGGTTTCTGTTGGACAATGCAAAATGGGCATATTTGGGAGGCTTCACTGAAGCAAAGCAGGTAATTCTGAAAAAAAATTTATTTTACAAAATACTCTCTTCCATGGTGACTTGTAATCATAGCTGGTGGAAAGATATCAGTATTTTTTCGTTTCTTTAATTGGGCAAGCTTCTGTTTGTGATTGTGATTTGCTTATCTGAAATTTTATATAGAAAACCAGAAGGCAGAAAACTGCCTCGTGGCTAAGGGAGTGTGTATTACAGCTTGGTCCAACTTTCATTAAACTTGGGCAGTTATCATCAACAAGGTCAGATCTATTTCCACGTGAATTTGTGGATGAGCTAGCGAAATTGCAGGTATTTTTGTAGATTTATTTTTCTCATTTTCAGGCTCATCATTGTACAAATTTTGTTAACATAAAGAGCTAAATTTTGACATTAGATTTGATATATTATAACATTTTTCAGGACATGGTTCCCGCCTTCTCTTCTAAGAAAGCAAGAGGCTTCATTGAGAGTGAATTGGGAGCTTCCATTGACACATTATTTAGGGAGTTTGAAGATCGGCCAATTGCTGCTGCTAGTCTTGGTCAGGTGTTTGAACGTTCCCTATGCAATACAATATATTTTTATTTGTCGAATCTTTACCTACTGTCTTTCACTCCTATTGTTAGTAACTTGTAGGTTTATTCGAATTGGTGAAATTTGACAAATATAACACAGTGAGATGCAGAATAATAATAACTACTTAATATGCTTTGTTGCTTAGCCCATCATAACACAAACTAGAACGTTTCTCACATCTTGCAGTCAAACTGATGTTTTAATATATTGATATTAATTGGTGATGGTCTTAATGTAGTAACATAAATATTTGGGGACCCTGTTCGTAGGTTCATCGTGCTATTCTGCATAATGGAGAAAAAGTAGTTGTCAAAGTTCAAAGGCCTGGTCTAAAGAAGCTTTTCGACATTGATCTGAGTAAGTTGTGCTCATTTTGCTTGTACCATTGACAACACCTTGTAATTTTGATTAAATTGATGTTGCCAACTGCCAGTTAACAATGAATTCAAATTCCAAAAGCCTAGGTTAATAGGTGTAAGCTTAAGGAGAGGTTTTATTTTTGAGTTTTAACACACCTCATCATAGGGAAGCTTTATATATAGGCTTGAAGCATTGGATTTCAAAGATCAAACATACCAGAGACTTTGACTCTATTTGCCACTATTCTCCCTCCAATGTATTGTTTGATAGACTGCTTTATTTTTAGAAACTCTAATATGAATATGCATAGCAACATAGAGTTTTAAGATTACTAATTTCAGTGAGTTATTTTATTTGATACTCTCACAAGCTGTCCTGTTCTGTCCAGAAAATTTAAAGCTGATTGCCGAATATTTTCAGAGAAGTGAAACTCTAGGTGGTCCAACTAGAGATTGGATTGGAATATATGAAGAATGTGCAATGTAAGTAATGAGCATGGAAGTATATCTGTTACTGAGATTTCTTGAAGTATAACAAAAGCATATGTTAAATTATGTTCCTAGCATTTCACCTCTCTTTGTTACTTTATTTTCTGATGCCTTCTATAATTTCTATTGTGTTGCACATGCTACTTTGCAGTATTTTGTATCAAGAAATCGATTACATAAATGAAGGAAAGAATGCTGACAGGTTCCGCCGAGATCTTAGAAACATGAAGTGGGTTCGAGTACCTGTATGTTTCTTGCTACAACACTACATCTGATTAAATGAAACCTATATAATGTTCAATGTCATGTAAAATTTTTAAAATTTGACCACATATTTCCATTTCTTCCTTTGTAGCTGGTATATTGGGATTATACTGCATTAAAGGTGTTGACCATGGAGTATGTACCAGGTTTTCATCTTGACTAGTGCATGTGCCCTGTTTCTCCTTTTATTGTATATGACACCATAGAAGCTAATATATTGTATATGTATGACATTATGCCGGAGAACATTTTTTTAACTACTCCAAACTTTGATTTTACTTGGAGAATGGAATAGGTATCAAAATAGACCGGGTGGATACATTAACTTCGCGTGGCTATGATCGATTACGGATCTCATCACGTGCTACTGAGGCGTACCTGATTCAGGTGGACGACCTTGCTCCTCCCTGAATCTCGATCTAATAGTCTTATCTGATGTTGAACATGTTTATCTTCTTTTTTCCTCAGAATATGTGAAATACCTCTATAGCTTTATTAAAAAGAAGATTAATAAATTGTCCTGTTTTTTGGTCTTACAGATACTGAGAACAGGTTTCTTTCATGCCGATCCTCATCCTGGAAATCTTGCTATTGATGTGGATGAAGCAATTATTTATTATGACTTTGGCATGATGGGAGAGATCAAATCTTTGACCCGAGAGAGACTGCTGGAACTTTTCTATGCCATTTATGAAAAGGATGCCAAAAAGGTCATGATTTGTGCTACTCTAGGATCATTTAAATTTAGAACATTGCCTTTTACTAACAGGAGATCACAATCTGATACGATGATAAGCTGTTTCGTTAAGTGTTTAATCAATATCCATTTTTAATTTCATGCTGACTTTGCCTCAATTAAATCGAGCTAGCACAATGACATAATATGGCTTGTGCTTTCAGTTTAATTACAATTGTAAATTTCAATCCAGCTTACCAGAGATTATCTTTCAGAAAAAAGGACTTTGACGTTGCTCAGAACTTGAACTGATTAACTTCAGTGTCCCTCTTTCACATTTATTTAAACCTAAAAGAAACAATGATGCAGGTTATGCAATGCCTTATAGACCTTGGAGCACTGCAACCTACTGGGGACCTATCATCAGTAAGAATGTTGACTGTTTGCCGTACTATTGTTAACGAGATGGATAATTAACAGTTCGAATATTCTGATTCGCGTCTTGACTTTATAAATGATAAATTTGCCTTCCAGGTGAGGAGATCTGTGCAGTTTTTCTTGGACCATCTGCTAAGCCAGACACCAGATCAGCAGCAGACTCTTTCTGCAATTGGAGAGGTTTGTGAACGTTGCTATATTAGATCAATGAATTCAAAGCTGATTCCATATTGTTTTGGGTGATATTTTCAATGGGACTAAGGATAAGCTGAAGATGGAAAATCGTTGTTTTTCACTTGGTCATTCCAAACTATCTTGAAAATCTGTGGTCCACAATTTATTATTGGGGGATTTCTGTGGCAGGATTTATTTGCAATAGCACAAGACCAGCCATTCCGTTTTCCATCCACCTTTGCCTTTGTTCTCAGGGCATTTTCAACACTTGAAGGTATGCATTTCCCAATTATCATGTTCTCTCTCTCTCTCTAATGGTGATTCTTACGAAAATTTAAAACATGTCCCAATGTATTTTTATTCATTTCACGTTGGTGTATGCATTATGATATGGTAACCACATCCTTTCCTGTAAGAAGTTTAACTTATTTAAAGCGCATTTAGATAAACTATTTTATTGAGCTTAAGTTCTTATCATAAAGCTTATTTATAAGTTCAACACTAAAACTTAAATAATTTAAAAGTAAGTTTCTTGGTGAAAATTATTGAAATAGTTTAATTGGATCTTTTTATTTCTTCATTATCTATTATTCAATTGTAACTTTAAGTTTTCTTACAGGCATTGGTTACACACTCAATCCAAATTTCTCTTTTGCTAAGATTGCTGCACCCTATGCACAGGTTCAAACTTCCAATTGTCCAATGAACAATTACTGTTCTCATTCATCTTTAGAAGGGCTCATACTTTTTAGCACATTTCAGGAACTTTTAGACGTAAGGAAAAGGCAACGCACTGGTCCACAACTGGTGGAGGAGATAAGAAAGCAAGCAGATGATGTACCACACGTTTACCTATAACTGTTGTTTTAGCTTATTGTTCTCAATTATGTTTCTTTACAACAGAAATATCTCATTTGACCTGAAGCATTAGTTTATGGCATTGTGCTATCCACTTAATTTGATAAAGCTTATAAAATATTTTTAGGCAAGAACATATACCATGTCAATGCCATACAGAGTTCAAAGAATAGAAGAGTTTACAAAACAACTTGAGGCAGGGGATCTAAAACTACGAGTCCGTGTGCTTGAGGTCAGTTTCATTTATTTTGTTTCACATGTGTGTACTGTATCAATTATTTCTCTTCTAAACATTGAATGACACCGATTCTAGTATTTTCCAAATGAGAAGAACAATTTCTAACTACAAGGTTGTTATTCTGAAACTTTGGTTTAGTAAATTTGAAATTATTTAATTTGATGTCTAGTCTGAAAGAGCTGCTCGGAAGGCAACGATGTTACAAATGGCAACTATGTACACCGTATTAGGTGGAACTCTTCTAAATCTAGGCATCGCTATGAGCAGCCAAGGCAATGAAGCTATTGCCAATGGATCTTTTGTTGGTGCAGGTGACTTTTATATTATACAGATTTTGTTAATTAATTGTGCAATCATGTCCAAGTTTATTTTGTGGCTGATTGGTATAGTTTTTCAATATGCAGGTGTTTTTATGACACTATTTGTCAGATCCATGCAAAGAGTAAAGTTGCTTGATAAGATTGAGAACATGATATAATTTGTTACCAACAAATTCAATTATTTTAAGCTTATGTAAAGTTGTCTTCATCTCCATTTTCTTACTTGTAAACGTTCAATATTTTTTAGCATCAAACAAGCATAGAAAAAATGAAAAAAAATACTAAAAATTGTACAAAAATAATCTCATAGAAAATAAAACCTCTTGAATTACTATTTTATTGAAAATAAAATGATATAAATTACTTCAAATCTTATTTAAATTTGAATAGTATTGAATTAAATAATTTTATTAATTAATTTAATATGTTTATTATTTAAAAGTGTGTATTAAAAATTAAAATATATTTAAAATAAAAAACTACACACAATCACAAATTTATAATTTCGTATTGTATATTATTAAATTATTTTTCTGATAAAAAGACAAATAAATTATAATACAAATAAAAGAATAATATTTATTAAATTAATTTTTATCGTCTAATATATTAGCAAATATATTTTTATCTTCATTTATATAAGCAATTCTTTCATAAATCTTAAAAACTTGTCAATAATTCTTTATATCATATTATTTTATATTTGTGTATTACAATAGTTTAAATTATCAATATTCATTTGTCCAATAGTATATATTTTTATTTTATTACAATAAATTATATAAAAATATTTTTATTTATTTATCGAGTAAATATAAAATTATATTATTTTTAAGTGATATCATGTATTATATTTTACTTTTATTTAATTAAATTTCTGTCAAACATATATTATAGACGATGTTTTCTAATAAAAAATAATTAATTACAATCATTAAAATAAATTAAATAATATTAAATATAATTATAATAAAAAGGTAATATATAAATTATTATTAAAATTTTATAGTAATTATTAGATTTACATATTTAATTTTTTTATATTATAATAAATGAATAAATAAATAAATTGTAATATTTTAAATCTAAATTAAGTTTAAATATTATATTTACTTTTTATATATATAATTTATTTCAAAAAGTAAATAAAAAATCTTCAACTTTTTAATATTTGTTCTATATTTTAAATGTTTCTTTTATAATCACATAAAAAAAATCTACAATCAAATAAAGACACATATAAATTATTAAAATATTATAACTTTTTTAATACTTTCAACGTTAACATTTTAAACTATATTTATTCATTAATATTTTATATCCTAAAATGTGATTATTAAAAATATTTATTTTTGAATTAAATTTGTAATGATTTAAAAAAAATTATAATATTTAATCAAGTTATATTATGAACTTACAATTTATTCTTTAGTTATAAACTAAATTATACATAAAATATAAATTAAGATAAATATATATTTGTATTAATGTAATTATTTATAATATCATATTTTTAAAATTAATACTTATTAAAATTTAAAAAAAAATTAAATTAAAATTATTAATTATTAATATATATTTATTTATTATAAGTCATGTTTGAATGTCATTTTAAGATCATAAGTTAATAATTTTATACATAATTTATTAATAAATTTATGTTAATATTTGTTTCAATTTGACTAAGAAATAAAATTAGACTTGTTTCAATTTAAAATATTTAAAATTATATATAAATTAAACTATTATATTTATTATATATATAATTTATTTTAAAAATGAATCAAAATTCTATTTTTTATATTTTTTATTTTTCTATCACATTAAAAATAATTATTTTTTATATATAAATTATAATTATTTTTAAACTAAATTAACTAATAAAAAATATAAACATATTTGTGCAAATGTGTGCTATTTTTTTTAGTATTTATAAAAATTAACTTGAAGTTGTTTTTAAAATATAAAATATCTTTTCAAAACAAAATATAATACAGGTCAGACAATGACATATTACTTATTTTACACGTGTTGATATATTTTTTGTTCACCTAATTTGAAGAAATTATGACAAACAGTTTGTTTTTTTGGTGCTTTTTGTTCAACCACAAACACCTTTATTTAATTAGTATCCTTACTCTGGATTTTGCTTAGGCCTATCACTACTCTGGATATATAGTTAACAGCAGCTTGGGCTGTAAAATAATACTTGGTCCAAAAGGCCTAAAAAAAACCTGTGTTTAGAGTGGTTAAGTACTTGGTAGGTGGCAAAGAGGCTCCACATGTGGCTCTTTATATGAAAAATAAAATATAATTAGTGTGCATCGCATGCACCCAGCATCCTAAATTTAATTATGCCACTCTTTCTTCACAGCTCCACACAAAACCAGTTACCATTGTTGTACATAAAAGCACTGTCAAATTATTTTTCAAGAAAACATTATATTCTACTTAAAAATGTTTGTCAACCAACAATTTATTAAGTGTAAAATTGATCAAAGTATTTTTTTTTAATAAAATCTTTTTTTGTACACACCCTAATTAACATGTTATCTAATAATTTTGCTGATTTTATTGATAACAGTATAACACTCACAATAATTGGCCTTTTTTTTTTAAAAAATAATCTTAAATCAAGATAGTCACTAAGAGAAAAACTGTAAAATAAAAAAATAAAATTTAGAATGGATGGATATCCAAAATTACCTCTAAAAAATTTTGATGACACAATTTAGTCTTTAAAAAGAATAAAAATAAAAATCACTAAATGTTGTTTGAAAATCTTTTTCATAAACCATTTAATTCTTTTATTTAAATTCTTTTATCTAAGTTAACAAAATTATTTCAATAACTTATTAAATATCTCAAATAATATCATTCATTTTTATCTAATAAAATATTTTTTACAAAAACTTATATCTCTAAAAATCAGTTTTAGTATTTAAAAGATATAATAGAGTTAGTTGGTTTTGCCTTGCAATACATTGTATACTTGGTTGCGTTCGAAATATGCGTGTAACGCGTGCTTTGTCCCATCTGGCACTATATAAACGTTGGGATCAATCACATTGGCACTGCTACACTCATCACCTGTTCCTCGTTTTCTTATTACTTCGACATCCGAACTCATCCGAGGTAACTGTCCTTCTCTCTCTTTCTCGTCTTGCATGCATCTTAGTTCAATTTTTATCAGATCTGTGTTTCGCTTTTGAGTTTATGAATATGATTTTTTATGCATTATTGCTTATCTGTTTGATTATCATCCGTCAAATCTTTATTTTATTCCTCATTTGTCTGATGTTTCATTGCATCTTATTTGCTTAAATAGAAAATTAGATAACATGCAAGATTATATACTTTTCTTAATTATGTGAGAAAGAATGAAGGAGAAACAAACGTACAATTTCACGCCGAATTTTTATTTCCTTTTTCGAGTGCTCTCTGTGTTTTGGCTTGGTTTGAGTTGAGGTAGGTGGAATATGTAGTTGGTGGAAAATACTTGACATCCGAAGGGTTTTTTCCAAGAACCTTTTTAGTTGAACTTGTTATTGACTCCTGGATGGATAATTCATCTTCGCAACTTTGACTTACCAAACCACCTTTGAATCTTTAAAATTTTGGTAGAATTCTACTGAGATTTTTTGGCTGTGTAGCATTATTAGTAGTTTATTTATTTGGAAATTCTGAATTGGAATGAGCATTTTCTGTGCTTTTCTGTTTCTCCAACAAATTTACAGTATTTCTATTCTTCAGTGTTGATTTCTTCACTCTATATGTTTTGTTTTGTTTATCCTTAACAATAAGATATCGAAAGAGGGAAGGAAGGAAGGGGGAGAATTAAAAGAAAGAGAGTTGTGACAGTACTGTTGCATTTAAAATAATTTTGATACATTCTTACATTGTTCCAATCGATTTCTTCAAGAATTTGGACTAAAGCAACATTATATAGAATATAACAATAATACCTGAATGTTAAATGTATGCATGTGAGGTGAATGATTACTGTTGGTGTTTCATATAGTCACGCATACATGAAATCAGTTCTCAAAGATTATATAAATTAGCTGGATAATTAAATCTAACTATCCCATGTTTTTTGTTTTGGATTGCAGATTCCAATTTCATATATCAATGGCTCCAGTTGCAGCACCATCTTCAGACTCTATAAAACCTAGAGGTTGGTTATCAAACATTTTGGCTTAGATATATATAATAAAGAGTATATTTAAGTATTGCTGAGTTTATGTAGCCTTTATTTTATTCATTTAACCTTTTAAAGTATAATTCTGTTTTATTATTCATTTTGTCCATCAGGCACAATTATAAAGAAAAAAAATGAAATATTGAATTTGCTATCTTTGAAACTATTACACATTGGATGCCTTTTGGTTTAGTAGATCTTATCTGTTTGTTTTCTGCAGATGTTTGCATTGTTGGTGTTGCACGTACACCTATGGGTGGGTTTCTAGGTACTCTGTCATCTCTACCTGCCACCAAGCTAGGCTCTATAGCCATTGAAGGTAACTATGGAAACCTTTTTTGGTGCTTGTTACATTACATTTGAAGCTTAATTGTGTTTACATCTTCTCATTGATATGTAGCTGCTCTTAAAAGGGCCAATGTTGATCCTTCACTTGTGGAAGAAGTATATTTTGGGAATGTTCTTAGTGCTAATTTGGGGCAAGCTCCTGCAAGACAAGCTGCTCTTGGAGCAGGAATACCCAATTCAGTTGTCTGCACCACTGTTAACAAAGTTTGTGCATCAGGAATGAAAGGTGTGTAATCTATTATAAAAGAATTCTATTTGTTTCTTTATATTTTGTTTTTAAATAAAAACAAGGATGTTAAACTTGTTCTGCATATTGCAGCTACAATGCTTGCTGCACAGAGTATTCAATTAGGTATAAATGACGTTGTTGTGGCTGGTGGTATGGAAAGCATGTCTAATGTACCTAAGTACCTGGCTGAAGCAAGGTCAATATTGCCCTTAAATATGACAGTTTTCTTAAGATTAGTTCTTTTGTTGAAATAAATTGATCCAATACTAAAAATTCAGGAAAGGATCCCGCCTTGGACATGATTCACTTGTTGATGGGATGTTGAAAGATGGTTTGTGGGATGTCTATAAGGACGTTGGCATGGGTGTGTGTGCTGAGCTGTGTGCAGATAACCATGCATTAACAAGAGAAGACCAGGTACTTTTTAATTAATTTGTACTCAGAAATGTTTTGGCAGGATCAGTTTAATAGATTTTTTATGTCTCTGTTTTTTCCCTCAGGATAACTATGCGATCCGGAGTTTTGAACATGGAATTGCTGCCCAAGAAAGTGGTGCTTTTTCATGGGAAATTGTTCCCGTTGAAGTCTCTGGTGGAAGGGGAAAACCATCAACAGTTGTTGATAAGGATGAAGGCCTAGGAAAGGTAACAATATAAATAAGTTGTAACGTGGTAATACTTGTTCTTGTATACATATACATATGGTGAGCCTAGGAAAACACGTTTATAGACTCTATTCATACCCAATAATATTTCCTGGTTTCATGAGTATTAAAAATTTGTTAGAAGATTACTAAACATGAGAACATAGATATTGCCTGGTATCTTTTCTGGTATCTTTTCTAAATACTTCCATGTCTCTTAACCTGGACAATTAATCAGGATTGGGGATTGGAATTGGTAATTTTTTCTCTTCACATAAAGAACATTTATTATATGTATGGCACTTCTAGCTGCAAATATAGTTTATTACTATAGTCGTTAATTTTTTCCATTTGTGCATTTGAGTGCAAACCAATATATTGTTATATTTTTCCTTTTCCTATGTCAGTTTGATGCTGCCAAGTTACGCAAACTCCAGCCAAGTTTCAAGGAAAGTGGAGGGTCTGTTACTGCTGGCAATGCTTCCAGCATAAGGTTAATATATTATCAAATTTTGCTCAACTTTTTCCTGGCAATGCTGGATTGTCAATTATTTGTGTACAATACACAGTTTTCAATTGATTCATTGGACTGATTCCGTGATAATTTATTATTAAGACTCCAGCGATTTAGTGGAGAAAATAAGCAAACTACACATTGATATAGTGATATTGATGTGGAAGTGTTAGGTCAATTTGAGTGGTCAACTACACATTTTGCAAATGGTTTTTAGATAGATATATGGGGAAGTGAGGATTGTATAGAACACTGCTTGTAAATCTGCCACTGGCTCTTGCAAGCATAGACATTCACTATTCACTTTTCATTAGCTTAAGTGCTTATTAAATGCTATTAACTGACGTATATTCCTTCTAAGTTTTAGTTTGGCCTGATCCCTGATTTTTATTAAAAATAAAAATGCTCTTGCAAACAGTGATGGCAGTGCTGCATTAGTTTTGGTGAGTGGAGAGAAGGCTCTAAAACTTGGTCTTCAAGTTATTGCAAAAATTACTGGATATGCTGATGCTGCTCAGGTACATAAAATATTTTAAATATGAACTACAATTTTAGGCCATAAAAGAAAGAGAAATAGAAAAAATTACGTTTGTATTCAAATTATTTTTAGTGTTTGGTATGTTATTAGTAAAACTTCATACTCATTTAAGGTTGACCTGTACAGGAACCAGAGCTATTTACAACAGCTCCAGCCCTTGCCATTCCCAAAGCTATTACCAAGGCAGGGTTGGAGGCTTCACAAATTGATTTTTATGAAATTAATGAAGCCTTCGCGGTAGGATTTCATGTCAAAGTTTTAATTGTAGTAATTTGTCAATATATAATGTTGTGAATTTTAATTCTTCATATTGCTGTCTGTAGGTTGTGGCTCTTGCAAATCAGAAACTTCTTGGCCTTGATTCGGTGTGTTTTGCCCCTTCTCTTGAATATTGCATGCTGTTATAGTCCCCCGACCCTTCTTTGCCTAGTGCAGAACATGTTAAAATTTGTCTATAGTCCTTAATGTGTCGGTCATTATTGGCTCTAACCTTCCATTTATTCCCTTTACTCAAGTAACTATTATTTTGTAGGAAAAAGTAAATGTACATGGTGGAGCTGTATCATTGGGTCATCCTCTTGGTTGCAGTGGTGCTCGTATTCTGGTGACACTTTTGGGGGTGTGTTCCGTCTATAACTTTTAATTATTTTAGAATATATACTTGCATATTAGCAGGTTGCCTATCCATGTTTCTCGTGTATGAAGAAAAAATCTATTATAGTGCTCATCTCTTAAAATTCTTTGTCAATTTATTTAAACTTGTCATGTTCAATTATTCAGAAAGTTGATAATGATGGTGTGATGATATATTTATTTTATTATCTTGTCCTTTTGTCATATTTTTTTAATAAATTCTATTGATAATGAAATGAGAATGGTTTGTTGTGAGAGTAAGAGTGAATATTGATTATTAGATCTTACATGAACGGTTTTAGTACACAAAGTGATACAAATTTTTAAGTGATCACTGTAATATTTAAGTATCTTTTAATCTGAACTGTCTACGTATGATATCTTCCACAATGTTGGTCGTTGTTTTTGGATTCAATTAATCTGAAGTCATTGGATGCAGGTACTGAAGCAGAAGAACGGAAAATATGGAGTTGGTGGCGTTTGCAATGGAGGAGGTGGTGCATCAGCCCTTGTTGTGGAGCTTCTGTAAGCGGTTTTCAAGTTCGGTAGATGTCCTTTAAGAGCCAGCGATCTGTGCAAACCTCAAAAGACTATGCCTCCTTCCTTAGCTAGTGTACATGCTAGTTTCAATTTTATTTCAAGGACAAAACGGAAAGAGTGGGGCGAAATTGGCAACATAATTATTAGAATTAAGTCTAGATCTTGTTAAATTGAACTTCAGAATTAAATTTTTAAGTACCAGATCTTGTGAAAGTGAACTTTTCGAAGCATTAAAGTAGAACATGGAGCAATATTATTTAGATTTGTTTTCTTTGCAATAAGTTACTTGCTTTCAATGCTTTGAGATGAATTATTATTATTCAATCCTCTTATTTGAAGCACAAGATTACACAGATTCTTGTGCTTTGTAAAATGTGTTCAGATATTAAATGACCGGAAGATAGAATGGAAGCAAGTTGTGATTGGTCTTGTTTATGCAAATTGATTATTGTTTTGGTCTTTATCATGTGAAAAATATATATATATTATAGGATAGTTGGTACTTGCATAAAGCTAATCCAAATTAATATTTTAGAGTGATGTTTCATATCCCTCAAACGTGAAGATGATCCCATGATTATTGGTTTTCTGAACACGGCAAAAGGAAGGACGAAAACAAAGTAGTACGAGATGTATCTTATTCCGAAATTTCCCATTCGTTAAGCACGAATTCATTTCAATGTAGCTTTCACCTTAAACGCGGTTTAATCCGATTTTATTAGATTTTCAAACATGCCCTGACTTTAGTGTGCAGCGACAGTCGAGTTCCTCGTTGGTAGCCCATTTTCTGTTCCATCAATGCCTTCGTTTTGTCATGAATGTAGTCATAATCAAGTTTATTTACTTTCATTAGCTCATAGTTATTTTTTCTTAATTTTTTGTAGAACCGTCAGTTTAAACTAATTATTCAGTATTCACTCGCGCTTATTGATCATTGTGATTTTCACCAGCTTCACGACACCGTTCTATTACCGACATTTAGATTGGAAAAGTCACTAAAAAAGCTAAACAAATTTTAAGGAGAGGATGTTCTTGGTCTCGGACCAACTAGGTACGTTTGACAGTTCAGCTTAATGAGCTGTTCCAGAACCTTCTAATATTCTCACGAAGTTAGATCTAAACAATGAGGTTGTACTTAAATATTTATCGCTCAACTCCTCTCATTCCAAATTAGAGAAGTATATTGATAAAAAGATAGATAATATTCCAAATCTTTTATTGGTTAGTTATTAAAAGAAACACGAAATAATGAAATGCCATATTTACGTTTGATTATAAAACATGTAAAAAGTTGCATTATTTTTGTTAATAATAAAAACTTTGATACGTTAATAAATGGTAAAGTAAATTGTAAATAAAATATGAATAAAAGAAAGGATAGATTCCTACTCGAAGCGAAAAAGAAAAGTGACGTTAAGGACAGAAAAAGTGGCCGTTAGAACTTGAACGTTAAGGCCAAAGAGCACTTATGGAGAGAATCTGAAACCCAAACGCAAAGTGGCTTCCAATTCATTCCATGTATAAATAATAGCGTCTCTCACTCTTTTCCGAACGCAACAAAAGTGATTGAGACGAAGAACAAGAAAAGAGAAAATGGGGATGGTGGTGGTGATCTCTCTCCCACTCATATTCTTCTGCTTAATTCTGGGTTTTGGATGTTACTTCTTAGGAAGAGCAAGAGGAAGGCGAGATGTACAAACCAATCCTCAAGTTTACGGGATGCCAACTCCACCACCGGGTGCCGGTGCCGGTGCCGGTGCAGGTGCAGGTGCAGGTGCAGGTGCAGGTGCAGGTTCAAATACCTTCCCCTCACCCTATTTCAAGCCAGACAACGATGCTCATGTTTAATTTACCAAATACCTTTCTGCTATCTCATTCCAATCGCGGTTACTGTTGCACAAATATACAATATTCCGTTGCTGTAAATTTGTCATTGTAATTCAGTCCAATAAGACTCCTTCCTCGTCTTTCTTTTTCTTCCTTTTCCTTCTGTATCTGTTGTTTTCAGGTTGAAATTACAATCAACTTTGATTAAATTTTAATATCCAAATTCAAATTTGTTCATACGTTTTGATTTTGAGTTAGTAGAACCGAGCCTTTCATTATTGAGACGGGTTCCCCTTTGGTTAGTTTCATATATGAAACTGGATCTTTAACTCGCACTAGCATGAATTAGAATTTAAGAAATATTTTTAAGTAAATATTGATCTCCAAAGCTCGAGGATAAGAAAATAAAAATAGGTCTTTAACATTTTTATAATATATTAAAAAGTATATTACTATGTTCATTCCTTCACAAAAATTTTGTTAATCAAATAATAAAAAGCAAATACAAAAAATACACATGCTCTCATAATTTTGAATGCTACATGATGTAAATTTCAATAAGAAGTTATCATTTTTAATCCATTATTGGTGCCTTTCGGGCACTCAATACTGTTTTTTTTTAAACAATTTCATCTAAAAATTTTAGATTTCAGTGTTTTACACACAAACATAATTTTTAAATTACATTCTCTTCTATAACAATTTGTGTATTTGAAAAAAATTCTCAAGAATAATTATAGTGTGGCTTACAATTATTTATCTATCAATCTTGTCTATGACTATGTTATATTATTCACTACTATTGGATTTTCATATTACTTTCTTAAATGACAGAATCTACATCCATACCTTTCATGCGCAAACTCATTTCAAATTTGGATAACAAAAAATATTTAAAATAGACTTCATTAATAAGTATTCAAAAAGAGGTGATTAAAGAATATTTAATACATATTATAAATGCTTGTAATTATTTAAAATCAAATTGTTAATCATTATTTTCAAAAAAAAATTTATAAAATAAAAAAAAAATTCGTTGAAAAGTATGGCATAATATTACAAATTAATTGTCATCATTATTTTTTAATAATTTTTAAATCTTCTGAGTAATAAATTGTAAGACCAAAGTAGGTAAAAATATTTTTTTTTGTAAAAAACAAATATTTTTATATTTAATTTTGTGTAATAATTTTTATTTTAAATTATTTAAAATAAATGCTAAAAACTGATACTAATAAAATTATTTAAAACAAATTGAAGAAAGAATATAATTATGGTTAAAAAAAAGAAAGATAGTTTGATGGTTGAGCGTGGTTGGCTGAAAATAGTATAAAGTGAAAGAATTTTGATCAGCATTGGAGAATAGGCCACTCCTCTCTCATTCTTCAACGTTCTTCTTCCTCCTTCCCAACTGAGAAAGGAGAACCAAAGACCATCACCTCCTTCTGCAACAACCATGGCGGTATATACATTCATTCTTCTCATCGCATTAACGTTATTATATTTTATTATTTTAACCTATCTCTGTCTCATTCACCATTGCTGAATTAATATTTCTTCATTTCAATCTACGCATTAACATCATGCATGTATTGAATTTGAAAATTGCTTGCGCAGGACAATGGTAGACCTTTACCTAAGTTTGGGGAATGGGATGTGAATGATCCAGCGTCTGCTGAGGGATTCACAGTGATCTTCAACAAAGCCAGGAATGAGAGGAAGAGTGGTGCTAAGGTTGACACACCTCCAAAGGATGATAGAAAGAAACACAAGAATCAAGTGGTTCTCGGCAAGCCCCAATCTGTACGCTCTATTCTCTTCCCCATTCCCTTTTATTACTTTTTACCTTTTCATATTCTTCACTCTTTTTTCCATCACCTGAAAAAGATAAAAAAATTTACATTTCTTTTAAATCTTTGTACAATGTAACAAATAATTAACTACAGTTCATTTTTAAGGATTTTTAAATTTTAGTCATTATTACATAATCCTTTGTTGTGGCCATTTGGGATGCTACAGCTTGATGGTAGATGGTGGCTAATTTATGTTATTCAAATTCTTATCTTATAGGCTATAGCAATGATCTATTTTCCTTCTTCCTTTTTCAATTTCACTCTCTCAACAGGAAACTGCAGAGGGCTGTAATATGATCTAGTAAATTACAGCCCTCTGCAGTTTCCTGTTGAGAGAGTGAAATTGAAAAAGGAAGAAGGAAAATAGAGGGTCTCAATTATAAGTTTGGGAAAACTGAAAAACCTTTTCGCATTGCCTCTTTCTCGCTGCCTTTGCTCCTGCAAAGTTTAGGCTGGAATTCGTTCTGGATTTTTGTGGTAACCGAGTCAATAAGCTTGCTTTGGTAGAACTAGTGTTTTAAATTGTGGTTGCGGATATTGCTGTCACTGCAACGCACATTGCAGCCATTGCGGTGTAAATTTAATGTTTTCACAAATTATAACTTACGATTATCCACATTCAAAATCTCACAGCGCTTCCTATGTTCAAGTGGGGCCACCTTCATGATGAGGATTCTTGATTCATGCTCAAACTCTTGTATAGTATGCCCGTGTCTTCTAATAACATGTATTGTCTCGTGTGCGATTAGTAATTAGTATTCACTCCACTAAGATCTTGTTGAAACCCATAGTATTATAGATCTAAAAACTTTGGTTTCTGATAGATCCCAATGGCATTGACATTGACAGATCCATGTAGCTCTGTGCCCAACCTAATGTGATAATTATGGAATGTTGTAAATATATTCATGCTTGTTTGTATTCACTATTCATTAAATATTTGACCTTTTTCAATACTGTTATTCTAGTTTTACCCCTGGTGATTTCACTGGTTTGGTTTGCACCAGACACTGCTGATTATGCATCTGTGAATGTGGTCGTCAGGTTCATAATCCAATGACTTTTTAAAGAAATGAGGAAAGCTATATTATGTATTCCTACTAAAAAATGGAAAACTAGCGACTTTGTGGCCATTTTATATTTCAGTGCTTTATAGAGTAAGTCATTTAGGTTGCTGAGATGTAATTTTGTGCGTGTCTTCTTCATCAATAACTTGTGTAAATTATGTTTGGGCAACAGTCCTCTTAGTCCTTACTTGATGTCATGCTATAAAAGATATAACATACTTGATGTCCTTTGCTCCATTCCTCCTGCGCCCATTTAGTGTAGTAATCTCCTTTTATTTGTTGAAGAATTAATTTCGCTGGCCATCCTTCCTTCAGTAGCTGTCTTTGGTGTTTGTCCTGAACATACTACTAACTTCTTGATGAAATTTGAATTGGACATTGGCTATTTATATTTATGGTTTTAGATATTCGAACAGATTTTGTGTTGGACAAGCATATGTTAACTTCGTAATCCTTGAAATGCCGTTCGAACTTTTCAGTCGGACTGCCTTTTTAGCTTTTCAGCTAAATAACATGCGTCGTATTGATTTTTCCATCCTTTTCACTATTGCAGAAAAAATGGCTTTGCTGCATGAGCACATCTGCAGAATCATGAGGAGGCTTTTCAACTCATGTCAGTTCTTAAATATATGATAATTTATCGTTACCTAGCCCGAACATAATTCCGGAACTCTGGAGATTCACTATAGCTACGAGGTCTTTCTGGAATCTTTCGTCATACACGTAGATGTAGTGTACTTCGGGTTTGAGGAGAAAAATGATTGGGAAACATATATTGCCTTTATGCATATTATTTCTGGTGAATTATTACTGTAATTTCTTTTTGGTCTATACTCGTTGGCTTCCCACCTCAATCATTCAGCATTTTTTGGATTCAAACTTTTTATTGATTCATACTTTTCTATATTGTTTACAGTGGAATTCGATATTTGTGTGTAACTAAATACTTATTTATTGAAGCTTCCTATTTTATATTTTACGTTGTGTTTATCATGTCCGCTCCCTTTTCTGGCTCCCCCATCTTTATAGCTAGCATGGCGTGCCAGAGCCACACCGAAATCCAAAAAGATACTTCCATAAAAGAGATACTTATAAAGGTAGATATAGAAGTGAAAAAAGTACTGTATATGGCGAAAAACTAAGAGTGCCTACCTTTAATTAGAAGCTAAATTTACAGGATACGTTGTTTCAAATGAATGATAGATTTTACTTCTTTACATACTTATTTAAAAAGAAGTAAACCATACTTGTACCAGGGTGAATTGTACGATTCTAAAAATTCCATGCTATGGTTTATAATTGATCAACTGTTAAAACGAGGATTGCATACTTTAAGACACATAGAGCGGAAGCAGATTTTAATCGATTTTCCTTGACAACCAATCGGGCTATTTCTTCAGCAGGGGAGTGGTAGCGTAAACATGGGCAGTCATTTGTAAAACTTTTTTTTTTTTATTTTATCGAAAATCAACTTTAATTAAATAATAATAAATAACATCTTTTAACAAGTGTTCTGAGTAGGGCGAACAACTAGTCATATAAATATCCATTTGATAATAGCGGGAAAAAAAAAGTATAAAATAGCATTCTCATTTGTATTGTTACATGTTCTCAAACATTTTGTATAGCTCTAAACTCTGGAGGTTCCCAACTTTCGTTCAAACAAACGCTGCAGAAGGTAGACTTGTAGTGCACTAGCCCCAATAAGTGCTGCTGATTCAAAGATTGCCTTGTGCACTGCTCTTCGGCTCATTGCTTCATTCACTGCATTTGCAATCAAGAAGAGTTAATAGAAGGAACATGTTTGTAACATTAATCAACTAAGATGACCGTGTCTGTTTTTTCATTCTTAAGCCACTGAATGGACATGTCACCAGAATCAAGATTTTCTTGCATCTCACAAAACATAACTTAGGAACATGTGCAAAGCCATCTAAATGTGTAAACAAACACACTTTGTAGTCCACCATAAGTGCATAACTCATTCATGTAGCTGAATGGCAAGATAAGTAAGGGCACTGAAGTACTACCCATACTTATGTCATTGGAATAGGATCAACTTCGGCCTAAAATAAAGCCACTGAACTGTGAACGCCATCAAGAGATAGGAAGCAATATTCACATAAGGGTGGTCCGTTTTTGGTATGGTAGCTGACTAGAATTAGGATGACCACAGATTGGAAAAGGAGCTTCTACTACGATTGAGATCCTCAGCAGTTACTTTTCAAACTGCATGAAATCTTAGCTTTTAAAATATTAAGTTTGTTTGTTCATCTTTGAACCCCAGAGGATCCACAACCGCTTCTACTAAATGGTATCAAGAATAAAAAACAAGATGGCATACATAAACTAGGGCTTTATTTTAAACACAAATATGTGTATAACATGATAAGCATAGAAAATTTTAGACACAGAAAAATGTAAATTTTAAGATATTAAGAAAAGTAAACCTTAAATACTACCTATTGCTTGGCGGTCAGTCTGAGCCTCTAACCAATGCTGTTCAAACTGAATGTTGTAAAGAGCTTCCTCCAATTTCCCTATCTGCTCCAGCAAAGGTGTGAAATGCTCTGCACAAGAGTTTCCATGAAAGTTCCCTTATTTTTTAGACTTCCATGCAACTTAAAGAGCAGTGTTTTATTCTAAAAGAGTAAAAGTAAACAAGCAAATACAAGTTGACTTCATAGAATAGGCATTACCATCTTTTGCATGTTGCTCAAAGTAAGAGAAGTGGCCAACATGTACATCAAAATCAACGGTTTCATGATAAGGAGACTTGTTGGTGAAGCAGAATTTATGGACCCCGGATTTATGAGCCACAAATTCAAATTTCTCACTGGTCTTGTCTCGAAAATCGTGAATTTGATCACCAGTTGGTCCCTTTACCTGGAATTCTTACATTGTAGCGTAATAAGTTTCTAAGGTGATCAGATAGGTTATTCATGGAAAAGAAGGAAAGATAAATTCAAAGAAAGGTTATTGTTATCACTTGTGGATACAGGATGTGGATTTGTACAGATGCCAGATATACAAATGTCAAAAGATTAGGAAAGTAGCACAAAAATACATATATAGCTACCTGAATGTGGACCATAAACACATTGTAATGGCGATACGTTTAAATTCCTAGATATAATGCATAACATCTGTTTAAGTACACATTCTTTAACTGTGTTGGACAATGAATTTATCACATAAGTATTGATCCCTTGTGGATACAGGATGTGGATTTGTACAGATGCCAGATATACAAATGTCAAAAGATTAGGGAAGTAGCACAAAAATTCATATATAGCTACCTGAATGTGGACCATAAACACATTGTAACGGCGATACGTTTAAGTTCCTAGATATAATGCATAAGATCTGTTTAAGTACACATTCTTTAACAGTGTTGGACAGTGAATTTATCACATAACTATCGATAAAACTTTTTGCTTCATTAGGTGTTTGACAAATATGCATTTTCACTTTAATGTCTGTTCAGAATGGTCAATGAATTAAAATTTCCATAAACAAAAAGCAGTTTTATGGTAATGGTGAAGAAAAGCGCGTAAAGTTTCTTCTGTCCCCAAGGCATGAAACTATGAATGAATAGAGGTACATAATAGCTTTAGCTTCAGAATGTAAAACCCCAAACCATTAGCCAACAGGTAACCATAAGAGAAAGCACTATTGTTGGTTTTTAACTCTGTATCCATGTGCCTATAGCTCTATTCCCTTCCCTGAACAGAATTTTAAAACATATTCCTATCAACACCACATATCATAAATCAAACTTCTAACCCCAAGGAGTTGACAAGAAAGAAACTATGACTACTTCTGATTCCCATTCAGAGTCATGATACTTAAAATTAAGGTAAAACGGATGGGAATTGCGAATGAAGTACACATTTATATTCGTCACATTGCAGGTAAAAAAATAAGTAAATAAACAAAACGTGAGACATGAAATAAGAAAAAGAACATACCACGAGATCGACACCTTCGTCACCGTAATGCCAAGGAGAATCAGCCTTAATAACAACGAAAGATACATGAACAGTGTCGCCCTCGTACTTCACATCATGGGAGAAACATTCGTCTCTGTCTATCACGAATCTAATCCCCTCTGATCCTCGCAAGCTCCACAACACCCCAATTAACGCAAACACCAATGCATGCCTCAACGATAATCCCATCTTCAACCCCCAAAACAATCGATTAATTCACACAGTTTCACCTAAAAAACACGGATCCACAAAATTTTTAAAAAAAATAGATAGATACCTTTGTCTTTGTGAGTGCCTCTTCTCGGAAATTAGAAGACGAAACGGATGGAGATGAAACAGAACAGAACAACCCTCGACACGACACTCGCAGTCGCAGGTGGCGATTTTTATTTTTAATCTCAACGAAATGTTCGAGTTTACTTTAAAACTGGAAACGACGTCGTTGACCTTTCTTTCCTTTTTGTTATGTGTCGACCTGTGATTGGAGCGTGCAAGTCATATATCCAATACCAAGCGCACACGTAGGATGGTTTTCAAAGAAATACCTCCTCGTCCTCACGTGCGAACATAACCACAACCGCTGAGTTCAAAATCGCTTAGTTTGTGATCCCAACAATCTGATTCAGATCTAAACAAGTACAACCCAAATTATAAGTATTTTTATGTGTAAATGCCAAGAAAATATATAATTTAGTGCTTTATAACTTTCTCATAATCCATATTTTCTTTTTATATCATGCAAGGTTTTTTTTTTTTTTTTTTAGAGATAATAAGATAAGAAATGATAAGTTCATTGGGTAAATACTATAAATATGATAAAATAATTCAGTTATCATATTATGTTCTTCTACTCCATCAATCATGTAAGCTAAAAATCAAATGAACCAAAGTTATTAATCAAGCACTAATTAAAACTATTTTAAATATAATTTATATAGTCCTAACATAATTATTAAGCAATGATTTAATATTTAAATAATTTTATATAATGATAAGCATTGTTAAATTAATTGAAAAACGTGTTGGCACAAATTAGATAATAATGTAAAATTATTTTACACTGATTATACATTAAAATAAAATTTTATTTTATATTTTTATATTATTAATTAATTATTTTACTTTTTAGTGATATTTGATCTACTTGCTTCTCATGTTTGTACATTTTTATATATATTTTTCATTAACACAGTAATGCTTGAAGCTTTTTCTTTTGTGGAATAAATCAAATAAACAAACTTTGATTTCACGTATAACTAAAAATCTTAAAGCATTAGATGTTTAATTTTTTTACTCACTTTAACAATTAACAAAAGCATTATTCTTGCACCTTAACTCATATAGTATTTAAAAAATAAAATAAACAACCTCACTTTCCTCTACATTTTCGTTGTGTGTTTCCAAGCTTAAAAAATTGTTCATGTAGATGGATTCATTCATGAGAAATGAGTTAAATAAGTAGATGCAAAAACTATAACAAGCCATCAACAGTTAATATGAGGAAAATAAAACACATAATAACATAATATATCCAATACGCACAGTTCATCAATTACATGCAAATCTTTCATCATTACTATGATTAATATATTATTATTGAGACAATAATAATTTGGAGGTCTGAAATCCAAAAAGCAAAAGGCAAAAGATGAGAACTCAAGGGTTCTTAAGAAATTCCATGAGATAGATGTTGAGAGCACGACACGCTACGCAGAAACCTTGGAATCCAGCCTCATTAGCCAAGGCCTCGTACTCTTTCTGTGTTCTTTCTCTGCCACCATAGCTATGACACAACATTATGATATCCATTTGAAACTCACACCTTGAAGTCAACTTTGAGTCTGGGATTTCTGGAAGAATGCCTTCAGCCAAAATCACCTTCCCAGTGTTAGGAAGGGAATCATAACAGTTCTTCAACAATTTCAAACATTGCTCATCATTCCAGTCATGACATACCCACTGCATTTACCAAATTATCTCATCAAAATAAAATATAGGGAATTGACGAGAAAAAGCGAAGCAAGATCATCAAATTAATAACCCACCTTCATGAAAATCACGTCGCCTTTTGGAACACTCACAAACATGTCTCCGCTAACATGCTTCACGCCTGCATCAAACACCAACAGTTTCCGTTTTTTTTTTTTTTTCCTTCAAGGGTCCGTCTCTTAGATATGATAAAATAAAATAAAATAAGTTATTAAAGTGAAATAGAAATAAGATAAAATAAAAATAGGTTTTTAAAATTTGTTTTATATTTAACATTATTAAAATAATAAAATAGATATATTAAGCTAGATTCAAAATTTAAATCAATTAACTGAGAATAATAAGATAACAAAAAATATATTGACTTAAATAATGTATCTTATATCAATTTGAATTTAAATTTTCACTCGTGATGATATCAATAAAGATAAAATATCTTGATTTCAATAATTTTTATAAATTTTTTAATCCTAATCTATTTAATTTATTTTTATCTAATAAAATAAAATACTAACTACCAATAACAAAAAAAATATTTACTGTTTTCCTTAATTTATTTTTAGAGTAAATTACATTCTTCTTCTATTTTAAAATTATACAACTCTATTAAAATATTAAAATGGATCATAATTTAATTTATTTTAAATTTTTTTGTCAATATTTTAAGAAGCTCAACAAACTTAATTTTTTTAATAAAAAAAAGTATGCATTTATCATTATTATAAGAGTATTAAAAGCTTATTTTGACATCGAATAATAAAAATAAAATAAAATAATTATCACCTTTAATGAAAATATAGACTTACAACTTTAAACATTAAAAAAGAGTGGTAGAACACAAAATCATTTAAAAAATTAGGACATACAAATAAAAATTAGATTAAAGGTAAAAAAATTAATAAAAATTAGACTGTGATTTTTTTTTTAAGAATGTTTCAACAAAAAAATTAAAATGAAGTAAATTGTTGTGTTTTTTTTTTTTTTTTAAGAGAGTGTGATGTATGATTTAAAAATAGTAGGGATAGTAGTGTAATGTATGCATCTTTTAAAAAAAATGTGATTATAACTTAGTCGTATTTTTTAGTTATACTTAAATTTAAAATGCATGCGAAATTTGTTAATATTTTTAAATTTTGATAGCAGAAGAGTCACTGTATAAACTTCAAACGATATGAACTGAAAAACACCTGGATAAGATGGAGCTTCTTTAATCACATGGGGCAAGTCAAAATTAACGCACTTGATGGTGGGATACTTAGAGGCAATCATGTTAATAATAGCTCCACTCCCACCGCCAACATCAACCACAGATCCAACTCCTTCAAAGCCATTGTAGGTCTCAAGAATTTTCTTCATTGTGATGCTTGAGCAATCAGATAATCCCTTGTTGAAAAGCTTGTTGAATCTTGGATTTGTGCCGTGGAATTCAAAGGCAGTCATCCCATAAGCATTGTTAAACGGAAGGCCACCCTCTTTGATTGAATCTGTCAAGTGGTACCTATAAAAACAATCATTAAACTCTATCTAACCAAGGCATTCACTAATTATAAATACTTCAACTAACCCCCATAATTAACGATGAAAATAGTTTTCTTGCATGGATGTTTGATTCATGTTGCTGACAATCGTTCCTATAGGAGACAAAAAATTATAAATAGCATTATAAATTCCCATTGGAATTTATGGCATGATCTCAAAGACTAACGTGAAATCTCTTTAATATGGACTCTTCTCTAGAGTGAGATTTTCTCCCCTATCATAAAACCAGTGGAACTATGAAAGAAAATCTTCAGTCAAACACTGACTTCTACCTCAACGGCTAATTAAGTTTTAACTCTTCTTCATAGGCAAAAATTTCAGTGGTTTCTTTCGTAAAATATTTTGTCAAAATTACAGAAAATAGTTGAATATGCAATGGTGGTTAGAAATTAAATTATTTGCATTTAATATTTTTAAATGAATTACAACGTATTCAGTAGAACTTATTTTGAATTCAACAACCTTTATACCTCTATTCTCCACCTTCATAATACAGTAAAGTTATGAGACAAGGGCCAGAAAAAGAGCAAAACATAAAGGAATTTAGGAATATATAGTGAAACAGAATACCACATGTCTTTGAGGACAACGTCCTGTTCCATGAGAAAATAAGCAGCCACGGAAACACCGTCTTGATTGTTTACAAGGTATTTGGCCTTTGGGTGAAGAGCATAGTGTCTTTCAGCCTTGCCATGAGGAAGTTGAATGAGGGAGCATGTGAGGATGTTGTAGCTAGCCAAGAGGCGCAACAAGCGGTCCAGCATAGCAGGTGCATCCGGGTTCTTTATTGTTTGGACCTTTGCAGCTATGTGAGAAGGGGAAAGGTATGCACTAGGACCAGCCTTGGCTATAGTTTCTATGATACCAAGATCCAGAGCTGACTTGAGGACCATGGGGAGTGCAGAGGCACCTGCTAGTTCCATGGCAAAAAGGAAGGCTTCTTCATCAGATACTACCTCTTGCCTCTGGGTCTCCTCCATGCTGTGTCATATAGTTTCTATTGATGAATAATTATTTGACGCAATTTTGGTGGTTACAATAGCGCGCCATTCATTATACGTACAGATCTAAGACATATATAAAGTCTCATGTTTCAAAATGTTATCAGAGCCCCGATACAAATGATATATAAGCAAGAATGCTTCATTCTAAAAAAGCCTATCACTCAAGCTTAAACTCATTTACTTAATTTCCTCCTCCAATATTGGATCAGAGCCAGGTTCCAAAATCCTAATAAAAAAAATATAAACACAACAATAGATTCTAGTACAAAAATGGAAAATTGTGAGAAAGACATGGATTTTCTTTCACTTGAAAAGCAAAAGATATTTGATGGGTGGATCTAATTTTTTTCCTGAAAGATAAAACCGTATGCCCATAAGTTGAAATTATGGTTAGATATTTTATGCATATTATATATTAGATCTTTTAGTTTTTATGCTGAGAAAACAAACTCCCTTAGTAGGCCATTGTAGCTTGTGAATGGTTTTCCGTCTGATTTCACATCATTGCCGGAATCCCCATCAGAAGAAATTTCCATGGGTTTGATAAATGAACTTGAAACAACCAATAATGAGTCAATAAACAGCACAGATAAAAAGAGACACCACAACAATACAGCCAATGATATATTGAAAGGAAAATATGTATTCAATAACTACAAATAAATTATTTAAGATCATACATATCGCATATATGAATTAAGAACACTCATGCATTAGTATAGGCATTTGAGAGAGAGAGGGCGAGTAAGGTCGAGAAACTTAGTGAGTTTGAACCTGAGAGTTGATAAGAGTGGCTTGACTTGAACAAATACAAGGGAAAATTAGAACTTGGTAGTGTCTCTTTAGAACGGATTACTAGATCAAAAGTACAAGAGTGGTTTTATGTAAGTACTTCCGCTTAACTTCAATGTGGCTCTCAACTAAATATCTGACATCCTAACCTCATGGGTTCTGAAAATGACGGATCACGTAACAACAGAAGGTGTTTGTTTATTTGGTAAAAACTTTCTCATCGTCCAGATGTATTGATATAATAATGGAGAACAACATTGTACCAAACATGCTGACCATTTTGCTTTGTTAAAGAACGTAAAAAGAATCCAAGAGGAAAATCATTGCATGCTCGGGTCCACCACGTATAGTAAGGGAATGAGTATTCCAATCAGAGGAGCATTCTCCTCCAATATATTTGTTTTTCTAGTTCAGTTTTGCGAAAACTTCAATTAATTTTTATAAGTACATGTCTCTTACATTTTAGTTTTAATTCTTTTAATTTTTATCATCAGAGTGTGAATCTTTAACATCGTGCTTATCTCTCGTCCTTTCAACTAAAAGAAAGAAATGCAACTACTTTTGTTTTTTAAATGTTTTCGTAATAAATGTGTTTAATCTCTCTTCTCAATTTAAAAACCTAAAGTCTATAAAAATGAAATTATACAAAAGTTAGGTCTATTTTAAAGCTTTCATATGTTTGTTTCAACAAAAACTGATTATGAACACTTAATTTTGTTTAAATATTTATTTTATGTTAGTTTCATTAAAAATATTTTTAAATTAAAAAGAAAAAATTTTAAATGAGAGGAAGAAAGAAGAGAAAACATAGAGAGTAAAAGGCAGAAATCAACCTAAATAAACTAATATCCATATATTTATAAAAATCCATTAATTACTCACGATTAACAACACCCTACTTTCATGCTTAGATTATAAAATGATTTAACACCTCATTGTCATTTTTTATTTAATTTTCCGAGTTTTATATTCATCTAATGTGGTATGATCATTCTTCTCAATTCCATTGTTGATAATTTATGTTAGATTTTATTATTTTAATGTTAATAGATCTATGGAATATTATTAGACTATTTGCTCAAAGTTGCACTTAGGATTGTGGTGGGAGACAATTAAAAATTTGGAACAAAATACCGTCTTGACTGCCACTACTAATTTTAATATTTATTTTACAATTTTGGCAAACTCTTAAACAAATTCAAAAACTATTCCATGAAAATAAGGTTGAATCTAGGAGGCGGCTGTACATATAAAGAAGGGTTGAACCCATAATACTTATGATCAATCTGTTCTAAGAAGATTACCTAAAAAATTAATTGTATAAATCAAAATAATATAATCCTTAATTAAACTTTTTAAGTAGGAAAACAGAGGATTATACATCCTTAATTAAACTTTTTAAGATAATTGTTAATAAGATTCTAATTTTAAAATGACTTACGCTAACCAATGCTCAATTAAGAAAATAAATGTTTTAGTAATAATTAAAGGATAAAAAAAAATTCTTAAGCAATATTGTTAGGACACAGGTTAAAAAATAAGGGCACAAAAATAATTAAAACTATTAAAATACATTGATGCTCCTTAACCAATATTCTTATCATAATTTGATCTTTGGTTGATACTGTTGCAGATAGAAGAAATGGCATTATTTCCTATATTTTGCATAATCTTCAGTTCATCTTATTTCTTCTTTGTTTATTTGCATTATAGCAATGATGACAATAAGTCACATGCATATTTGATTGATATATTTTTCTAGTCTTTTGGTCGTGTTCTTATTCTTAGTCAAGGTGCTGTTCTTGGTATTGGTCTTACACTTGTTTTTTTGGTTTTGGTCTTTTGTTTTTGTTCTTGTTCTTTTTTCCTTTTTTCTCTTGATCTTGTATCTTGTTAATTAGGTCTTAGTCCTAACGTTGTGCTTGATCTTCGTATGTAACATGGACTGGACCGATCCTGAGCTTGATTCCCAGTTTGACTAGTCCAACCACCCGACTTAATCTGGGTTTAATGACATGATTCCTACTTTTCTTGTAGAAAATCGAAGTCTTTTCATCTTTTTCAAAGTTGAGAGAAGCCAAGTGACATTTGAATAGACGATGCAAAACTAAACAGTGAGGATAACTTCTTGTGAGTTGGCCAGTTGAATCAGAAGTTACAGAGAAAGGTGAGCCATTTGTGTAGAAAGAGACGAATTCATTCATGAGATGTAAAACAGTGAAGAACTCATATGCCAGAAGCAAAAATTATTTATAATAATTCATCAGTAATATGTGAAAGATTAAATACATTATAGACTATAGCCCTATATAATTCATTTCTTACAAGTAAATCATTACTATTATTAATATACTATCAATTTTGGGATTACACGGTAAAAAAAAATTATAATAAAATTTATTAAAAATCATATAATTTAATGCGTTGATAGCATTAAATACTGTGATTTTTAATAAAAATTATTATTATTTTTTATATCCAACGATACACATTAAGAAAAACGATTTATTATCATCAACACAATAGTTTTCACATTCTGAAAACCAAATTGCAAATGACGAAGGATAAGAACTTAAGGGTTCTTAAGAAATTCCATGACATAGGTGTTGAAAGCACAGCATGCTACTCGGAAACCTTGGAACCCAGCCCCCTTAGCCAAGGCCTCATACTCTTTTTCTGTTCTCTCTTTTCCACCTGAGCTATGACACGACACGATAACATCCATTAGAAACACACACTTCGTAGCCAAGTTTGAATTTGGGGTTTCCGGAAGAACGCATTCCACCAAAATCACCTTCCCCTCGCCAGGAAGGGAATCATAGCTGTTCTTCAAAAATTTCAAGCATTCTTCATCATTCCAGTCATGACATACCCACTGCAGTAAAATGTATTTTCTCATTACCATAAACAAATGGAAAAACATCATCAAAGTAATGCAAATTTTGGCTTCATTAGATGCCATTACATTCATCCCGTGACAAAGGGTACAATCCTTGATTGCTATATTACTATTTAATATTGGAAGTGAATATATTATGTTACTTCCACCCAATTTTTCTAATTCAGATTCTCCGGTCATATATAAATTATTCATTGTAATTTTACATTAATCGCCTACTCTCTAACTTTGATTAATCTTTATCGGTCAAAATATAAATTAATAGTTAAAAAATTTTACTCCAGAGAGGCTGTAAAAAAATTGGCAAAAGAGGATCCACTTTGCTATTTTGGAGTGCATAAGGAGAATAGTAAGGAGAGTGAAAATAGAAAATTATAACAGATGATATACAAAATAATTTTACCAATATTAAGACTATTTGAAAGCCGACATGTAATAAAAATAACGAAAAAGAAGGAGGAAAAGGGAAATAAGTTTCCGTATTTAAGAGTCTAAATATAGATAAGAGAGGTTAGGATTTGGAGGAAGTCAAGCATAATAATAAAGTTTAACTCCATTCATTAATTAATCTTCTAGATAACGTGAACAAATATGTTCTTAAAATTTTAACATTTTAACTTGTTTGACTCTTAATTTTCTCAAAATAAAACATTTGGAAACGGACAATTAATAGTGCCTTCAAATCAATAACTCACCTTCATCAAAATGGCATCAGCTTTTGGAACACTGACAAACATGTCTCCACCAACATGCTCCACACCTGCACCAAAATGACACCCATATTAGTTCTATTATATTGGATGATGTCAAAAGATCTTAGTTAGAACACTATTTATTTAAATTTTAATAGCAAAAAAGCGACAACATAAGCTTGATATGATATGAAGTAAAAAGCACCTGGGTAAGATGGAGCTCCTTTAATCACGTGGGGCAAGTCAAAATTAACACCCTTTATAGTGGGATACTTGGAGACGATCATGCTAATAACAGCCCCAGTCCCACCGCCAACATCAACCACAGATTTGAAACCCTTAAAACCATTATAGGTCTCAAGAATTTCCTTCATTACGAGGCTAGAGTAATCAGACATTCCCTTGTTGAAAAGATTGTTGAACCTTGGATTTGTGCCATGGAATTCAAAGGCATTCATTCCATAAGCATTGTTAAATGGGAGGCCACCCTCCTGAATTGAATCATTTAAGTGGTACCTACAACAACAATCTTTTAAACTCTATATCTAAGCATTCACTAATTAATTATAAATGCTTTAAATAATAACGATCAAAATAGTTAGGCTCATATTATTTAATTGATATCACCAACAAACAATATCTACCCTTGATCGGTGATCCATGGTCTTATAGACTAAAAATAAGTGACATGCATAAGTGTCCACGTGAGTTCTCGTTAACATGTTATGCTCTTTAGAACGAGGTTTTCTCTCAACTATATCGATCAAAAGAAAGAAAATCTTCCATCAAGCATTGGCTACAATATTCTTTAGTTTTTTTCTTCTATATCTAATAATAATTAATCAAGAATTTGGCTCAATTTCGTTGTCGTATATGCAACAGTGTTTATTAGAATTGATATACTTTCACTTAATATTTTTATAGGAATAATTAAGTTCATGAACTTAATAAGCCTAACCATTTTCTTAATCTATCGGCTGGCGTAGTCAAATTTCCTTTGCGTTGAAGCTACGCAAATCAATTGCCGACAAAACAAACAAAAATTATATTCATGGGTTTACCAATGCGTCTACGATCTTTGACAGGAGATTATGACATAATCCGAGTCAAATTTGAGTAAAATTTTCCGTCTTCATTTACATAAGTTTGCAACTGTTGTAATCTTATGAAGTTTTATGATAGTCTTTCTTATTAATCATTTCATTTCTCACATGTCGGATCGTCTTGTTTTATATAACTCTCTTCTCATTAACCGAGACCCAATCAAAGGATTTATCATGTCTAATTATTTATGTCATAGATAGTTCATTTTCGTTTGTGTCTGCCATTTGCATTTAGGACGAGGCTTTGTATAAGTTATTCTAAGTAAATTAATAAAATTTTATCTATAAAAAAGTTAAATAAAAAATTAATACATGATTTGTTTAAAAGAGTTTACGAATAATTTTAAAAAAAATTATAACTCTCAGAAATCATTTTAATTTGTTTTAATAAATTTTTCCATATATCTTATTGAATAAGTACTTAAATAAGTAATTACTTAAACACACCCATAAGTTTTAATATGAAATGAAATTATTTATCTGAGATAAATTAGACAAACACTCATACGAAAAAGAAGATTAAAAAATGGTTAGTACTATAACACAATAAAATTAAGAGCAAGGGAGAGAAGTTAAGAAAAACATATATACCACATCTCTTTGAGGACTTTGTCATGTTGCATGAGAAAGGTGGCAATCATGGAGAGGCCATCTTGATTGTTGACAAAGTATTTGGCTTTGGGGTGAAGAGCATAGTGCCTTTCAGACTTACCATTAGGCAATGGAGAGAGGGAGTAAGTGAGGATGTTGTGGCTAGCCAAGAGGCGCAACAAACGATCCAACATAGCAGGGGCATCAGGGTTCTTTATTGTTGGGTGCTGAGAAGCTATTTGAGAAGGGGAAAGGTAAACTCCAGGACCAGCCTTAGCAATGGTTTCTATGATACCAAGCTCCAAAACTGATTTAAGCACCATTGGAACCGCAGATGCACCCACAAATGTTAGAGCAAATAGAAAGGCTTCCTCATCCTCTCCACTTACGTGCTTCTGCGCTTCTTCCATACTTAATTGTTCCTTAGACTCAACTCAGTACTCACTCACCATATGCATCTTCCACTGCCACTCTCCTTTTATAGAAAAGTTTTGCACAAACTTGCAAGCAATTACTCAATAATGCCAACTACCTAGTATAGTTAATAATATTAGACCCAAAAGTCAGATTGTTAAAACAGATCATCTTCCAGTATTTTGTTCTCACATTCGTTTAACTACGCCATGAATTAGCCAAAGTGAAAATGACACACCATCATTTGATAAGAAAAAAAATGTCTTTTACGCCAAAGTGACACATTTTTATGTGTATCTTTTAATTTTGGAGATATCAACCTTCGAATATTTAAATGAAACAGTTGCATTGATGATCTCGAGCACCCCACTTTATATTTCTTTATGTATTTATTGTATCGAGTACTTACGGGCTGCGCTTAAGACAACGAAATTATAGGTTCACTTTTTACTGAATCAATCTTCATTCTTGTGTGTAAGGTAAAATCTGATCAAAATGTCTATCTCGTATACCCCACATAATATTTCTTTATGTTTTCATTTCGTAGTTAAAATATACTTTAATTTGTACAAGCAAATTTATTTTTTTTGGTGATCGAGTAAAAAAATTTGAATTTCAATAACATTGAATTTTGTGATAACATTGTTTCATTAAAACCTTGGCAAAGTAAAACTTGGAAGTTATGTATACTAAAAGTGAATATTCCCTCAAAAACAACGAACATCATGTCTAAAAATTTAAAATATCTTATGATGTTGTATTCGAAAGAAATAGTTACGAATTTAAATTAATTATACAGATAAGAATTAAATAAATAAAAATTAAAAGTTAGTGTTACATGTAAGACTAAAAATATATTTAAATTATATTTAGACATTTTAATTCACAAAATCACATAATAATTTCATTTAATTTTGTATTTATAATAGTCTTTTGTCCAATTTTATTTGTTATTTTTCAATTATATGCATTAGTAAATATCAACAAGGTCACCGTTTAATACTATAATTCAAATTACTATAAAGATATAATTGTCTATAATAATTAAAATATAAATGTATTAATAGCAAAAATATATAAAAGTATTTACATTTATGTGTTAGTTAATTGAATATTTTGTATGAACTAATAATTATTAAAATTAGATCATATTAACTATTTCAATGTGTGGGCGAATGTTTACAGATTTAAGTTTGAATAAATTTAATTTTTTAAAATTAGTTTTAGTTAAAATTGAAAAGATTAAATTGATCTAATTTATGTTTTAATTTTTTTTTTCTTAAAAGTAAGTTCATAGTAATGCTTGATATAAAATTTTTAATTCAACACAAAAATTATAATATATTATATCTATTTAAAAGCAAGTTTAGAGTTAAAATAATTTTGATTCAAACTTACTGAACAACATACCGTGCATGTTTGAAATCATCTCATGTAAATATGAATTTAACACAAAAACTATAAATAATAATATTAAATTAGCCATAATACATGACCAATTTAATATAAATCCAAACATGCATACAGTCAGTCGTTATAATCAAAATACATTATTGTAAATACACATTTAATTAAGAATCATTAAGTCATCAGTCTGAACAACTTAAAAAATATTGGAGTAAAAATATTTTTTTAAATTAATAATTAAGAGATTTATTTAAGAAGTAGTTGTATTTTAATTGATAACAATTTATATAATACTTTTATTGGAACAATAACCTGATAAATAAAAACATTATTAAAAATTAATTAATAATTTTAATGTTTAAAATAATAAATAATTTAAAACAAATAAAAATTAATCAAATAACATTTAATATAAGAGATTGAATAACTATTTAACCATGTGATGACGTTGGCAGAATTAGAGAACTTGAAGGAATGGGAAACAACCCCCGAAGTGTTGGAAGTTGGAGCACGTGCTGCTCGTACCCTACTAGACTCAAATTTTCTCATGTTATATATATATATATATATATATATATATATATATATATATATATATATATATATATATATATATCTTAAAATAAATTATTCAAAACTTACAAAGAAATAACTTATAAATAAGCTAACGAGTTAGATTTAAATCTTACTCATTTAAATAAATTAATTAAATTAAGTATTCTTTTATCTTTCACAAACAAAACTGAAGCTTTAAATCTTTCTTATATATGCTCATGTTTATTAATAATAGATTTTAAAAAATATTTTTATTTTATTTTTTCAATTAATATTCTTAACAAACTTATTAGTATTTGCTGAAAAAACCATGCTCATAACACTGAAAGCAGCCATTGGTTTAAGACAATGATTATCGTTTTCTAGATCGTATTTACTGAACTAAACAATTTCTTTAATTTGAGCAGCCATACTCCTTACATTGAAAGCAGCCATAATTATCACATTCAAAACACACGACTTTGACCCTTTTATTTTTTAATATTTGGATAGAGTTCCAATTGTTCATTAAATTAAGGAGAATGTAGCTAGGATGATCATTTTATATCATTTTTAATCAGAAACTATTACAAACACTTTATCATATTTTTAAAATGTAATTTTATCATATTTTTTATTGACTTTCAATATTAATTCTTAAGATACTCGTCAGCAGTGTTTATGAAATTACAAAGAATTTTAGCAAGTGTTTTTAATAAAATAATTATTTATTAATGTTTTAATGTTTTTAACCGGACCAATTATAAAACAAGCACAATATGTAAAGCTTTTAAATTAAAGAAAACAAATTGTTTTTAAATATAATTATTTCCCCACTTACCTTTTTTTTATACCACATTTTACTTTATTTTTCTTCATTCTCTTTCTCACATCCATTTCATACCCCATAAAATATTCGTGAAAATACCACTAATTATTAATTCAAATATATCCCCTGCACGTCCCATCTTGTGATGTACTTACAATATTCAATCAAAACAAATAAAGCAGCATTATAATCTAAAGGCGGGAATTAGTAAACAGATTAAGGAGTCGATTTCAGGTTAAAAACTCCTAAGAAGAAAGAGGCAAAGGCACAGTCATTACATCAGTCCTACGAATTTGGTGTCCCTGGAGAGATTTCTTCCACCCAATATCTGTACAATTGGCCGAATAATCAAATGTCTACTAATTAACAACATGTTTAAAAGAAAAATCGTGCCAATCATGCAACTTAAATGAGTTGATTTTTGTTACGAGTCACTGACCCAGTAAAATAAGATGCTTAATATAGGATTTAAGTCATCAAAATCTCTCATCTAATAAATCAGTTTTTTTTATTGGACTCTCATGTATTTAAGTTGCAGCAATTTGTGCTTTTGTCAAGAGCTGAACTACAGAAAATAGGTAATGTTATAAGTCATACATTAACTAAAACAACATAGTCTTTTAAAGATGGTCATAATGTTATGAGTTTTATGTTAAGTAGAATAAGATGCTCAATATACTTAAATTATGAAATTCTCTCAGCTGATAAATTAGTTTAAATCACATAACAATATTTTTATTAAAAGAAGATGAGTTATTGAAAATCATGCAAGAAAAAAAAATCAAATTATCTTTTCAAGTAGGTTATGAGTTGAATTTTTAGGCATAATTTTAAAATAATTCGTCATTTTTTAATTTTACTTTCGAGTTGTTTAACTATAAAATTATTAATTAAATATTATAATAAAGTGATTTTAAGATTTTACTATCGACATATATTCAAATAACATGATAAACTCATTTAATTTATTTTACAAGATAATCGATCTCAGATAAATTTCAAAGTGATTTTATTTGTCATGTTTTAATCCTGCCCAATTATATTTTATAATTAATCCATGCATTTGAAAGAATATTAATATAATATTTTAGTATATTTTAATACTAATATCGGAATCTTTAATTTTTATTAACATTTCATTCAATATCTTCAACTCTAAAAAAATAAAAAAATAAAACCTTCAATATCAAATATTTACCAAAACTCAAACTTTTCAATATTCATATAATATATTTTAAATTGCTTCCATCTAAATAATTAATCTTTTGAATTGAAAAAATAAATAAAAATATTTTTATTCTAATTTTTTTTAAAAGAATTATCTAACATATTAAATAAATTGATATAATATGTATATAAAATAATCAATGCAATAAAAAAAATCCCACACACTACGAGGAGTTAGTTGTTTTTGTTAGAGAATGGAAATTTTAACCTAAGGGGACACTTGACCAAAATTTTTTTTTTTTTTTCAGAAATCTTAAGTTAAGAATGTTTAAACTTTTTGAAACTTTTTATATTCTAGATTTTTAATCTTAATTTAAATTCATTTTTCTATTGTTTTTCTTTTTTTAGCAAAATTAGGAGCTTGTTCAATATTGTAGGTGGAATTGTGGAAAATGTTAAATGTGCTGCAGATTGCTAAGACAAATGCTTTTAAAAAATTGCTGAAGAGAACTTGGGACATTACAGAATACAGATAAAGCTTTTAAAATGTGCCTGCAATTCAGGAACAAGGGATCCTCTATGGGTAGAATTCTTAGTCCATACGCTAATTGACACTCATTCTTCCTAAAATTGCCTCTCAAATCTCTCTACATTTCAAAAACCCTAATCCCTCTTTACTATTCACGTCTTTTGTTTTTAAAAGTCATTCAATAAAAAAAATTGTTATATAAGTGAGAATCTTTTATTTTATAAGTGTGAAATAAACAAACTCTTTATTGATTGATGTACTTTGATATTACTTCAAAATCAAACTCTAACTTTTATAAGTGTGAAATAAACAAAAATATGAGATGCAATATGAATAAAATTTAGAAAATGATATTATCTTTTATGCCTCCTAAATTTGAAGGGGTATACTCCTAAACTTAAAAAATATTAAATACTCTATCTAGATTATATCAAAATATTAAAAGATATTTATGTATTTTTTAAATACACTACTAATTCTACTATTAAAATTAATAATTATGATTATTCCAAGTATAAAAAATATACAATACACTCATTTCTTTTATCTTAATTTTGTCGACTACGGAAGTAATTGGGACCCACGTCAACAACAACCGGCCTGTCCGGCCCAATGTAGAAACGAAGCCGGCCCAAAACAACAACAATTGCTTGGGAATGACACAAATGTACAACTACTGCATTTTAGTTTAAATGGCCATTAATTTTCTTTTAAAAAAACTCATCAAAGGTACATTCACAGTAACTAATATATAACATTTAAAATAATATTTACAAGTTTAATTTTGATCTATAAATTTTTATATTATTATCTACGCACACAATTGAAAGGTAAAAAAGATAATAATTATTTAAAAGAGAAAATTTTATAGTAATATGTTGCATCATAATTAAATACTGGCAAGTTTATATCAAAGCAAAGTCAATCTTAAGTTATTACTATTGAAAACTCAACATTTTTAGACTTTGTTCATGAAAAAATAATTAAACCATAATCCATATGCTCCTTCCTATCTCTGTTTCTTTCGGAAAAGATGGGCCCACCAAATGGGGCCCACATGATGCAATTTTGCTCAAATCCAAACAATCATTTTGTGGGTCACAATGATTCAAGTAAATAATATGTCAACAAAAAACGCGTCCTCACCTTTTTCCTTTATAAATTTGCACTTCACTTTTAGTAATTTACTAATTAATATGGTTTATTTTTGGACCCAAAAAAAAAAAAAAAAACCATCATGAAGAGATACCATGTAGATGAAGCAACATAAAGGCAAAAGCCATCGTTGCATAGAAGAATACAGAGATTTCTTTTGGTAAAAGAAACCACTATTCATTTTTTCTTTTTATCCATAAGCATTATACTTATAAACGTGGTTTAAAAATAGTTATACAATATAATAAAACCATTCAAACTTCAATGAAATAATTTATTTAACTATGTTTAAGCTCGTATGATTTGGTATATATATATATATAATACTATTATTATTAGTGAAAATGTTTTTACTGTTTTTTTCTTTTTTGAATATGTCTATCTATCAACAGTGAGTCATTGACACGACTTATCATGGGAGAATTTAAACATTGATGAGCTTTTCTTAACCCTCTGCACGTTATGGGAAATTGGACACTCCTATCCCTGTTTTTGAAATTTTGAACTATTCCTTCTTACCATCGATTTTGACTTTGCAATGTGATATCCACAATAATATAATACTTTTTAATTTCTTTCTACATCGTGTACAGTTACGTCACAATTTCTATTTAAACTCTTATTTTAAAAGAATTGATAAAACAACACGGAATACAAAAAAATTCATTTAATAATTCTTTTAAACTTGTTTCAGAAAATTAAAAATAACAGATTATTAAGAGCTGACACCACTTAAGTATAAATAGTACTACGAATCAAATGTATCTTTTTCTCATTTTCTAATTGAATGATGATAATTTTTTACTTTTTCTTTACCATGTCACTTATTAATTTATTATTATTTTTTATCTATCTTAATTTATAAAAAATTATAAAAATATCATTTCTTTTCCCAATCTGGGGCGCAGTGCATGAAAATGTTGTCAATGAATAGAACAATGACAATAAAATTTTAAAAACCACAATTGTAAATTAAGCAATGTTAGTCGAAGATTAGATAAAAGAAACTGCCATAATTAATTGCTGACTTGATAAGCAGTAACGATTTATCAATCTTCAAAGGACCTGCCTGCTAATTTCAATTTTTAAGTTAGTTTTGTGAATAATGCTTCTCCTAGAAAATCTCATTTAAGTTATTTTTAATTATTTTCTTAATTTATTGATTTCATAACAGTACTAATCTATTTTTAAGACTAAGATAAATCAGTGCTAAGATGTTTAAATAATTAAATTGAATGTTTAAATATAATTTCATTAAAAAATAACGATTTAATAGACAATAATAGATCATCGAAACTTCAATTATGCAAGATAAACACTCCATAGGCATACATTATGAAGAAAGTTAGAAATTTGAAAAGTGCATTTGGGTCATTTTAATCAATTCATTAGGTAGTGATGAGCCTAATAAAACATCATGAACATCCATCTCCTCAACGTTCTAATTTATTTTATTTTATAAATCTATGGAAAGGTGAAATTTAAACTGGTACCCAAAAACATAACCAGAGGAGGGGCACAGCGTGTGTAGATATTGAAGCAGAGAGAAAGGCACCCACCAGCTCAGATCAGCACCACCTGTTTCTTCGTTCTGTTTTTACACTCTTTCTTGGCAAAATCTCCCTAAATTTCAGGGTTTTATTTTTGTCCCTCTTATTCTTCTCTCTCTTTATGGTCCATTCTTTTGTTAGAGCACTTTGATTACCCATTTCAGGACTTTAGTTTTCTCATCATTCCCTTCTGTATATTACATTGATCTTAAAGGATCTATTTTTCTTTATTTTTTTCCTTTTCTTTCTTTTTTGTGATTTTCTTTCCCACTTTTGTTTTCGTGGGTCTCCTCTCTGTACCTGAATATTCAACCCTTTTTTTTTTTTTTTTGTCGCAGTTCATATTTATTTATTGTTTTATATTGACTCATGGAAGATATTTGAGCTGAATACATTTAAGTTTCAATCTTCCTGATGAAGATGATGCAGTAGGGGTCTTTCACCGCTTCCCGAAATGTAAAGTTTTGTTTTTTGGTTATAAATTTGTGAATCTCATAAATTCTTGTAGCACCCAATTTGTTTTTGACAATTTTGCAGCCTCTCCTTACCTAATCTCAAGGAACCAGGTCCTCAAAATGGACCCTTTCACGGTTTCAAACTAGTGGGTTATGTTCTCGTTTGACAAGGTCCTTCCTTTTTCCAATTCAAAAGACAATCTAGTCTCAATACTCAAACCCCTTCGTGCCCATTTTTCTTGATCTGTCACAAGAAAAATGTATGGAACCAAAAGCAAAATAGACCTTGCCTTTGAATACCAGTCTCAAGTAGCAGTTTTGCGGCCAAGCATCCATTCCAGGAGAGCAAATCTGACAGTGAAATTCCAAGACCTTTATGGGTTCACAGTGGAAGGGAATGTGGATGATGTGAATGTGTTGAATGAGGTAAGGGAGAAGGTGAGGCAACAGGGTAGAGTTTGGTGGGCATTGGAGGCCAGCAAAGGGGCAAATTGGTATTTACACACTACCATAGGACAAGGCAGTGCCCTAACATCGTCCTTGAAATTCTCAGCACTGGCTAATGCTATCACTTTGAAGAAGTTAATCAGGAAGGGGATACCCCCAGTTCTTAGGCCTAAGGTTTGGTTTTCTTTGTCAGGGGCAGCTAAGAAAAAGTCCACTGTGCCTGAGAGTTATTATGATGATTTGACAAAAGCAGTGGAGGGGAAGATCACTCCTGCTACCCGGCAGATAGATCACGTGAGTTCTTTACCCCATTTTTCTTTTTCTAATGATCATCACACAATTGGGATTGGTTTTGGATTTGATTGCAAGTTTCTTGATTATAGTTGTGGACATCACCCTTCTGGATTGTTTGGATCATTTTCAAATGAATTTGATGGAGGAATCACATTGTCTACACTTTGCATTGTGTTTCTGTCTTATGAAAAGATTTTCAGACATAATCTTAGTGCAGATTTTGATGGATGATAGTGGGTGTGGCTTTCATGCTTTTTCCCCCAGTTAGCAACATTAATTATTTATAGATGATACTGAGTTAAGAAAGATCTGTAGGAGTTGAAGCATTTGTAAACCCAATGCTTATAACCTTTGCAAATATGGGATCTGTAAGCCTTAGCTCTTTTAATTAATTTTCAATGTTCTTGAATACATATAATTTAGTTGAGGCAAAATGTAGCTTTGAGTAAATGCTGATCAGAAAGAAGTAGGGATTTATGTGGTCCTTGGTACAGTTTGAGATTGGAGATCAAGTTTGTGTAGGCTTTTATATATTGATTGGGATGTGTATGTCATTTATCTACTTATCCAACAATTATGGGTGTTTGATGTGATGTGATCCAAAAAATGCTCACTGGTTGATGTTTGTTTGAGAATAGTTGAGCTTGTTTGCACATTACAGTGCTCATTATGTTTATTTCTGTTTCTAATCATTCTATAAGCAAATTTACAGGACCTACCACGAACCTTCCCTGGTCACCCGTGGTTGGACACTCCAGAGGGGCATGCAGCTCTTAGGCGTGTTCTTGTTGCATATTCTTTCCGTGATTCTGATGTTGGGTATTGTCAGGTGTGAATGCTCTGTTCTTTATTTGAAGTCTTTTTTGCTTGATCAGTGTGTTAAGGACAATGTTCTGACTTGTTAAAATTTAAATTTGATACTATATATGTGTCTCTCATATTAGGTATTTGATGAGAAAATATCTGTTACGTGCCTTCCTCTTTCGTTCAATCATTGCTTGTTTTATTCTTTTTCTTCTGTGATTAGATGCTACATTTTCATAAATTAGTAATTTGCAGGTTGAATATTCTTTTATTACCTCTCGATCCTACGCTTCTAACTAATTCACAACTTTGTGCTACTAAAGCATGGATTAGTTTATATGTTCTACTTACATTTGTTTTTCTCAATTGCTTCAGCAACTCTTTCATGTTTTAAAGTTTTTGAGGTAGGTAAAATATAGCACAGTTTTTTCAGTTAATATTGAAGTTGACAATTATATCTGCTTTACTTAGAAAAAATTAAATTCATACTTGAGAACACATTTTCTTAATTATTGACTCTACCATACTATTGCTCCAGGGATTAAATTATGTGGCAGCATTATTGTTGCTTGTCATGAAGACAGAAGAAGATGCATTTTGGATGCTTGCTGTTTTGTTGGAAAATGTCCTAGTTAATGACTGTTACACTAACAACTTATCAGGATGCCATGTTGAACAAAGAGTGTTTAAAGATTTACTTGCTAAAAAGTGCCCGAGGTATTTTAGTTTGATGTACTAACTGTGTATCAAATGTTTTTTTTTCATAGTATCTTCTGAAAAATTATAGAAATGGAAATGCAGGATTGCGAGTCATTTGGAAGCTTTGGAATTTGATGTTTCCCTTGTTACTACTGAGTGGTTCCTATGCCTTTTTTCAAAAAGCCTGCCTTCTGAGGTTAGAATAATGCTGCAATAAATTATTCATTGGAATGTTAAATTGTTCCCCACATTAATACTTATTCCATGAATCAGACAACTCTTCGTGTGTGGGATGTTATCTTCTATGAGGGCGCTAAGGTTATATTCAACGTGGCCTTGGCAATCTTTAAGGTACCACTAGTGTAGCCATTTTGTTCTCTCATGATTGTTGATCGATACACAGAAAAATATAGAAGAGTATGCTACAACGGATAGGATGTTTCAAGAATTGTAATCTCTAACTGCAGATGAAGGAAGACGAGTTAATTCTAACCCATCATGTTGGCGAAGTAATTAATGTTCTGCAGATGACCACTCATCACCTTTTTGATCCTGATGATTTGCTGACAGTAAGACAAATTATCTATTTCTTATCTTTATCTATTGTTTCCCTTTCAATCAATTAGATATCCTTTTCATTACACTATACTTTCATTGTTATCATCCTTTCTTGTTTTCTAGTTAATATAGCAGTTTTACTTCCTGCTATCACAAGAGCAAGCCTATCTCACACAAGTTTCTCAATTCTCATTAAAGGGTGGATAGTTTGGTTGGGGTTGGGGAAGAAAAAATCTTAATTTTTGCTTTTTCAATTACGGTGAAGCGAGTTGGAGCTTTCCTTAACTGTTCTTGTGTTTGCAGGTGGCATTTGATAAGATAGGTTCCATGACAACCAATACCATATCAAAGCAAAGGAAGAAGCAGGAACCTGAAGTGATGAAAGAGCTTGATCAGAGGATCAGACGGCTAAATTCCCTTAGAATGGATGACAAATAGCATTTGCTTTTGTCTTTTGTTTTTTGGGTACATTGCTCTCTCTAAGTTAATGTGAAATGTTCTACTACTCTCTGCTGCCTCGAGCAGAATGCTGAATCTATGCTTTTTTTTTTGTTTAATTCTTCTCGGGGCATCACACAAGCCCTGTTGATTTTCAGGATGTTTGTAGGTGATAAGTGTAAATCTGAATATGAACATATCATAAACTATTAATTAATGTTATATTATGCATCAATCACTAATTTAAGTACCGTGGTATATTCCTAAACAAGCCTGTTCAATTACATTCATTGTGGTTGGTTGCAAGTCTCCACTTAGGCGCTTTATGTTATCACTTCTTGATTCAGGGGATTAGTTTCATACTTACGTTAATTGGAATATTTGGTTAAGGATAATAGTACAAGTTGCATCAACTTAATGTATTTTCCAACACGTAGGAATCATTGTTAAGTTCAATGGAAACAACTTTCTTTTTCCTTATTTCCATCAAATTTCATATTAAATTCTTTTCACTAACTCAATTAAAAATAGTTTTTGCTTTACCAGTACAGCAACATTCAATAGAAAGAAATGAAGTATCATATCGAATTAGCGTTTATAAGCAATATTTCATCATGGCGATGTGTGTAAGGGATTGTTTGAGAGAGAGCGAATGACATATTTTCTAATTTTAAATTAAAAATACATAATTAATATATTAAATTTATATTATTAATTCATGTTTTTTATTTTAAAAATTTATTAAATTAAATAAAGAAGTTGTCTTGTCTCTTTCTTTTTAAAACCCCCATTCACCAACAATCTTTAAGAGTTTTTTTCTTGCCCATTGAATTTGAAATAAATGGCCCAAATTCACTCGAAGTGATCGCATTTTCCCATTGCAAAGTTAAAGAATCCAAATCCGTAATGAATATTGGTTTCAAGGAAATTTTTGAGGTGAGAATGGAAACGGAAGGAAAATTGAAAATGTCGTGATAGATTAGGTTGCTACTTAAACTCATAAATGAAAAGATTATAACATCAAGTTTATCTTAATCTATTTATCTATTCCTTGTTTTTACAAAATTATTAAGTTAAAGAATACTGGGCTTGATTGCTACTTTTCATCTCACGACAAGGCTAATCACAAAAATTGATTACAATGGTATAGAATCAGTTTAAATGAAGACATTTATTTCTGAATACAGTTTGACTATGTTAATTTGTTCATTTTCTGTTTCTTGGAATGTGAATATGTATGATGTTTTTGGTTCAACCAACAACATCAGTGCTTCTGCTCAATAATGATGGTAGATGGAATTTGATAATATTAACAATTGAATTGGTAACAAACGCATATGAACTTTACTTAAATTTTGTCTTGGTTATAAATCCTAAATAGCCAATTGGAACTCCACGTTACTGTCATACTGGAAAAGGATCGTAAAAGAACAAAAGATAAACTACAACGAATTGCAACCAACTAAATTACAGAGTTTTGGATGCTAGGTAGCATTAGCAAGACCAAAAGAAAATGAAGTTAAATTCTGAGATAAATGTGCTTGAATTTAGGAAAAATATGTTCTTATAATCATATTAGACAATATCTGATTGGTTCAGATGATTTTTAATTCACATTTTTTATATAATAAAAAAAGATTCAAAGAAGAAACTTATCCTATTAGAAGAATAAAAAAATATTTATGTGTAGTCTTTGATAATTTTGAAAACATGAATCTCAAGAGAAGCATTACAAAAGACCTTTAAAAGGAAGAAATTATATCGCATATATTTGAGTAATTAAGAATACGTATAAAGAGGTCACAACATATGAGAATACGAAATGATGTTACGATGATTTTTTCTTTCAAAGACTGCATTAAGGGTGAGCTTCGAGCCCCTATTTATTTACTTTAATTTTGGATGTGTTTATCAAGCAAATCCAAGAGCTACTATATGCTTGCTTTTTGCTGATGACAGTCTTAATTAAAAAAAGTTAAGAGAAATGGACGGAAAGTTGAAGATGGAAGCTTATGACTTTAAGTAGAAGATGGAGTACATGTAGTGTAAATAATATCTTCCAGAATCTTATTTTCAAAAGATACAAGAAAATAAAAAATAAAAAATAGTGATGTAGTTTGAAAAAATAATGCTGTACAAAAGTAAAACACCCCTAAAAGAGAGATTTGTCTTGAATAATCCAATTACTTTAAGGTTGAGAAAACTTGTAGAGTGAATAATTAAGATTTAGAAGTCCTATATTCATAAACATAATTAGTAACAAAACATAATGTCGTCAATGTTACTGTTGTTTTCAAAAAATGGGTGCATACTTTTACTGTCGTGCTGGCAATTCTGGAAACCCAATTAAGTAAAGAAATCAAGATTAAATCTGCATTTGGGCGAAAAAAAAGAAGAGGAAATCGTCTCCAATTATCATAGCAGGACTGTATTATATCTGAATCCAAGACCTGAAATAGAAGATACATTCTAAACTGAAGTGCATGATAATCACGAGTTCTGTTCATCCAGTTCAACCCGTATCATGCACGCACTAAGAGTAATCTTGGCAATGAGACGAAAATAAAACAACGCCTTCCTCCCATATTATTATTGGGAAAATTTGTATGCAATTTTCATCAAAGAATATGCCTAAGTACAAAAAAATTCTAAATGAAGAATTTACAGATCCTTCTATCATCTGTGGTTTTTCATAAAAAATAAGCTTCCTTTCTAACCGGGAACCAAGAGGTTGGCATCTTTTGTTCTATAAAACAAAATTAGTTCTTTTGCCCATATTCATTCTCTGTTGGGAGTAGATTATTTCAACCTTTAACAGGCTGCATGCTTTTTAATGTCAGCAGAGATTTCCACATTACCGACTTAAGAAGAGCTGGCATTCTCGGAAGCAGTATCATCAATGGTCAAATTGGCTACCTCGTCGTTAATTACCTCTGCTTCGTTTTCACCTTCTACTGCAGATACAGGCGATGCTTCAGAGGTGACATGTTCTTCAGGTTTCTGCAGGCTCCAATACATGATGCTAGCAGTTAAAATAAGTATCATCTTCTGGTTGACCTGTCAAGGATAAATGCAAAATAAGCTTGAGCCAAGCAAATATTTCTCAGCCACATAAAGGACACAGATAAAAGCCTGACGGACTCTAGGTAAGCATTCTTATAACATGTAACATTACTAATGGTCAATTTAGAAACAGTTCTTTTACCAGGGAAATCAGGATTTGTGTTGCGGGCAGGAAAATCAATGAACCGACATATATTTAGATACTAGAAGACATGCTTTTCCACACATTATTTATGTTGAATAATGGCACAAGATCTTCATTTCATTTATATAAACCAGAACGATTGTTGAAACATACATTCCGATTTCAGAAACATCATTGCGTCATCTATTTCTAAACATATAAGCATATTTATTGAAGACAAACTGCTACTAATTCAGTCAGCAATCGCCTATTCATATACAACTTACATAGTTACTATAAAAAAATGTTTTAATATTAACAAAATTACCTCTATTATGTCCTCAGGTAACAGGAAAATGGAACACCCTAGTTTTCGGGCAACACTGATTATATATGTTGCATTCAGCTTCTTATCTTCATCTGCAATTCATATGACAGTCATAATTTGAAGTTTTGAAAGTTTCACTTGTTGCTTGTAAGATAATGTATTCAAATCACATTAATGTCAAATATAAAATGAATTCTAGCAAGCCCCAATTTCTTGAAAACGTGACAAAGTTGACATACCAGTCTCCCCTTTAGTAACGAGACTCCAATTGACGACCCTTGGCTCCACAGAACTCAAAAGCTCAAGGAAGAAAACGCCATTAGAAAGATTCTTATCCTGATGAAGAAGAATACATAAATATTAACAAGTTGTCGTTCAACATCAAAGCAACCATTACCTACGCTGTCCCTTCATTAACATTGAACAGCCTTTTCTTCATTCTAAAGCCTAAATAAAAATACTTTTAGTTGTATTAATATCAAATGCCAGTCATTTCTCTCCCAACATTAGCAGCACAAATGTCTAAAGACTGATAATTGTTTTGGATAAACGTAAAATTATGAGTTGCAAGAATTGTATAAGCAAACACACACATGACTTTCAATACTAGGTTTATAATGTCAATTTTTTTTAGTCACCTAAAGATTATATACGTACATGTTAACATGTTTATAATTGTAACTGGTTATAGCTTGCTTAATTACCTTGAAACTCTCCATTTGGGAAGTTCTTCCTGCTCTCTTCACTTTATTGTTTGCCCAGTTCAGAATATCAGCATCAGTAATCTCTTTACCTTGGGAGTGTGATCTCAAGTTTTTCAGAAGTTGAAGCATAGTAAACCTCATCAGCTGCCACAAAAATGCTGTGGGACAAAGAAAGACGGAGATGAATATTCCCTACATATAATGAGGTAGATTTAAGCAAAATAATGATGAATCAAAATGTTAGAATATGAGAAATATCCAATAACATCTTATTGTCTTAAATTAACCTTTTAATCCCAACAAATATGACTTTATTATCAGTCCATATTGACTTTTTTCTACCATTTTGCCCCCTTGTTATTCCAAAGTTTTTAGGCCCAAAGTTAAGTGAATCCTACAATGAGATGACATGGCTATTGTGGCTCAATGTTAGCCGCATCATCATTGCTACATGGCATTATTTTATCCAACATGCTGCTACATCATAACTGTCATCTTCCTGGGAAAACCTTCTGACATGGCTTTGGTGCAAACAGCAATTATAGAAAGCACAGTTGATCTTTCTCTTATTCCAAGCAAACCACTATTAAGAAACAAAGAGCATGCTCTGGTTTGCTTACAGAATCTGGAAATTGTCCAGTTGTAGGTGACAGTGTTATACAGTTGCATGTTGCAGAACACAACAATTGCAGAGTACAGGCATTGATTTTGCAGTTTGAGGAGGGGATGGGAAAGGTGAAGAGGAAGAGGGTGGGGTGGTGGAGGAAGGGGCAGGGGAGGAGGATAGGGGTGGTGGAATTGAGATTCAGGTTGGAGCCACATTTCATAAAGTTGTTAATGAAGGTCATCATTGTGAAGATTTTGGTCAGAGGACAAGTTTTTGTTCATTGACAGGCAAGCAATTTGTACGAAGTTCACAATGGGGCATGGGGAGGGGATGGGCATAGGTGAGAAGAGTGGTTCATTAGCCATGACAACATTTAATAGATTCCAATTGATGTCACAGACTAAATGTCATCAATTTGGAACATTGGGACCAAAACAATATGAAAATTGTATATGTACTAAAAACAAAAACATGCAAAAAATAAGGGACTAAGAACATATTTAAATCTGCCTTGAGTAATTTAGTGTATCTGGAATTATTTCAAGATTTCTACACTTCCTTAAATTTCATGATAGTTTCCTTATTAATTAGGACTATGATGTAGTATTATTGTATTACTATAAATAAATAATGGAACTTTATGTTTTGTAACACATATATCTTATTGTATCACATCAATATACATTGCAGTTGGTTATCTTCAGTTGGCAGATTTAACTAGAAAGGGAGAGTGGCAGCATAAAATAATGCGTTGACCCACCATAATCTCCAATGAATGAAGATAAAACAGATATCAAGCAGATTTTAAAAGAGAAGGAACTTGCCACACAAACATATCAACTTCTCTAGAAATAACAAATCTTGACAAAGCTGGAAAGAAAAAAGTGAAACTCACCCAACAAGAGCTTCTTATTTCCTTGTACAATATCATTACCAGCAACATTTACCAAGGAAAAGTTGAGGTCCTTCCCAATCTTTATAACTTGGTTGCAGTTCTCAACTTTTCGAAACGGCATCTTTATAGGGGGCTTTGTTGCCAGCTTCCAATTGACAGATCCAGCTGAAACCTTATCAAGAACTTCTAATAGAACCCATCTGCCGAAAAGGAAATAAGGAGAATCATAACCAGTAGTTAAGGTCATGGAAAAAATCAAAAGAAGACACCAGTAGGAAACAAAAATGATAAAAAAAGGATGCCGATCATGAACTAAATAACCGAACAGTGAAAAGCTTACCCATTTCTGACATCCTCAAAAACATTATTGACATAAGTGGCAATTCCAAGACTGTTAATCCACAGTCTGAAGCATCTTTCTTCCCGAGATGTCTGAACATCATCAGTCATCATCTCAGCAAAGCACATTTTCTTGCTGTCAACTGTAAGGCCATTCCTACAGAAGCAGAAGTACCATAGATTTTCAGATTTAGATAAATAAAACTCGATCTGAATCAGCTCTAGATCCACCCTGTACTGGGTACATGATATAGGAGCAATCCCCATCCCCATTCTTAAAAAGGGGGGAAAAACAGCACATGCAAAGCATACCCCAATATATTTTTACTGTATGAATTTACAACGAAATCATTAGCACATTTGCATCCTCTAAAAACTAACCATACCTATGCTGGAAAATTTGAGCAACAAATGCAAGATTAAGATTAGGTGACCCCTCCACTATGTCCTTTGGAGTGAGGTATCTCTTGCAATCTAATTTCTCTGCCTGCTCAAGAACCATGCTTGCCCGTTCTGTTGGATCACTTGTGGCTAGGGCTGGGCCTGCAACTTCTGGGGCAAGAGCATTAAGCAAGTAAGCATAAGCCTCTCCATCCTGCAAAAAGAGACATTGTAGATACAATAAACTCATGCAACTTAGAATCATATTATATTGGTTTATCCATTTACAATCATGCAAACATCAGTCATGTGCCTCAAAAACTAGCCACAAAATGATTCAACACTTCAACTATTAGCATTGTGGTCTAGGACAATTTAGTGAATCTCTTTCTTGAAAACTACAAGATGGTTGTCAAGGCAACATCACAAGGTCCACAGTTTCTTTACTGATTTAAAAGGCAACAAAAATGAAAGCAATAGTGGGTCAAAACAAAAGGTTTTAATGTGGAATACTAGATAATATTGTCCATGTCCACCTAATGTTTTTCAATCACAAGGCGCAGGATACAGAATTACTTCTATTACAGTAATTCAGCATACAAAATTACTTAGAATTTCCCTCACCTTTACGTCAGAAGAGAAGTTGGTAACTTGTTTCTCATATCCAGCTTTCTTCAGGTGGAAGTTCATCCATTTCAGTAAAACCTTTTCAGGTGGTAAACTGATAAGCTCCTCCACATCCTGCAAGAATGTTACAAAATAATAAAAAAAGGTTAATTTCAATCATATTTTTGACATATATAAAGAAAAGAAAACCACTCTACTAGTAAATTATAAATATAAGGACAAATATTTCAAATATCACCTTGTCGTCTTCCACTAATTCCACAAGTTGAGGAGTTTTCTTCAGATTGAGATCAGCTAACAATTGAATCTAATGTTGCCATCATAATGAAAAGTCAAGAAAAAACAAAAGACAGCATAAGTTTACATGTATTGTCTGACCAATGAATGCTTAACTCATAACGGTGTCAACCTCCTCAATTGAGTTTCATATTAAGCAAGTAAAAAGGTGCCAAGTTTCAGTAGTTTACCTTGATTATTTGTGAAATCAGACCAAGTACCAGATGTGGCTACAAATAACCAAATAGGAAAATTTTCAAAAATAAAATGAGCTTAAGTCTGTCAAAAACAAATGGAAATAGAGAGAAGAGAGGGATGAAAAGAGGATTGAACCTACTCTTCCTTCAACTAAATCCTGTGTACCGATATTAACCACTGTGCACCCAATTGCCTTGGCTGAATTGAGGCCAAGGGTGTGGTTCTCATTCCTTTCCCATGGATTAAGAACCCGTTTAGTGTTAATAGCTCGGTCATCTATGGTCCCAGGAACAGCAACATTAATAAGCTTGCTGCAGCAGTAAAATAAACAACAAAGTCAGGGAGAAAAAAGGGAAATTAATTTTTTATTTTATTTTAACTTTTAAGTAAAGCTGATGTAGGGTCCTGAACATATCTACCAGAGAAGGACTCCATCTTTTGCAAGATCAAACAAAGCATCAGTTGATGGATCAATCGGAAGAAACTGACTCATGAATTTATCTTCAGCCAAGTAGCTGTTAATATGCGCAACATAAGAAGCTTTCTCAGATTCATTAATAGCATGATGAACAGTTGTTGTTGCTGCCTTCAAAAATGAAGAAGAACTTTTTGAACCACCATCTTTTGCCGTTGCTCGGGCTTGTAGATTTAAATGTGCCTGCCATTCAATGTCACCGAATGAGCTGCTAGGTCCAATACAAATACAAGTAATGCGCACAAAAGTACTTAAAACAAAACAAAAGCAGTTTTCCATGTTAGGTGCATATATGAAGATTCGAGGCAATTTGAGCATCAATTGACATCATTGTGTCACTAGTGTGTACGGTTCATTTTCCAACTATTTCTATGGGAAAGCAATACACAGGGCATTCCAGCAACATGGAAGAAAAAAAATGAACACATAGAAACAGATACCTAAAGCCTTCACTTTTACGAAATCATTAATTAATAAAAAGAAACTCACCCTCAAAAAGGATTCAAAATCAATTTCTTCACCCACGTCCTGATATGACTCTGCCAAAATATCCTTAATCTCATCCTCGGTGAACAGCTCAGCGAAAGGCTTCAATTTCTTAAAAATGGAGGGCAAGTTTCCGACAGTAACATGTCCTGATTGAGTCCTCTCCGATACATACTAACAAAACATAACACGTTCCGCCTCTTGAGTCCCATATTATCATTTAAAAAAAAAAAAAAAAAACAATGCAAAGGAAGAAACAAACCTTGGATTTGAGGGTTCGAAGTTCGACTTGAGTGAACTGGCTCTGTAGCCATTGATCAGAAACAAGAACGCCCACAAAACTAGACATGTTCGACTCGGTTCGAGAGAAACACCAAACACTGACTCAACACACAAAATCAGACGTTCATAAGCCAAACGAATAATCACATTAACACATTCGAAATGAAGGATGCATGAATATCGGATAACACGGATCGAACAAGATATTGAGGCAAAGCAGGCACGATATATAAACAAAGCGAAATGAGAACAGAGAAGAGAAGACGCACCTAATTACTCAGAAGAGGAAAGCGAGTTTTGTCATCGTTTATGCGCTGAGCATTAGATTAGAGAAAGAGAGAGCGATGTTTGTTTGTAGTTTGTACGAATGAGGAAATGGGGTGGGGAGAAAAATACGTTTCGGCCAAAGGACCCGCGAAGACAAAGGAAATCAATGAAAACGCGATTCCATTTATCAAATACCTTTCCATTTCTATCCCTAATTTAAACACACATGGCATCAATTCACAATTCCTCTTCGTTATTGTCTTTTCCCCAAAACAATATCTAATCTCCCTCTATCAATTTTTCGTCGTTATTCAAGGAGAATTTTATGTTATGCATGTAATTATCAATTTCATTTTATTTTCTATCTCGAAAGTAACGTTCAAGGGCAATCCAATGAATTCAATGTACACTATAAAAAAACATTCTAAATTCAGTAACGACATTTATTTCCACTTTCCTTAATATATTCACACCTACCACTTGCACGTTTATCTTAAAGATGAAGATATTCGAGTATCTGGTTAGCCAAAAACGATCAAGGAAATGAAAATTTGCATGGCTACATAAATCTCCCAAAGTAAATTTTCTTCGCGATCAATCGAAATATATATGAAAAATTATAAGTTAGGAAGCATCAATTTGAAACCTTTATTATGCCATGTTAAATTATGAAGTATCTTATTCTTAGTTGCATTAAAATCGGTGGTGAATTGTAGTTGGGCATGTGACTTGGTGGATTTAGCCCTCGTGAGAGCTCCTTTCATATGATCCAATCCCTTATTTGCCCTGTGAATGTAATAACACTATAAAAAATATATTTATTCCAACAATAAACCTCCAAATACCTTTAACTAATAATTTGCATTTGATGAATAAATGCCTCTCCAAAAAAAATGCTAGATTGCATTCCACCTCCAGAACTGTATCCTTAAGGAAAGTTCTATACATAACTGTTACAATAGGCTTTCTCAAAATCAACTCCAATTGGTAATTACCGTGAAACCTTTCCTCCCTCTATTTTTACAGAATCACCTCCTCTGATATGACAGTGTTATTGGAATTGGACCGACCTAGAGTTAAACTGTACTAATTAGGAGAAATAAAGGCCTCTAACGGGTATTTATTGAAATTACTTCAGCATCTCAGAATTATCAACCATATTTTTGGTCAAGGAACTATGAACCTTCCAAACTGGAACAATAAATTGTAGTTAATAAACCCAACAGAGCAAGGCCACATTGGAAATGAATTTTAACCCAGTGCGAACTTTACTCAAAGCGTTGGGAATTTTAATTCAGAAATCGCTACTCGGCCCAAAGGTGTCACAGACCAAAAATAAATTATGATAGTTAATATATACAAAATTCGGATTGCAAAAATACCATTGATCGTTTCCCAAAACACATCTCCCATCACATTCCACATGGATTTTCCCATCACATTCCACATGGATTAGGATCTTAAGGAGCTGCAACGTTACTTCAAAAGTGCCATATAAAATCTGCATTCTTTTTTATTTCATCACCAGTATCAAAAATAGCTTGTAAATCAGTTAATACATCATCATTTAATTTTGGAAAACATCCCTTGGGGTATACCAAATATCAATATCAATATCAATAGCAACTTTCTGAATAGACTTTAAGTGACGGCATTAATTATTAATTAAAACTCTAGAGAAGGGTTGATCCAGCTGTTGCCACATAATATAACATAACCACCACATGCTATTAGCTTCTTCTTCTTTTTTTGAAAAAAATAGTATAACAATAGAAATCACATTCTCATCTCATACATATATTGAATAAAACTTATGTTCAAAAAAAATGATTTCAAATCAAAGCAAATAGCACCAAATGTAGATACATAAACATAATCTAAATTAAATATTCAACAGATTCCATTACAAGAGCACCAGCATGCCGAAAGTTGCCAAGACAAGGTTGCCCCAGATTCCATAGCTGATGATCTTGTAAGAAGAGGAACCATCAGGTGTAGATGATGGAGAGGATGATTTGCTCTCAGCACTTTGTTCAGTTGGAGAATCTGCAGCAGGGGCAATATCAGGAGTTGGTGCAGGAGCAGGAGCAGGAGGAATATCAGTGCCGAAAATGGCCTCAGGAAGTAACACTTTGTCAACCTCATATATTGCAACAGGATCTGTGGAATGAACAGCACTGATAACCTTGGTCCTTGACCATCCTGAATTAATGTGCACTGTCCCTGAGTTATCAGTGAAATTCAAAGTGTAATCACCTCCAGCAAATGTGGGAGTGGAGCTGGTTTGGCTAAGCTTTGTGAAGTCAGCTAGAGAATAGAAATGTGGCAAGGCATGGAAGAGGATCACTTGCTTTATTTGGTCATCAGTGAGTTTGGACAGAGAAGGTTTCTTCAAAGCTGAGAAGGAACTATCTTTTGGTACAAAGATGGTTATTCCTTCTTCAGTGTTGTTGGCTTGGTTTTGGAAAGTGTCAATCACTTTGGTGGACTCAAGGTACTGAAGGAAGGTGTGAAATGGACCAGCAACAGCCAGCAAATCAGTGAGGTTCACATAGTCAGGTGCTGGGGCTGGTGCTGGAGTTGGGCTCAGAGAGGGAGGACTGGCAGTTTTGGCAAATGCTGATGAACTGAGAAGCAGCACAATGTTGCTAACAATGAAAATTGTGGAAAACTCCATATTTTACTTGTCCACTGGTTTATCCTACCTTTCAATACCAACAGTCTCTCCAAATTCCTGTAAAAAAAGAGCCCCACAGTGTTAGATCTCATGTTAACAAAACATACCCAGTAGTGAAAAAGTTAAATAATGCAGGAAAAAAAATAGTGTAAAAAATGAAGTCAGAGTTCAAACTCAATAATAAATAATTTCAACTCCTAATCTTTCCACCTACCCTTATTTGTATAACACTGGAAAGTTGTCCACAGTTTACTAATATCTATAGACTAACATAGTGGCTGAAACCAGATCTTATAAAAGTTAACATAGACCGACAAAAGAAAAACATTCAACAGAACATGGAGTGCATAAGAGAAGATCTAGGAATGCGAATTCAACTAAAGTAACCAGAAGGAAATGCAGATCGAGCATGATACGAACTCTATAATACTTTGATGGGAGCAAAGAAGACTTCAAATGTGCTACTTTTTGCTTCACACTAGTGAGGGAGTGAAAATAGTAAATTCAGAACAGTATGCGAAGTCCCAGAAGCCCAAATTTCTAACTGCTGAATTCGAGATCAGACAACTAATGACATGAATGTTAAACAAATTCTATTGTTTTTTTCACTAACATCACCACCCCCAATGCCAATGGAATCGTTACCAGTTCATTTTCCCCATAAAGTTTCCAACTTCTCGAGCAAATGTAGGTGAGTTAGAGTAGTCAAGTACACAATGACACAGTCCACATTGTGACATCGACCATTGAACCCCACAATGAAATGACACAGATCTACAAAGCTAATCCAAAATCACAAGCACCCATGAAGACTAAAACAACATTCAGATGCAAAAAAACAAGAAAAATTAAAACTTTGCACTAAACCATGCATTGAAGAAAAGTAAGTAAAGGCAAGAAGAGATTGAGATTGTAGAGCACAGACCTGAAAAAAGAGGAATTCAGAGAGAAAGAGAGAGAGAGAAGGAAGAATGTGAAGGACGAAGAATGAGAATGGAGAGAGGGTATATAAAGATGGAATGGAGGGTACGTACCAGCTGGAAGGGGAAGAGAGAGAGAGAGAGGGCTACAGGACAGAGATGGTTCTAACTTGAGAGTGGTTCTTTGGTGGATACATATTATACTTTAATAGAAAATGCCTCTCTGGAACACCCTTTTCTCTACTCGTATGGTGGCCTTTCCATATCCACTTCAACTAATTACTTCTTTAATTCATCATAGACCAACCTTGCACTCTACCCCACCATTTTCCTTTCTCCCCAATTTATCATCTCGCTAACCTACTCATAGAGATTTATTTTTATCACTAAAAATGACTTTGTGCACATAATTTCAACCAGTCCATTTTCACAACTAAAAAAATGATTTAAATATTATGCTTGTTTATTTTTAATAGTGTAACATTTTGTTTGTGTATTTTACCTTGCAACCGAGTTTATATATCAACCATTCAGTGTGGAAGCGAGAAGGAAGTTGACTTAGATGGAGATTTTCACTTAACAGAGGCTGTGATGTTGGCGTAGCTAGTAAAGAAAGGTATACTTAGAAGGACACGATCACTCAAGTGAGATTTTGAGTAAGTGAATGTTGGACTATTGCAAGTGCTTTACCCAAATGCGTTCGGGGTATTCAGATGCTGGAAATTGTATGCAGAAAAATAAAAAAGTGACCGAGTTATGTGGAGGAAATTGTGGTATTATGGACTTTGAAACCGTAATCTCTTCAGCTTCCTATGCATGTGGCATGAGATTGTTAGATGTAAAAATATGACTGGTTAAGACATTCGTCTAAATTACTAATAGCTAGTTTAGATATTCAATTGAATTGGTAACCCAGTTCAATTTTAATGTTCAACATAATGTACTATAAGCACGGCGTCCAATAACATTATTAATCAAAATTAGTGAACCAGTAAAAACTTCATAAGCATTTGAGTAATATAAAAAAAGAACAAAGTGAGTCAATTTCATACGACATATAATAATGTAAAACCGTATTGAGTTGTTGTCTGATGAGTTTTTTGCACAAATTATTAAGTAACATCAGCTACAAGCTATACATATTGCGTTTTGGTTGTAATAACGTAAAGAGTCTAATGTGATTAATGATGGTCATCATAAGAAACTTCATCCTTTTTCTTATCTTTAACAATTCATTGGTGATACTTTTTGTGGGATCTATTCTGTCATACCTTTTCTTTCTTTGTTATTTAAGCTCTATCATACTTCTGTGCCCGCATTGCTTGTTTGAATTTATTTTTTTATGTGAAAAAAATCAATTGACATGACTAAAAGTTTATAGTAACTAATCAAAATCATATACAGTGTAAGTGATGATTAATCCAGTTAGTACATGATGCTATAATTGAACAAATATAATAGTTTTTCTTCATTGAGTTGCCTCGGTGGCCAAAATCATATATCATCAGTTCTCTAAATTGTGTACATTATTTACGCTTTTTTTGTATTTCAATATCTTAGGGCCTAAGGCTAACATAATCCCATTTTTTAGAGTCAATTAACATAATCCCTCTCGAACATGAACATGATAATTTGTGCAAAACTCACTTGGTGGGCCCATAGTGTGTCTGACTCGTGCAATGGTAACATGACCATCAAAATATCGTGAGAAGTTTGAATATCATATGATATATTTGTATTTGGAACACATATTACATTGACTCTAAGGACACAAAGGTTACAAAATACAAACAAAACGCACCCACATAGACCCACCGTCACTTTGGTTGCGCCATGTTTGCCCCCATGCCAACTGTGATTAATCATTTTTTTTTTGGCAAACATGCCCACGAAACATAACTACACTGCTTAGTTCACTGTCGTTTACACAATAATATCAACATAAACCGCTACGCTTCTCAACTCAAACGACAACCACCACCGCCGACACTAGTTTGGTTGATATTTTCCTCTCTCTTATTTTTCTTTTCTTCACTATACTAATGCGCTTATTAGAATGTTAATTATATATATTTTTTAATCATAGTTGAATGAAATTTCTGTAATATCATTAATATTAAATTCACGCAAAATGACACATGAACAACTTGTATATAATTATCATCTAAATAATTATATAGATAGTATTACCTTGTTTTCTGTTCAAATCAATTAATAATAATATTATTATTTAATATAAGACCAATAAGCATATGATAACAAAGAGATTCATTTTTAGCTGGGTTGACTGTAATATCTATTAAATAGAAGCACAAGAACGCATCAACGGTATGCTAGCTACATATAATCGATAAGGTTTAAAATAAAATTAAAAAATGAATAGTAAGAGCAAAAGGGCAGAAACGATTGTGAAATAATACCTTTTCGTCCACATAAGCGATAAGTAAGTTTGACTTGAATGGAGAGGTTAGGAGTAATATGGTTGAAAAACTTAGAAACAAAACTAGTGTAGCTTTTGCATTATTATTATTTGTTTATATTTTGCTTTGCTCATAGTATAGAAGTATCTACCTAAGGGATTATTTAGGTCTAAGAATATAGATAAGCATGCACTTGACAACATTAAGTTATCGTGTTATATACATAAACAATATGTTAGAAATACATTATTTTATACTAAACAATGATCGTAGTATCTTGCTAGAGTTAAAGCAAAGTTAATTAAATTATATATTTTTTTACTCAAATTTACATTACCCAATAACTCTACGCGCACACATAGAGAATCATAATTGCATGTCATTAGACCAACTGTGAAAAGGTTACGGCAATTTTACAAGTAACATGGTGGTGTTTTTTCCTTTCCTTGTACACATATAGATGATTCAAAATACTAATTTTTGTCACGTTTTGGAAATTACTATGTTCTGTATTTTCTACAATATATACTTGCACTGGTTTTTTTTCCCTTTTTCCCTTATGCTTCTAGTTAAACAGTTGGTAGAAATTGAATTGAGACAATACGTTTCACAAACAAGGGAAGTTTTCCATTGGGCTTGAAATCGAAATATACAAGTAGCATATAGGCATATAGCCCTATCAGCTCCTACCAAGTTTCTCTAATCGACTTGATTAGTGAATTGGAAGACAACGCCAAAATCTTGTTAATGGGGGACAGTTATTTTAGCACTAACTACTAAACATGTGAAGTTTATTGGGACCAGCGGTCAAATCAAGCGAAAATGTTTAGGCTAAATCTAGATCGGTGATCAAATCAAATTAACTCTTTACATTAATTACGACTTTAATTATTTTTAACCAACGGTATAATAGCTTTTGTCTCGTTGCAAGACTAGGTGTAAGGGCAATGTCAATGGCCCTAATCTGACTAATTAGTGCACATGAATTTCGTTAAACAAGTCCTTTTAATTATTCCAACTCACATGACAACATCAAAATGTAATAAACAAAGGAAGTAGTTAAGCGATTCAAACTCATCACCCTTCTGGCAAAGTTCACTGTTCATTGCTTGTAAATTTTCTTCGTGAAATTAAAGCAAAAGTAATGCGATTCAAATATAAGAAGAGATGAGAAGGAAGATATTGAAGAAAGGGGTGAAAATAGAATATTCAACTCATTGTTAACTATTCAAACCAACGTGGATTGGTATGAAAGGCTGGGGTCCCCCATCTTGAATGAATGTTTTCTTATGTTGCATTGGAAGATAATGTCAATTGGTCTTCTAAGTGGCTCAATGTAATTGGATGGTATTTTACACAGTAAATTTTAGTGTTTGGTAATTTATATGTAACAAAAAAGAAAAGGGAAAAATTAAAATTGAAGATGTGTCTATGGCTAGGAAGAGTAGCATGAGCAATTGGAGAAATGAGAAGATGAAAGATAGTTGTCAATGTGACTGGCAGCTAGAATAGTCCTATCAGGCTGATTCTATAACGCATTGGATTTAGTGGGTCTTCCAATCTTTTACGCGTCCTTTCGTAGAAAATGATTGCATATTGATGTAATGAATTATATTGCCCTTCAAGCCATCATGCAAATCAACATAATTTCTCAAGAAAATGAAGGAGCATGATACCAAATACAACAGCTTAAGCAAGCTATATTGCATCCTGGACAAGCATCTTGCCAACGAGTTTTAGTCAATGAGGAATTTCATGGAGAATCTTTCGCTGATCATGTTCATGTAGTCTCTCCTCTAATTTAGCATTGTTTATAGCTGGTTGGGTAGGTGTTGCCTTGGGTAAAAAACCTATTTGTACTTCATGAGGAAAATTACTTCTCCATTTGTTGTTCTTCTAAAAGTTTTTATGTAACAAAAGCATTTTATTTATTCCCATTAATTTTTAACAATCTATAGGAAAGGTCAACAAATGAACATGCCTTACCATCTAAATTATACAGCAAAATCACGAGTCACTAGCTAGTCTTGACCAGTCCTATGAAATTAAATTATATATATCTTACAACTTCCAACAAACTACCTCTCATTTGCCCTATGTTTTAGCAAATAAATTTACTAATAATAGGAATTATTAAATGTATAGGGCTTCTATAAAACAAACTTGAAAAAATGAATGCAAGGTCGAGATTTTGGGAAGCCCATCATTAATTGGACTTTCCCTTCAACTCGTTGTGAGTTTCCAAACTATTGTTTCAAGTGACTTTTAAATTTGTACCTTGTCATCTAATATAACATTTACTATTTTGTGGCCGTAGAATAATTAAATTTTTTCGTGTTAATCGTAACTAACTAAAATATGTTACATAATTAAAAATTACTGTTTAATTTAGAAATTACCCATCATTTCAATCGATTATTCAACAGTCAATATTAATATATTATCGGCATCATGGCTGCAAAATCATCTTAAAATTTATTTTGAAAGGTTGATGTCCACAACGTATATAAACTAGATAGATGCAATCAAATGACAACTACAGTAACGCGGCCAGGATAAAGAACCAATGACAGTGGTTAATTAGGGGCTGTTCAATACTCGTTAATGGCTTAATGGTCAAGCATTATTAAATTGATTAGGCTTGTGTAACATCTAAGAAAATGGAGCAGGTTTTTCCAGTGCTTTGATCTGTCTAGGAAAGCGTCATTAGGTGGATGTGACAAAAACAATGCTAAAAAGTCATGCATTCAATTCTAATGAGAAATTAAAACAAAAGTTATTAGAAACAGTAATAATAACAACAAAAGTTTTATTTTACTAAGTGAGGATGATTACATGAAATTATAAAATAAAAAAAAATAGAGTTGAAGCAAGAGAAAAATTCTGATTCCAAAGGAGAATCTATCTTCCATTTCACTCCTCATTGGTTGAAAAGCCCACATATGACATACCAAGGCTTTGCTTCAAATTACATTCAAAGACTCAAAAGCAACCCGACCGCTAAAAGGATTATTGTCTCCAAGATTTAGATTGGCAAAAGTAGTCAAGTTAAGGAGAGTCATACAAAATTTAAAATAAATAATTAAAAAAAAGAGACATGCAAGGTCCTTTTATTGGGAAAGTTACCAAAGATTTCTCTCTGTCTCTGTCTCTTTTATAGTCAATACCAAAAAAATAGGTAGTACAAGCGGGAATTCAGTACCTAGCATATATCTGAATTTCTTAATAGAAATTAAAATATATTTGACTAAATGAAGGAGAGTAACTATTGCAGTTGAAGATTGTGAAGGTTTCCATCCACGTTTAAGCCCACTCCCTCCTAATATCAAAAGTATAGTTGATCTCCAAGTAGCATTTGTTGTCATCGTCAACAAACTGCCAAAGGAAAAATACCATGGTATATACATATATATGGTTGTATCATCAATTCATTATCAATTACCATAATACTGTATAAAAGAAAACATGAAATATTATTCTTGGCTATAGCTCTACAAGCTTAAGCAATGATTACCCAAAATAATCCAATATCTAAAAAACTTCATCCATAAATAAAAAGCAAGGTAAATATGCTTTTGCTTCACTACAGGTCCTAATCCATGCATTATGAAACTAAAACAGTAATAAATTAAAAACAAAATAGTAGAAGAGAATAAGTTAATTTTAACTTATTAAAAAAATTAATTAATTGATTTTTATGTCTTTATTTTCTTCTTCTACCTAGAAACTTGTTCAAACTAGGCTTTAGGAGTGATATTACCTTTGATCTTGCAGAATATGATCCTCTTGCAAATAGCCCAGAGGGTGTGGTTTCTTCTGGCATCTCATGTGTGTAAGGCTCAGCCTGGGGGCTGAAAGTTCCAAGCATCTCTTTTGCACTGTCCACTGAAATTTGAGACTTGTGTAAGAGAATGCGTCATGGGGGTTTGCATGTTAGAATTTTGGAATACACTAAACAAAAAAAGCTTACCCTTGACACCAGTCTTCCAGACAGTATTGGTGTATTTCAAGCCAGACACGATATTATTGTTCACTTGGAAGGTGAATTTCAAACGGTACTGACTACCTTCTTTAAGAGTAAACCATAAACCCTTTGGATTTCCATTTTCAGGAATAGGAAGAACAATGTCATCTCTATCAGGAGAGACGATAGATAGACTGCTAATTTTCACTTCAGGATCCAGGATTTCTACAAACAAATTAAGAATAACACAGTGATCAGTATGAGGACACAGAAGAGAACATATAATAAATGTATCCCAATTAGACACTTAATAAAAGACATGTTCTCAATTATTATACAAACAAACAAATATCCCAAATTTTTTAAGTTTTAATGGACTACATTGAAAATGATTATGATTCCTCAGAATGTTAATTACAGGAAAGTTTTAATTGCACTGGCCTTATATTTTTTCAAAATGAAAAAAAAGAAGCAAATTTGAATATTACAAGCAAGAAAGCCTCAAAAAGGAAATATAAGCAGTCCATATACCTGCAGCACTGTTCACATCCACACTCCCAAGGAGTTGTTCCTTCCATCTCCTTAAACTCTCATCATCCTACATTAATCACAGAATCCAATTAAACAATGAAAAAGAAAGGAAGCAATAGAAGGGTGAATTGAATTTGAGCAAACACCACATACAAACCTTGTCTTTCTCAAGGTGCTCTTTAATAGTGCACTGAGGACCCAATTCAATCTTGGCTCCAACTTCATCCTCCTCCTCCTCAGTTGCATAGATAGAAGTCTCACTCACTTGCCTGCTCAATGGCTCACCTTCACTTTTATAATGTTCTTCATGTTCTTCCGCTGCCTTACCTTTCTCTCCAACGGCATTGTTTTCATCACCCATCTTCTTGGAACTTGAAGCAGCTCCAACAAGGAACCTCGTTAACTCATCAACAGTTACAAGGATCAATAACAATATTAATGGTCACCAAAAGGGAGGAAAAAGGAAACAAATGGCATATAGGCAAAGATGAGTACGTAAGGGAACAGTGAAAAAATGTTTTTCATAAAACGCAACAACTACCATGAATAAGCAGAAGCAAAAAAAGGCTTGCCTGTGGCGTAGCTCAATATTTCAGGAGGAGAGAGAATTATGAGTCATTCTGGGAATTAGTCATGTGGTGATCCGAAATCTCTGTGACATTAACGTTAGTAACATACTAATTTTGACTCGTGTGATCAGGACCCTGATGATGTTTTGTTGAATTTTTATTTTTATTTTTATTTTTAGAATATTTTTTAGGATTAGAAAATTGTGTCATTATTTATTACTGTATTCATTTTTATTTATCTGTTTGCTTTAAATATTATTCTTATGTAACAATATTCACTCAACATAATGTTAATTACATTTCTCTCAATTGTGTTAATTCTAAATAATAACTAATACTCCAATAATAATTTTTGTTACGTCAACGATAATTATCCTTTCTTTTGGGTCGACAACTTGATTTATTGATTTTGGGCTCAGCGGTTCAAGATTTGGAATCTGTTTACTAGGCAGAAAATAATGGCCGGCCCATATGGTAAATTATAAGATTTGTTAATTACGAGAATTATATTATGGTTTTTAATAATTTTGTAATTTAATTAAGTGTGACATGTTAAAATGTTATTGGACATGGAATTATATTATGATAAAAATAAATATTCAAAATAAAAAATATTACATTAAAGGAGGCCTAAAATACTTGTATCAGAGTAATATTGATGAAAAAATGAGCGTTGAATCATAAACACATTTAGCAATAACCTTTTTCTTATCTAATTTTTTGGTGCTTTAACAGATTTACAGCAATCAGAGGTGTGCATGTTAGGTAAATAATACCAATGTGGATGGTGACGTGATTCATAAAATGTTATTCTTAGGCTTCATCATTCTATTTGTAGGCAAAGGCAAAGGAATCCTCTGTACCCTGTTTGGCACTTTTTTTATATATAATTATATTTGATAAGGCTTTACACACAGGCATTAAGCAATACCACAAACATGTCAATGGTGGCATGATTCACACCTATTTTCAGGTTTCCATTATACTCTCATCACATCAAAATCAAAATCACAGAAAGAAAGAGTAAGCAGCAACAGAACTACTACAAGGTCGGTGTGTGATTTCCACGTGTCACGTGCTCATTGGGGACAAATACAACACCATGTGTGAATCCCCTTATAGGGCCCACTGGTATGGGCCCAATGGCCCACCAGCCGACCAAAGCTCAGATAGTTTAGATGAATGACGATTTGCTGTGTTATATGCGTCGTGTCTTGATTTGGAACCACAGCTACCGTACGCACCCTTCTCTTTTAATTTATTTGTTTGTTTGGGATCCAAGAAAGATTTTATTCCAACCCCCCAAGACAAAATTAATGCTAATAAATTAAATTTACAATTCACAGCAATGGTAAACAAATTTCAATTTATGCTTATAATGTTAATAAATTAAATTTATCATAATAATTAATTTGTTATTATGTAAAAATTTATAATTAGATGATAGTATAATATTTTTTACAATACCAATATATTTCAATTAAATTCATCACCATAACAAATTATTTAGTAGTGATTACAGAAGTGCTATGAAGATCATACAAAAGTAATGTACTCGTATAAATCTTTATTGAGTTTGTTGCCATTCATCACCAGTGTCCACAGATGTTAATGTACTTTAAGTTTGTAACACAGATTGACTATATTCATTTTTTCTCAATTTTGGTATTATCAAGAGTGTATTGCGATTCTTGTTATTATCCTTTTAAAAAAAATTATTGTAAACTTGAAGAATAGCATAGCTGCTTTCAATACTTTGATTTTCTCATAGCCACACATATTCTTCATGGTGTGACCTATGTCTTCTTTAAATTTGCATTGACATGATTTATTTGTTTATGCTTATTTATTAATTTAGTTTAATTTCTGTGCATGGTAAAAATATATTTACACTATAATACGTGCACTCTTACCACAAAATCATGATTGAATAACGGTGAATTTGGTAATTCCTCCTATATATCCGACTGCACAAAGCACAGAATCTTAGAACCAAAAGAAGATGATGGCTTCGATGAAAAATCATACTCCATTATTCAGTCTCCCAATAGAGTGATCCAAAATAACCATTATAAAATAATAATAAAAACTCATCTCTAAGCCTTTGTCACCATTATTGCCAAACATGCTTGTTACATTCAGTGAAGAATGCGTGAAACGACTCAAATCCCAAGATTCTTGAACCGTCCCCACCTCTCCGTTTCTTTGATCAGCATGAGAGACCTTTTCTTCTATATAAACCACTCTAAGTGCTCATTTCTTTTCATCAAAAGCTAAGTTTTCTATATCACTCTTAACTTTGCTTTATTAGAATCAGTTGCATATTTTTTGGTTTTCCAATGGCCACAGTTGAGGTAAACTCTATGAAGTAGTACTTGCTACTTTAATTCACGTGGTTGATCAGAAGTCACAAATAAAATTTCTTGTTTATGCTACTCTAATTCACCATTACTTTCCTTTGTTTGTTTTCAGTTTGATCTTAATGTTATCCTTGCTTCTCTCTAATTTTAGACAAGGAAAATATTCATTTTCTTTAGCCTGCAGTATTCCGACCGTAATTTTTGTTTCTGAAATTCTTGTCAGCTAAAGCCAATGAAATGGCAGCAGCATATATCTTTTTGATAGAGCCACTTAACCCTTTATCAGTATATAAGATTGAACTCCCTTTGTATATTCTTTTTACTCAAAATTACGTAGAAAAGTATGAAGTTATGAAATGCAAATTTTATTTAGTTTGTTATCACATATAAAGAAGCCACATAAATCACGTGCCTTTTCTCTGTTATATTTGTTAGATCATTAAAAGAGACATTAAATCTGTAAATTTGAAACTCAATCCTATTAATAATATATATATTGCAGCAATTCAGAGAAGGATTACATTAATCAAGAGTAGCCAAGTAATAAGAATAAGAAGTATTTTAGCTGCATGTCCTCCACCATGTTCTTTTTCTAAGCAGAGTTTAACTTCCGACTACAATAAACAGCATATGATTTTGGAATTGGATTTTGTAGGTTGCATCAGCAAAGATTGCCCTCCCAGACGACACAACAGAGGCATCATTGAAGGCTGAAGAGGAGAAGACTAAAGAAGAAGTTGTTGAGACTCCAACACCAACATCAGAACCTGGCTCTGACCAAACCAATGAAGAAGCTAAAGCCCCAGAACCTGAAGCTTCTGAAGGTAAGCCATCAATTGAAGTTGAGACAAAAGAGGTGGTAGAAGAAGTTGTGTCTGAGACTGTCAAAGAAGAGCCAAAAGCTGAGAAGACAGAAGAGGAAACCAAGAAGGAAGAAGCCGAGCCAGAAGAAGTTGCTGAGGAAACAAAAGAAAATGCTGATCCTGTTGAGGTTCAGGCACCAGCAAGTGCAGAACCAGAAAAAGAAACCCAAAAAGAAGATACTGCTAAAGAAGAGAAGGTATCTGAGGCTGAAGCTAAGGATACAGAAGGCTCAGGTGGAAAGAAAGAGGAGGAAGTCACAGCAGAAGCACAAGCTGAGAAGAGTGATGAGGTGACAGTGACAGTGACAGACACTCCAACTGAGAAGACTGAGTGAAGAATGTGAAGAGGAAATGTGCAGTTTATGTAACTGTTTGACAGGGTATTTTCTCAGTTGCATATTGTCTTGTTGCTTCATGTCTTTTCTTTGTTTAGTGGTCTAATAAAAATAGCTAGTACATAGCTAAATGGGAAAGAGAGATGAGTGATGACGACCCACTAATCACATGGAATATACATGAGCTGTATGTACTCTTTCTGTTTATGTACTGTGAGCTCTATGTGGAAATTTGGGTGTGGGTCTCTTAGGTACTAGGTATTATCAATGAAGTCTGTTGTTATGGTCTTTGTACGATTCTGCATTGAGCAATGCAGAATAGCTTTCTTTGTTCAAATAAATATGTAGATTATTAGTATCTTCTGGTTTTTTCATGTCACTTAGTAACTTTGTCTTAATGAACCTTTTGTCACCATCGATCCTCATTTAAGTAAAGCTGCTAATATAATTATGAATCAGCAAAGCCAATTGATATTTATGAATCAGGTTATGAAGCTATTCATCCTATGTTTGTCATTTATCTTAGTATATATAAATGTGATGTATAAATGCGCACTTAAATTAATAGTAATAAATGTTAGGCGTCTTTCATATTTCTATCTCAAAGGGCATAAGAGAGATTAAAACAAACGAAAACAAAAAACAAAAAGATTTAGTTTAAGATAAAAAAAACTAGACTAGTAAATAAGAACTTTTGAACTAAAAAATATATAAACTAATAAATATTCTTATTGTATTGATATTTTTCAATTTAAAGAAAATTTTAAAAAAATGATAAGATAATGTATATAATAACCTACACAGGTAAGTAAAAATATTAGTTATTTATATTTAGAAAAAAGAGTTAATTTAAAAAAATTAAAATTACTTTAAAATTCCTTCCTTTTTGTTTTTTTAAGTGAACAGTGTATTAGCATAAATAATTAATATTTAAGAAATACAAAAAGTTGAAATTAATTAAAGTTAAAATTAAAAATTTTCAAAATAATATCTATTTCTGAACTTGAAAAGAGAGAAAATACAAAAAAATTGTCCTCATATTCGAACTGTTGGACTCGTAGGGATTAAGCTCCATATATATAACAAGCAATTTCAGCCAGAAGTCTGTGATACAGAATTAAGGTGAACCAGATAGAGAGTTGAGCAGTTCAGTTAAGATGTGTCTCTCTCCAAATAGAATTTGGCTTTGTTGAGTTATTCTGACAGAAAAAATGGAATCTCTGTCTTTGAAGTCAGCAATGTTAATGGGCAAAGATGAAGTGTATGTAGCATCAATGCCTCTGAGGGCAACAAAGGGACCACCCCAATTGCTTATGTCTGCAGCCTACTCCCTCAATTTCTGGGATTTCCAACATTTCATGGTCATCATCAAACCCGATTCGCCTTCTCCTCATTCTCAGGTTTCTATAACTTTCCTTTCTTATATCTACAGTTCAATTCATGGATAAGCTCATTATATTATAAATTATGGTTCTGGGTATCTATGAATTTTATCTTTTAAAAAAAATTGAGATTTTTTAATTCGCTGCTTGTTGGGAATAGAAATGTAGGACTTTTTTGTTTCATAATTTCATATAACCTATGACTGCAATTTAATTAGTTCATCGGTTGCCTTTGCAAATTTCAAGCTTGAGTTCTAATCTAATGACAAGGACAATGCTTTTTCAGGTTCTGGTTTTTGATTTTCAACCAAAAGATCCTGAAGATATATATGTGGCCCTAGCAGCTCTAAACGGTAGAGCAGTGCGAGGTGCGATTTCCAGAATACTACTCTGACATTTCCAGAAAATTAGGAGCTGTTTGGTTTATAAATTATTTTATATTTTCATTTCATGTTTTTACTTTTAATTATAAATCTGCCACTTTCTTTAATTTTATTGTCTGTTGTCAAAGAATTACAAGGAAAAAAAGTTGATCTAAATGTTTTCTATGTAAATTTAAGAAACAGAATGAAATAAGGTATAATTTTGTAATTAGAAGTGAAAACAGAGAGGAGTGAAAACTTGGATGCAATTAGTTCTTCTCAGATAACATTATTGTTGAGAAAATTATGTCGAATTTTTTTGTAACGTCAGATTTGTGAAAGTAAAAATAAATGCGGAATATTTACACACACAAAATTGATAACGGAGTTCAGCCAATAATGCCTACATCTCTGGACTGTTGCAGATATATTACTGAAAAAGGGAATACACTCAGTGTTTACATAACACTTAAAATACTCACAACCACTCACAACCCATAACCCAATTATACCCAAAAGCTAAACTATTTTCTCTCTTTTTCTTTCTCTTATTTGCTCTCTATTTTTCTCTCAGAAATGAGATACAAAAGAATGGATGGAAGAGCTTCGTATTTATAGGCAACAAAGCATCACAATTTGCTAATTTTTTAACCAAAGTTAGGCACCGAAAACGTTAACATTCAACCGAATGTTAGGCACTGAAAATGGCACACTGTTCTTGACTTTTCAACAATCTCCCACTTGAAGACTGATTTCAATCTGTCTTCACACCTCAATCAATGCAGCAGTCTTTTCTGGTCTGTTATTCTAGCAGGTTAACTGAAGTTGAACACAACTTCAGTTTGTCAATGGTCACCACCTTTGTTAGCATGTCTGCTGGGTTCTTGCTTCCTACAATCTTTTTCAATGTCAGCACCTCATCCTCAAGCAGAGATATGATGAAGTGATAACGTATATCAATGTGCTTTGTTCTAGAGTGAAACGCTAAATTCTTTGCCAGATGTATTGCACTCTGACTGTCACTGTGCAAAACACTCCTTTCTTGGATGAATCTCAGCTCTGTTAACAAACCTTGAAGCCATATCAACTCTTTACTGGCTTTTGTTACTGCTACATACTCAGCTTCTGTAGTGGATAAAATAACAATCTTCTGTATCCGCGACATCCAACTGACAGCTGTAGTACCAACAGTAAAAATGTAACCGGTGGTACTTCTTCAGTGATCGACTTCACCTCCGAAGTCTGCATCTACATAGCTTTGTACTTTTAATTCTCCTTTTCCAAAGTACAAACACTTCTTTGTTGTGCCTCGTAGATACCTCAAAATCCACTTGACTGCTTCCCAATGAGCTTTTCCTGGATTTGCCATAAACCTGCTTACAACTTCCACTGCATGGCCAATGTCTGGCCTAATACACACCATTGCGTACATCAAACTTCCAATGGTTGAAGCATATGGAATATTAGCCATGAAGTTTCTTTCTTCCTCCGTCTGAGGGGACTGATCCTTGGATAGGCGAAAGTGACTGGCCAAAGGTATGCTAATTGTCTTGGCCTTGCCCATGTTAAATCTTTGTAAAACACGATTGATATACTCCTCCTGAGATAACTGCAAAATTCCTCTTTACTTATCTCTCGTGATTTGCATTCCAAGAATCTTCTTTGCTGGACCTAAGTCCTTCATGTCAAATTCTTTTGACAGCTGCATCTTTAGATCTCTAATCTCGTTCATATCTGAACCTGCTACTAACATATCATCAACATAAAGTAGCAAAATGATATAACTGGAGTTATACCTCTTGAAGAAACAACAGTGGTCAACATTGCATTTCTGGAAGTCTTCCTTGTGCATGAAGCTTTCAAACTTCCTATACCACTGTCTTGGGGCTTGTTTCAGGCCATACAAGCTCTTCTTTAATCTGCATACCATATTCTTTTTCCCTTCTTCTGAGAAACCTTCAGGTTGATGCATGTAGATTTCCTCATCTAAGCCTCCATGAAGAAATACAGTCTTCACGTCCAATTGCTCAAGATAGAGCTCTTCACTAGCCACAATACTTAAGACAGACCTGATAGTATTGAGCTTTACAACTGGAGCAAATATTTCAGTGTAGTCAACTCCTTCTTTTTGCTGAAATCCTTTGACAACTAGTTGGACTTTGTATTTCTTGGAGCCATCATGATCCTTCTTCACCCGATACACCCATTTGTTATGAAGTGCCTTCTTTCCCATAGGTAACTCAACTAGTTCCCATGTCTTATTAGAGATCAAAGACTTCATCTTGTCTTTCATAGCAAGCTCCCACTTGTTGGCATCTATAGTTTGACATGCTTCTTCATAATCTTCAGGCTCTCTTCCATCAGTCAACAACATGTAGTCCATGTATCTCCTGTTAGGCACATGAGGTCGAGAAAACCTTCTCAATACAGGAGTTGAAATAGGAGCCTCTGATGTGTCAGACTGTTGCTTACTGTTCTCTTCAATTGATTCCTCTGACTGAGGATTCTCAACTACAGAATTTTCTGAGACATCATCCACTTCTGCATACACTGGCTCAATCTGTTCTGCATTGTTAGCGCTTGTGCTATGCTTGTCCTTATACATCACTCTTTCATTGAAGATTACATCTCTGCTGCGGATCATCTTTCTGTTTTTATCTTCCTACAGACAGCGCCAATTGTTGAAAAGTCAAGAACAGTGTGTCATTTTCGGTGCCTAGCATTCGGTTGAATGTTAACGTTTTCGGTGCCTAACTTTGGTTGAAAAATTAGCAAATTGTGATACTTTGTTGCCTATAAATACGAAGCTCTTCCATCCATTCTTTGTATCCCATTTTTGAGAGAAAAATAGAGAGCAAATAAGAGAAAAAAAAAAGAGAGAAAATAGTTTAGCTTTTAGGTATAATTGGGTTATGGGTTGTGAGTATTTTAAGTGTTATGTAAACACTGAGTGTATTCCCTTTTTCAGTAATATATCTGCAGCAGTCCGGAGACGTAAGCTTTATTGGCTGAACTCCGTTATCAATTTTGTGTGTGCAAATATTCTGCATTTATTTTTACTTCCACAAATCTGACGTTACAAGAAAATTCGGCATAATTTTCTCAACAAATGGTATCAGAGCTGGTTCAAAATTCTGCAATTTTTGTGAGGTACTGTTCATGTGAATAGTAAAATTCTGCAATTTGTACCGTTCACACAAATAGTAAATAGTGAAAAATTTGTCAGCATTACAAATTTGTTCACAGACGTGTTTTAAACACAGTGGTATATAGAAATTGTCAGAAATAATTCTGAGGAGAAGTCAGATTTGAGTAGGAGTGATGGCCGCAGATGAAGGAAAGGTGAAAATAAAAAATTTCGATGGTACAGACTTTGGCGTTTGGAAGATGCAGATCGAGGATTATCTGTATCAGAAAAAGCTGTATCAATTATGAAGTCAACCTATTTGTGACAACAATTTTGACAATTTTGTACTGATTTATTTGTGACAGAATTTGAACTTTCTGATTTGATTTTGTGTCCACTTGTGTTTTTAAGTTTACCTTAATCAAATCAAGACCTCTGTTTGTATTCTTAGGAACTGTTCGCGTTAGGAAGTTAAAGAAGTTGCCAAGAAACAAATGCTGGCTGGTTGGATATTCAGAAGCAGATACTGTGGAAATAACAAGAGAATTCAACAAAAAGTGGGAAACAAATTTGAAGATTGGTCTTCATGATTGTCGCGATTATACCAACGGTAATAACTTATTTTAATGATGGAACTTCTGTTCAACATGTACTTTCATGTAAAGAAATATAATTTCTTAGTAACTTTACTTTATCAAATGCATAATTGGGAAATCATGAATTACTGAAGTTCTATCATATATATATATATATATATATATACACAATTTGGCTTCAGCTATTCGTTACTAATTAGCTACATTTGGCCATGAGGTATTGAATTTTTTTGGTCAATTTAAAGGTTTGGTTAGGCAACTCACTGGGGAAAAAAATGTGCTGAAACGTTTGAGAAACCTTGCTAGTTAAAGGGAATCCATTGTCGTGCTATGTGATGCTTTCAACAATTTTCATGAAGGCCTCGAAGAAATGAATCTCAGTCCAGGAAGAAAGCTTAATGCTATTTATTTTCCCCTTTTGTAACATTCTGTTCTCTTGTATAGCCTCACTCTATTTCTTCGTGCTAGTTAAAATTCGCTATCTGTCATGGGTCAGTTCAATGGGGTGGATAGCCCATTTTGTTAACTCTGTAATTAAGGGAGAGAATGATATTTTATCTTAGATAATCTTAGTAACAATTGGCAAATTATATAAAAAGTTGAAACTATTTATGAATTTGTGTTTGTAATCTTGCTCAAAGTCAAAGAACATGCTAATCTTCTCTTTGTACTTATGTTTGCTTCTGTGAAGGCAATTAGTTCATGTTTATTTTAATTTTTAAAATACTTTTTTATTTCATTCAAGCATACAGCTAAAAAAAATTATTTACAGTTAATGCTATTGTGTTTAAGTCAAGTTTGAAAGTTTGTCAAAAGGAAACATACTATGAATAGTATTTAGTGTTTGTTTATCTAAAATTTGATAATTACATGTCTGATTAGTTACATTTCAATTCAATAAGTTTAAGTTAAATAAATATGTCTATAAAATATCTTTCTTTAGTCCTAATTTATGTGTGTGTGTTTGACTGTGTACAAAAACTTAATGTTTGAAGGACATATTCAGTAATCGATTTTATTTTTTTATATTGTTTAATAATACGATATAGAATTTATTATAATTAGTTATAAGATACATTAATTATTAAATATAACTATATTCTCTAATCTTATACAATAACATGAAAGAATTTATTTATTCATTGTAACTTATCAAAATCAAGTTTTCATGCTGTGACATACTTTTCACTATAAAATCTTGAGGCGTGTTAGGAATATAATCACTAACATATTCTTTTAAATAAATTTTTAATTGAAATTATTTAAAAAATATAAAAGTGAAACTTATAATTTTTAATAATTTTATGTAATAATAAAAACTATGATGAAATAAGGTGTTGAAAAAAATATGTTATTAACAATTCTTAAAACTTTTTATTGAAATTAATTTAGATACATATCCTGATTATATTCAATAATTGAAAATCAATTCTAACAAATTCAGGAACAAGGAAACAAAATTATTGATTGAAAAATTCATGATTTAAATTTTAATTAGTTATATGTGTATATATAATAAAATAAATATTTTTAAAATTTATATTTTATCTTTTAATTAATTATTACAAGATTTCTCTTTATTCTACAAAATAATTTATATATTTCAAAAGATTAACATTCTTACATGAGAATTTAGTTCAATTTATTTTTGAAAAAATAAATGTTATTAATTTATAAAAGAATAAAATTTTGAAACATGTGCGCTCATGTTTTGGTTTATCTGTGCAAGCACTTAATATTAATTTTCAAAAACGGCGGTTTTCACTATCGCCTTCAGGAGAACAATCAAACGCCGCCGGTACAGCAATTTTGTAGTCAATCTCTCTTTTTTTGACTTAAATACTACCAAATTCTTGCTTATCTGATTTTTTTTTTAATTTATGTTTTATTAATAAATTTGTTAGTCTCGGATTATTTACATAATTTAAATATTTCATATAAAGATATTGATAAAATAATAACAATAATTAATGAGATATTTATTCATTTTATTCAATTATTTAATATAATAAATAATTTTAAAAAATTATAATTTTAAAACACAATTTTTTTCTCAATTAATTAATTATTTTTATGAAAATAATTAGTGATAATATTTTGCTATATTTATATTAATTTATAGGAAGAGATAAGTGAGCGATTAGAAAATTCATTTTTTCATATCAAAACAAAAGTTATTAGATATGCACGTTTTTTGACGCTACACACAGCAATTTTCGCATTCTAAGGAAATAAAGATAAGCAAAAACAAATTGAATTTTGAATTCAAAGTTTGCATCTCTAGGGAAAATCTATTTTAATGAAAAGACAAAACAAATTGAAACCATTCATTTTCAATAGAAATTTGATTATAATTATATGAACAGTAATGTAAATCCAATTTTTTCTTGGATTTGAGATCGTGGTTTTCAATTAGTCATAATTGAGTTGAAATAATTGTTTGGATGTGGTAAACAAATCCCCAAAATAAATTTTGCTGAATATACTTATTCATCTTTCTAATAGTCTCTTTACATGTTTTATAAAATAAATAATAAATAAAAAATATATTTATTATTTTAAAAGTATAAAACTTATTTAATATTTTTAATTTAATAATTAAAAAATGATAAAAGTAAAAGTTAGAGAATTTAACATTATTCAAACACACAATATTAATTATTATTATTATTTTTAATTACAAACATAAATTATAATTATAACAATTATCTGTGTGTGATTTTTAGACAAAATATTGGACAACTAACATGTCTGTTATCTTATTATTTTCAATATTTAGAAGCGTAAAAGACCCAACTGGTGGCACTGAGAGCCATGCCAGCCAGCCACTGATGACTGATCCCACCCACCAAACTCACTATGCCATCTTTCTTATTCGAAGGAACCCAAATTCCAAACTATAAAAGGGTGATGAACCCATGTATTCTTTCACAACACAAACACAAACACACCAACAACAGTGCAATACATAACAACTAACAATGGCACCACTTGCAATCCCTGAAGTAGTTCTTGGATCTTCCTCTGGCCAAAGGAAAATGCCTGTGATTGGGCTTGGCACAGCTCCTGAATCTGGAAGCAAAGTTAGCACAAAAGATGCAGTGCTTGAGGCCATCAAACAAGGTTACAGGCACTTTGATGCTGCCTCTGCTTATGGGGTGGAACAGGCCTTAGGAGAAGCCATTGCCCAAGCACTTCAACTTGGACTAATTGCTTCCAGGGATGAACTCTTCATCACTTCCAAAATTTGGGTCACTGACAATCATCCTCAACTCATTGTTCCTGCTCTAAAGAAATCACTAAGGTTAATGTCACCTACATGTTCTAATATTAGTTAGTAGTTACATTTTTAACGTATATTTAACTATGTATGTGTGGTTGTGCAGCACTCTTCAGCTAGAATACTTAGACCTTTATCTCATCCACTGGCCCATAGCTGCCAAACCCGGCAAGGTTACCTATCCCGTTGAACAATCAGAGCTTGTCCCATTTGACATCAAGGGTGTTTGGGCATCTATGGAGGAGTGCCAAAGACTTGGCCTCACCAAAGCCATTGGAGTCAGCAACTTCTCCATCAAGAAGCTTCAAAATTTGCTATCTTTTGCTACCATCCCTCCTGCAGTGAATCAAGTATATATTAATTAATTAAGCTTGTTAATTAATTTAACCATAATTACTTGCATGTACACATATTTGTATAGTTTTAAACGACTGATTAAATTTGTGGAACTTAATTGGGATAGGTTGAAATAAATCTTGGGTGGCAACAAGAGAAACTCAGAGAATTCTGCAAGGCAAATCGTGTTACCTTAACTGCTTTCTCACCTCTGAGGAAAGGTGCCAGCAGAGGAACCAATTTAGTGATGGACAATGATATTCTCAAGGAATTGGCAGATGCTCACGGCAAAACTGTTGCTCAGGTATATTATATTATTGTAGCACTAAGGAAGAAGTGAGCATTGTCATTCATATTCAAAATTTTAATTATTTTTTATTTCAAATATCATTTTCTTCTTTATCAAGCAAACCAATGATATCCTTTTCTTAATTTTCATAAAGTTAATTAAATTGACAAGTTTGAATAACAACAGACACGCTCCTTATATAATAATACCATTATCAATTTGTTTATGAGGTAGGTTGTTTTTATGCAATCTATTAATCCTTCTTATAAAAATTATACAGATATGTCTTCGATGGATATATGAGCAAGGGGTGACTTTTGTTGTTAAGAGCTACGACAAGGAGAGGATGAAACAAAACTTGCAGATCTTTGATTGGTCATTGACAGAGGATGATTACAAGAAAATAAGTGAAATCTACCAAGAGAGACTCATCAAAGGACCAACCAAGCCTCTTCTAGATGATCTGTGGGATGAGGATCAGCACTGAACCAAATCTCAAGTTAAATACTGAATGTTCCATGCTCTGAATAAAGGAATAGTATCGTCATTCGTCCTTGTAATGAAGCCACACGTGGCTTGGGATTGGGATATATACATTAGAGTAAAGGATAATTGCGATGTTTTGTGAGGATTTGAAACTAGAAACATTAAATAAGAGTACAATTTTTAAATTTCAATGTCTTCAACTCTGTATTTTTATTTCTTAATAATGTTTTTTTTATCTTATCTATATATTGAATGCACTAGTTAAGAAAATAAAAAATATATATACGAAGAATTGATTATTATATATAAATAATTATACATGATGTATAAGATAAAAAAATATATTCTAACTTTCATGGAGTATAACACTCTTGTGTTTTTCTAGAAAATATTATATAAAAACTACATCGTGGAAGGATATATATTGTTTAGTGTTGTCACCTTTTTATATATAGGTATATTTGATGTGAATCAAAAAGAAAAAATAATATATAAAAGGTTGTTCAAATACTTTTTTGTCTCTAATACAAAGAAAAGAAGCAAGATCGATGTATTAGATTATCTTTTCACAGTTTTTTGTCTTTGCATTAACTAAGTTGAAAATAAATATATTATCTCTCCTTTTGAATTTGTCTATTCAAGTCAGTGCACTTATTCCTTTTTCTTTAAATTTTCGAAAGTGACGAAGATTTTAAGACAAATTGAAGTATTCAAATTAAGAGACATATAAAGTGTATTTAACAAAATTAGAAATTAAGTTAATTAAAACTAAAAGTTCATAAAAAATAAAAAATGATAATTATTTGGTTGAATTAAAAGTGTTTCATAAAATTTAGCTGTTGAATTACACATCAGTTGAATGGGGAAATTAACAGCAGTTAAACCATATAATGGTAATGAAGTAGTAGGTAGCCTCCACTCTTCAAATCTGTCGATGATAAATCGTCAGACGCAATTGTTGACTACAATAATCTTAAAGAATCATTTTACAAATATTATTGCTATGGCACATCAAAAATTTAAATTTAAGATTTTTTAAAATTTTAATAATCATAACACTTTCAGTGTATTAAAAGAACATGATGTAATATAATATATTAAGAAGAAAAAATTTAAATATAAATATGAATTAATTAATTTTAAATAATAATATTAAAATGAATAAAAAATATAAATAAATTAAATCTTAGAAGAAATTATAATTTTACCAAAAAATATTTTTAAGATGATTTTATCACTGATCACGACTTAAAATAAAATAAAAAAAAATTAACTTAAGCTCATAAAGCTGGATTTAAATAACCAATAATAGAAAACAATTATTTAAAATATTTATTACTTTTAAATTATTAAAATCAACTCCAAATACTGAGATTAATAGAACTTGAAAAATTATAAAAAAGTTGAATTGACTCTAAATTAGACTATTTAAATCGCTAATGAACTAAAATATGTTGAATGAAAGGGATGAATTTTTACCTCCAACAAAAACAACTTTGATTGTATTTTATCTTATTGAGTATTTAGAGTATTTTTCACGTAATTTAGAATGGAAAAATGGAAAATTTAATTTGTGTAAAATGAATTTAAGTAGTAGTATTTTCACATGAAAATAATTCAACATTCAACGATGAGGTCTACAATTGTTAGTGAGTCAACTGAATGCTCTGTGTTGAACACTCATTGCTCAGTATTTGAAGGACTGAGAAGGCAGCTAACTCAACTCTTTGACTAATGCTATATTCTTCTACTACGTTTTTTAATTAGTGAGCCTGCTTGTATCATCTACTTTTATATTATTTTGAAAAACCCTATAATTAAATTCTTCATAATTTATTTTAAAAATTTCAAACAAAATATATTTATATTTTAATAAATGGACTGTGCTCATCAATGTTTTTTTATGCAATGAAATAAAAAAATATTAATGTATTCCAAATTTTGAAATAAATAAAATTTAAAAAAATGTTATATCTCCTTATAAATGTTGAATATTGTGGACTAGTGTCTTTGACCGCCACCTTTACATCAAAAGTAAAATGCCGCCATTAGTAGCAAACGACGATGATAGGGAAGATTGCAGCTACCACCATCACCAATGAGCCCTCAGCTACCACATCAAATTCTGCATAACTCTACTGTTTCTTCTTCTTCTTCTTCTTTTTAATAAAAATACTAATATTCAAATGAGTTATTAAATATTTATAACTGTATTTATCATAAATATGTGACAAAAAATAAATTAAGCCATTCATGTTATTATCTAATTTATGCAAGACAGATACTATGATCAATTCACATTTCCCCCTATAACATTTAAATAAATAACATCTTAAATATACTTATATATTTTAATTAATGAAATTTTCATGTAGTATATAGTTGTTGTTAAATTAAAAAATATTTTTCAATCACTAAACACGTAGATAAATTTGTGAAAATTTTAATTTGTAGTTTTAAATTTCAGTCTAACAAATTGTGCCGAGTTAGGAAAGGTTAATGAAGAACACATGTAATATAAATAACAAATTAATATATTTTTATTTAAAAATAAAAGATATATGTTATAATTTTTTAAAATAACAAAATAAAAAATTTAAAATTTATAATTATACTAAATTAAATCAAAATATAAATGAGTTATATAACATAATAAAAACTGGGTTTTATTCTATTTTTCTAAAGTTACTATTATTATTAAAAAATTATGTATAGACGTGAAGTTTGATCCTATAATTGCGTCTTTAAAGTATGACTAATTCCGCAATAATTGATTGGATTCTGAATTTCTGATTCTGGCACACTTTTCCATGCCCACACCACTGTTCTACAAAAACTTTTAATTTTAAGTGTAAACTAATTGTAGACTTTTTTTTTTATTAGATTTGACTTGATTTATTCTATTTAAATATAACATATTCAATGAGTTTCTATATAAAATTTAAACATGAAATGGATGTTTTTTACTCCATTTAATAAAGCTCAAAATCTAAAGAAGACTATCTCAACATGATCTTTTTTAAGTTTTGAAGCACCGAGTTAAAGATTTTTGTGTTTTTATTTAGATTCTAAAATAAAAATAATATATTCAATATAATTTTGTATTTTAAAATCAATCGATCTCAATTCAATTAAAAATATTTAAATAAATGAGGTTAAAAAATTTTAGTTCTTATATTTTTGTAAAATATAAAATCTCTCTTTCGTAATTTTAGTCTCTAATTTTTTAAATTTAATATTTTTAGTGCCTTTCATTGATGTGACACAATAAAAAATTAAGATGTAAAGCAAAAGTGATAGGTAAGAATTAAGATTCTCTTAGTAAAGTCATCACTAAAAAATAAAAGTGTTGAATTTTTCAAAGAGTAAAATAAAAAATAAATATTTTTAAGTATTACATTAAAAAATTTACAAAAATATGGGAATCAAAATAAGTTTAATTTTGCTTGAAATACAATGAAATAGTAAACATTATTTTGACAAACAAAAACTATAATTTATTGCCTCTTGTGTAAACAATCCTTTTGTCTAAATTAATAATGTTATTATTAAATCGACCAAAAATTAATATTACATATATTTTTTACATACACATCTGAAAAATACTTTTAAAAAATAAAAAATAATTAAAATTATCTCTCAACATCACACTAAAATTGTTTCCTGAAAATTAAAATTTGATAAAAGTATAGAAATAAAAAATATTTAAATTAAGCATAATCATGATAGCTATTTGGCACTTCATAACAAGCAAGCATTTTGCTAATATTTTGAATGGTTAGTACTAAGTGGAGAGACCCAACTCACGAACCTTCCTTTTTGTTTAGTATTCTGAAATATAAAAAGAAAAATCAAAGAGGGTAGAACTCAACAATCAGCAAAACCCACCTAACCTCAAATGGCATGACATTAGCGTACAACTTGCCACATTTCAATATTCAAAATTGGCCTGCGCGAACAATTGAAAGAATGCATGCACTAATTTTCGGGTATAAAAAGGTTGCCACACCCACACACTCCTTCAACTTGAACACACACTCTTACATACTAAACTTGCAGTAGCACCTGAACTGAACCTACCCAACATGGCTCCTATTGAGATTCCAACAGTGGTGCTTCCAAACTCATCTGGGCAACAGAGGGTGCCCGTGATTGGAATGGGTTCTGCCCCTGATTTCACTTGTAAGAAAGACGCAAAAGCTGCAATCATCGAGGCCATCAAGCAGGGTTATAGACATTTTGACACTGCTGCTGCATATGGCTCTGAACAGGCTCTTGGTGAAGCCCTCAAAGAAGCTCTTCAACTTGGCCTTGTCACGCGTGATCAACTCTTCGTCACTTCCAAGCTTTGGGTCACTGATAATCATCCTCATCTTGTTGTCCCTGCTTTGCGCAAATCGCTTAGGTAATTATATTAAATCAAAGTGCAACACCTTAAATATAATTTCCATTACTGCTTCAAAGTAACATATGTATAATCATGTCATGTTAATAATTGTTATGAAATAATATCTAACCTGACAACTTAGAAAAAACTTATAAAAATATTATATCGTTACGACATAAATTATTATTTAAAAATAATTTATTAAGAAGTACTTAAATTATCACTAAATAATAATAATAATAATAAATAGAAACTGTTTTTAAAGAACTAAAATTAAAACTCAAGAATATTTGCAAACCCTAAATAAAATCATGCTCAGCTTTTAGGCTGTGAATTGAGATGGTGTTATTTTGTGCAGAACTCTTCAACTAGAGTACTTGGACCTCTATCTCATCCACTGGCCACTGAGTTCCCAGCCAGGAAAATTTTCGTTTCCAATTGAGGTAGAGGATCTCTTGCCATTTGATGTGAAGGGTGTGTGGGAATCCATGGAAGAGTGCCAGAAACTTGGCCTCACCAGAGCCATAGGAGTCAGCAACTTCTCTGTCAAGAAGCTTCAAAATCTTCTCTCAGTTGCTTCCACCCGTCCTGCAGTCAATCAAGTAAGTTACCAACTCCATATATCTTTGTTTCTTTTTCCTTTCTTTATGTGAATGATCATGGGATTAATGTAATTTTTTTTCTAATAATAACTATATAATATATATATATATAGGTGGAGATGAACCTTGCATGGCAACAGAAGAAGCTAAGAGAGTTTTGCAGTTCAAATGGTATAGTGATAACTGCTTTTTCACCGTTGAGGAAAGGTGCCAGTAGGGGACCAAATGAAGTGATGGAGAATGATGTGCTGAAAGAGATCGCTGAGGCTCATGGCAAGTCCATAGCCCAAGTTTGTTTGAGATGGTTGTATGAACAAGGAGTCACTTTTGTGGCCAAGAGCTATGATAAGGAGAGGATGAACCAAAATTTGCACATCTTTGATTGGGCCTTGACACAAGAGGATCACCACAGAATTGATCAAATCAAGCAGAGCCGTTTGATCGGTGGACCAACCAAGCCCCAACTCAATGATCTCTGGGATGATGAAATATAGACTTTATAGTTATCCATGTATGCCTCCAAATTGCTTTTAATAGTTAATGTTCCTAAAGCTGAAAGATAGAGCTGTGAGTGAGCTCTATCTGCTTGTGTGAGTCTTGAAATAATTTTATTCCACTTTGTATTTTATTTTACACAGTTGAAATGTTTGATGATAATACATATTAATATGGTCCATCTTTCATCTTTGACAAGGTAATATTATTATTTACACCTTCTTGGACTGGACTAAGGAGGATAGACGTTGACAGGGATAAAAATAATCAAATTTTAAGAACGCAAAATAAGGGGTAGATAACAACTTGTAGATTTTTCACCCATTTCATATCAAATTAGACAATGTTCAATTGAGAAAGAGGGCAGCTATCTATAGTGACATTCGAGCATACCATGGGAGAATGATCAAAGCGCCACACTCGAAACGGCCACGAAAATGGTCCAGTGTTCTATCTATTTTTAGAATGAAAAGTATAACATCCATCCAACAAGAGTTTTTTTTTCCGGTGTGCACTAAAATATTTCTTAATCGACGACATTCAAAGATTATTTTTTTAAACGAAAAATTATCGAAGTGGATGCAAGTTCTTCTAACGAGGTTTTTTTATCATCCAATCGGAACTTTTAAGCATTAGGGTTTAGGGTTAATTATTATGACTTGTTAATCATTATAGCAATCTTAAATAAAATCAAATTAATTTTTTTTTCATAAAAAATTCCTTTCGACAGTTGATAATGGGCTGTGCACAGTATGCATTGTGCTTTCCTAAAGCCTTACGTTCTGAGCCATACAACTTTAATATTAAATATATGTTTGGTTACTTGGATTATAACCATTCAAAGGTATTCATTAAAAAATATTATTCATTAGGAGTGAACAACTTATTTAATGTGTTAGTTTTTTCTTTTACTTTTTTTCAAACAACAAAAATGAAGGTCTTACGTGATAATATATTAAAAATTCAACCATTAGCCAAACATAGAAGGTAATGCGTGCTGCAATATAATATAATACTTAGTAATATTGAACAATGGAATGTAGCATTTGACTTGGGACGATTGCATACATTAATTTGTGTTTAATTCTTTAATTTATTGAAGGCCTGTCAAGCTAAACGTATAAAATGTATTTTATTACCCAACTGCCATCACTACTACTATTATAATAATAATTACAGTTAATTACTTTTTATATTTTTACATATTAGAACCTACAAAATTTACCCTTAGTTAATATTATTAAACTTAACCCTACTATTTTAAACACAAACAAGAAATATGTATTTTATAAAAATTATACAATATAATAAAAATTAGTAAAACCTCTTAAATGATGACTTACAGGAAAAAAAAAAGGAATAATTTGTAATACAGAAGCTGTAGTTTTATAATTCCTTATAGTGAATGATACTCTGCCATTTGACTTGTGCTAAGACTCTCCATAAAATAGCACGCAAGATGAAATTTAGTTATCCAATTCGCAATTTATTCATTGTCAAAACTCAAGTTCCTATAATCAAGTCATTTAGAAATTCAAAAGGTAAACGGGCAAAAATTTAGTGACTGTTATTGTAACATTTAGCAGCATCTCATACTTATCATACACAGATTAAAATCCTGCCTAGCAAATACCTATTGGAAGTTCTATTCTGAATTATCTTTAAAGTCTGACAGTAAATGGCAAATAGTGGAATTACGTAGCAATCTCTGAGAGAAAGCTGGTAAATAGATACACTGCATCCTGCAAGTGAGCAGAACGTAGGTCCTCTGGAAGGGGAGCACTGAAAGCAGTGTCAAAGCAGCTGAACTGCTCATCACGGGTAGCACCCTCACCTACAGCAGATAGCAGCAAATCACATATCTCGCCTGCCATTCTTGAATACACCACCCTGCAAAATCAGTAGTAGACGTAAATATAGCAATTAAAACTTCTATAAATGGATGACCTATCACATTGGGCCAACTAATGAATTAACATGTCAAGATACATATGCTGAATGTATTGGGATAAGGATGTGTGGTTTTTAACGTAATGCAAAACCAGATTCAATAACACCAGCAACTAAAACTGTAAATATACTAGGGTATTATCACATTTTGTTTCTTTATCTTAACAAGTGCCCAAGAAAAAATGGTTTCAGACGTACATTATTAGCCAACCTACAAAATCATAATACGAGCTGTACAACATAAAAACGGGCCAACAAGCAGCTGCAAACATTTTTCCTGGCAATGCAAAGTACAACATATACCTTGCATCAACAGGTAATCTGCCACCCCAAACAGCCAAGGATTCATTTAGCTGACTGACAAAATCCTGACAGGCAGCATTTTTACTTTGAAGAGAATCCTGAAACAAGAAATTACATGATTTTAATTGAGCAAATATGTGAAAAAAGGAGTAGTGCCCTAATCTCTAAAAACTGAGTTTACAATGTAGCATACAAGCACCAAAAAATACAAACGGAAATAAGTCATGGATGTCAAGCTTTTTGATAACAAAATTTTCTTCCATGAAACATGCTACAGAAACAAATCACAACTGTTACCTAATTTCATAAATCATGTTTTAAGCCTAATTAAAAGAATATCTAATGTAAAGATTGCAGCAACTAGAAGCATTTAACATAAAGCATCTCAAATAAAAGATTAACTTCACAGCAGGCATTAGTGTCTTCTGCAGCACCACTGCTTGTGCAGTTGTGCCCCCATAATTTCATCTCCATCATCACATGGGGTAATAATTTCATATTGCTGCAGTTCCATGTTTCAAGGTCAGGATCAAACTTGTTCAACTTTTAGTTATATTTCACAATCAAACAATTACAGAATCAAGTAACAACTATTGTTCACATATATGTTGATAAGAAGGGTGATCCTCTTCTATAAATTCACCTACCAATTCAGTCATGGCATTGGTATCTCCCTGAAGTGAGTTTTTCATCAAATAGTACGAAATATAAATTCCAGCTCCCAACTCCCAGTTTTCAATTTCAGACTTATGATCCTCCATGGAAGTTGCAATCCTCCATATCTCAGCATGTTTTGCTGCAAAAGATATTAAATAAGTTACCTATAATGCACTTATTTGGAGTTAAGAAGAAAAAATCTAGTTATTTTCTGCTATTGGAAAGAAATAAGTGGCAATAAAATGATTTTCAGCAATTTAATGTAGTAATGATGCAGGGCAAAAAAATTTTTTTGGGGAAGGAGGTGAGTCAACAGTATTTTATTAAATTTTCATGTAGTTTTCATACAGTTTTCTTTTGGTGATTTACTAGGTTTTTTTAGATAATTTCATCATAATTATGATAAAATTAAGGCCCTGTTAAGTAGATTGCAAAGTTTTAGAAATTTGTTCACTTGCCAGTAAAGTTTTATAAATATCTATAAAAGGGCAAGCTGTGTGCAAGAGATGCATGTGTTTGCTTACAAGTATTATTTGGTACTCCTTTTCCAAAGTTACAACCTTGTAACTTTAGGGTCATCTAGTAAGACAATACTTAGGGCCCCTCTTACTCCTTTGAGATTTTGTTCTGAGTCAATTGGTATCAAAACCAAACTCAAATCTTATCAACCATAGCAATGTGTAGTGCAGAATTATACCAGGGTGCGATTTATGCTCTAAGATTAATTGTATGGATTATATGCTTCAAAGTGAAAACAATGTTTGCAACCTTGCTTACAGAATCAAGACGACCAACATGATCTTGTGGGCACAGGGAATTCCAGAAAGTAGTCTAGAGTCTAGACTATAGAGGACAAAATAATAGCACACTGGAATTGTCTTTGAGTCTATCCATAAAGGCATTTAGTATATTTTTTACAAGCAATATACACACACAACTTACCTTGCAAGAATAACCTATGAGCAACTGAGGTTGTAAAAATGGAATGAGCTTTCTGCCAATTTGCACACTGAAGAAATTGCTCAAGGGCTTTTGAGTGGTCCCCATTATAATTATAATAAATTGCCTGCACCAGAACAACATAATTATTCAAACAAAAAGAGTTTCCGAACCAACAATACAGAACTTTGAGACATTTCAAGGATTAGCACAGCCCATTAATCAGTATAGAACATCAGGACAAGAATTTAATTCAGTTTTAGTCATACATTGATCGTAATGAAAGACCATATGAATCGCATCAGTGTTTTTTGTCCTCTAACAAATATAAATCTTGTAGGTTTTAAAATTCATGCAAAGTGAAAACATAATTTATATATACCAAATTGATAGTATCATCAGAACATACTGTGTCTGTAGTTTTTCCATTAATGGATCAAGAAGGGATGAGCTAGAAAGGAACAGGAAGGAATAGAACAAAGGTACCATCCTGCTTCTTTGGATTAATTTAGGAACAGAATGGAATTCCATTGCCATTTGATTTCCCCCAATTCCACCATAATTTTGTGGGAACAAAATTTGTGTCTTTGAGGCAAAATGATGGGGAATGGTTTCCCTTCGATATATTTTTAAACTCCCACAACAAGGGAACTTATTCCCTTTCCATTCCTCTCATTACCAATCACCCAAACATAGAATAAGAGAAAGATGAAGTTAAAAGGGTATGACCAAGGTAGTTAAAATCGAGATTTTACTTTAAATCGTAAAAGAGAGTGAAAATCGTAAATCGTAAAATTGTAAAATGAATCGTAAGATTTTATAAAGTTCATATATATGATATAAATTCATATTATTCATACAAAATATCATAAATTAAGGGAATAAACCTTCAAATTAATAAAAGCACTTAAACAAAGTAGCACTCACAAATCATAATTTATTCCATAAGAATGTAATGCATTGACATGAGTAAAAAATAGACTAGAATAAAAAAGATGCAAGAACAACAGCAATAGAATTGAACTCTAAGCAGTAACACACTGTTGGGTTTAGTTGCAGACCAAGCTGCACGTACTAGGAGGACTGTTGAATGTTGACAACAATGGTAGGGTTCAAAGCTGCTAGAGGCAAATTGGATTCCATAAAAAGGAGATATATGAAAGAGACGTCAACTACGATAGGGTTCAACAAAAGAGACTTTGCGAGGAATTTTCAAAATCGAAGTGACTCGTGAAATCCTACGATTTGAGGGATTTTATGATTCAAATCGGAATTTTACAACGATTTTACTCAATTAAGATTTTATCCACAATTTAAATTGGTGAGACTTCCAAAATCGTAAAATCGTAAGATTTTACGATTCAAATCGGGATTTTAACTATCTTGGGTATGGCAACAAATTATGCATTCATTGATATTCTTCTTATATATATATATATATATATATAAATAGAAATAAATAAATATGATCCATACCAAAGCCTCGTGCATCCAATCTGTGGGAATGCCTAAATCCTCAATGAACTGTTGTTGAGATTCATCTGAACTCCAAGTTTCACAGTATTGAAACAATATTTCCCGAATCAGATTTACTTGAAGATATGGATAATCTTCACGTAGGGGCAAGTGAAGGACCACATATATAGCCCAGTGACATTTCCCTAAGCACAATAGCTGAGACACAAATGCCATGTCTAGAATATGAAGATCATTAGAATTGATAACACCCACTGCTTCCAAGATTGCACGTTGGTGCCATATCATATGATAATCAAGTGGATCAGGAGTAGAAGAGAAGGCACTGAACATAGTCTTCAGAAAGCTGAATTCTGTCTCTTCACTGGCATGAAGAAGCATGAGATAAAATGAAATGTCAAAGTGTTTATCCGTGTTCCAACTGATAGCCTCCTCTGATGTTCCTTCATCAATAAAAAGGGGAACAGGATATGGAGCCATTCCCTTGTCAAGGAAATGTTTATAGGTCTGAAAAGCAATGGGTAATGAAGTGTCCGGTGGTAATTTATACCACATTAATAAACCTAAGAACCTCCTCCAGTCAATATTGACATCATGCAAGGCATCATGAATATTTCCTGCAAGCAATTCATATAGTGTCAATCTATCCTTTTCAATGAAACAAAAATCCAGCCCTTTATTTCTCCAAAGTTCAAGTTGCCTTGCAATATCAGCGCGATTTACAGTAGAACCACCAGCTTGACTTAACAAACAAGCCAATCTCACATCTCCTTTAGATGCAGCCAGCTGCACTGCTTCATCCAGCTGCCGCCCAGTCAGGAGAACAAAAATATGTTGCAGATAATGGGAGTCATTTAGGGAGCTTATTTGATTTTGAACATGATAGGAAACACTCTCTCGCAACCAATAACTGAACTCTGCCCTCCTCATAAGAGGAAGTGCTTCTAGATCAACATCTTGACAAATTTCCTTCATATCCTGCATCATATCTTCCTCATTATCAGCACCCAAAGATTCTACTTGACCTTTTTGTTCTCTTTCAGAAAAAAGAACTCTAATTAACTCCCAGGTCATCACTTGGTGTGTCAAACCCAAACGAGTAGAGGAAGATAACCCAGGAACACTCAATTGCCTCTCAATAAGATCACAGTATTGATGAGAAATCTCTGACAGGGTTATACGATTAGCTTCAAGTTTTTGAAGCGTCAACTTGCAGGGTCCAATTTCAACTTCTTTCATCACATGGTTTATTCCTTTGTGAAAATTTAATGGAGATACCAAAGCGTAGTCAACAAGTTCCTCACTCACTTTTTGATTTTCATCCCTGACCAGATTGTCAAAAGCAACTTTCTCCAAATTAACAACAGATGATAATAGGTTGTGATTACCACTGCTTCCTACAGGTGCACCAGAATGTACAAGAATGCCATTTGGTCCCCATCCAACTCGAAACGATTTACCCATAAACAGACCAGCATCAACTATATTGTGAGCATATTTTCCAGATACTAGAGTTTCATGTTTCAGGTCCAGCTTAAAACCTTGGGATTTTATCGTCCTAAGAGGCATGCCCTTATGTTGCTGAACCATCAAAATGCCACCAGGAGAATTTGAATCGAAATTCCCATGTTTATACTCAAGCAACGGAAATGGAGTTTTTCGAGAAACTGGTGGGGTGGATCGATGGGTGATTGCCTGAGCAGAACTTTGTAAAGGCCTCACATACTCCTTACCAGAAGATGGTTTGCAACTTAAGTCCTCTATCTTTTCTTCATCATGAAACATCAATAATCTCATTTCTCTCATTTTAACAGGATCAAGCCTAAGATGAGCAGGAAGAGAATGAGAAAGCTCAATGTCATCAGTATTTGACGGTGATTCTTTCTCAAGATCATATATTTCAGCATCATCCATAACGATGTCTTCCTCATCATTTTCACCAAACCCAAATCTACTGAAGTGTTCAACTAAGAATTTCCACTCACCAGTGACTACATCAAAGGAAATGAATTGTGCTCCCTGTCTCTCTGTAATTTGTTTTAATTTTTTCACTAGAACATCTTCCTGCTGCTTCTTAGTCTTCAACATTCCACTGTCTAGCATCAAAACTACTTCAGCTGCCTTGTTAAGACCCTGACCAACTGCGGGCTTATCATTTTCATCACTGTATACAACTATCTCATGCTTATGAAATTTGACAATTTCATCTATATATAACCCCCTGACATCAGTTTTGTTAACATATCTGACATATCCATACCCATATCTTCCAACAGTGAAATCAGAAACACGACTGCAATAACCTGGGTCAAGGAGTTCCTGTGCCACTAATTCCTTCAAAGATGGTTTGGTATAGTAACTGGGTGAGCACAAGAGAGGTAAAGAAGCTTCAATTTCTGTCATGATCTCATTAAATGGGGTAATGCAGTCTTTACAGACCCTTCTTTTCTTGCAAATATGCAGAATGCACGAATCAGAGATGCCTCCAGCATCACATTCCATCACACATCTAGGTCAAACTGATGCGTTGCGTTCTGAGCCTTAAAATTTGAATGCAGTTCCCTTATATATTCTCTAAATTTGAAGAAGAACGACTAAGCACCGATGCCTGCAAGGGGAACTGAATGTTGCATATTATCATTGGGAACCATCACGAATGAAGGCAAAAGGTTATGAACTATACGGAGTTCACACATATCTCATAGGTTAATTTAAAAAATGCAGATACAGAAAGAAAAACAAATATACAACATAGCAACAGTATACAACACAGGTATCTACTTTTAACGAACAAGTTTTAATTTAAGAATATGAAGACATATCGATTATTAGATTCAAAATTTGTCCAGATCAACTTCACTCAAAGTGAGGCAGAGCATAAAGAAGCGTAGAAATAGAATGAAAAAAATACCTAATGCAGTAAGCAACGTCAAAGTGAACATGGCGCGTTGATAAGAAGAACGAAAGAAATGAAGCAGAGTGAAGTTAAGCAACATTAAGATGTAACACAACACAATTAGGACAGTGAGAGAGAGAGAGAGAAGACTCACAGGAGCAGCAAGCAACGACGAAGCTGAGCCGGTGAGTGGACGGTGAAACAGACTGAGAAGAACGAAAGAGAGGTTTAGCGGGATTGATTGAGAAGGAAACCTTAAGTTGGGCTTTAGACGGCCCAATTTTAATAGTTATTAAAACGAGGCTGGGCTTTATTGGGCCAAGGCCCATTAATATCCACCACTTTGCCGAAGAAGGCTTCTTCTTCTTCTTCTTCATATTTAACCTTAAACCACTAACCCTGTCTCAGCTCTAAACACTCAACTCTGCTGGAAGCTGCCATAGCTTGCACTGTACTCGTCTATCAAAGATGATTACGGCGATTTCGTGGGTACCGAAAGGGGTTGCAAAGTCAGAACCTCTTGTGGCTGACCCTCCCTCTAAGGACGATGTTGAAGAGTTCATCACCGCTCATGCAAGGTCCTTTTCATTTTGGATTCTATTCGCAACAACTCTCTTATCAAACAAGTGCTTAATAATATTCCCCTTTTTTAATTGTATAATACAGTGGAGACAGTGATGATGAAGATGAAGTGGACCCTGATGCCAATAAACACGGCAACGAAGTTGCCCAGGCATTAACCGTAGCAGACGCAATTGGAAAAGCTTCCGCAGAAGAATATGACAACGTAACCCGTGCCTTGAAGGACCTTGACATGGAACATTACGACGATGAGGACGAAGGTATATTTATTTATCTGTTCTATTATCCTTTTTATTCATACTACGTACCTATGATTGTCATTTTGTGGATAATTTGCATCATATCCTGAAATCAGGGGTTGAGTTATTCAGTTCGGGGATTGGTGATCTTTATTATCCAAGTAACGAAATGGATCCGTATATCAAAGATAAGAATGTAAGTTCCAAGTTCTAACGCTTACCATTATGTTAGAAGGGCTCTCGCTTCGTTCATATTTTACATCATTAATTATCGTGTTTCAGGAAGATGAGTCTGAAGAACTCGAGGATATGATCATTACTCCGACCGATTCTATCATTGTTTGTGCCCGTAATGAGGATAATGTCAGTTTTCTTGATGTAAGTAAATGGTCACTTGTATTGTGAAGTCATATATTATACTCCAGTTTATTTTCTATCTGAAAAGTAAACTTGTCACTCAATTCTTTTTGCACTGCCAGGTTTGGATACTCGAGGATGCAAATTCTAGCGAGATGAACATGTATATTCACCATGATATCATAATTCCAGCATATCCGCTCTGCACAGCTTGGCTCGATTGCCCTCTTAAAGGAGGGGAAAGAGGTTGAAACTATGGGTTCCTTGCACAATTTCTCTGGCCTGTATATTTGTGTTGATCTAGTTGTTTGGGTTGCTTGGTTATACAATTGAGCTTTTATCCCTCCACTAAGAAATCGTAGGGCTCCTGAATATATAAATACTGAAAAAACCTTGTAAGATGTCTTAATGTGCTCTGATGATTTCTACCGTCATTTTCCTATGCCAAAAACATGAGAGGTTCATATTTCAATCAAAAGTAAAGAGAAAATTTGTAACTTCAATTTCTTTTCATTAGAAAATAGATTGAGATTAACATGTGCTGTTAGTCAAAGCTTCTGTAGTGCTGTTAGTCAAAGCATCTGTACTGCTGTTAGTCAAAGTTTCTACAGTGTAGAGTGTAGACTATTAAAACAAAATTTTCATGGTATGGGCAAATGTTTCTATGTTTGGAATTTGGATTATCTGAAATTGCCACCAATACCATTGCAATTTATGCCAAAAATTTTGTGTGATAACTGCCTGATACCTTCTCTTTATCATATTATCTTAATATAATTTCATTATGATCACAGGGAACTTCTTAGCTGTTGGTTCAATGGAACCTTCCATAGAAATATGGGACCTTGATGTTGTAAGTGGATATATAAATCTAACATTGCTGTCCAAAACCTCTTAGCTAAAATATCTTTTTGCAGAATTCCTTGTAATTTTCCTTTGTTCTCAGATTGACGAGGTACAGCCATGTGTGGTTTTGGGTGGCATTACAGAGAAAAAGAAAAAGGGAAAAAAGGTTTGCTAATTGTTATACATTCTTGCTAATTTCAATCCCCTTAGAGTTATGTGGTTACATCAAATGGCAACACACTTAAGTATGATCTATTTATAGAAGTTGCATGTGTTGTGCTGTTTTGTGGTAGAAATCTGTCAAATACAAAGATGGCAGTCACACTGACTCAGTACTTGGTCTTGCTTGGAACAAGGAGTACAGGTTTGTTGAATTAAAACTGGATTCTGCTCTTGTTTCCTCAGTTGGATGATTTCTGGAACTTGAAGGTTTTATTTATTGTTTTTTTTGGAACACTATTCCTTGAAACCTGTCTTGACATCTATTTTTTTAAAAACATAAGGAATATACTAGCAAGTGCTAGTGCTGACAAGCAAGTGAAGGTTTGGGATGTGGCTGCTGGGAAGTGTGATATTACACTGGAGCATCACTCAGACAAGGCAAGAAATTAGACAGAGTATTTTCTTTCTTTCTTTTTAATCACTAGGTCATTTTATTGATGACTTCATGCCCACTTGTGTTTTTAGATTATTATATAATTTAGAACTTTGCAAATATGATTTTAGACTTTATTAGATCGAGGTGACCTTTATGAACCAAGATGTCATAGTGATAATATTTAATCTTAGCTTTGCATTGAATGCATACATGGATATGCATATGTGAGGAACAAGTTTTTGGGTTTTTCTTGGGACTTTGTTGTGCAATGCTCTGAATTGTTGGTAAATGAAAAAATTCACACTTTCTTCCTAATTTAATCATTAGATGAAATGCTCTTTTTATTTTCAGTTTCTAATTAAATTATGGGATCCCAATACTGTTCCTGATGTCTTTCATATTTATATCTTGTCCATTTACACAGGTTCAATCAGTTGCTTGGAATAACCATGCACCACAGGTTCTTCTTAGTGGTTCATTTGACCGTACTGTTGTCTTGGTAATGAGCCAATATTCTTTGGTTACTCTGATTCACTGTATTTTGCTCTGCCATTGATTACTTATTGTACTGTATACTTTGGTTGGATATTCATGTGCTAAAAGAGACACTCCATTTTAAATGAATATATTTGAACTTCGAAAATCTGGACTTTTTTGGTTAAACATTCATATATTTATCTAATGTTTTTAATGGTGTTACTAATTTGCAGAAGGATGGAAGGAAGCCATCACATTCTGGCTACAAGTGGTCAGTCACAGCAGACGTAGAGAGCTTGGCATGGGATCCACACACTGGGCATTCTTTTGTGGTGTGTGTAGTAATTTCTAAGGCTCGAGTACTGATTACTTTTGGTGCATTTTTAACAAAAGATTCATCAACTTTCTTTTAGTTACAACTTCCTAGCATTTTTTCTTTTTTATGATTATTTGATGTATATTAAACATAAAAGGAACGGGTGGGAGAGTGGCTAATTCTTATTTTCTCAGATTAAATATTGGATGAACAGGTATTAATTTACTATAATGATTTAATTTTTCTGTTAGGTGAGTCTTGAAGATGGAACTGTCAAGTGTTTTGATATTCGGGCTGCCCAATCTGATTCCCCATCTGAGCTGGGTTCTACTTTTACACTTCATGCACATGACAAAGCTGTTACTTCAGTATCCTATAATCCGGCGGCACCTAATGTATGTGTCTTCTACTTTTTTATGAGAATATCAACTTATTATGTACTCTAGTTTAATTGTGCCCTGTTAACATTCGTGACTTCATGCAGCTTCTAGCTACTGGATCCATGGACAAAACGGTAATAGTCAAGTCAATTTTGTTATTTTCATGTATCACTGTATTCTTCAGATTGGAATTAATCTCATTTGGCATCTTATCATTTGTCACAGGTAAAACTTTGGGATTTATCGAACAACCAACCATCTTGTGTAGCATCTAAATCTCCTGAAGTCGTGAGTTTCTCTTTTTTCAATCATGTGTTGTGTGTGTGTGTGGGAAGTGTTATATGAATCATGATGTCTTTGCTAAATTGACATTGATGACTTCTCCTTTTGATGGTGTTATTAGGGGGCTATCTTTTCTGTTTCTTTCTCAGAGGACAACCCGTTCTTGTTGGCAATAGGAGGCTCAAAGGGAAAATTACAAGTAAGTGAAAAGGGCCGAAGAACTTCCACTTTTGTATCCTTGATCGGTCTCGTTATTCTCTTCGTGAAATTGACGTTGTCACTGATAATTTGTAGGTATGGGACACCCTATCTGATTCTGGCATCTCTCGTAGATACGAGAAAAACATGAGTAGATCTAAATCTGGGTCTTGATACAACGAGTGTCAAAATTTTGGGACTCGCCCTAAAATACAAATGTCTATCCATGTCATTTCTATTCTCCGTAAGAGGGGATATTTGGTTTCTTTTCCTACATAATGTCTTCAATGTTTCTGGTAGTTTAGGAGTATTTAAATTGAATTAACATTAGTTGTGTAATAGGTTGAAAGGATATATTAAGGATGGATTAATACAGTTTGATGTTGTATTCCTTTTCACAATCATTTTACCGAGCATCCTAACCAGTTTTGAAGGAAACTTCTTTTACATCTTTCGCTTGGATCATGGATGTTTTCAATTATGTTAAATTATAGGGATTTTATGCATTGACAGCATAGAAACTATTTGTAGTGTCTAAATTGTATTAAAGTGATTGATGTGATTAAATACCAGAGATTGTGTTTATATGTAACTCGGATTGTAGAGACTAAATGAGAAAATAGGGATTTGGGGAAATTGCAGTGAAATCCATATACGGAAATTTGTGGAAATATGACAAATTAGATGGACGTATACTAAGGAATTATTTTCCGTCGGAGTGGACATACTATTTTTATTATGTGAAATTAGACTGATTAGTGAGAAAGGGGATGTCCAAACTTGTCCACTTGTTTTTTTTTTTTTGGTTCAATCCACTTGCTTTATTAGATTGTTTTAGAAATTTTCACATTACAAGTTGACGAAGATCTATAAACCTATCAAATACAAAACCGAAAAATCTAGTTGGGTAGGATAAAAACTCTACGGATCTTTGATTTTAAAATTAGATAATTTTTATTGTGATTTATAAATTAAAAGGATATTATTACATGTGAAATAATTAACATTATTAAATTTATATGGATAAATAACAGTTAATAATTTTAAAATATTAAAAAAATTATAACTGTTAATTTAATTTTAAAAAAATATTTAAAACTATTCAATTTGACTTGTTTTAACTTCACTTTTTCAAAAATTTATTTTCAATAGTTTATTTTTAATATTAGGTAACTTAATAACTCAATCCGAATTCATATAATTGAATTAAAGTAAAATATTTTAAGTAATTTCAACATTTCAATTTATTGGTTTGAATTAATTTTATTTTTTTTAACTCAACTTAAAATCCGTGGTCATATTATTTTATAGGAAATTATTATTTTTCCCTCTGAAGTTATAATTAATTTTAACATATAATTAGTTTTATCATATTAAGCTGATACTAGTATAATAAGTGATATGTGAAAAATGAAAATTAAACTAATAATAATAATAATAAGGGAGGTAAGAAAACGATAGTTATTTTTTTATTATTATTTTACACACTACGTTTCCAACCACTTCCACATTAGCTCATGTGACTTGGTCTCTCTTCTAGTTTCCTCAGCTGCGCCCGCCCTCAGTCCCAACCCCAAATCCAGAAACCGGTCTTCGGTTTTCTCCAATTCCCAAAAACCAGGAATCTTTTTTTACGATTATTTTCATTCAAAACCACTGCTTGTGGACCCTACCTCCCCAATATGTGGCGATTCGACCGCACTCTGAAATCTGAGCGTGCATGACACGCTCCTTCTCATAGAATTGAATTACTTGCTACAAAATTTGTAACAAGGCAATTGGCATAAGAAACCGTGGCACGGGTGCGCTGCAACTCATGGAAAAGGTGTGAAACTCACGCGCGTAAAACGATGGTGGGTTTAGTCGCCCCTAGACGGATTAGTATCGACTAAACGTGACCAACAGTCTTAAATAATAATAAAAAAATGAACTATAGTCTCTTTGAGTTTGATAATTAAAAACCCAGTCACTTACTCCAACGGATAGAGTATTAAAAAATAATTAAAAGAATAGTTATAGTTGGTGTATGATTAATATTCCTATTAATATGACAAAATATTAGACTAGATAAAAAATTAATATTAAACAAATATTATTTTAAGAATTAATTTCTAAATATATATTAATTAAATAAAAAAGCCTCTTTCATAATTTTCATGCAGAGAAAATAATGCAAATCATTCTTCCTAAAATATTTTGACTTATTGTCCCTTTGCGTGTTTAAGGTAAGCACAGATAGTTGACCAAAAAGCAGAGTCGTGACGCGTAATTTTTCGGTACACACACTTTTTATATTTTAATTTAAAAAATTAAATAAATAAAAAACTATAAATATTGCTACCTAAAGAAGATGAATACGTACTCGAGGGAGAAAATTTGCAGGCGTACGATGATGTCTGGAACAACGTTTGCCCCAAAAGTTGTGTTACAACTATCCTCGAAATCGAACCCGATTAGCATGCCGGTGATAGGACTTGGCACTGGTGGGGCGCTTAACGATGGCGATGTGGTAAAAGCTGCAATTATAGAGGCTATGAAAGTGGGTTACAGACACTTCGACACTGCAACACTTTATGGGTCAGAGCATGCTCTTGGAGAAGCCATCGCTGAAGCTCTTCAACTTGGTCTCATATCCTCTAGAGACGACCTTTTCATCACTTCCAAGCTCTGGTGCAGCGATAATCATCCTCATCTTGTTCTTCCTACTCTACGCAAATCACTTCAGTATGCCTCCTCGCTTTTTTCTTTCTTTCCTTTTACATCTAATTAGTCCATTTGTTTTTTATAGTGAAATATATAATATGAATAAAACTTTGTTTTTGCTGTTTTACAATTAGAATTGAGTTTTACTGTAATAATTTGTATAATAAAAGTAGCCCATTAAATTTCATCACACACGAATGAAACTTCAATTTTTATTGAACAACGTGATTTTTCTCCTATATATTGTCACGTATATTTTGGTAAGTTTATTAATTTAAAAGTATGATTCGTGACTGCATGGGGATATCCAATTGATGCAGAGCTCTTAAATTAGATTATTTGGACCTTTATTTAATCCATTGGCCCATGAGTGCGAAACCTGGAAACTCGGATAATTGGCCTTATGCTGAAGAGCAATTGACGCCATTTGACTTAAAGGGTGTGTGGGAAGCAATGGAAGAATGTCATAATTTGGGCCTCACAAAATCAATTGGAGTCAGCAATTTCTCTTGCAAGAAACTCCAAAATCTACTCTCTTTTGCTACTATACCTCCTTCTGTCAATCAAGTATGTTCCCATTTTGTTTAAAATTAATTTTCATTTGTTAAATATTTCTGAGATGTGCACTAAAATTAATCTGAATTATATATTTTTATTGAAATATGTGTTTTACATTATAAAGCGTGATAATTCATTCCCTAACTATAAAACAATGTGATTAAAAATTTAAAATAAAGTTTTTTCATTAAAAAATCTGATAATAAGTTTTCTTTGCAATTTTCAATATAAAAATTTTCTATTGATTGATATCCTCAAGCAAGACCCTTTATTTATTTCATTCATATTAGTTCTCACTGTATGTTGAACTGTGCACTCCAAAAAGGTGGAGATGAATCTTGTTTGGCAGCAAAAGAATCTAAGAGAATACTGCAAGGAAAAGGGTATAATCATAACTGCTTATGCTCCTTTGGGATCCAGAGGGACCAAATGGGGAACCAATGAAGTTATGGACTGTGAACAGACCAAGCAGATTGCACAAGCTCATGGCAAAACTGCTGCTCAGGTTACCATTTTTCATTTTTTATTTACCCCTTTGCTTTTAAATTTAAATGACAATTGTCACTGTATCACATGGTTTGGTTTAATTTTGAACTTTACTTTGGCAGCCACTTGAATGCTAATACAATCAATCCTTTGGGGTGTTATAGGTATGTCTTAGATGGTTATATGAGCAAGGTGTGACTTTCGTACCGCAGAGTTGTAATAAAGGGAGATTAAAGGAAAATATGGAGATATTTGATTGGTCACTCACAAAAGATGACTATGAAAAGATTAGCCAAATCAAACAGGACCGTTGTTTCAAATACGGACCAGCTGCATTCCCGATTCCTGACATATTCGATGATGAAACTTAAGTACAATATCAGCTTCAATATTTCATTTTCCTTGTTTGGGACACAATAAAAGGATGAAGTATTGAACATTGAAAAACAGCCTTTCTTTAAAATGCCGTTTTAAAAAACTCAATATTGAAATCCTTGGTTTCACTTTCTCTGTGAAGTTTGTTTACAGCACTGTTATGCTCTTCTTTCATGTCCGAGATTGTGTAATAAGTTGTATTCTAGTTGTAATTCTAGCTAGATGAATCCAATAAAACAGACTGTTTATAGTTTATTCAGTTTTACCCTCACATGGTACATTCCTGCAACATATGAGTCAGTCGTTCCTTGCCCTTTGTTGTGCCCTTAATACTCTTGAAAATATTACCTTAGTATAGATAATGTAATTTTATATAGAATATATTACTTCTAAAGGGAGTGAGGAAGGATGTATTGCAATTTGCAACAACGACTAATATGAAAATTTTCCATAACTTTAAACTCAGACTCAAATATTTGTCTTCAAACAAGACTTACATATAAAAATAAAAATAGTACACTAACATTGTATAAAACAAAAATGGCTTGTTCAATAGGGTCTTCAACTAGTCCTCATCCTCACTTTACAAGAGGGATTGGTTATTTACAAATAAAAAACCAAAATAAATATAATAAAAAATAACATCTTAAGCTGCACAAACGGGAGCCTTTCCAGTAACTATGGGCTTGACATTAGAACATTTAGCAACTGTTGGAGCTCCATTGAATGTAAGAGCAACATCAATCAGTTGCACACCCTCACATGGTACACCCCTGCTGCATACAAGAGTCACTCCCTCTTTGCTCTTTGATGTGCCCTTAATATTCTTGAACACAATCTTACTTATCTTTATTTTTGATGGAACCTAAGCCATGCAACCATAAACAAAAATAAGATTAAGGATTGAAAGATTAGTTGTTTGAAATTTAAAGAATAGAAACTCTTGTATGATTATAAAGAGGGTAATGAATACAAGTATAATTTAATTTTAAGATAGCTCTTGGTTAAACGTGTACCTGCTTTGAACATTGATTCCAAGGACAGTACTCTTGGTCAATGATAATTGGGTTCAAGACATTAACCATTGTAATATCTTCAACATGCATATCAGTAATGGGAGAAGTTCCTGGGGCACTAGGCCATGTCTTGATCCTTATACCATTGTCAGTATTTGTCAAGGTGCAATTCTTGACTAAAAGATGTTCCACAGACTCTTCATTTACATACTTTCCAAGGCTTCCAACACTAATGCCATGGCCAGGTCCACAATTCACGTTTTGAATAGTTATTTGTCTGCTGCCATCTCCGATTGAGATACAATCATCACCCGTTGCAATATTAGTGTTAAGAATTTTCACATTAGTTGATCTTCCCAAGTGGATCCCATCGGTGTTGATGCTGTTACCAGGAGCACTGACGATGAAGCCATCAAATGTGACATTGGTGCACCCCAAAACATTGACATGGAAATTTTTGCTGTCCTTAGAAGTAATGTCGCGAATAATTGAATGCTTTATGAAGTTGAAACCAAAATTCTGTTGACATTTCACAGGAAACTCAATACACTAGCATGTTATGTAAATATGCAGTTATATGACAATATTCAAATGGATACATATTATTTCCTTACCATGGAACGCCTCTTGCAATTCTTGTTTGTTCCACAGTCATTTTCTTTCCAAGATCTTGACCCTTGACCATCAAAAGTGCCTTTACCTGATATGGTTAAAAAGTCAACATATCCAAATTTGACCCATTGATAAGCATCGTGGAGTGCATTTGGGTCAGCTGGTGCTTGAATGGTTCCATCAACTTGAACTTCAATGGGAGCCTTACAAGGACCTTTTACGTCTATTTCATTCATCTTGTATGTTCCCCTTGGAATCAGAATTTTGCTTGGAGTTGTTGATACACATGCTTCTTTCCAGGCACTCGTGAAAGCCTTCACCCGTACAAAATGAAAATCAAATATAAGCTAACAACAACAATGTCGTTTTCAATCATTTGGATTGAGTAAATTCAATAAGATTTTACCCGTGTTATATCTGCGTTTGGATTTCCACCAAATTTATTTATATTAATGACAGTTGATTGGCCTATACCAAAAATAGCCAACAACAGGAACAATGTAATTGTTGCAGTGTTCGACTTCATGTTCATGCTGATTATTGTTGAACTTTGTTTTCTTGCACTTCTAATCGATGAATGTTGCTTCTAAAATACTGTTCCACAGTATTTATATTTGAATTGTGAAGCTTAAAGGCGCTAACAATGTAAACAAAGTACTACAAAGTAATTTCGTCCATGCAAATGGTGTGGTTGAGCTTGTCGATCACTATTAATGGCAATTCATTAGTTAACACTAATTTGTAACCAGTTTGCCATTTATTACCTGTACCAAAATAATTCGCAGAATGACTTGATTTTGGTTTGAGCAAATAACGAATTGTCATTACTTTGAACAAGAAGGAGTACCCTCACTTAGTAACATCCTTTAATCAACAATAAGCTTAACTAGTCACCATGTCCAGCTAATTGAGGCATAAGTCAAGTTCATCCTCCTTTCGGTTATAGTAATAATAATAATAATAATAATAATAATAATAATAATAATACAAATGACATGTATACAAGTTTTCCACAGATTTATGTTAGTATAAATAATATATAGCTACATCTTGTCATGACTAATTTTCTCTTAAGATGACATCTTTATTAAAGTAAACAATTTGGAGAAATTAAATATAATAGCTTGTGAATATTTAAAAAATAATTATATTTATAATATCCATCTTTGCATTATAAATTTAATTTTTTTACTTTTGCAACAACGTATTTCAAAGAAAAATCGTCCTTCTCATTAAACTGTTATTTCTCTTCTTTAAACTATTCTATATCTCTTTGATACTACCATTAAAATTTAGTAATATAGTATGTCAAATTAATTTTTATATGTTGTAACATAAGGTATACTCATTAGCATAAAATAAGACTATTAATTATTTTTAGGTCATAAAACCAAACTAATTTTAGACTACAGTAGACTTCGTAATCGTCAACCATACCATTAAGGTATTACTTGGAAATATAGAATTTAAAAAGTATATCATAAATTCAAGAGCATTTTACTAATATAGATAAAAGATTTTTCTAATCAATATTTTAAGATAAATGGTTAATAAATTAAAAAATAAAAAATGTAATAAAAATATACTTAAAATTACAGTAAAATTATATTTATGGTCATTTAAAACAAAATATTTTAAAATTTTTTTTAACCAATGATTAGTATTTTAAAAATATATATAAATAGGAAAGCAATCTAAAATACTATATACAACAACACCACTACTAAATCTTATTTTATTGGTGAGGTTGGTTGACTGAAATACACAATGCTATTGAACTCAATCAAAAATTAAATTTTTAGAATCTAATTAATTAAAATGCCTCGTTTAATAATTTCGTCTGAAATTTTTTGAGTCATTTTCAATTATTCTTTAATGGATTAAGAGTAATGTAATTTATAATAAGTGTTACTTCAACCTTTTATGACATGCTATCATTTTTATATTATGTTCTTATATATCTACGTATCTACCTTAGCATTCTTATTTTTGTCAAAAAAAAATTTCACATTATTTCTTAGAAGCCCAACATTCAATACCATTACATGATAGCTAGTTATATTATAATATAGAATTTTGTACTCAAGTCTTACAACATGTTACTTCCATATAACGATTTAGTCAGCATAATATCATAGAGTGTAAATCATATAAAAAGCTTGAACAAGTTCTATGTTGACTATCGAAGAACTAATGCAACCTTCTCCTTTGGTCAGGCGTGAGACTGACTATGAGGTATTGTTTCGCTGTTGTACAAGAAGCCCAAATCACCTCGTTTCAGCAATTGAAGACTTAAGTCTTCAATACACTTCTGTTCTTCAAAATACTTGCCACATTCCCGTAGGAAACCTTGTGATTTCTATTTTGTACATGATCTAATATAATATTGTCGATATCCCTTAAGTTTCAACTGCTATTCCTGTAACCAATTTTATGGTCGTAGGTAAAAAAGATACAAAGCATCAGCAATCATCTAAAATTTCTTGTTAACGATAGCAAATTAGTGAAGTAAGTTCAATGTAAAATTTCCTGTCATGATGGCAACTTAAAAGTAAAAATGAGCAACTAGGTTTGATTAGCATTCTTATTTTCTGCTGAAATAATAAAAACCATTCTTCCCTTTCCATTCCCAAAAGATAAGATCCAACAAGGATCATCTCTATCAGTTACAATTAAATAAGTCCTACATAAAATTTTATTTATAAAAAATATTATATTAAATATTGTGTTAAAAAAATTGCTGCAAATATCAGCTAACTCAAATGAGTTGAGATTACTCTCTCACACATGCATTCACTGTATAAATAATTAAGAAAAAAAAAATTATCCTCCTTAAAGATTAAAATCAAATTAGACAAATTAAGAAAATGCCATTATTTTTAACAAATAATTTTATTTTGTGATCGTTTAAAAAATTAATCAATATTTTTTCATACAATCTCTCAAAAAATTTAATTGATCCTTATATAACAAATGTTTTGCCTATGATATTTTACAAATAAATACTAAGTTTCAATAGAAAGTAAATACAATACTAAAATGTTTTCAATGATTTATTATTTATAATATTTTATACACTTTCTATAATATTTTTTTAATTTTTTCTTATCATATACCTTTCTCCTTATTTGTTATATTTATTACACAAAAAAGTATAAATATAATTTCCCATTTGATAATACTTTCTCTGCTCTATTTTATAAGACATCTTTACTTAAATGACATAGGAATCATAATAAAAAGGCTGTTTATAGTTCATTTTACCCTCATATGCTACACTCCTGCTACATATAAGAGTCAGTCCTTCCTTGCTCTTTGTTATGCGCTTAATATTCTTCAAAATATAACCTTAGTATAGATAATGTAATTTTAAATAGAATATACTATTTCCACAGGGAGTGAAGAAGGATGCATTGCAATTTGCAACAGCGACTAATATGAAAATTTTTCCATAATTTAAAAAACAGTCTTAAATATTTGTCTTTAAACAAGACTTACATATACAAATAAAAACTTTACACCAATTTTATAACAAACAAGATCGCTTATTCAATAGGGTCTTCAACTAGTCCTCATCCTCACTTTATAAGGAGGGCTTGCCTATATACAAATGACAAAACCAAAATAAATATAAACCAGAATTACATCTTAAGCTGAACAAACGGGAGCCTTTCCAGTAACTATGGGCTTGACATTAGAACATTTAGCAACTGTTGGAGCTCCATTGAATGTAAGAGCAACATCAATCAGTTGCACACCCTCACATGGTACACCCCTGCTGCATACAAGAGTCACTCCTTCCTTGCTCTTTGATGTGCCCTTAATATTCTTGAA